TTGAGAAGAGAGAATTGTTATCATTCATTATCAATGCAGTTCAATCGTAATGGCGCTTTGGCCAATGCTTATGCAAAAAAACGCCCTTAATGCGCTGCGCTGCTGAGCTCGCTGTTCGCTGTATCTTACACATATCCTGTCTTGGAGGCGAATCGCTCAGTCGTCGTCCTCACCAGACTCTTCCTCTTCCTCTTCCTTCTTCTTCTGCTCACGCTTCTTGCGGTCGCCCTTCTTAGACTTGAGTTCCTTCTCCCACATCTTGTTTGCGGCGTCCTTGTCGAGGTCTGGAAAGACAATGTCGAAGACTTCCTTGTACCATTGCACGGGACGACCTTCTATGCCTTCTTTAATGTTCTGCGATGTGTCAGCAAATGCACTGTTCGTCGTTAGAAGTGAGGAAACATACCTCGGGCAGCTCGAGCCAGTCGCTCATGTTGTCGTGTGGGAAGATGACCGTCTTTGCGCCTGCTCTCCGTGCAGCAACAGTCTTTTCGCGTAATCCACCAATTCTCAGCACCTTACCGGTAAGAGTCAGCTCACCAGTCATGGCGACATCGTCCCTGATCTTCTTATCAAGTGCCAAACTAAGCATGCTGGTCGCCATGGTGATACCGGCGCTTGGTCCGTCTTTTGGTGTACCGCCTTCGGGGCAGTGGAGATGTATTCTGGCGTGCTCGAAGAATTTGTTCTTGGGGAATTCGCGGGCAAGAATGCTCTTGGCAAACGAGTAAGCTACGCTCGTTGACTCCTTCATGACGTCTCGAAGAGATCCACTGCGCTCAAGACCGGGTGTTGATGATGCTGAGAGTGCGTTCTGAAGGATAGACTCGATGTAAAGGGCTGAGCCACCCATTGATGTCCATGCTAGACCCATAGCAACACCAGGTGGCGTGAAGTCGTAGAGGCGATCTGAAGTGAAGATAGCTGGTCCAACGTAGTCTTTCAGATTGTCCTTGGTGATGGAAACGTGGACAGAGTCTGGAATCTTGAGCGCGACGCGCGGCTTCTCCGTTGTCTGCTCTTCGATGTTCTCTGGAGTCTCTTTGAGATCGCTCTTGTCCTTCTCCGATTCCTTCTGCGCAGCCTTGCCCTCCTCAGTAAGCGCTGCAGCTTCAGGGAGTGCGTCTTCGCCTACATCGGTGACAATCTTCAGCGCTGACTTGCGGTACACCTTTTCGATGTGCTTCTTGAGGTTTCGGACACCCGACTCGCGACAGTACTTGTTAATGAGTTCAACAATCGCGTCGTTCTCGAGAACGACATCAGCGTCCTTCAGTCCGCTCATCTCTTTCGCTGCGGGTGACAGGTACTTCTCAGCAATGGCAATCTTCTCGTCCGAAACATAGCCGGATAGTCGGATCACCTCCATACGGTCGAGTAGTGGCTGCGGGATCGTCTCATCCATGTTTGCAGTGCATACGAACAGAACCTTTGACAGATCGACAGGTACATCCAGGTAATGGTCCAAGAAACTGTTGTTCTGCTCTGGATCGAGCAGCTCGAGCAGAGCTGATGCTGGGTCACCGTGGTTGCTATTGCGTCCGATCTTGTCGACTTCGTCGATCAACACAAGCGGGTTCTCAGTTTGACATTTCTTGAGAGCTTGGATGATACGTCCGGGTAGCGCACCAACGTACGTCCTCCGGTGACCCTTGATTTCTGCTACGTCGTACATACCACCGACACTGAAGCGGTAGTACTGGCGGTTCAGAGCGCGAGCAATGGACTTTCCGATCGACGTCTTACCCACACCTGGTGGACCAACCAAACAAAGGATCTTTCCTTCAACGGTGCCGCGCAGTTTTCCAACAGCGATGAACTCCAAAATGCGGTCCTTGACATCCTTCAGACCGTGGTGATCCTCGTCCAAGACTTCTCGCGCATGCTGGATACCGAAATTCTCCGCGCTACGCAGACCCCAGGGTAGCTGTGTGAGCCAGTCGAGGTAGTTGCGGGTGACGTTGAACTCTGATCCGTTTGGCTCCAGACCCTGCAGCTTGCTCATCTCCTCTTCGAAGACCTTGCGCACAGCTTCAGGCATGGCGAGCTTGTTGGCCTTCTCGTTGAATTTCTCAATCAGCTTGTCCTTGCCATCAGATTCAATACCAAGCTCTCGCTTGATGCCTTTCATCTGCTCCATCAACATATACTCGCGGTGTTTCTTTGTGACCCTGGCATTGACATCGTCGGCAACCTTCTTTTGCAATTCGGCGCTGATGAGTTCCTTCTTGAGTACTTCCAACGCCTTGCTAAGACGCTTCTCAATATCCATCTCTTCAAGCGCGTCCTGAAGTTCGTGTGACTCAGCCTGTGCAACTGCAGCTGCGAAGTCAGCAAGCTTGACGGGATCTTCGCCAACGTTCATGGTGGTATGAACGGAGAAGGTCGACACATGATCGCGGAATAGCGGGTTGAGCAGTGCGACGCCCTTGAACGTGTTGACGATCTCGTTGACCAGAACCTGGATTGTCTTGTTGGTCTTCAGATCGAATGGCTCCTCGACCATGTTCTCAACATCGGCAATGCTGACGTTGCGACCCTTGAGGATGGTGGGTACCAACGCTCCCTGAGCTGCCTTGGCCTCCTCTGTTGCCTCCTCAAAGCTAGCAACAACATCTCCCTTGTTCTGCGGGGCAGCTGCCTCAGGCTCTGGGGTATCCACACTCTCGTCCAGAGTGCTTTCAGCCACCGACGGCTCCTCCTTGGCTTGCGGTGGCGACTTGAGCCCAGTCATCTTGATGCGGCGGTGTGGGTAGAGAACACATGTCATGGCAAAATTATCATCGCCGCCTACAGGGAATGCGCTCGTGACCTGGCAGAAGGTTCCCACATCGTATACCTCGCTGGGATCATGAATGACGTCCTTGTCGGCAGCATCGTCCTTGAACATAAAGGCACCAATGTAAGGCTGTCCTCGCTTGACCATGTCCGCAATCGCTTGTCCAACCTCCCTATCTCTGATGGTGATAGCCTTATAAAACCCGGGGAATAGAGGGCGCTTGACGAGCGGTATCGCCATGACTTGAGGGTAGACATCAGGTATCGAGGGCTTGACAAGCGCTCGTTCATTGCCCTTCCGCTTCTTGCCACCGCCATCACCGCCTGAACCACTTCCTCCTGCTGCGCTGCCCCGTCCAGAACTCGCTCGTGGGGGTATTGGCTCAGGCGCATCACTCTTGCCCTCGAGCTCTGCTGCTCTTTGCTGCTCCTTCGGCTTCTTGGACTCTTCTGTCTCCTCCTCCTTCGCTTCCTCTAACGGCTCCGGTGGCGCCTTCGAATCGTCTTCCTTTCGTCTACTCAAAGATGTGGAGAAGCTGCGATATGCGAAGAGTGCGGCGGGCGGCGAGGAGCATCGTGCGTGTTGTCTCGCGACCAAAGATGCTGTGCATTGGGCAGGGAGGTGTCGCGATGATGCTCTGGTAGTGATATTCCTAGCATTCGAGCGTGAGGCCTGGCGAAGGGCTGCCCGCCACGGCAAGCTCTGGCTCTGGAACATGACGATGGGACGTTATGCGGGCGTAGATAAAGGTAATACTATACAAAGAATGAAAAGAATGCACGCAGGATCACGTAGCACCCGTGTATTACCCACAAAGTATAATAACGAGTTTGTGCGATGTACAATGAAGAATGACAGGTTGTAGTGGCGGCGTATGAATTGCTCAGCGACTTCCGAATCTCGACATCATCACCGCCCAAGCTCCTCCGATAGCCCCGATGGCAAAACCTCGGCAACACGCGACACTGCCATGCCCCTTCCAATACCATCAATCTCTCCATCGCCCACCCATTCTGACATCGATATCGATCTGAATCTCTCCCTCTAAAGTTTTTTTTTATCATGCGCGCCCTCATTCGTTGTGCCACACTTTGTAAAATTCCGACGTCGGCTTCTTCTCACACTCGTCCGTCTACATTTCCAATCTAGTAGAACATGATCGAATCCAATAGAAAACAGCGAAGAACGCCCGCCCAGTGTTGCTTACCAAGTACGATATATACGCGACTAATACATCTACTCCCGCAATCGTGCTAGGGCCATTGGTAGAGACATGCCTGGCCGTGTCGTCTGTTGACCTGAATTGCCAATTCGAGTATCGCGCGGGCATGCGTTATACTTTGTCTCGTAGACGTGCACGCCGAACACCAACTTGCTCAAGTTTCGGCCCGCGACGAAGCTCGATGCACTAGAGGGATGCCAGCCCCAGGTCGCTTTGATTGTGACCACACGCGTGGGCCATCGAGGTCTGGTACCGATCCAAATCGTCGCGAAACCCATCGCGTGCTCACGTGAGGCCACACGAGAGCATTTTTCGAAGCCATGCCTTCGCGCATTTGCTGCACGAAATCGCGTATATGTCAACAGAATTCAAGCATCGGTTCGTCTTGGGCTATCTCGCCCATGAGATACTCTGAGCTAGGGCCAAGATCGCCACGGGTTGTGCTGCCGATAGCAATACGGAAAGGTCTGATAGTATCGAACGCTGCGTTTGAAAGATCGCATTACAGTTTCATGTCAAGTATATAAAAATGAATGGCTGGCATGATGTCACAGTTCGTATACTAAGACGGCGTTGCCCCAAGGCTGTCTTGTGCGATTTCGCCGAGATGGCGGCGACCAAAAAGCAGAACAACCGGTCTATCCGCAATTGGTAATCAACGATGGAGCGACAATTGGGAGAGAAGATCCACTAGTCTTCTCTTGGCTTTTCCAAACCTTGCGTCAGTTAGTGGACGATCTTCCCACGCCGATGGTAAGTTTCACGGTATGGTCACGCTAACGTCATTGTGTTCCACTGATTCCAACGGTATGGGGTCCGGTCCGATGGCGAACGCTGTCACACGGTTAGCAAACAGTAACTACTGTGCTATGATATCACTTTTCATGTTCATCATATTGTTGTACTTTGTTGATGCAACAGCCTTCAGTTCACTTCAACCACGTCTCAAACTTCGTCTGCTCTATGGTCTACTAGCGTTTTAGCAGCGAATCATACATCATGTCAAATCCCTCATCACTCCATGAAGACAAAGGTATGGTACGTCCATGATGGATCTGCAAACGCCTTTGCTAACATCCTTCAGACAGTGCATCTTTACCCCAGCGTAAGAGGGAAGCGCCAACGCGCATGAAAGATGGAAAAGAGGTCGAGCTGCATACCTGGAATGGCCCTCAAGACCCTGATAACCCGTGCGTGCATCGTCTCATGGCCTGAATCAAGCGCTGACCAAAATCAGGTTCAATTGGTCGACCAAGTACAAATGGTTCTTGACAATTACGGTCTGCTTTATTTCCATCTTGACAGGTCTCCCCGCTGGATCCTATGGTGCTGGTAACGAATGGATGGCAACTCGCTTCAGCGTTCAAAATGAACCTTTTCCGAATCTCTATTGGGCAACGTGCAGCTGGAACATGGGTGCTGCTCTTTTCCCACTTCTGTTCGTACCTTTGACCGAGAACACTGGCCGTATGCCCGGCTACTTCGTAAGTCATTACATTGACGACATACACCAAGCCATTCTGACAAACTAAAAGGTTGCTTACATCGTTTTCGAGTTGTTCTTGTTCGGCTCTGCCTTTGCCGACAACTTTGCGACGCTCGTCGTTACCCGCTTCTTTGGCGGTGGTGCATCCTCGGTTTCTATCAACATTGTTGGCGGTAGCATCAGTGATGTATGGAAAGGTGACAAAGCTCGAAGTCTGCCAATGTCCATCTTTGGCTTCACGTCTGTCGCTGGTATCGCCCTCGGACCGTTTATTGGCAGTGCAATTGTGCAGATTGGTTATCCATCTACTGGACTGCAATCTCCATGGCGCTGGTGTGTATCTCTCCTTACTTGATTCACATCGCTGACACATGTATAGGATCTACTATATTCAAATCATCTACAATGCCGCGCTCATTCCCGTCTTCTACATCATCCTTAAGGAGACCCGTGGCGACGTCATCCTGAAGAAGCGCGCTCAGAAGATTCGCAAAGACACGGGCCGTGAAGTCTATGCGGAATCCGAGCTCGACAAGCCTTCGATAGCCAGCTTACTCAAGGTCTCCTTCATGCGACCTACAAAGATGCTGCTCACCGAACCCGTCGTTACTTTCTTCACGCTATGGATTAGTTTCGCCTGGGGTATTCTGTTCCTCTTCTTTTCCTCGGTAGTACAAACTTTTAGTGCAAGCTACGGTTTTGGCACCTTTCAGACTGGTAAGAAGTGCCCATGCACGAACTGCATGTGAAACATATCCTGACTTCGTACACGTACCTTTTAGGTATGATTCAACTAGCCATCACCGTCGGAGCGCTCATTGGCACACTCATCAATCCAATACAGGATGTGTTGTATCTTCGAACTGCATCCAAGAACCAAGAACGTCCTGGTAAGCCCATCCCGGAGGGCCGTTTGTACACCAGTATCCCTGGCTCGCTGCTCTTCACTGCTGGTCTGTTCTTATATGGATGGACATGCAGACCATCTATTCACTGGATTGTGCCTGCGATAGGAATCTGTATAGTGGGTGTAGGCATCTACTCGATCTACATGGGAGTAGTCAACTATCTTACCGATGCTTACGAAAAGTACGCTGCTTCTGCGCTTTCCGCCGCATCTCTTGGTCGTAATTTGTTCGGCGCCTTTCTACCTCTGGCTTCCTACTCGCTTTTCCAGAACCTCGGTTTCGGCTGGGCAGGCAGTTTACTTGGCTTTGTTGGATTGGCACTGAGTCTGGTGCCGGTGGTACTCCTGATAAAAGGCCGTCAGATTCGGGCAAAAAGTCCGTTCATGTCCGAAGCTATGTTTGACGATGGCGACGATGACGAAGAGGCGGAAGGCAAGAAAGCTAGCCATAGTCATCGGGGTACTTTTGGACCAGCGGGTGTTGCTGGCGGACCGCCCGGTGGGGTGGACGATGCTGTCTAGAGCACAACACGAGCGATGCAAGGGAGGTCGCAACGTTTCAAGCAATCTTTGTTTATGGGTTGAGCTTTGAATCTGTGCAAAATATGGAAGTTGCTAACATAATTACCGAGATGATAAGATCAGGTCATGAGAATACAATAAAAACACGACAGAGGGCTGTGCCAGCAGAATACCTAAAAGTGAGAAGGCCTCAAGCCTTCACTATACCGACGGTCTTCGTCGAGACGATCTTAGCTGGCTTCTGCAACAACGTCTGTTCATCTCCATCCTCCGATCCTTCATCACCAGATTCGTCGTCCGATGTATCAGCATCGGAAACTTCGTCGTTGAAGACTTCAGACTCGGAATGCTCGTCTTCCGATGCATTATCCTCAAAACCCTCATCTTCACAGGAATCACGTTCTTCAATGTCGTCATCGCTTTCGGAAGGCTCATCTTCTGAATGTTCGTCCTCTGAGTGGTCGTCTTCCGAGTGGCCGCCATCAGAGTGCGCATCCTCGCAAGCATCGTGATCACCGTCCTTCTCCGCCCTAGCCTCGCTTTCGTCCCCCGACTCCACCGTCTTCTCCCCCGCACCGCCACGCATCCTCACCGCATCATCATCCTGTCCCTTTCGATGTCTCCAGTCTTTATCTTCATCGTCTGGCTCTGACATCTCCTCTGGCTCAGCCGCAAACACCATGGCTCCACCTCTCAGCCCCGGTACGGCATGCTCCCCGAACAGCATCAAATCCGCAGAATCGCTCTCTGTCTTCTTTTCCGAAGATGAAGACTTACGACCAAGTTTCCCAAGTGTGCGAGATGCAAACGAGGACTTGCGTTCTGGTTTTCCACGATCAGCGATCGAGTGCGTATCACTCTGGCTATCCGCGGAAGCACGAAACTCAGCACTAGATTTGTTGTTGTTGCGCTCGGGATGGCTGAGGCTTAGACGACTGTCTGAGCTGAGTCGACTGTCATTGCTGGAAGCGTTTGAGCGTCGCTGGGCTTGGGACCGGCTATCGATGCTAGATGAGCCCGAGGATCTCTGAGTCGGCGCGAAAGACACTTTGGCATCTTGAATAGAAGTGAATGGGTTTTGTGGAATATCTTTAGAGGCGCGTCTTCCATGGTTGTATTTATAAGAAAAGCCTGATGATGCTGATGTTTTGGAGCCATCAGGACGTCTTGACATACTGTCAGAGAATGGCTTTGCGACCTTAGTTGTTCCGCTACTGTCCAAGTCTCGCTCATTAGTATCATCAGTACCGTTACCTTCAGCGATTGGAGTCATTGTTGCATTGGTGTCCTGTCTTTCCCGGTCATTCATACTCATACTTCTTGCCATGCCACTACGACTACTGATGGGCTTCTTCGTAACAGAGTCATTGACGCATGAAGTCGTATCATTAGCGAAAGTGCAAGCCCGCTTAGGAGATCGCGGGAGAGGCCTCTCGCGACTCTTTCGCGCACTTTTCGATTTGGTAGATGAATTGGATCTCTGGCTAGCGGACGATCTTCGAGACCGAGAACTATTCGTATTACACAGGTCTTCATCTTCTGTCTTGGTAATCTCTGCCAATGTGCGGTCTCTTTCTTCAAACAGCTTCTGCTGTTCTGCCACGCGCTGGTTTTGCTCTTCTGCCTGTCTTCGCTCTTCTGCTTGACGTTCTTCTTCCTCCCGCTTCTTTCTGTCTGCCATCTGCTCCTTAGCTTCAAGAATCTTGCGGCGTGCCTCGGCTGATCGGTCAAGCGGTTGCGGCAGCTTGATAATATCTGTGCCTATACTTTGTTTGCGCTTGACATATGACGCTGGCCTTTCGATATTCACATCGCTGGCATCGACGGCTGTGATCGTACTATCGAAAGAATCCCGCTTGCTTGGGCGTTTTGCGACGTACGCAGACGAAACCTTGGCCTTTGCCCATTCTTTGGTACTGCTGCGAAGGTCGATATCCTGTAAGACATCGTTCTCAAAGTCTGCAGGGTCACGAAGTACTTCCTGTGCTTTTGCGATCAGTGACTTCGACATTTTCTTCTCTGCCTTGCGTCGCGAGGGTTGTAGCTCGCCCTTGTTGATCTTGTCCCATATGTTTGCCGCTGCTATTTGTTCAGAGTCATATGCGGTAGTTGTAGGCTCAGCCTTTGGAGAGTTCCGCGTTACTGTTCGCACAGGCTTTGGAGATACCAATCCGGGCTGATTTACCATTGAGTTTCCGTAGCTATCTGTTGCAAAGTTCCATAGCCTTTCTGCGTGTAGATCTTGTGCTTGAAACTTGTCTAGCCCATTTTCGTTTCTCTTACCTCCTTCGATATCCTTGGGAAGTGAGAAGACCCGACCAGGCGGGCTGACGAGACCCTCGCCTCCCGTATACTCGATCTCAGAGATACGCGGAAGTGCTTGCGCGACAGGGGAGACATGTGTGGGCATCACATTCTCGGAACCATACCACTGATAGCTCTGATACTTCCGGTGTGGAGGCTCGATATCGTGTAGTTGGATTGGTTGTTGTTTGAGATGCTCGGGATTTTCGATATGGCGGGTGCACTCCACGTCTGGCATTGCGAAGCGCATGCGCTTGTATGCCTGATAAATGTAGTACGTGCCGATTAGTGCTACGATAACTACAAAACTGACGATGATTGTGGGAATTATCGCCAGCGCCATGGTGTGCGAACAATAGTGCTTTCGGCAATTACTGCACTTGATATGGCGTTCCAATGAAGCTGTGAAAATAAGATTTCAGAAATTGATCTGAGTTGGAGAGAAACATCGAAGAGGAAATACTAGCATAGGCTTCACAAATAGTCAGTGACGAAGCTGTATGATTCAATGACCGTTGTAGCATGTAAAAGCACTCCATTCCGGCGACAAACAATTCTAATCCTCTTTATTCAGTGGCAATACCCCGGGTTCTTCAATGAAAGATCCAAGATTTATTCATCATTCTACATGGCTTGCTTTAAGTAGTCCTTTAATGCTGTCAGACATGTATCTCAAACCTACTGCGTAGCCATTTACTTCTCATACTGGATTGCCAGTCAGACAATGAAGTTCAGCTCATGTGCCAGCCCCATCAACTACTACCTTTGAGATTGTGTCGTATTGTTTTTCTTGTTATAGTGTTAAGAGCCTCACAACCTGAGATACAGTAAGATGACACTCTAAATTGAGAGATTTATTTCTTTGCAGTAGAGCAAAGCTAAAAGTCGAGACTCGTAGCAGAGTTAAGCAAACGCTACGTATCACACGATGCATCTCTCTATGAGAGAAGATTGGTAATGCTGGCGTTGATCATTTATAACGATTGACCCTGACACTACCCTGCTGCGCGGAGACACGGCGTATTGGTTGAGCCATCTATTCGCACCCTACATCTTTGGCTCACTTCTCCTCTGGTGGCCCTCGCGCCGAAGCGATAATGCCGCTGGTGATAGAATCAGGAATCAGGTTGAAGACTGTCGATTGAATCTTGTTGTTCCAGCCAACTACACGAGCAGATTCGTTGGCTTCGTATACGTCCACCGCGACCTTCGCTACATCCTCAGGCTGATCGATGCCAACTTTGTCGATGGCACCTCGCGTTTCGCCATGCCCCTGGCCATCGAGATTGGTCTTAGTAATGCCCGGCACGACACAAGCTACTCGGACGCCAGTTTCAAGATTCTCTTGATGAACCGCTTGGGACCATGACATAAGGAATGACTTGCTAGCTGCATACATTGCCGTGTATGGAACTGCTTGGTACCCAGCAGTGGACCCGACATTCAAGATGCCACCCTTGCCTTGCTTTATCATTTCTGGCATAAAACGGAGGCTTAGATCAACGACGGCGCGGACCATAAGATCGACAGTAGCCAAAGAGGTGTCGGTCTCAGGGTTGCGTGCGAAATAGTACTTCCTGGCGAAGCCAGCGTTATTTACAAGTAGATCGACTGTCCAACCCCATTCTTGGACTTGCTTTTGTACATTTTCAGGGCCTTCTCGTTGGCTCAAGTCGCTTTTGATCGTGCGCACTGTCGTTCCTGCCGTAGAACCCTCAATCTCGCTGACTGTTTCGGCCAGTTTTCCTTCATTCTGAGCGACAAGAACCAGTCGACGGACACCTCTCTTCACGAGTTCTTTTGCGATTGCACGACCTATCCCAGAGGAGCCGCCGGTCACAAGTGCGGTCGTAGCGGAGTAGTCGATATCCTGCATGGTCGGGAATCCTCGATAGAGATTGGAATGTGATAGTAAGGTATGCTGTTCGCTCTGTTCCAGAGGCTTGGTGACAAACTGAAAGATATAAATCTTTTTGAGAACCGTTGAGGTGCAGATTGAGTAGAATGCGTTTGCAACCTGCTATCTGGATGTCTAACATGATGGTCATTCTACGAAGGCTTTATAGCCTTGAGTTCATAGAACGAAGACAGCAGTCGGAGACGCTTGCATCATAGAAATGTATGACGACGGACAAAGCGCTATCGACGCCACGATCTGTCTGATGAACAGTAATCGTAGTCCGCACCTACTGGTGCCATGTACGCAGCTTCAGAGTAAGTAATGGTGTAGTGTTTCTGCATCTAGCAAGCTTTTAGTCTTAGTCACCAAGGCTTGGCGCTCCAGGTGGCCGAATAGCTACTCACTAGATACAGTCTAGCGAGGGGGTACGGCCGTATCGGGGTAACTGCCACTACACTTCCGACTTTCCTGTGTACCTTGCATGACGTCGATATGTACCTCATGTAATCTCGCAGCCATAGCTGGTATTGGTTTAGTACCTGAATTTGCGAGACAGGATAGCAGCTTAGCACAGTGTGATTACAGGATGTCATTGTTAGCATATCAGCGAACATAAGTATCGTCATCAGAAGTCAGGTAAGAACAACGTAGGATATGTAATATATACAATCAAGACATGTCAATGAAGAAGACAGATAAGTACGGTATGTTTTGATGTTTGCATTATATTATGTATTTACATAAAAACAGTAGAAGCACTAGTATCGTCTTTACACAAACGATCTAGAAACTCCTCCCATCAGCAACTTCCTAAGTGCAAGTACCCGATCCGCTCTGGCAACCGGAACCGCAGTGTCCAGAGGTAGATCCGCACCATCCGTACTGCGAGCAGCAGTTGCCGAATGTCGAGCCAGCACAAGTAGCACCTCCCTGAGATCCGCAAGTACCATCAGTAGAGACCTTTTTGGCTGGGGTCGAAGGAGCTGGCGCAGGGGTGGTTGAGCCACCGCCAGTGCAAGTACCGAAGGCAGAGTTGCAGCCGGCGCTGCAGTGGTCAGCGGAGGATCCACACCATCCGTACTGAGAGCAGCAGTTGCCGAAAGTAGATCCAGCACACGTTCCCTTGCCAGAGCCGCACGATCCATCAGTGGAAACAGGGGTGCTGCCACTGCCGCCGCCAGAGGTAGGAGGAGGAGTGGTAGAGCCACCACCCTCGCCGGAAGTGCGGTACCAGTTTGCTTCAGGCTCGCCCATGCACTCACCCATGGTAACACCGCGGTAGCCCTTCGACTTGAGGTATGAAAGCATGTATCCGGTGAGGTTAAGAGCGGTCTGCTCGTGAATATCGTGGCCGATAGCAAGACGGGAGCCCGTTGTGGGACCGCCAGCAGTGGAGTCAAGGATCCTCTTGAAGTTATCCTTAGCGACCTGGATGTTGGAAAGCTGGTTGTAGTCATCGGTGTCCAAGTCAAAGTAGCTGACGACATATCCCAAGTTCTTCAATACAGTCTGGCAGGCGGTGTTGCAAGACGAGTAAGGAGGACGCATGTATGTAGGGTACTTTCCGATGATGTTGCGGATGGCCATCTCATTCTTGACCATCTGGTCGTAGCGTTGGGCATCAGTGATAACGCTGAGATCCTGGTGGGACCATGTGTGGGATGCGACTTGGTGACCCTCGGCAACCATGCGCTTGATCACGTTGGACCATTGCGCTGTGCTGTCGATGGCGCCCTTGCCAAGGTTGATACCGGTCACGAAGAAGGTAGCCTTGAAGCCAGCAGCAGCGAACTGGTCGAGGACGCGGTCGGTGTAAATGTATGGACCATCGTCGTAGGTGATGGCGACTGTTCCAGCCTTCTTGCAGGCATATACACCGCCACCTCCGTATGCGACATTGCCCTTTTGGGGACGAGGATCGTTGCGTGTGCTAGCTCCACCGGGAGTTTTGTTGGCATCGCAAGCTGGGCCGAAGTCAATCAAGCAGTCGGGAGCCTGGCAGTGATCTTTCGAAGTTCCGCAGTATCCCTTTTTCCCGTTAGCAACTGCCTGTATCGAAGATTGAAGACCAACATACGGCACCAGAGCAGCAGTACCCTGTAGCACACTTGGCATTGCCAAAGCTAGGTCCACAACGTCCGTTCTGACCACCTTGGCGGGTTTCCAACAGGCCACCCCTGGGCGTAGCAGGGTGTCGAAGCGTACGGGCAGCAACGGGAGCCTTGAAGTCATCGAGCAAGTCTCTGGGTAAGCCAAAAATCTTAGGTGCTCCTGGGACTCCACCGTGAGCTGCCACCAAAGGCGCCACCACACTGACAGCAAAGACGTCTGTGAAACGCATCTTTCAGAGAATTATAATTAAGAATAAGACTGGTTTCAAAAGTCGGAAAGCGAGAGACAGCTGCCAAAGAAAAAAAGATTGGCAAAGCGAGTGACTGATAAAGACCGCAGTCAGGATGAGGCGTAAGAAAACGAAACAAAAGGAGGATATATGTACTTATGTACGCCAACCCCAGACACGCATCTCGACCCATCGATAGAAAAACACCGGAAAGGCACGACGTTTCTGGCAACTAATGAGCGCGCGGACTAGGGATCGCAGATCAAACAGTGTGCATTGTAGCCAAGACGTGCTTGCGCCGGGCAACAGGTGATGAGCACGAATACGAAGGAGACGGCGGGCGTGGCATTCGGGTGGATACTGGGAGGATTCCCACATGGGCGGCGCCGAAAGCACGTCTACGGCTCTCTGCCGACGCGATTGGAACAGCCACTGCTGCCACAAACTCCCCAACAACGCAGAGCTACCATGGGCAATACTGCCGAACGACCGGGCAGCCGCAGCTGTCACGCTGTCATGCATGTTGAGCAAGGACCAGACGCGATAACAAAAGCGTTGAAGAAGCAATCTGAGACTGTACAATGGCGCAGCTTGGCTACAACAGGCCGACTGTTTGGGATTGAATTAGGGGAAATTCATGGTACCGAAGCCTGCCAAGGATCGGGAGCATGCAATGGCGGAACCAAGACTTGCCCAGACACACCTAGCGAGGCTGGGCTGATCTAAAAACAGATCGGCATGCATGGTGTCGACTCGAGAATTTTGTCTTAATCCGGTAATACTTAATTGCTGTTTTGTGTTTTGACTTTTGCGATTTCGCGATTTCGCAACTTTGAGTTTCGGGGGTTTGAAAGTGTGGGAGAAATCCGGGGAAGAATGATGTAATGCGGCAGTTGGATCGGGAGAGTAGCGATACCATCGAATGGGGTAAGCGCACTGGCGCTGAAAAGATCGTGAGATCTTTTCCTGTTGGTCAGCCCTAATGCTGGCTGGCGGATTCTCATGCCTTCTGGTCGTATCGTCAAGATTAGCTCGAATGATTTTGCACGTCTACTGCACACCGGTGTAGGTATCAATACTCTACTCTCGTATCACTACTTGGCTTTCCCCGCTCGCCCTCTTCCCCGTCCAGTCCCTCTCCCTTTGCCACTACCACGTCCTCGTGTTGCAGCCTTCTTCCTTGGCGAGTTGCGCTCAGTCATGTCCGTCATATCCGTCTCGTCATCGCTTCCTTCGGCAAAGAAGTGGCTCTTGACTTGTGCGTCACTTTTCCTGGCAGCCTTACGCCTTGGCGCTGAGCGGGTGGAAGGCGGTGGTGTTGGCGGATCCGAGGGCGCATCAGAGAGCGCATCATCGTCAGACCCTGAATCTGTTACCTTAGATTTACGTTTCCGTGCGGGTACTGTCGCACTCTTTGCTCCGCGGCCACGTGGACGACCACGACCACGGGCTGAAGCTGTGGCGGTTGACTTGCGGCGAGTGGCTTTAGGTTTGACTTTTTCTTCTTCGTCTTCTTCGATCTGTTCGTCTTCTTGAGCCTGTGGCGCATCCATATCATCGTCCGCATCGTCATCCGAATCTCCACCAGATTCACTAGGCGGCTGCTGCAACGCCTGTGTGAGCGAGATCGGTGTGCGATATGTGCTGTCCGCCACGGATACGCGGGGTACATCCTTCTTCTCACCGTGATCAATAGTGAGATCGCCATGTTCAGGATCGTCTTGGCTTGTTGACAGGAACCCACCAGCCGTGTCATAATCTTGTTGTGCCGTTTGGGGCGCTCTTTCAGGCAAGAAGCCACCACCAGAAGCTGCACCATCGTCGCGCATGAAGCCACCTTCGAAATCTGTGTGATTCTGGAACACCTCCCACTGCGACTTCTTTTCCGTGGTGTCTTCCTCCTTGGGTAGTACCACCTTCTCTCTTGCTGGCAATTCGACATCCTCTCCGTACTCTTCTCTCATCCTGTCCACAATCCTCAGACCGCTTGCGAACTTCCTCCATAGGCCCAACAAGAACTTCTCCCTCTTGTCTCTCTCCTTTTTCTGCTTTTCGGCTTCTTCAATTTCCCAAGCATCTATGAGCATATCCTCGTTTTCTTCCGCAACCACAACTCCAGTTATGACAGGTACAGCACGCTGCTTACCAAACTCGAATCCGGTACACGCTTCCGCGTAATCGATGTTGAGCTTGCGACATATGCGCGCTGTTCCTTTGAGTGGGATATGAATAGCGCCTTTCGGCACCATGGTTGGTACATAAACGTCAATGTTTCCGTACGAGTTACGTGGGATCTGGCCATCAACGATTGGATCAGGAATGATCCAGTCAGTCTGCGCTTTGGAGTAGAGCCCTTGTTTCACTTTGCCGCCTTCGATGCGTTCGCGCTCTTCGATTTCGCGTTTGCGAGTCACTGTGACAGCACGCATAGGCACAAGCTTAAGGGGCTGCTGACCTTCCAGCACTTCGCGGCCCTCCTTGTGCCAAGATTCTTGGGTCTTGCAGTTCACGATATCCTTCCTGAGATATACGGGCTCTGACTTCTCATTGTCGCCTTTGCCGGTGACGAAGTGTCGAACAATTTTCGCGCCGGGTTTGAGTGCTTCTTCACGACGGAGGTGACGCTCGAGTACGTATTCAGCGGAGTTCTTATAGCCCTGTAGCGTCTCCTTGCCGCCTTCTTCATCCATATCTTTCTTCTTCTCTGGCTCTTGAGGGACAAGGTCGCCCTCATCCTCAACTTCATCCCATGGTTGACGCTTGTCGTGAGGCCTGGCATAGGGGCGCAATAGTGACTTGACCCAGTCCCATTCTTCCCATCGCTTGACCTTTCCACGCTTGTTGTGTATCGGTATCTTTTCGATTGGCATGCGAAAGCCTTTTGTCCGACCAGGCCACTGGCGTTTTGGTAGATAACGTGTCGTGACATCTTTGGCTGTGCCATCAGAAGAGAAGGCAACAAGGTAACCTAATACCTGTCTCGCTTTATCGGCCGCCGCACCACGAGCGTAAAAGTCGGCGAGCTTGTCTGGAGAAGCCGCGCTTGCTATGATCGTCTTAGGAAGCGGCGATACTGATATCGGAGTATGTGTCAGGTGTGAGATAGCTTCTGTCCAGTATGTCGGGTATGGCAGCTCTTCGCTGTAGTTGCGTGACTTTGGCATTTTCTTCGCTGGCCTTTCGTCTTCGGAGTCAGAAGAGATGGATATGACACTGCTTAGATCGCTACTGTCATCCATCTCAACATCAGTAGATTCTGCTTTCTTCTTTGTAGCCGAACCAGATTTCGCTTTGCTATCTGTTGCTGCTGGCTTTTGTGGAGTCCCCTTATCGGCAGGCTTTGCATCCTTCAGCTTTTCAAGGTTCTTAGCCTTGCCTTCTTCGCTCTGACTCCAGCCAAAACCAACAGGTTGTAGACTGACTACCATACGGGCCTGAATGCCTAGGCCTCGTAATAGAGCCGTAAACAGTTGCTCTCCCAGGTCTCTGCTTCCCTCGCATTTTCGAGCCCTGTCGCGAAAAGCGTCTAAACTCTCGACTCGCTCCCCAAAAGTATCCGGATGATCCGGGTCTTCTCTCCAAGCATTAATCTCGGCCTCTAGTGTCGATGGCGACAGGTAACCACGTTTGCGCAAGCTCGGGGCTGTGACCTGGAACTTGGACTTCCAATACGCAGAGACATATCTTAGTAGGCGAAGCAGAGGATCTCCCACTGACAAGTTCGGAGTTTTCGGTTCGAGTGGCTTGGATGTCGCGCCCCAGTCGCGCCCTTTCTTGTCACCTTTGCTGCCGACCTTGTCTTTGCCATGGAGCGTTTTCTTGTTGTCCTCGCGGACAGACGATCGCTTCTGCGGGCTCTCGTACACCTTGATGCCGTTCTTCCCACTATCCTTCCACTTCCCTTTCTTGTCTTTTGTCGCCTGATTGGGCGGAGGACTTGGTGCCTTCTGCACGACGACGCGACTAGGCCCATCTGTGATGCCTGCATCACTCCAGTATTTCTCCAGTTCGCGCCAGCACCCGGCCGACATGCTTTCGACAAGTATCGTCTGCACTTGCTTGTCCTGTATCCAAGCGTTCCTTATGAGGTTGTGGTACATCAGGTACTGTACGTGCATGCAATGCGTGACGCTCCGTATCTGCCGCTGGACCTTGGATGGCCCCTTCTTCCCATCGGACTTTGTATCCAAGGCGGTCTTGGGTGCGGCGGATAAGGTAAGGGCGATATCGCCGGTAATGACAGGCGCAGGGCCATGATCCGGTTTGGTATGGTGGTGCGCACCGAGGGCGTCTTCCCAATCATGGTCCTCACTTTCATCGCTATCACCGCCAGCTTGCGCCTTCCCTTTGGCCTTATTTGCGCCATTCAGCGGAACATCTTCAAAGTCATCCTCGCTGCTCTCCAGCTCTGACAACTCACTGTCGTCATCTTCTTGTTCCAACAAAGCTTTTGTTTGCGACAGCGTCCGCTTGATTTTGGGTGGCGCGTCCAGTGTCTGAAAGACAGACTCCTTGCCTTTACGAGCGGGTGCAGAAGGTTTACGGGCCCGCGCACGCTTCGGCGGCGGTTCTAGTTGAGGGGAGGCGGATCGCGAGCGCTTTCGAGAGAGTATTGGCGGCATTGCAGCGCCTATTTTTCTTTACTATGGTGACATAGGCACAAAGGTGATGCAGTTTGTTTGTGGCAGTTGAGGCGCGATGGCTGGAATGATGACGCACTTTCCCCTGTCGCAATTCCGATCTGGCGGGACGATCTCGTGCAAGGATCTCCCAATCGCGTGGCGCCCTTTCGCGTTGTCACGAGCCTCACGCGTCGTGCGTCGTACCAGGCCCTCGCGACGTTCAAGTTCTAGCACTGACACTCGGCTACTCTAATTGCGGCTCAAGCTTTCACATGGGTATGCATTATTTGTTCACTAGCTCCGATCACTGCCGATCTGTCCTACGAGTGTTGTAAAAGTCGATGACCCTCCTCAGACCTTCTTCCACAGTATTCCTATCTAGTGAGAATAGAAAGCGGAAGTTGCCCGGCTTCTCATCATGATACGCTTGTCCAGCTGACATCTCCACGCCATGATTGTAGAGCGCTTGTTTCAACTCATCCTCTGCCTCCCAAGTCGGGCTGTGTAGACATGCTGAGAGATCAATCCAGAGGAAGAAGCCAGCGTTACTTGGACGCGAAAACAAGTCAGTCACTCGTTCATAGGACGCTCAGGGAAAGCAGAGTCTACTTACGCGTCACAATCAAAAGGAATTCCTGCCTTGTTGAGTCCCTCTGCCACAAGTTCATGGTTTTCACGCAACGCCCTCACGCTCTTCGTCAAAAACTGGGCGTGCCACTCTTCATCCTCGAGTATGGTGGTGGCAATAGCATCAGTCACTGGCGAGGCGCCGTGAAACCGTCTGCGAATACAAGAGAATCAGTGTCTTAGCCGCCCCTCAGAATTCCCGTACACGTACGCTAAAGACTGAACAGCTTGTCCCAGTTCTTTATTTCTTGTGATTAAACACCCGAGTCTCAAGCCAGCGGCAGCAAAGTCCTAACCCACAATATCAGCGCTGAGAATATAACTGCAGTAGAATGTCACTTTACCTTTGACATTCCGTACATTACATGGACAAGTTTTTCGTCAATGATACCTTTCACGTCAACGGAGAGTATTGACGTAAATTCTTCATAGGCCGAACTCGTGTTATACACCGATTGAGCATATATTTCATCGCTGATAAGATGTATGCTCTGTTTTTCGCAGAAACGGAGGATACCCTTTAGAGTGTCACGGGGATAGCACCGGCCTAGAAAGACAAGTCAGTTCTGCTTTTCCTCCATGACAGATAGAACTTTTACCGAGTGGATTATGTGGATTGGATATGATGAGTGCTTTTACTCTGGTCCCATTTCGGCCAGCTTCTTCGACAGCGCGCTCGTAGTATTCAACTGCCGTGGTAGTAAACTGGTCTTCGCCGTTGAAAGGGGTGTAAACCAACTTGCAGCTGGTACGGGTCAGTAGCTGCGAAAAAGGTTTCACGCTTTGATAACACTTGTACTCACTTGGACATGCTTGCCATATCCGGAAAGAAAGATCCGTATATAGGCATACCAAGAAGCAAACCATCGTTCTCTCCGTCTGTCAAACATAGAGACAAGATGTCGTTCAACGCAGTCACACCACTAACAAAAGATACTTGGTCGATTGTTACAGTTGAAACGGGCGAGAAACGCTTGTTGACGAACGCAGCCATCGCTTGTCGCAGGCGCTTGGATCCAAAAGGGCCGTCATGATAGGTCAAGGTGTTAGGCTCAAGGCTGGGAGCACACTAGGTGGTGTTTAGAATACAGTTCTTCCATGTGATGCTGAGGGCTGACCTTGGTCTTTATGTAATCTAGGACCTCTTCTCGCATGAGCAACTATCGATCATCAGCGTTGATACTCGGAATGTGACAGCAATTCCAATCAACTCAGACGAACGTTTTCCGCAAGGCTGAAAGACACTAGACCTGTTGGGTGTTTGGTCTTGTCATAGAGATGGCCACGATTTTTGGTGTAGCCTGCAGCCAGATCCAAGGCCGCATATCTGCGACCACGAGTAGACAGCATGTTCAATAGGACAGGTTTGGAATTTCGAAACACCGAGTTGCAGTGTGGCTGTGTTCATGGAAGAACGTCGCATGTGAAGCTTCGACTTGCGACGCGGGGCAGTGGTCGCCGCGTGCAAGCCATTCTTGAGTACAGAGTACACATCATGGTACCTGCCTAATTTGTCAAGTTGACAGAAGGCTGTGATCCAAAGGGCGCAGCGCGCGGGACAGACTGTCCCAACCCATCATAGTGGGTGCTATGGTGGAGCCTTACTTACCGGTCCTTGTCCGACGGACGCCTGGGAGGCCGCCCACCGTGAACATGGCAGAACGCCTGAATGGCCGATTGGACGTGAAATGCGTGTGCAATGTACAGTATGCGCTATCATTGTCAGAAGAGGTTAAACCTCTAATCTGCCTCATCAAGCTGCGATATGAATAGCAACAACCACAGCTGAAGTGGCTGCCTTGTTTCGTTGTGAAGTCGTGGCGTGTTGGATCATGCGGAGACTCCAGAGGAGTCGCGTTGTTATATATCGAGCACGTTTCCTCAGCCTGAGCGAAATGTAACTTGAATCTCTTGAATTCCTTGTAATCCTTCTGATCATTAATAATAATGTGAGACGTCTACTTGTATCTTTTGAGGGCTCGTGGATGTTCGTGTTACCATCCAATCGTCAGAGCACAGTCAACAGCCTCCCGAGGTCGAGAAGCAGAAGCTGTTATGATGCAATGCATCTAAGGGCTGCACAAGACTATGTGAGCGATAGCTTGGGAGTTGCAGTTGAGTTGCAGATTTTGGAGATTGCGAAGTTCGACCGCAAGCGCGATGACACGAGTGCACGTGAAAGGAAAAGCAACCACGAGCACTGGTATAGCTCAGAGTTGCTACCAGGAAACTAATAGACTAACAGTCTTCCATCTCGACGAAGTCGATAGCCTCTAGCACCGACACTTTCTCCATGCCTTGAACAGTGCCAAAGTCACGGGTATCGTAGAGCTGCACAACCCCTCACGAAGTCTCGAAAGGGTATAGCGTAAACCCTTCGAGGGATTGCGTATCCCTTGATCGCTGCGCGGCGCCGTCGCCTGTCACCCCATCACGACCACAGTTGCACTCTTCAACGCATCAAAAGTGCACTTTCATCACTGCTAACACTCAAACCTGACAGAACTGCAGCCGAAGACGCAGCAAAATCGCCAAAATGCTCGACACCTACATCATCAACATAGCCACACCTGCCCGTGACCTGTGGCTCCTCAGGCAGCCGGCCTCCGCAGTCCTCTGCCCGTAGCACGCATCTGCTCAATTCGACTCTGCGCCCTTCCCTCTACTTCTTTTCTTACATGCTTTCCTACTGTTCTGCATAGTAAATCGTCATTGTCGCCGTCTCCTATGCACGCTGTTGCGCTTCTTACACAACTTGTAGCACTGTCAATCACCTCGTCGGTCCCCACGTCCTGTCCTTAGGCATCCAAACACACCTCAGAGCATGTACTCGCTGTTGCTCTTCACAGTAGTTGTTACTGTCCTCCTTCAGCCGGTGGCAGCATCAAGCCCACTTGTGGACTTCAGCATGTCTGACACTCCTATCGACGGGTCCTACGGCGACATCGACGACATACTGTGCGAGCTCTGTTGCCTGCCTTTCTTCCAATGCATTCACGCCATAGTACGACACCTTCTCTTGCTCTTGTAGACCTTGCTGACAGCCTCAGCCACAAGCCCAGTACGTCGCCGCAAGAACGTTCTACAATGACCCCGGTCTCTTCAGCATGCCGCCGCTGCACTTCGAACAGACGCCAGCAGACCTGGCACCGGTATACGAATACGTCAACGCGGGTCATGGGCAGCCGTTAATCAACGACCACATGCGAATCATGGACGGGAACGAGACAACGGTGCAGCCAGCTACCGTGCAAGCGCATGTGGAAGACATCTATACGCCCGGCGATCGGTTATCTGCACGACGCAGCCGCAACCGCAAGCCAGTACAAAAGCGGCAGGCGCCTCGACCCGGTGGGTTTCCTTGCAACACGGAAGGATGCGACAGGGCGTTTGACCGTCAATGTGACCTAAAGTAAGCTTCGCTGTTGAATTTCAGTCAATCGATCACCACCTGACTGCCTCTAGCCGCCACCAAAAGACGCATTCGACAGAGTCACCTCATGTATGCTCGACCTGCAACATGGGTTTCTTGTACCCTAAGGATCTCCGAAGACACCTTCCAACGCACAATGATCCTTCATTAGTGGTTGCCATCAAGCATTATTGTCCTTACCCTGGCTGCGACAACCTCGACGGCTTCTCACGTAAGGATAATCTTTTGAGGCATCAGCGCAAACACCTCAAAAGGTAGTCTGCATGATCTGCACGAGTCATGAACCCTTCCGAATCTTGTTTTCTTTCTAGATCTCTTTCATTTTACTACAAAATAGGTTTCTCATGATCCTGGCGTTCGGCACACATGTTTGATAGCTTCTGCTAATACCCCTTCCCGACTTTCATAGCAAGCGCTGCTCATGATTTTTGCGGCCTGTTGCTTTACGCTTCTCGTCATCCAGCCGTTGTGGATTTGACTCTTGAAAACTCGAATACGAAAATGGTGTTGTCCATGATCAACTCCTATCTCCTTTATAGTTGATGTTTTATAGCACTCACCCAACGCATGTACAATTCCGTCAAGATCGACGTCACAATAAGAATCCATTATACAAGGTTCAACCTGCTCCCATACGTGTCACTGCGAGGCGTCTGATTGCGTGCAACCTCTTTAGATACAGGGTAAATGCTTTATCACTTGAATGAGGGTATAGCACTCAGCTAGATCAACTGCACACACGATCTTTATGGAAACTCAATCTGCTTCAATACGTTTCCCGCCACACTTCGAACGTTCTCTTCGCTGACGAAATGCATATCCGGTAAGTCCTCCCACTCTATGCCCCAGACCAAGAAAGAAGGAAGTGGATACTCAATCTTGCTCCAATCTACATCCTCCCCACCCGTCACCAGACATCCACGAACCCGCACTGGAGCAAGCTCGTTTTTGCTCGGCGACCACGTATGTTGCATCGGAAACTGCTCATAGAGGTCGTATCCATCTAGCCCTCTAGGATTGCCAGCGCGGACCAAATTCAGTTTGCGCATGAAATCTGCCGCATCGCGAAATATACCCAAACGCTCGTTATCTGGCGAGAACGTTGAGGGCGCGATTGGTGGACCGCGCTGGCAGAAAATCGTGATGATGTAGTCTCGAAGGCTTGACTTTACTGGCGTATTCTCGTATACCCACCTCACCGTCTCTATCTTGCAGACGAAGTAGGCAGGTTGCATCAGCGCCATACCCAGCCTCATTACCGTGTTCTGTGTCCTCCAGATGCCGAGTTCTCCAGCTAGGACCCAGAGTTTCATGAGGTCTAACAGGTTCGTATCGGATGCGTACTCAGGAGGCTTACGCTCGTACAGCCACGTGAAGAGCATACGGAATGTAGCTGGTTCAATGTTGGGGAGCGAGATGTTGGAGAGGATGATGCGAGGGAACCCATTGGGCTTAGTAAACAACGGTGATACTTTCGACAGTAGTGAGTGGTGGACATCGAAGCGTGTTGGATTGGTGGTAGGGCCAACGAGGAAGGTTGTGGGTACGCCAACGCCTGGGTAGGCTGCGTAGGGGAAACTGTTAGACATCTGTAACGGTGTGAACCTTTTGATATTGATCCTTGTGGAGTTTTTTACTGTTTGGTGGAAATAGTATTGTATCAAGTGGTGAGATCCAGGAGACAAGATTGAGCAAACGATAAGACATTTTCTGCGAAAGGGGAAAGCAGATTGCGATAACAGTATGGCTCAAGCATGAGCGTTGGATCAAAAGAGCAGTGAATGGTCTTGTGATGACGCGTTTCCCTCGAGAGACAGGAGGCCTACAATATACGTCTCATCGATATCCGGATTCTGTACTGCCGCCAAGCTACAAAATATCCTTGATACTCAAAACGCTTGCATGCTTCAGGAATCGTTCGACCAATCACGAAGATTTCGTCTGGTCCAAGTCGAGCCGCTTCTTGCTCGTGTGGCTTCATTAGATGAGGGATAAGTGCCACACCGCAGAGTTCAGCGGGGCCTTCGTCGTGGATCGCGCCGGTTTCAACTCTGGGTTCTAGCCATCGTAGCATGTGAAGGGGAGGCACGCCGTATAACACACAGACTTTGTTACTGGGTTTGCATCCTGGTGTGGCGATACCGAAGCGACCGCCTGTGGTACTGAAGAATGAATGACCGGCAAGGACGAACAGTTTGTCATAGAACGCTGTCTTCAGTACTTGGCGCTCGACGCTGAGTCCCTCAAAACTGTTATGTCCTAGGTCGGTGAATACAGTCCATGCATCTTCGTGAGCGACAGTTGCGCTTTTAGAAAGTCTAGTAGCGCAAAGCAGAGCCATCAGATACTCCGATGGTATACTATCGATATCAAAACTGGTACGATGAACTGCACGTCTAGCTAGAAGGAGACTGTAGGTGTATACTTCCACGTTCGCAGCGTGGACAGGGTTGCTGATGAAGCGTGTTGATACATCTGGGTCCATAGTGTAGTCGGAACCTCTGTACACTTGAGCATCTTCCACGACCTCTAATATTGTATCTACTGCATAACCGCGGGGTTTTAAGTATGCATCGTCCTCTTCGAGTGAGGTAAGATCGCAGGACACGTATTGACACAGCTGGTCCAAAGCACTAGCTGATCGCGTGTGGTCCGCTTCTTCCATTGCCTCTTCTGAAAGCGATCCATTCATCTGTACGCTTGTTCCCTCGGTTCATCCACCAATTATCACCATAAAGCATTTCAACGTTCCCTCAACGCCCGGACACCAAGAAGGGACTGAATTAGGTTTTCCTTCAATCAGAGGGAGTATCATCAATAGACCTAGCGTTTGTCCTTCGACCATAATGGTCTTCGCGAACAATATGTAAGTTCTCCAGAAGTCCGACCGACCATTGTCGCTATGATCGACCAATGGAGCTAGTTTTGACGTCAAAGCTTCGCTGAACGGTCCGGTGATTGCCCAGACCCCATCGACTGGCTCTTTTGCGTTTCTGCTACGTAGCATGAAAAGAAGGTATGTTGTCCAATAATTTGAGACTAATCCATGTCATACAAGATGCTCACGATATATATTTAGGTCTCTACACGCCTCGGATACTCTGGGCGATGCAAGCAAGATATCTACTTTGCTGAAGGGGAACTTTAGGTATGGTTCTCTTCCGTACCATTAGTCATGAGTGTATACGAGGAACTTGCCGAAGTTTATCCAAAAAATGAATATTACAAGTAGCTATAAAGATTGATGTGTAAAGAATAAAGCAGTGAAAACAAATTAGAAATAATGTTCAGTCCAGTGCGTAATCTAGAAAAGTTAATATTCATCTCTTAGTTCTTGAATTTTCTACCTAATTTAGGTGCAAAGCGGTACTTACAGAGGCGGCAAGTACTCGACAACTACTATATTTGAAGAGCAAGCACTTTTAATACCGGTAAAATGTGAGCTAGTTCCCTGTAGCAAAGACTGAGGAAAGCACGTTGTGCTAGAGAGTTGGACGCAAGACGCTTGCTTTTCCTAAACTAAGAAGACGCGCTTAACCTGCTTATAAGGTGCGCCTTGCCTGAGAGGAAAGGGACAAGAATTATTATCCTTACTACTCACGTTCGTAGTATCGATATACCAGCCATCTCCCACTATCCTTTGTAAAGTGAAGCAAATACTATGCCTACAGTTACGCCATCACATCCCTTTGCGATGCTTTAGTTTCTGTTGTTGCCAGACCAAGTCTTCCTCACAAAGTCCGTTACTTTACCAATTCCAAATGACGATCCCTTTATCCTGACAGACCAGATAAAGAAATAAACCAGGAACCAATTGGATATACTGAAAGCCAAAAAGATGCCAAAGTAAGGCCATTTGTCGCCAGCACGAATGTTGATGGTAGTGAGGTAATCGTCGCCGGTACTGTAAGGACAATACGCGCATTCCATTTCTCTCAAACCCACGGTCGTGTTTGGAAGGAGGTAGCCACCTGTCTGAGCAGCAAAGTTGCCGGCGTAGCTTTCGCAAGAGCTCCCTGGTGGAATATAGAATCGTGCAGATTCAGAGAGAGTGCACTGCACAGGCTGCTGATGAAGGACTGCAGCCATGATGCCGCCGACCCAGTATGTTGACGGTGTGGCCCAGTACAGGAAATACTTCCAAGGCGCCGTCATCTGCTCCCACGGAAGAACTATGCCACTAAAAAGTGCAAAGACTACGAAGAATGTAGGAAGAATCTGTTGTCGTCAATCGGTTTCTGGAAAGCAATCTTCAAGAGGGGCAGACTCACGTTGCTTATGACTGTGTAGCTTGGAGCCCATGCACAGATCCATTGTCCCCAGCTCGCTTGGTAGATATGGAATATGAGTATCATGAGAAATACATACCCAGCAGTGCTGCTATCAGAAGGAAGTCCTGCTGGATAGTACCAAAGCAGAAAGTAAATGGCCGATTGGAGTAGAGCGTATGGCAGCTCTGCCACAATTTGTGCTGTAGTAAACGCTAGCCACCCATATATTCGGGATGGATACTCACGGGCTAACCACAAATCCATGTTGGCATAGAATTTGGGTAAGATAGCATTTACAATGCATGACGGAATAATCGTCAAGATGAAGCAGGAAAAGACCCGGTTCTGCATGTCTGTCAGGCTATTACCGAGCTGCCAGAACGTGAAGCCGTTGAAAATTCCGATGATTGTGGAAATAAACATCTTCCCATAGACGTAGGAAGGATCTCGCCAGTACTGTCGCATTACCCGCTTTGTGAGAAGCAAAATCTGTTGCTTGATCGGTGCAGCGAACTCAACCTTGTCTACTTTTGGTCCGCTGACAGCACTCAACATAGACAAACGATCAATCTCTTCCAAAATAGACGCACGCTCGCTAGACTTGAGCCATTCATCATTCCAGTTCACCGTAGTTCCATCTGAGCAAGTGTTGCCTTTTACTGCTGTTTCCAGAATGAATTCCGCGATATTTGTGGATGGTGGGCACTGAGCTCCACGCTTGGCGAAATAGTCGACAATAGTTTTTCCTTGAGGTCCAATCTCACCAAAGTAGAACGTGTTGCCGCCTGGATTCAAGGCAAGAACCATGTCAAACTGCTCAAATAGCACTGACGATGGCTGATGGATGGTACAAATGACCGCCTGCCCAGCGAGTGTTAATTTCTTCAGGAAGTGAACAATCGAGAATGCAGATTGGCTGTCGACTCCGGAAGTTGGTTCGTCTAGGAAAAGTAGGCTTGGCTTCGCAACTAGCTCAACCCCAATTGTCGTTCTCTTCCGCAAATCAACGCTCAAGCTAGATATGATAGCGTCTTCGGCTGCCTCAAGCTCGAGTAGGTTCAAGACTTCATCGACGTATGCAAGTTTCTCTTCTTTTGGTATTTCGTATGGCTGCCGAAGCCTCGCTGAGAATTCCAGAGCCTCGCGAACTGTCGCTGTTCCGTCGTGTATATCCATCTGCTCACAAAATCCAGTGTTCCTCTTGAACGAAGAGTCGAGTGGGGTTCCATTGACAAGCAAATCTCCTAATACTACTCCAACTTTGTGGCGTTGTGAGAGTATGTTGAGGAGAGTGGTCTTCCCCGCACCAGACGCTCCCATAAGCGCAATCATAATACCCGGTTTCGCGAAACCGGAAACACCATTGAGAAGCTTCTTTTTGTGTTCGCCAAACGGGACTGTATAATCAATGGCTTTCCATGTGAATACTTGCGATGGTTTGGAGAGCTTTTTTGCGATGACATCCGAGCCTGTGTAACATGTTTCATGATGCTGTGCTCCGGATTCTTCGTCAGCTGGCAATGGCTGTGAGTGCCTTTTGGATCGTGGCGTTTTGACAAACTGCAGGCTTCCTGCGCTTGACTCGGGAAATGGGAATAGCTCGGCAAATATTGCGGAAAGTGCAGTGTATGCCACAAGAAAGACGATGATAAGCCCAAAGTTGCGCCACAGATCTGCTCTTTTATATTCGTAGGCGACGTCCAAGTAGCTGTCTCCAGTCACAACCAAGCTATTCGGTTCAGCACCTTGAGTAAGGCATCCCTGGTAAGCTGATTCGATACCAGGGCCTCTCGGTATACGGTCAGCATCAGAACAAGGCATCGTTTTTCCTGAAAATTCGTTCGAGAAGACGCCTTCGAAAGCGTATGCAATTGGACTAATCCAATGCAGCTAATGGTATTAGCAGCCAATCTGTTTGGAAACGTTCAGATGCTTACCCAGCCAAACCATGGAGAATTGGCGAAAAGCTGCCTCTTTGGTATGATGTAGCCAGTGAATATAATCTGTTGCATGAGCTTTGCGATACAAGCGTGGTATTTGAGAGCTTACCATGATGTTGAACCCAACACCACTGTATCGGACGGCATCGTCGATAGTCGGAGATACAGATGCGAACAGTCGATAAAGCGCTGTGGTGCAATATGTGTTGACGAAAACAAACAAGAAGTAGATCCAGAATTTACTGGGATCGACATCGAAACTTGCCAGGAAGTACATTGCCACGGAGAACAAGGATGTCTCGGCCAGCAACACAGGAGCATCTGAAATGGCGCGTGCTAGCGATAGCGCCGAGGGCCGATAAAAAGCATAGTCTTTGTGTCTTTGCGTAATGGTCCTACCGCTGACAGCCTTCATCAGCTCTGGAAGCTGAACCCAGCCAAGAAACAGTACCGAGAAGAAGATACCGCCTCCACGACCAAAAGCACCGGCTGTGTCGTTTGCCAGGCCGAAGAACAACGATCCTACAAGGAATGCGTTGAGCAATATGACCCACGCCTTTGTGTAGATGGCTTCCCAATCGTTGAAGAGTAGCCAGAATTCGCGCTTGGTACAGTTGACGACTTGGCGATAGAAACTGACTGTGTATGGCGATTGCGCGCGCACGAATTTACTTTTGGAGTTCAAAACGTCTTTGTAGAAATCAGTAGCAACATCTTGTTGCGAAGGATCTTCTGCGTGCTCTTGCATGTCCCTCAGAGCCTCTCGATATGTCGAGGAAGAACGGTAAGCTCTTTCGAGTTCTTCAGCAGTACGCGGAACCTTGTGTTCGAACCCCTCCCGAATACGACGGGCAATAGGATCTGTAACAGATGTAAGGAAGTCCGCGGTCGTCATGCGATCGGGGCAGTGAAAGCCTAGATCTTCAAAGTATCTCTTGGCTCCACGAGATGGGCCATGGTACACGCATCTACCAGAGTGGATGAGAAGAACTTTATCAAAGAGTGAATAAATACCTTCGCCAGTCTGATAGAGAGTAGCTAAGGTGCTGCAACCGTTTACATCAGTCAATTTTCGAAGTGACTGGGCAAAATCGAGGGCGGTAGAGCTGTCGAGACCCTTTATTCATCGTATTAGCCATGAAAAGATTGCTAGACATTGTATCTGAACACTGACCCTTGTGCTATTGTCCCAACATATCACGTTGGCTTTGCTCGCCAAAGTTTCGGCAATGGAAACCTGGAACTGTCAGTCGAGGAAGATGTATCGTTAGGGGATGTCTACCGACCCGTTTCCTCTCCCCGCCGCTAACACCTCGCAATGTTGCACCACCAACATATGTGTCCTTAGTATGACTCAACCCGAACATATGTAACAGGGTTGTGGCCACGTCGCTCAGTGTAGTTCGGTCGCTTTTCTTGGTCTTGTTCCACAGTGCAAAAAGTACAGTGCGCCATACTGTCAAGGCAGGAAAATGTACGTCGTCCTCTGGGCAGTAGACAACTTCGCCTCGATATCGTTGTGATTGTTCGCTTGCGGGGATTTTTCCATAGAAAACCTCGCCCTTCACATCTGAATATGATTGACGATTATTCGCAATCGTTTTCAGAAATGTAGTACAGCCAGCATCAGGGATACCAAGAACTAGTAACATTTCTCCAGATCTGACGGTGCCGTTGAAGTCCGAAAGAATGATCCGGGGGGTTTTGGTTCTCAGAAGGCCAGGTAGCAAGGGAGACATCGTCCGAGCCAGATCAGGACCAAATGTACCCAGCACTGCATCGGGAAAGGTTTTGACAAAGCTACGTCCGGAGCCAGATCCTTCTACTGTGAGATTCCTCCTGAAGGAGAAGTGAACTAATTAAAAAAGTCCTGCTGCTGATTCAGAAAGGGCCACTTACCAAATTACGCCCAGCCGCTTGGCGGACTCGCGCCCGTTCTTTTTGTAAAGTCCACCTCTTTCCGAACAATGGTAAGAGTTGAGCGTTTCGTCGCTCGAAGGCTCACCGCCTTCCTTGTCGTTGTGAAAATCTGGAGGCGCTTCACTAACTCCAGAGTCTAACCCCATGTTTGCCGTTTGGGTTTCTTCCGCATCGGGCATACTGTACTCGGCCCAAGTGTCAACGATTCCTGACGGTGATTCTTGATCCGAATCTTGAAGATTCCGCTGTTCGGTTGAATGAGCTGATACAGCCATAGTAGGTTACGGTATAGGAAAAGAGTATGTGAATGTCTTGTAAAGTGACAAGAAGCGAGGTGTCGGGATGGCAATCTCCTCAGCGGTGCTGGATGCATTTTATATCAAGTTCGAAAAACACTCTATTACCGAAATCGTCTTCTGGAATGAAGTCCCTCTATGCCGATCTCCTTACTCTGACACGCTAACACATTATTCAGCAATGAGCAAGACTGACTTGAGTCTGGAAAGGAAGATTGAGTAAGCACATTCTGTCCAGCAGTTATCATCCGAAAATTCGCCGCGGGAATTGTGTCAAGGGCATAAGATATGAACATGATTACTCGCTTAGAGAGAAAAATTGTCCACAGTTGGAGCTATCTTCCAAATTCTGCGCATATGTGCATCTTCGTTTCTTCTTACAGACCTTGCCTCAAACCGGCATTCATATCGAAATCGGCTCACATACCACTGCTCACGGCTTCGAACGGTGCAATATTTACAGTTCTAGAGTGTTGATAGAATTTCTGATTTGCTGGATAAGGGTTTGACAGACTCGCCCCTCACACTCAGTGGCCCGTACCGTAGCAGAACGTTTACCGAAAAGTCTTGCCTGTTCTTCATACATGTATGGATCTTCGTGCCACGCTGTTTGTCGTTTCTCAAATTGATTGAGAACCCCAAAGATAGTTGTATTGCCTAAATCGGATGATTGGCCAAGTAACACATCTCTTATGTGGCGACGGAAGAAGATACGGAATTGATGTTCACTTGTGCTTGAGTAATCTTCCAAAGATATTCCCAGGCATTTCCATTGAGTTGACTGACCCCGCGAAAGAGCATTGGCATCGACGCCAGTCAGGAGCGAGTGAACAGCGCTAACAATAGTCGTTAAGAGAGTAGCGAGTTGGTAGAGATTCTGAGCTGCTGTCAGGACTGTGGTGGGGCAAATCGGACATCGCAATATCTGAACCGCCGATTCCAACGCCGCGTGAAGATCAGCAAGAGTCGATGAGATGCTTCCTCCTTGTGGAAGCTGGAAACGTGACATTGTCAAATAAGCTAAACAGAGACAGCCACATATTGGACTAGGCCGATGTATTGATTCAACGGGCGTCGAAGTGGAAGGGCTGATTGCTAGGGTGTTGTTAGGTCATGTACTCTATGGCGAAAGCTGAGCAGGAAACTGGGTGACCTAACCTGGACAAGCCTGCGTAGCACTTCCCACACTCGCGATAGATTCCAGAGGCGAATTAGGTCGCAACATGTCGATGTCGTTCAAGGTCGTGTCAGCGACTGGCGGGACATTCGGAATATCGATCAGTGAAAGAGCAAGCTCTCGCCCGGCCCTGGGCCGTTTTCGAGGCCTGCCTTTGGGTTTTTGTTGTGAGAATGTACAGTTCGACCCGTCATTCTTGCAGTGTTCACATGGCGTCTCGCCTGTGCATTTAACTTTGCGAGTGCCTGGGCTTGTTAGACCATCAGTAGCTGTAGTACGGGAGACTGAATCTCACGGCATTGATCACAGGCCGCATGCTTCTTGGACAAGATCATTGTGCTCGAAATTTCTGCGAAGTTCACTGTTCAGCAGGCTGGCTCTTTGACGTGACGTGCAGCAGTGTGGTTTGATTCTTAGCATTCTAAGCGCTTTATCCGCAGACTTTTCGGGGTCTTTTGCTGGAAAGGCAAATAAATTCTCCTATTGGTCAAAGCCTCACCCCGACCAAATTTCCCCGCAACGACATAATTCCTTTTCTCCCATTTCATTACCACATATGATACACTTGCACGGCGCCTGATCTTCATGACTAAGGAGGAGATCTACCGCAAGCTCTGGTATCGACCCCAGTAATCTGACAAACTTGACGCATTGAGCGAGACCTGCGGCATTTTTCATGCACGCTCGCATAGCCAGGTCACGCATTGGCCTGTTTGAATGAGGTGTGCTGCTATAAATGATTGTTATAGCATCCGAAAAACGATCTGCATCCCAATCGGACGCTATTGAGTGTTCCATCTTCCGTAACGCAACGGCTCGAAGCCCTGGCATGTCGTACTTATCTGCCGCTGCATACATTCGTGCATTCAGCGGCATCGAAAAGGTGACACCTGCAGACTTGTCGTCATACTCATCAGTGTATGCGAAGTATAGCAGTGCTTCAACTGTCTTTGCTTCTTCGTCTTTGAGGTTGATACAACGCGATTGAGCCTCCTAAACTCTAATGTGTGAGTGAAAGTTCGAAGCTTAACTAAGGGGTAAATCACCTCCCATTGACCACTGCACGCATTGGAAAACCATTTTGATTGACTGGCTAGCACGATGCGGTGTACACGAAACTCATCAGTGCAACTCTGCACTGTCAGGTCGGAGAACACGTCGTTGTTGAAGTATCTGCATATTGCTCTGTTAGTCCCTGAGATTGATATACATAGTTCACTGACTTTGCAAATCCTTCCTTCATGGTATATCCCATATCTTGATATATGGAGCTAGGCAGTGGTCAACCCACCGACTTATAACGCAGCATATACTCGATCAGAGCTGTGCAAATGTCCCGAAAAGTGCCCGATATATCGTAAGGCAAAGAAATATACTGCAGACTAAAACTCGGTGATTTATAATCTGGTCTTCTGCCAATATATCTGTTTGCTCATGCGCTTCGCTTTCAACCCTGTCCTTCATTATTGTAACGATCGAACAACGCTCACATAATGCCTCTCTCCTCCGTCCTAGATGTTCTGATCATTGGTTCTGGGCCTGCCGGTCTTGGTGCCGCACTTGCGCTTGGTCGGGTCTTTCGAAGTGCGGCAGTTTTCGACTCTAAGTACTTCAGAAACTCCGCAAGTAGCCATGCGCACACTGTACCTACACGAGACCACGAAGATCCCGCTCAGATACGCCAGCTGATGCGTCAAGAAGTTATGGGGCGATATAAGACCATCACTTTCACAGACAGTTCAGCAGTCTCCGTTGAGGAACTGGACGGATGTTTTCAGGTTGTAGACAATGGCGGGAGAAAATGGAACGGACGAAAAGTCGTATTAGCGACGGGGGTTATAGACGTGTTGCCAGAGATCGACGGATTCAGGCAAGCTTGGGGTAAACAAATGTAGGTGGTTTTTCGTGTGGAATTCTCTTCGACACTGCTGACTCATGTACTTGCAGTCTCCATTGTCTATATTGCCGGGGCTTTGAAGAATCGCAACCTACTTCTGCCACCTCGAAGATAGGTTTCCTACTTCCTCGGGACATATCTGCTTCAGACATCTCCAACACGTTGTTCTACGGACAACTCGCATACCAATTTACAGGGGATATGACGATCTTGCTCAATGGGAATACAAACACGGCTACAACAACAGCATTAGCACCTGCTCTATCCCGTGGCATGAAGCCGATCGGTAAAGAAATCAGGGAGATTTTGACAACGTCTTCTTCTTCTACCGCAACCGTTGTTTTTATGGACGGTACCTCGGAATCGTTTTCCTGGCTTTTCTACAAGCCGGCGGTCATCCTTGCCGGCGAATTTTACAAGGCTCTAGACTTGAAAATCACAAGCCAAGGCGAAATTGAAGTGTCGCAATGGCAGGAAACATCTAAACATGGAATCTTTGCAGCTGGTGATTGCGCGAATATGTTCAAGCAGATCGCAGTTGCTTCGGCGGATGGTATCAAAGCAGGAATGGGAGCGAACAAGCAAATTTTGGAGGAGGATAGGATCAAATATCTGTAAGAGGACTGACATTTCAGACAGAGATGAATATGCACAGTTATTGAGTCCATAGGACAGACCACCCGTTCTCAAGTATGTGCAACATGCCATGCAGGATATCCACATCGCTGACAAGGAGATCTGGTAGATGATCGCTATGATTATTTGAGATTGATGTAAACCGTGCAAACGCGTATCAGTCATGCAATACTCAGATAGCAGTAAAGTACCACGCGTGTAGGCGTAGTTTGCAACCGTGATCTTGGATTTTCGGCCTAGCTGTTGCGCGAAAGTTGCAATACACTTTCTTTATTCAAGCATTTCCACGAATATATTTCTCGCCGGCGCATCTACGCAGATCTATGGCCAGTTCTTGTTCGGCGGCCCTTGCAGCTTGAAGTAGCCAGGTTGCAGCTTCTGGAACACCTCTGTGGGATCATACTTGCGCGCGATTCGCCTCAGCTTGTCTGCACTTTCACCATAGCTTCCAACGACATCTTGGAACTGACTAGCGTAATTCATGTAGATGTAGTCCTTCACCAAGTTCCTGCGCTTTGCCTCTGCCTCCATCTTTTTGACGATGTTGGCGTTCGCCTTCAAAACACGCGCGTCATCTTCAGCCTTATCCCAGCGACTACTCAGGTTAATGATAAGGATCGGTCCGTCAGAAGGTGAAAGTCCCAGTGCGTTCCCACCTTTCTTTTGCATCTGCTCGAGCTGCGGAACGGTGATGATCTGGAAGGTGTTTGCAGGTAAGATACCAGCGACATCTCGAATGTTCGCGAATTCCTCATAAGTGGCATCGAACATAAACTGAACCAACTCTCGATCAAGCTTAGACGAAGAAGTCCAAAATGACTCGCGATAGCCTTTGGGGTTGCTATTGTTCAACTGTTGCGTAAAGTAGGCCAGGGTGTTCAACTCCGTAGTGTCTTGGAAGGCTTGTACGTTGAAATATTCTTCAAAGACTGGGGGTTTAGCGACTGGATCTGCATACTCCAACTCGGCAATCGCGATTTGGGTGTTCGTAGCGGCATCCAGAATGATGGCCAGGAATTGTGCAGCTTTTGGGTACTTTGCTATGCTGGTCCCCAGGTTTACAAAGGCGTCGATCGCAGCAGGGAAACTAGAGCTGAGGAACCTTCTTTGTCCGCCGAACATCAGCGGACCGTGGGCGAACGTTTCGAGGTTGAACTTCGTAACGAGGGCGAGATTGTTCCCTCCGCCTCTCAACGCCCAGTACAGGTCTGGATACGACTTTTGACTGACTTCTATGATGCATCCTGAGGCAGTAACGACTTCATAAGATGCGACGTTATCGCAAGCCCAGCCATATTCGTTCGAGAAGAACGAAATCCCGCCACCCGTTGTAAGACCTCCAATTCCGACGCCAGAGACGCGGCCGCCTACCACTGCTAGGTTGTCTTTGGCTAGGGTTGTGTAAATGTCGTACCAGAGGTTGCCGGGTCCAATAGAAGCAACTTTCTTGTCTTTTGACAAAGTAATTTGCTTCATGCGCTCGAACAGAACTGTAATACCACCATCAATGTTTGATGCGCCTGCAAAGGCTGCATGCCCTCCACTTCTCACTGCAAAAGGACATTGAGTAAGACGAGATAGCAGCACCATGGTAGATACATCGAGCGCTTCCTCAGGCTTGAACACGCAGTACGGTTGGGCAACCTTCTGCTGAGCTGACCAGAAATAATCGATGGCTATGGTATAGGCAGTCTCCTCTCGGGTCTCGACCTTTGCATCACCAAAGATGCGTTTGAGAGAGCTGCACTAATGTGAGAATTAGCATCGGCTTTTTCCAGGAATATTACACAATCGTCGGATGTGTCTTACTGCGATCGAGCATCCTCCGCTCGAGCTAGTCCGCTTGGAAAGACCTGCTAGGCTTGGAATAGTGGAGATGTCTACACCATTCTGCAACAGTGCCGCAGTAATGTCGAAGTCGGGTGGTTCGAATGCATTTTGTGCGAGTAATCCTATAGGAAAGAAGCCCAGGGAGATAATCTTGCAGAGGCGCATCATAGCTGGCTCTTAGTTGCGAACTGAATCAGTGTATTACGACAAGCAACGATACCATAGTAGAAGTCAAGCATGTCTGTCTTATAGAAGTCGAGGCATCTATGCTGTATGTAGGATAGTTTTCTGATTGGCCAGTCTGACGCTGCCGGGCACAACTCCGAGTAGTGGCAAGCTGTGGTACACATAGAGCCTTCGCACTATCGCTATGGCTTGCTTAGGGGATAATCTGCAGCTGAAGAAGTTATACCCAAGGAGCTAATCTGGTAATGTACGATAGTAGTGGTAGTGACTGTGGTATCTAGAGCGAGTAGAATAGATGTGCGACCACACTTAGTTTGCACCTCAGGGCTGGAACTCACTCGACAAAGCGTGGTCGATCGTTTTGTGACTAGGTCTAGATCGCTCGTGAAGTTTATTAGGCCGCTTCCAGCGCCCAGGTACCATATTCGGGCTCGTAGATTACCCTTCAGCTGCAGACTTACTCCGTAGCGCATTATAGGTCGTACCGGAAAAGGGTACCCATAACGCCGGTCACGGGTATATCCATCTCATGTAATCTCCGAATTGCAAATTTATCGTGAAAAACTGATGGAGTTTAGACAGCCCCTCGACACTTTGACGATAAGGCTGTTTGTCGTGGCTCACGGCTTTATGGTGAGGGGAAACGGCCCGCAGCGCATACGAGAACCAGAAAAATGGGTCGACACTAATATTTAAGAAGCAAGGTCGGCCCCACTGCGTATTATACCTGGCTCATTGTCTTCCGACGATTATTCTGTTCTCCGCTTGTAGATACCTAGGTTCATGTTGTGCTGAAGAGTATGCTCGTACGGAATAAAGCCACGCAGTAGTACAAGCTACGGGCGCTTACTCTTCTTCGTTAGTATGAATGATGTGGAAGATAACCCCGCAACTTGACCAGAAACGTACTCAACTCCCTATGTAACGATGCAACTCTTCAGTCTTTGGAACAGTATGGATTTGGCCGCTCTGAAAGTATCATAGGTTCTGTGTATCGCCAGGAGCGGATAGAGAATGTAAAGCTAGACTTCCAGCGCAAGGCTCTTGGAATGCACAAATGGAGTCGGATCTTGTACGTGCCGTATTCAACGTACCTCTCTTGACGATGCTGACTGGGTAGAGTAAGCGCGGACGCGAGGGAGATGTAAGATGTTGCCTTCTTGGCTGTCAGACGAAGCATGCCTACCGTACGCAAAGCTTACGTTGTGTACAAAACCCACAAGATCTAGCATCTCTCCTCAGTATTCTTCAGCAGTTACGCCCACCTCCAGATATCCCGTCCCTTACCGTCGATTACACTTCACAATCCAGACGATATGAATATTGATTCATCAACATGGAAGGAGTATAGTAGGGAAGATGCAGAGTTTGAAGCTGTACGTGTTTGTAGTACAACCATCGATGCCGTCGCTAATTGAAGAAGCTACGACCCCATCTTCCACCACCCAAATCCTTCGCAGATTACTCATCCGCCGCTGAGCTCCGTCAGTCATTCAATGAGCAAATTGGCCAGATGATTGCGGCCGGCATCGTGACTTTTCCCGACTGGACTGGTTACCATAGATCTGAAATCCAGATTCCTACGCGCGATGGGTCTTCAGTGCGATCCCTCGTGATTCATCCTGAGGCAAAGGAACCAGGGCCGTTGTACGTGTACTTCGCAGGTGGGGGGTGGACTTTTGGAATGCCAGAATTCGGCGAGGGAATGGCAGAGATGTTGGTGAAGGAACTAGGATTCACGGTTGTGAGCGTAGGATATAGGAACGCACCAGAGCATGTCTTTCCTACCGCGGCGCATGACGCTATTGATGCAGTCAAATGGGTGAGTGCTTTCTTGTTCACCTCCACGGTACTGTGAGATTAACCGGACTCTCCAGTGTGCCGAGAACGCGAAGTCGTTGAGTGCGGATCCTTCCCAAGGTTTCATCCTAGGAGGGACTTCAGCTGGAGCCAACCTAGCAGCTGTATCAGCCCACCAGGTTGTCGACGACAAGTTAACCCCGAAGATCACTGGAGTAGTCCTCATGTCTGTTTCGGTATGCCATCCCGAGGCCATGCCAGAGGAGTACAGACAGCACATATCAAGCTGGGAAGACCATAAAGATGGTCTAGTACTGGACCGACGAGGCATAGAATGGTTCTTCGACAATTACAAACCAGACCCTAAGTCACCGCTCGCGAGCCCACTAATCTGGAAGACTCATGAAGGTCAACCTCGTACGTATCTGCAGGTGATGGGGTAGGTAAAGCTGTAGACGCCCGTTGATGTGTGCTAACGGGTGACAGGACTGACCCCCTGCGTGACGAAGCACTGGTATACGAGAAGGTTCTCCGAGACATTGGGACACCAACGAAGGTCGACGTGTATGCTGGATATCCGCATGGTGCACCCGACTTCTTTCCCATGCTTAGTGTGGCGAAGAGGGCGTTGGCTGATTTGAAGGAGGGTATGGGTTGGATTTTGCAGCAGGGCTCGGCGTGAGGGTAGAAGTCGTGACACATGATGTTTCCCAATGGAATACTTGACAGTTTGTCGAAATAATGTCTCGTGCCATGTGAAGAGGACGCCAGCCCTAGGAGCCGTTGAGCTAGGGGCTCGCTTAGGCGCGGGACCCTGTTTCGTCGTGGCTCTGATGGTGGACGCGACATAGCTTCGTCATAGCGCGCCTTTCTTCTTGCACCTTCAACCCATCCGATAAGAGACAGGCACCGAGACACGACGGGCTACGTCCTGCATCGCGGGCATACCGTGCCAAGATGCAGAATTCACCGCGGTCCAGCCCCGCCGCCAGGCCCGGCACTCCGCGAGGGGCGCGACAAACAAACAACGACGCGAATCCCCTTTCACACCCCCTCAAACGCCTGTCCCTGCATTCGGCGTCGAATACCCCACTACCGCAGTCTCCCGCTCTGAATTCACCTCGAAGTTCAGCTGACCTCCGCCGGACGCCTTCGACGCCCAACTTCAAAGCGAATGCCGTCCAACGCAGCCCAAGTGTAGCAAGTTTCCGCTCTTCGACACCCGCCTTGGGACGCAAGTCGTCGACCTCTTCCCTCCGCGGCGACCCTCCTCGGCCAGGCACTTCTGCATCCCGCCGCTCGTCCTTCAACCCAAACATGCAGGCGCCCATGCCCAAGAGCCCGCTAGGCCCCACGTATGTAGAAGAGAAGCCACCCCTGCGCGCATGTGATGTCGCCGAAGAGTACTTTCAGAAGGACATGGCGCGACATGAAGGCATGGCAGGCGCAGTCAATGCGGGCACTATCGTCATTGTACACGACCAATGCTACGGCCATCGCTTTTCGCGGCCCAAGACACCCAAGAGCCACCTCAGCTTAATCATGGAGCGACCAGAGAGGATACTGGCAAGCGTTTTGGGTATCTCAGCAGCCTACGTGCGACTGGGTGAGCGCCACGCCGAGGGGGACAATCCACCGCATCCGCATCACAATCCGCCCGAGCGTATCCCATTCAAGATCCGCAAGACTTCCCGAGCAGTCGACATCACCTCCCAGGTCGTCACCAACGTACACGGAACCAAGTGGATGGGCGAGCTCAAGTCATTGTGCGACAACGCAGAGCGGAAGCTGGCGTCGACAGGGAAAGAGCTGGTCAGGGACACCCCTGCAATGCCGGGACAACCGCCCAAGCAACAACTACATGCTGGGGATCTATACCTCTGCCCCGAATCGCTCAACGCCTTCCAGGGCGCTCTTGGAGGTGTTCTGGATGCCGTGGATGCTGTCTTCCAGGGGACCAGCCTTGGTAGCGGCCCCTCGCGAGCTTTCGTCTGTATCCGCCCACCTGGTCATCACTGCTCCGACGACTTTCCCTCCGGATTCTGCTGGCTGAATAACGTTCACGTTGGTATCGAACACGCCATGATGACATACGGCCTCACGCACGCAGCCATCATTGACTTTGATCTGCATCACGGAGATGGCTCGCAAGCTATAACATGGGCGCGTAACAAAAAGGTTCAGAACATGCCCAAGAATACACCCAACTGGAAAAAGACCTCAATCGGCTACTTCAGTCTACACGACATCAACTCGTACCCTTGCGAAGACGGTGATGACGACAAAGTTCAGGCCGCTAGTCTGTGTATCGACAACGCACACGGCCAGTCCATCTGGAACGTGCATCTGCAATCTTGGAAGACACCGGAGCAGTTTTGGGAAATCTACGAAGAGAAGTACCTGATACTGCTCGAGAAAACTCGCCAGTATCTCAAACATCACACCAACCGCCTCCAGGCATCACCAAATCACCCTGCGCCCAAAGCAGCCATCTTCTTATCTGCTGGCTTTGACGCGAGCGAGTGGGAAACTGCCGGCATGCAACGGCACAGTGTCAACGTACCTACCGAATTTTACGCTCGGTTCACCCGCGATGTGGTACGCTTGGCCGAAGAGGAGGGTACGTCTGTGGAGGGTCGTGTCATCTCTGTCCTAGAAGGCGGTTACAGTGACCGAGCACTTACCAGTGGTGTGTTCAGTCATTTGAGCGGTCTTGTGGATGGTCAAGTCTGGAAGGAGTCAGAACCATCAAAGGGCCTCACCTCCTCCATGCGAAACAGACTGAGTGGGCTTGGTATCCAGGATGAAGACGCTCGCATGCAGTCTGTCGAGCCAGAACTTACACCCGTCAGTTACGATCCTCTGTGGTGGCAGGCAACTCATCTGTCTGAGCTGGAGGGTCTCGTTCCTCCACCGCCTGTAACTGCCTCAAAGGTGACCCGCGCTGAGCGCCTGGCCCATTTCTCTTCACCCACACAGTCCTACGTCGCCAAAGTCGTGGATCCAACAAAGATCAATCGTAGCCTTTCCGCCAAATACGCTTCCAATCCATTGAGAGCGCCCACGCCACCGCCGCCAGAAGTTGATTGGGCTACGGCTGCACATGCTTTAAGTAGTTTGCTAATACCGTCTGATCGCCAAACCCGCAGTTTCAGGCCAGAAGATCTAGCAGAAGTAAAAGCGAAGAAAGAGAAGCCCCCTGCGCCTGCCCCAGCAGCGGTTCGTGTCGAAAAGTCGGGACGTCAATTACGTGGCCGTAAAGCTGCTCCATCTTACGCTGAGCCTGGATCCGACGACGAAAAGATATCTCGTCAGGAGTCACGAGCCAGTAGGCGCCAAACGATCGCCGACTTTGCACCAGCCAGTTCAGAAGCTTCAGCGCCGACACACTCTGCTTCCCGTCGCATGAGTATCGCTTCCAGCGTCTCATCACTAGGAGACAACAGAAATGTTCGTGCGCCAAGTGTAGCGGCGAGCCGAAGAAGCGTTGCACCTTCTGTAGCTTCAACCAATGGAGTGGCTATGAAGAAGGCAAGAGGATCAACAACAACGACTGCTGCGGCAGCTCGCGCCCCTCAGCGTCCGGCAGTAGCAAGAGCACCTTCCAGCTATTCTGTCAAGGCGGGTGCGATTAAGGGAAAGGAGAACGACGGCGTCGATGCACTCACTTCAGGCTTGAAGCGCATCACGTTGAGAATGCCCTCGAAGGAGGAGCATGAAGCACGAGAGAAGGAGAAGGCTGAGAAGCAAAAGGCCGCTGAAGCACCAAAGAAGACTACTGCACGGAAACCACCAGCTGCTCGCGCTCCTCCCACTAAACCGACGACTAAACCTGCAGCAACTGCTAAGAGGGGACCTGGTCGGCCAGCAAAATCGTCGAAACCTGCATCGCCTATCCCCGATACCCCACAGTTGCAAGTTGCTGCTGCTGCACCTCTCGAACAACCCCAGCCAATACAGACAGACTCGTCTAATGTCCTACCACAGCCTACCGCGCCACAGCCTTTCCAGGATGCACAAAATCCGATGGAGCCCCCAGCTGTAGATCGACGTATTTCTGGTGGAATCGTGCAGCCACCCACTGAACTGCATGATATGGCTATAACACCGGAACAGATCCGTGAACAACTCCCTATGCCGTCCTTCGTCACTGTAACGGAGCCACTCTCGGATGTCTCACCACCTTCTCGTGCCGATACGCCTCCTCCCCCACCACCGTCGAATATTTCACAGTTCGTCAATTACACTGCGCAGAGCTTCGGTGGAAACCCAGACTTTGTAACCTCACCACCGGACACGTCAAGCCCACAGGCATCCGCGACTTTACAATGGGTTGCCAATACACACGCTGAGGACACGACCATGCCTGGCGTTCCGCTCATGTCACCGCCAAGCAAGAGGGCTGATCTACCTGTATTCACAGCAAACGGTGCGATACCGTTCGCATCAGGCTCGAATGAGTTGGACAACGCGTCTAGGCCTGAGTACTCTGGTGTAGATATCAAGAACGAGGAGAAGGTCAGGGACATGTGGGAGGTACCTGATACGCCCGCTCGCTAGAGCAGGTCAACATTACAGCTCGTGCAAGTGGGTTCCTCTTGACTTTGTTAACTTCTTGTTATGCACATCGCATTGCAATATCGTGATTGCATCCTTCAGTGCTTATTACCGGCTTACGCAAGGCAAACTATGCCTGATGTTACCCGAATTGGTGTTCATTGGTGGACCTTGTCTTCATTTCAGCGAATCGGCGCACTAGCCGCGAATAGTTGGAGCTCTCTTTGTAGGATTTTAGTGTAGAAAGATCGTCGATTGTAGACTTACCTAGGATATGCGCACGTAGAAGATAGATACCCCCCCAAGAAGAGAGTGTGTAAGAGCAATGCCATAATTCTCTTCTCATAACGTCTCTCAATGGCATGACTACTCGAGCGACAGTTTGATGATCCATCGAGGCATCGCAGCTGAACCGACACCTGCGGGATTGAAGTCCAACACAACGCAAAGTACCAATACACCCCTCCTGTCACTTGAACCCTATCCACAGTGAAAAACCCTGCCTAAGCGCCCGTCCCAATGCCGTACCGTGCGCCGCCATTACTGCAGTCCCCGCAAGCCGCAGCCAGCGTGCAGTATCTCAGTATCGGTGTGGCATAGGCGGGAACCAATGACCAGTGCGTATTCTCTATCATGGGACTAGGTTTCGGTGCGGGGCACCTGGGCAAACCAACGCGCGACATGCGCATCATGCATGTCCAGGGTCTTAGCTTACGGGTGACGTACTTTCGGGTCCCGGCCTTGATTGACATGTTTAGTTGGCTGCCTTGGGGAGTACGTGTAGGAGGGTGAAACATGGGCTGGGCGAGTACTTAGGTGGCTGATCTGACAGACGAGCTATCTTTTCGTCGGGTCAGTTCTGAGTTCTTCTTTTTCTCTTCTTGTGTACCTTTGACAGACAGGAAGCTTGGACAGCTGCGTGGATCACTAGTCAAGGCAAATACAGTGGGCGCAAACGTGCAAGTACCTGATTGAGCGGACCCCTCTACCTGACTCCACGCTTGCTCAGGTCGTACCACCTGGTTCTTCTTCCTCCTTCGTCTGCTTCGCCCCTCATAACGAAAGTACCAACGTCAATATCCATCGCAACCTCAATAAATCTCGCACACATAGCCCATCAAACCTCACCAAGATGGCAGACAGCGCCCCCGCCAACGACTCGAACGGCAATGGCAGCAGCCTCAACCCTTTCGCCAAAAAGGACTCTCACTCTGACCAATCCATCCTCCTCTACAAGATCACCACAACCATCTCCTGGCTCCTACTCGTAGTCTCAGCCATCTACACCACCTTCGCCTCGCCCAACGGTCCAAACTCGCACAAGTTCTGGCACAACAACCCCTCCACGCCCTTTGCGCAGTCCAGCATCTTCACATCCATCTACGTATTGATCATCTTCATTTTGCAGTTTGGCTACGCGTACGCGCTGTACATGAGCGATACCACCTACGTCACTTCAGCCGCCAACCTCGGTAGCCATTTTATTGCCAACAACTTGCTTTTGTTCGGCTTTGTGTTTCTCTTCACGCACACGCACTACTGGCTCGCACTGTTCTTGCTCGTGCTCAACTTTGGTAATCTCACTATGGCGTATTTCCGCCACAGCACTGCGCCAAGGGCTATCCATATCGGTACTGTTAGTGGACCGTTGGCTTGGAACTTTGTCGCGCTCTACTGGGTTGGTGCGATCGCGGTTCATTCGAATCATTTTGCGGCGAGAATCGTGGCAAATGTGTTTATTTGGGGATGGCTGGGCTACGGCATGTTCTTCTTGGTGGCGTACAAGGACTACACCATGGGATTTGCGCTAAGTGTGCTGTGTTTCTGTAAGTTTCGCCTTTTTACTTGTTCTATAGAAGGAATATTTGCTAATCTCGCTTCTAGCAACCGGCGTTGGACAGTTCCTTACCCGCCCGCACCTCTTCCAGCTTCAGTGGATCTTTGCTTTCACAATTGGTGGTCTGCTCTTCTTGCTTTCGCTTGCTGTCGGCATGCCCGGCTTGCTTGGACGCGATCCTTTCCCTCGTGGCCAGATCGTCAGCGAGGATAGGGAGAGGGCACCCTTGTTGGCTGATGACTAGTTGGTGGTGTGAAAGTATGAAGTGTAGCATTGTGTTTAAGCTATGCTTATGCCAAGGTACATGAGATGGTGGTAAGGACCACCTATATGGATGAAAGCCTGCCAAGGCTAGTCGCATCATAGGTGGTGGTGGTGAAAAAGGCACAGCGATTGTACTCGAGTGCTAGTTCGCTTGGGGATGAAGGGACGAATGTGTGGTTGAACAACTGCGAAGTGCCAATTCTCGAAGTTGAGGGTCCGTGACATACTGGTTCGACGCATACAGCATAAGTTCTCATGTCGGGATGTTTATACAATGTTGGACCTAAATTACCCATAGCCTGCTCAAAGTCATTGAGAAACACTACTGTTTGATCAACGTACACGGCTCATTTTGATGATTTCGTATGTGACAACCACCTCGACATGTTCATTATACTATCCACAGCCATGTATATACCACCCGCTCTAAAGTAGCAGATCCTGGTTTCCATCATTTGGACCGGGACTCATGACCATATGTTGCGGCTCATTCTGGTTTACTACCCATCCACCTCCTGCGCCACTGCTTTGATCGGCAACAGGGCTGCCACCAAAGGTACTCTGCCTTCCTACGCTGGCAAAGTACATGTCCGCATCGCTGACAGCAGTCGCCATGCCGTTTGCGCTTGTTGGTGAAAGGTGGCCATTACCATTCGTAGTAGTGTCAAGCTTTGTGCGTTCTGCTGCGGAGCGGTCCCGAGCTTGTTGTGCTGCCTTGACGGTAGGTAACTCATGCTTTTGCAATGCGGGCGAGTCTTGCAGTCTACGTGGACGAGCGCTACGGAAAACTTGGTTGACTGGCTTGAGGTACACTGTAGCTAGCGTGCCGACGTTCAAGCACATCTCCTCAAGGGTGCCAGGATCAAGCTTCTCAGACTCTTCAGCTGTAATCGGAGGTTTCTCGCCCATGACGACCTGCTTTGCTTGCTCAGGTGCTGACGAAAGGAGACGCCAGTACATGTAGCCTCGATCGCGTAAGTCAGGGTTGTCTGTCTCTTCAGTCGCCCATTTTAGTACTTTTGGTACCAGACTGGAGCCACGAGTGGGTCGCTGAATAAACAGCTTGACAGTGGCAGTGAGCAGTGCCAGTTGCACCTCATGTGTCTCTTCTTGGAAAGTGTCTAGAAAGTCTTCAAGAAGAACGTCCGAGTCTTCTATTCGGTCTGCGTATTGCCCAATGACCCAGATCATAGCCGCCTTGGCTTCTGGTTCGTCAAGCGAATCGAGGTTTTCGCACAATGTCGAGATGATCGACTCGTATTGATTGGGGTATTTTCGGAAGATGTTTCGAATCACAACTGTCGCTTCTTGTACGATGTAGGACACCTTGGTGCTGACGAGCTGTAGGAGAGTGCTGATACAAAGTTGTGCTGCAGGTGCGATCTTGATGGCAAGTTTGCCAATGGCTCGTACGGACTTGCGCACAAAGTCGACATCGATTTCAGTAGCGTACCTAGGGCTGGTGTTAGTAGCTCACATGTAGGATGGCTGGAAGAGACTCACTCAGAAAGCTCAGTCAGCACCTCTTTGATATTCCTCTCAGTTGCCAGCATGAAGATGAGCTCAAGCTTGGTGACTTTGACATAGATAGGGTCGTTGTATTTGCAGAAGAAGACTCGGATATCGTTTCTTAGTACCTCTGGTCGGCGTTGTAAGATCAGAAGTGCATTACGAAGGGCTAGATATTGGATCTCGGGTCCTTTGGAGAGAAGCGTGACGAGCGGCGGTGATAGCTTGTTGCATAACGAAGTGACGACTTTCGGATCGTTGATGTAGTTCATTAGGTAGAGTATAACGCGAATGCAGGTAAGAACGACGGCAGAATTTGAATGTGAAAGGCGTGGTGAAATGCGCTCGGCAAGCAGGGCAGCTTCGCTGGTATCTTGTGGAACATAGTTCATCATGGCTTCCAGGATGTACGTCTGACCCCACTCTGAGCAGTCTGGGAGAATCTGAACAATCTTGGATGCGCTTGCGTAGTCGATGGTGAGCTTGATGTTCTCACTTCTCTCCCAGATGTCCATGAGACCTGCCAATGCGCTTGAGACTACTGTGGGGTTCTCGTCTCTCAACATGCCATTCAACCTGTCGATTAGATCTGATTGTTCCACCAGATGTCGGTCGTGGTCGTAGAGCTTGGCTACGCAGAAAGCGGCGGTCTTCCGGACGTATGGGTCAGAGTCCTTCAGGAGGTTCTTCAGGTGTGGCACAGTGGCTTCGACAAATTCCCGGACGTGAACGTAGGACATGGTGCGCAGGGCGAGGGCTCGAACCAAGGGGTTGTTGTCGTGCATGTCTTCCTGTATGATGGGGAGTGCTTTGAGCGCAATGTCAGGTTTTATCCTGGCATAGTTGACGAGATACAGGAAACACCTGCCCATGTCAGCGATGCGCGTGCTCGTATGCATGTCACTACGCACATCTTCTTGATCTCCAGGCTCGGAATGTGCATGCAGCCCACTATATCCATGAATAGCGCGACCATGTCGTTGTTGCTCATGGTCATGTTGGCGACGATCTTCTTGAGCGCCGTCTTCTTCGCAGAGAAGTTCTTGTCCTTCTTGTTGCCATTGTTCAACTCGATGCGTAGTTCGGCGACTTTGCCCTGTGGAGTGCGAAGGTTCTGTAAGCGCGTGTTGTCAAAGGTGTAGGGGAGAAACATCATCATGGCGCCAACTGCTCATAGCTGGGAGGCAGGCAGGCGGAAGGTCTGGGTGGTGCGGATGACGGGGCCAACGTACCCTCGCAAAAAGCTTCGCATCTTGGCCGCCCTGGCTCATGTTGGGCTAATGATGTCGCGTGTGCCAGCTGGGCTGTTCCCTCAATGCATGTGCCTGCCGTAGCACAATCAAGATAACCTCCCTCGCGACTTAGCGCCCCTCCCTTGCCGTCCAGAGGAAGCGTGCGGGGTTGGATGGCTGATTCGCTCGTCTATTGGCTTCGTATCGCGTCGTGCATGGCAGGGAAACGTGGAATTCGGCCGGAGAAACGTGGAGAGGAGAAGGAATGGACAAGTTTGGAGACTACGACTTTTGGGAAGCCTGACGGCGGTCAACACGGAGGAGGGGACGTGCATCCGCCAAGCCCGCCATGTGTGGACCTCTCCAGACGCCTGCTCCGCACCACCACCAGCGAACCTCCAACATTGTGAGACCCTGAACCCTGGTCAAAGCAACAACAGAGCAAAATTCCGCGTCCGGCACCACGCGTCCACCAAGTCAAACCACCATGTCCGCGACCCCTCCTCCTCCCCCGCAGTGGGTGCTTGACCTCAATTCGACGCCCGCATCCAAACCGAAGAACGCATCGCTCGCGGACCCGCCAGGCTACACACCATCTCTGTCCAGGAAGGAGCGTTCCCAGGCATCAAAGACTCAGAGGCAACCCCCGACACCCGAAGAGATGGACACACTCAAGATGAAGAAGGCTTGGGAGGTTGCCATCGCGCCTGCGAAGCAACTGCCTATGAATGCTTTTGGTGTGTCCATACCACGCGACATCGCTTTGTCAATTGACTAACAACACCAGGAATGTACATGACTGGAAACACGCTGCAAATCTTCTCCGTCTTCATGGTCTTCACCCTGTTCAAAACCCCTGTGCTTGCTGTACTCGGCCTCCAACGCACCTTCGCCCCCTACGAAACTCCCGGCACCTCTGGACGACTCCTCGGTGTCAAGATGGCTTACATTGCTTGCAACATGTTGATGTTGGCATTGGGTATATGGAAGGTTAATGCCATGGGACTTTTACCAACGACAAAATCAGATTGGCTGGCTTGGGAGAGTGAGAGGATATGGTCAGAAAGAGCGGTGCCCAAGGAGTGGTTGTAGACGTTTCCATGGCCTGGAATACGTCTTCTATGGTATTCTCTTGCTACCATGATCGAGACAACTTTTGATCAAAGTCATTATCATGCCCTGCTCTTTTCCATAATCATTCCTGATCACTTGTCCTTCTAACTCATCTCTTCATCGCTACCATCAAGCAGTGAGGTAGGTACCGGCACTCGTGGCTCTGCACTGCTCATCTCGCCGTCTGCTACACTCGCAACAGTCTTGCCAAAGAACTTGGCTCCATCGTCTATCGACTCCTCTGCTACAGACTGTCCAATTGCATTCATGAACTCCAATTTCCTCCTAACAAACTGCAATACCATGATCCGCGGCGTCTTCATACCCGCATGACCCCTTCCACCCATAGTCACAGGCATGTCTTTTAGGACCTTCGCCGGAGACAAACAAATGACGTTGCTGTTGAGGCAGTAAACTGAGCACGCAAAACATGCGAACCAACATGTAGCGTAGCATGTCCGCCTTTCTTATGCTGCGCCTCAATCTGCAAGACCTCCTTACGAAGAAGATCTGTGTCTCTGCTCATCTTGACCACCACCAGCTGTGGTAACATCTTCAAATGCTTATCCTGGAGCAAAGACGTGCCGTTATGCTGCATGTTCTCATAAAGGACATCGCTAAAGTTCTTGTACGAGAGAAGCGACAGTTGTTGACGAAGACGCGTATTTCCACGCACTGTTCGAAAGGCGTTGTGGACATCGGCCATCCGATCTTGAAGGTCAAAGTCGATTTCCTTCGACGGCTCGAATGGAGGGGGAAGCGCGCGGGGTAGACAGAGGTAAACTCCTGAAGAAGCCATTGTGGTCAGGGGTTTGACCACGCGGAAGAGCTGACCTGGGGGCTTAGGGGCGCATACGAGCAAAGATCTTGTAGGAGGCTTCTGACATGGCGTCCTGGAGTGGGATTTCATGTTTGTGATGCAGTAGTAAAGGATATGGTTGTAGAGTTGAGCGTTAAAAAGGTTCGGAGGCGAGACTGTTAAGGTTCGATATGATCGTAGACTCCCGGTGACTATGCGGACGATGGTTCATATGCGCAAATCACTACGGGGAGATCATCACGATCATACTGCACGTGAAGGGTCTTGCGGAACAATGATGTTTCGTATGTAAAGATTCATGATGACCAGTTCGGGATTTGTGCACGGATCTCGCGACAGGTACAGCTTGAAGAAGATTGAGCATACGGCGCAGTTTTCTTGGCTAGGAAGGCTGCCTACGTGGCTAGCACAAATGTCGATATGGGTTCTTAGTACAGTGAAAACTCGGATTCTGTGTTTCATGAATAGAATGAAGGAATGAAGGAATGATGAGCTTTCGAGTAGCGTTCCACTTGCTGAGTGTTAGTCTGAGAGATTACAGACACATTTTGGGCTTGGTATGCCGCAAATCTAGCCTAAACTACCTCTTCATCTTTCATCATCATCCTGATGAATATTCTCATACTCCTCCTTGCTCTCCCAATTCTTCGGATACCCTCTCGCCACCCGCCAGTCTTCCGCCTTACTTCTCAATCTCTCAAACAAACTCTCTCGCCACCCACCGTTCCCATCTTCCTGGAAACTCATCCTCTTTCCGAAAGGCCATGACAGCATGTTCTCAACTCTCGCCCCGTATTTGGAATCCAGCAGACCGACAGCCACATCAACTATTTTTGGCCGGTTACCTGATGCGTAGAACACGACGGCGGAACAAATACCGCAAAAGTAACGACAGACGTCTGGTGAGGAAGTGTGGTATTCCATCGTACCGATAGCAGGGTCTTTGGTATCTATGAGATGTTTGAGATCGAAAATATCTTGCGGAAAGGCCTTGCTATCATCTTTTCCAAAAGACAGATTTTTCGTCTCTGTAAAGGTCCAGTAAAAGATGTCGCTCCCGCTTTGTAACCGGCAGCTGTTACAAGCACAGAAGCTGGCTTTAAGCTTTCTGCTGGCAGGCTCAACGCACGAGGGCAGATTTTCTTCGCTCATTTTTTTATACTCGCCCCGACGGAGGAGTAGATCCACACCGCAACACTTGCAGCGTATCGGCACACTGTCCTCCTCTTTCGCTTTGAGTTCTGGGACAGTTGAAGACCGAGGCCAGTTTGCAGGTAGTTCCTTTGCTTCTGAACCACGGCCGGGTGTTGTCTCTTCGTAACTTTTTAAGTCTACACCATCGCCATTAAGAGCACAGATCCATGGACTGGCACCCCCATCCTGCGTATCGAGCACATAGCCCATTCCACCAAATTTGATCAGCTGGCGATCTCCAACATCCACATTGCCTAGCGTTCCAGTCACTACCCCCAAGTTCTTCGCTGGATCTTTGAAAGCGCAGAACATTGGGCTTGAACAGGTAGGACAGAACAGCAGGTCGAAGCGCTCCCAGGCGCTGAATGCCTTGAGACCACTGGTGTCAACATTGGCGCGAGGCTCGGGCCAAGTTATAAGAGAGGTGTGCAGTGAGCCACAGAGGTGTCGGCAGCTTGTACAGTGGCACGTATGCCCTGGTAGAGGAAGATCAGATGCGGGAAAGGTGGTGTTGTATTTATAGGTGCCACAGAGACACGATGCTGTTAGCGTTACCGTCTCAGACGAGGAAGACATGTCGTAAGTCAGAGTTGAGACTGAGCTTGATTTTGTGGCGGAGTTCCCTGTGGTGATGTGCTAGTACTTATGCGACAACAATGCATTGTTATCGAGAGGTCATGCCTTTCAGCTACTGCGCCGCTAGTACCACGCCGCATATACTCTACCAAAAGATACTACGCTCTAAGTATGCTGCAGATGTTACTTCCTACGTAGCGCTTACGTATGTGAGTGGATGTTGTGTCACAGGGCGTGGAAAAAGATTGGTAAGCGTATGCGGGGCTCGCAATCTCATGTCGTACCTCGCATTCTACGTCGCATTTGGTCATATGAACGCAGAAAGCCATGGTTAACGGCTCAGTAGATTCGAATGTGGGCAACGTTCCTACAATCAGCTAATCTTCTATACTTTGACCACTCGCATCACATCAAACAAGCCTATTTTCTGCTTATCTGACATGCCATCTTTCAGAAGACCGGTTACATGCTCACCCTGACGGCCGCGCTGATTGCTTACGATGGTCGTGTCGCCTCGCTTGAAATCGCATGTTCGACCTGTCATACCGGTGATCCACATCTTGACGTTGCCAAAGTGGGGGCCGTCGAGCAGATTTGTTCCATATGCTGAAGCCCAAGGCGCGTCGACTTGCCAAGGATCCAGACTCTCACGTAGCTCCGGCGCGAACGCTGTGACGACAATGAGCTGTCGCTCATCTTTAGAATTACTAGAGGCTGCGGGTGCCAAAGCGCCGTTTGGTGACGTGTTGAGGTTCTTGACTTCATCGGTAAGCCACCTTAAGTCTCTTTTATGTTCTGAGTTGTGCTTTGCCACGTCCCAAAGTTGTATGCCTTCCTTCTCGTCAAACTCGGGCATCTTTCTTAGCACAGCAGCTGTGTCTGATGCTGGAATTCTACTCCATAGTGTGCAACCAAGGACCGTGATGTTTGTGCCCGGAACATCGCTCCTCGTCTCATATAGTACCTCGAGCCTTCCTCTTGTTGTTGGCTCTTTCTCCAACTTATGCGCCAGCTGCAAGCCATCCATCCAGCTCAGGCCGTGGAACTCTAAGGGGCCCAAAACCAAGAAAACCTTCTCGTGAAGATTACACCGCCGAACCAAGAAGGATAGATATTGTTCGTAGTCTATGAGCTTGCCGATGTTTCCAGCGAGAACAAGGAAAGGTGCAGCGACGGGTATGTGAAACGTTAGGTATTGCGAGTCGTTGTCTAGATGGAGATCTGAAAGGACCTGGAGGGAAGTTTTCGGGCCAGAGAAAAGGCCAGATAGACGTCGCATCTTGCTGGGAAGCATTGTTATTCTTGGGTGGCCGCTTGAGATTTCAGTGTATGTGACGCCGGATTCGTAGAATAGGCATAGGAAAAAGTTGAAGTTGAAGGCGGGTCGCGTTCTACAGCAGAGGCGCTTCTAGAAAGACAAACCTGGGCGTCTATACTGGCGAAGGACTAGAAGAATCAGTAGGAAGACTTGAGAGACATATAAGCGCTGGTAACAAAGCGCGGCTTACGGCAGGATTCCAGCTAAGCTGCGCCCTGGATCTTAGGCATGGATCCTGTTCACCAGCACAGCCTCATCTCTGTTACTGTTCCCAGCACCGTCGAAGACGCAACCACGAGAAGTGTAGCTGCGGTCATCTTTCAGTTTCCTTACACTTCCGTTGTTGGATGCCCATGTGTCTTCGCGATGCGTCGGGGTCTACGGGTGGTGGCTGTGAAGAGACACCTCAGGATCACTCAGCGCGGGACCAAATTAGATTTCGTCTAACCTGATTTCGGATGGCGCGTTCTCGGCCCCGCCCCGACCCAGTCCACCCTTCTTTACCCAGCCATCTACAGCTGCCACGATGACTTCCACCACCAAATTTCCGATCAGCACCATTTTCTCTTCAATCCTGTCGCCGCCGGCTATGGGCCAAACCCGATGAAGTGGGAGACAAATCTAAGCGGTGATTGCCTTCGCGCCGTGGGGCGCTACTCTTGAAAGCTCCGATGCCGTGAACATACAAGCACAATAATCCTGCAAGGGGTACTGTCAGTATGGCAGTAGGATAAGGAGACATCCAAGGTCAGGGTATATAGTGTTGCCTTTGAACATCTGAATACTGAACACATGCGCCAAAACGCGCTGACCTTGCTCAGAAACGAGTTCGAAGATCCGTCGTTGTGGTATGCTGCTCCGTCAACAAACCCCTCCCATCGGTACCGACCTGTTGCCTTGTAAACACGCGGCTGATTCTATGCATCTGAAGCGGCATTGAGGTGGATGATTGTTCATTGCTCTGCGTCCCGTCCCGAGAGCGATCAAACTCGACATCACACAATAGGAGATGAGCCACAACATCGACCACACCTGTGGATCAACAAAAGATTAGAAAAGTAGCCTCCCGAATCTCCCCTAAATGACCGTTCTGTACGAAGAAAGAGTTCTTGGGTGCTGTATGTTATCCGGCTAAATGTTATTCGCCTGGCGGCGAAGCCCTGTCCTGCAGCTTACCGGTTGACCGCAATGGTCCCGAACGTGCATAGCTGCCTCGTTGCTGTGGAAGGCATTTTTACTCAACAGATTTCGCATGGAACACTCTAGAGGGATGGCTGCAATGTGCTGGATACGATAAACCGAGATTTCCAAGGGGCGCGATAGATCTACTTTGATTGTGAGGCTGAAGTACCAATGTGCGATAGTTACACCATCGACGGCTTGATATTGCAATTGCACGATCTACAACCTGGAGTCTGGGACCGAGCAACTAGCAGACTCTAAGAATAGTCGTGTAACGTACGAACCCATCGAATGTTCCCTATACGAGCCTGGTATATTACCTGCGTGTGAATTTGTCGATCCTTTCGACTGCCTCCTGGAATACGGCATGTTTGATGCAGCTGATAACTGGATGGAAAACATCTGAAGAGATCGGAATTTCGGAATTCTCTCGAATATGCTGGTATGCTTTAGCCGACATGGCAATGCTTCTACTAATAGCGACGCAGTAAGAGAGAAAAGCCTCAGATTCGAGCCACTGTCGAATCCTCACGTCGCCTCGTTACATGAGGTTACTGTTCGCATCAGAGGTCCAGATATGCATGTGCAATATACTTCATGTGATACGACAGTTTTACAAGTGAAGTCTCGCCTCCCGTGTTCGCTTATCCGGTAGCCAGGCACAACTTGCTCACCACTTCACTGGATTCCGACCAATAGGAAAACCACCAATCTTACACTGGGGCGTCAGCTTCTCTCGACTCGGAAATTCCGGTCTTCCAGATTTTCGTCGACTTTACTTTCGGGTATCATACGATCTGACTACGGCCAGATACCATGAATCAGCGAAGTAAATGCTATGTTATGTCGGACCATATACAGGGTACACAGTGCTCGTATTCGCTCGCCTCATGATAACAGTATTCAAGATGACTGGATATACTTGCCACTCAATCTAATATACTCTTGAAGCGAGTTCTGTTCTCCAGAATCACAGAAAGCCATCTCTATAAGAGTCGAGCATGCCGCATGGCCATCCTGCCCGAAATCAACTCTTCACTCTTTGTTCCTATCGGCTTCTACCTCCTGGTTATCAGTCAATATGAAGGCCTTTTCTTACTTCAGCTATGCCCTGCTAGCATTTGTCTCACTCACTGAAGCTCACCCGGGGATGGGTGACACGATGAACGAAATGCGCTACCTTGCTGCTCGTGAGAAGCGTGCAGCTTCGAAAGAGCTCATTGGCGACCTCAAGACACTGGCAGACTCCAAACTCACTGCTATTGGCAAGGACATCAAAGCCATCATACTTGACCAAACGTCTGCTGAGTCGGCTACCATCGATGGCTCCATTCCGGCTGGCAACATCGGAAGCGCTGCCTGCAAAGCTGATCCGTGCTGCCATTGGAAATGGTTGGCGTACGAAATGACCGCCAAATTCAACGGTACATCCGGTCGTTGCAGCAAGTTTGCTCGTCAAGCCGTCCGCTTGGGTTTCCATGATGCGGCCGTCTGGTCTAAGAGCAGCAGTTATGGTGGTGCAGATGGCAGTATCCTCCTCAGCGACGAGATGTCGCGTGCGGACAACAACGGTCTTTCAGCAATCGCTGATCAAACAAAAAAGTGGTACACCAAGTACAATCAATACGGCATGAGTATGGCAGATATCATCCAATTCGGTGCCAATGTCGCGACCGTCGTTTGCCCGCTTGGACCACGACTTCGAACTTTCGTTGGGCGCAAAGATAACAGCAAAGCTGGCCCTACCGGTCTTCTTCCTGGAGAAAAGGACTCTGCAGATAAGCTCATCAAACTTTTCCAAGACAAGACGATCGATGCTCACGATCTTGTTGCTCTTGTCGGAGCGCACACTACTTCGCAACAACACTTCGTCGACACCACTCGCGACGGTGACCCACAAGACTCAACTCCCGGTATCTGGGATATGGCTTTCTACCCGCAGACTACGAATAACGCGCCTGTCCGTGTCATCAAATTCCAAAGCGACATCAACTTGAGTAAGGACTCTAGAACAAGTCCTTCGTGGCAGCAGTTCAGCGATCGGGCTACTGCTCAGGGCCGATGGAACGCGGTATGACTGCACATATCTCCAAACAAATATCTCATCTGACGAAATGATATAGGACTATGCTAAGGCTTACACGCGCTTGTCGCTTCTCGGCGTGAACAACATCAACGACCTCAAAGAATGCACCAAGGTCTTGCCCGCAGAACGGCCTACATTTGTTAGCGAGGATCAGGTCTTGCTCGACAGGTGGCTCAACGGCGAATTCGATCAACTTAATAACTTGGTGGATGATGCTATTCAGCTTACAGGTGTGATATCCTCCAGAGAAGAGAAGCCTTGAGTGCAATGGTGGCTTCATTCCCTCTATCCATAGCTTCAGCTGCAGCACTAGCATGAGAATTGCCGGGTTTCACTTATACTATAACATAGATCTATCCTAAAGTCACTAATGGTTCTTTTTGACTCACCTCTTCCTCATTCACTGTCTAGTAACATCGGGGTCCGCTTGCTCCGCAAGTTCACCGCACAAACCCAGCTTATCAGAGGCTAGTCAGTGTCCGCAATCGGTCACAAGCCTTTTCGCTTCCTAGATTGGTTTGCGCCTGTCTTGTAGCTTGTTGTCCACTGATACACCTATCTTCCACTAAAGTCCAGACATGCATCAATTTCACGCCATGAAATTACCACCCAATGTTCCCAAGTCTGCTATCGACAAGTATGTTCCGATCAAGCTCATTAGCGAAAGCCCAAATAGCCTCGTTATTGCTGTAATCCCCAACAACCTCGTCAAGCCAACCCCCTCTTCTCTTTTAGCACTGAGAATTCCTCGTTCAAGAGAAGAACGTGGAGCACTCTTAAGACAGATCGAATCACTCCTTAGTATCAAGACTCGCCGCGTCACCAGAGTCATCGACTATGACCCAAGAGGAAACTGGTACATCACGTCCTTCTGCCATGGCCGTGACCTGCAACACCTCAAGGAAAACTTCTTTCAAGATGGCTTCCCGCCTTTCCTCATCTGCAAGATCTTTGACGAAGTCATGGCTGCTCAAGGCACCGAGCTTGGGCCGAAAGGAATTTGTCACACGGATCTGGAGGGAAGCAACATCATACTGACGCCTACGAAGAAGGAGGAGTTTCCGATAGTAAAGATTGTGCATCTCAACGGTATCGTGACCTGGGATGAGCAAGCCGTTGTCAAACAGATGATCAGGTTGCTACGATATCTAACCAACAGCGCATCACGCATACCGGAAAGATACCGCATGAACAAGAACGGAGACAAATTGGAGTACGTGATTAAAGACGAAGATACCAACAGCCTAAGAATCGGCGATGACTTCTATTCGTTCATCGCGAACTATGATCTGGAAGGGAATACACCGTGGGAGGATCTCAAGAGCAGGTGGATGAATGAGGCAACTGCCTTGATGAAAGAACTGTACGATTCTGAAAGGTTATTGGATGTCATGGAGATCATCATGGAGCCAAAGGTTACAGACGATGAGTTTAGAGAGGCGGTGGAGGACGGTGGAATGGACATTATTGACGATAGAGATCTGTAGGTCGTAGACAGTTGACCGCCGTAGCAGATTTTGCGAATAGAAACCGAAGTGGAGTAAATTATCATGGTATTCTCTAAGTTTGCCGTGCGTGTAGTTGATATTGTTCATGAAAGAGGCTTGTGTAATGCACATAACCGCCACGTTGCACTCTTTTGAGTGATGACTTCTAGTATGATCTTGCGACATTCCTAGGTGACTACTTTAACACAACGTTTTCATCTCTCGCAGATGACGGCTGCTTATATATCATTTCGCCTAGAGGTATGGTACGTCTTGGTAATGTCATCCTCTTGTCCCCTTCAATATGAAATGCCCCCAAAACGCCAATCGAGTTTACCGGCCAATGAATATTCTCGGTGAGAGTAAGGATGGTGATTTGATCTTTGTCATCTGCCACTGCAGCGTACATATATTAGGTCACTGCAAAGCTCTCAAGATTCTGCAGAACGATCAGATTCCCCCCGTCTTGGTACAGCATGTAGAAGATGTGAAGGCTCCCCAGCCTAGCTGAAGTCGCCATGAGCTTTACTAGGTCGCTGATGACTCCAGGGCCAGACTTCTCATTCGAAGCTTTGAAATGTCAAGTCCGAGTCATTGACCTACCATAATCGGCCTGTATTTCGAGTCCAGATTCTGCTATTCCAGGGTATGCTCCCAATACTTCAATGGATGCATTGAGTGCAAGAAAGAAAAGTACATAAGGTGGTTGAGGTGTGGTGCTTTTGCAAGGCGACCGGCAGTATGGGCCTCCATAGTCCAGCGCAAGGTAGTTGCCTCCTCCTTGGTCCTACTTCCCAGACATTTTGATTCTTTACCACGACTACTCGATCTGATTCCTCAAGGACGTTGCATTTGTGATGTCAAATAGGGCTGAAGACTGTGGGATAGCGGGGCTGTAGTCGTTGCGAGCCATCATCGTTCATGCAGCAGTAGCTGCTGCTAATGGATGTGGCAAAGGCCTCCCATCTCTATGGCGCTGCAATGCGTGTAGATCGAGACAGGAACCGTACGTGGTGATAGGAGGGTGCGGAGGTGTCTGGCAAGGTCCTGTGGATTCTTGATTCGGCTGTTCGAGCCTTTGAACTCGCGTCGCCGCTGCTGCGCATGTCGTCGGTGTCGGGCTTTCTTTTACCCTACGGAGTTTGCCAAACCATAGCCAGCAAAGAGGACACCTTTTCCATCGGACCGTGCAGGGGAATATGCAGAGTAGAGGCTCACGCACAAAGCGCAGACTTTGGGATGCGCGATAATGCTTTGAGAAGGTGCTGATGTTGTTGCTGGGCTGCTGGAGGGAGGCGCTCTCAGCGCACGGACCGATGAAGTTGGTTGTTGCTTGAACTCTCTCTGCCCCTTCCTCCAGACCACACTGTCCCAACCCAATCACCCCGACACCGCGTGGTGAAGGTATCGAGGCCACTGTCAGTGGCGATATACCCTTCATCGTACGGTGCAGAAGCTCTACTCGCTACGAGCCTGCAGGCATAGCATAGGAGTCGTCCGAGGGCTTGACCGAAGCCGCCGAATCCACGTCCTCGACCGCCTTGCCTGCGATCGCTACGTACTCCAACAAGACTGTGGTGAGACATAAGAGCTTCTTGGTTCTCGTGGGGGCAACCTCGCCCTGTCGACAAGCGAAGCCAGGCGATGTAGGCGCGGCTCCCTGCGTATATCGGCGAGCATTCCGCCAACTGAACCCTGTCCCGCACCCGGCTTCCTATAACACAGTTAGCACACCTGTCTGGGGTTACACTGTAAACCAGACTCGGAGTATCATGTTGCTGATACTCGAGCTGACAGCTCCCAATACATCCTCGATCTCCGCTCGCCACGTCCATAGCACAGTCGAACCTGCACGGGAATACTGTGGCCGCCCAGCTTGCGGTCATATCGCCTTATCGTCCGCTACTGTACCTCGACACTTACAACATGATTAGTACGTGGCCAAGCATGAATTTTCGGATTTTCTTACATACGCCCTCACGTCGTCTTGCCGCGACTCCAATCTACAATGGTCACATCGGCCCGTAATCTCTGTCGGTATCTAGCGCCATGGTCCGAGGAACATATATGGTATGCAGCGTGCGTCCCAGCCTTTGTAGATCGTTTGACAGACAGCGGCAGCAAGGCCTTCGCACATGGTTGTGCACGCTGCTCTCCGGTACATCTTTGAGGAGATGGCTTACAAAGGAGCCGGAAGGCAGATTCAAGCTCCCACAAGATACGTGTTCGGCGATCCGATTAGCGGCATGTCTTGTCTCAAAGCCCACCATCTGAACAGTCAACTGTGTCCTACGCAACATCATTGCTGACGTGCGAACCTCGTACAACATCGCCTACCACAGACTCGCGAAGTCGAAGTCGACGTCCCCTTTCTTTGTGCCTCTTCGATATCCACTGCTTGCAGTCGAATCGAACGCCGTGAGACAAGGGATAGATCGTTCGATTTCGTGCCTCTCTTTCCCCGTCCATCTCGATATTATTGGTACCGGTTCTATGATCCACAATGGTGAGAGCAGCCTCCGACTTGCAATTCGGGCGACCCTCAGCCGTCCTAGCACTGTCAAGCATCAACGCACTATGCAAAAGTCAAGCTGCTGCGCGCTTCAGTCTAGGAGATTTGGGCCTACGCATCCGTTTGGGAGCTTTGTGTGGTACGGATGATGTCGTTGATCGTCGCTGGTAGGAGAGGGTACTGTTCGTGGTAGGCTTGTATGTGAGCCGAGCTTGGCGGCACATTTTCGATCCCTCAATCTCAGTGTTCCTTCGACACCAGCCTTCTCGTCCATAAGACTTCGCTGTTCGATTGAGGCCGTGTATCCCATCATCATCAGGATCTTGTGGCCTTTGCGGTATAGAATTGCTGACAAGGGCGCAGCCCTTAGGGGACTAAGCCATGTGACCTAGACACCTCACCGTGATCATAGGCGATCCCAATTTTTGGCGAACCTGAAGGCGCCAAGGAGTTCTTCTCTCGACCAGAACTCATGACTGTGGGACAAGCCAACTCACTTTCAATACATCCCTGGAGGTGGCAGGGAGCATGCGCCTGCCGGTGTCGATTCCAAAGTTCAGCCGCTTTGGTGATAAAAAACGACAGTGAGTTCAGTATATGTACCTTCATCACGACAGCCGCATCAGGACGACTACAGTGGACGTCCAGGTGGTCACAGGCATGGCATCGTATGACTACTTTTTGTAAACGACGCAACCGAGGCCGAAGTGTACGAAGTATAGCGTGCACATCTCAAAGAATCCTGTCTGTCTGCGGCAGACACTCTCGTCTGCGATCGCTGTGAACGATAATCCTGGGAGTCTTGCATAATGTTACAACATCGAAAACACCAAACCACTTTGACAAGGAATTTGTAGCGCGACCGGAGCGTTAGCTTCGAGCTCAGCAAGCGTATCTCAGCCAGAACGATACGACGGTAATGCGCAGCACGAGCGTCAGAGTAGTTGAAATGGACTGGTGTCCCGCTGTTGCGCCGTAACGGATCCTTTTGGGCAAATTCAGCGAGGTCGCACGCTGAAGGCATGAAGTAGTGTCTTTGGATATCATGGCCACCTTTTTCACAACGCGACCTTGCTGGCGAGCCCGGTTATCGCATGCAGTTGGTCACTGCAGAAGTCGATCCTTTTGTTGCTTCCAAACTGATCAGAGGCACCTGCCGCGTCGGATGCAGACGGCGTATCCCGCCATGGCATCTCCCGGGATCGCCTTCGATTGTCAAACCTCTTGCTATCTCTTACTGAACGACGGTCCTCTTTCTCTACACCTCCATTTTCCGGTCATCTCTTTCCATCCTTTTCGTCTCTTTTTGTCATCTATTCCGTACCTCGGTCAGTGCCCAAGACTTTTCAACAGCGATAAACCGCTGGCGATGCCATCCAAGAAGGCACTCGCCACAGTGTTTGTTCAATGAGCGACCCGTCTCGCGGTTTTTTTCGGTAGTGAGGCAATTGACTGCTGCCCTCTGGTGACATAACAAACGGGTTGCATTCCGATAAGGCGAATGGATGGCCGAAGGCCCACTCGCGGGGCGCGAGCATCTTGAACGACGCAAAATCTGGACCAACACGGCCACAGCCGTTGGACTTTCCGAATTCTATACCGTCTCGAGCATGCCAACGCAGTGGGCAATGCTACAACCAGCCAGAGGGAAGGAACTCCGCATGAACTCCTAATGAGCTCCTTGAAGCTCTCACCGCGATGTCGTTCTCGTTCCGTCGTCGCGACATCTTCTAGCACTGGCGCACCACAGGGTTTCTTTGCCAGATGTGCCTCGCAGGCCTCCACCCATGTCCGTGCACCGACACCTTCAGCCAGCTCGGCCTTCCATGCTCTCTCATGGATACTCGCTGTGCCTCCACTCATCCAAGTATATCGAACGTATTCTGCTCCTTGTTGGGTCCCCTAGGTATCCTTCGCGGTCGCCGCTGGGCTTGTATACGCTGGATAAAGGCCGAGGCCAACGATGGACGGGCGCTCGCACGCGAAATGCAGCATTCTTGAATTGGCCCGGCTATTAGGAGGGGCTACGTTGTGCATGACCGTACGTGTAGGACACTACCTGGCTTTCCGTCAGTGCACACTCTGAATGTCTTTGCTATGAGAAGCGAGCGCAGATGTCTGTGTTCTACTTTACTTGTCCACTAAAGACACCGCCTACCGAAACGAATGGGGTCTTTAGTCTCAACATGGATGATCAGCCTATCCAGCACCGTTGTCGCCAGAGGCGCTTGTCGTCTAGATCGCCCACTCTCAAGACTTGTAGTCGCGGCGATTCAGTGTTGGCGACTACCGACCCTTCAACGCATAAGGCCGGCCAATTCTCCAAGACACGCGCTGACATGGTGGAGTACAAATTTTGCCTTTCGTCGCTGGGAAGCCATGGTGGGCGGACCTGTCGTTTGCTGCCTTCTTTGTCTTCTGGAAACCATCGCCTGGCTGACACCCACGGCAACGCCTAACATAACTCCGATGATCAACGGAGTCGTGTTTCTTCGTAAGTGTGCAGAGACTGTGGGTTGTCAGTGAATGTCAGGTATGGTCGGCGCAAGATCAATCAAAGAGACTGCCGGCTCCCTGTCCTTGCGGCTGTGTTTCCCAGTTGCTACCTACTGGAAGACAAAAGACGTTTAGCCTGCGTATAGCAATCTGCTCGCTCCATGCCAGCCGTCGCTCTGGGGATATTGACGACTCCACTTTGTGTGCGTCGATGTCGCAATGCCGCGGAGGTGTTGTAGACGCGGACTGGCAGCAGCCACAGCCACAAGTCTGTGACAGCCTCGAGCGGCGCACCAAGTTTATGTCTCTGATCTTTGTGTCTGCAGAGGACAAGAAAGTCAGCGACTTGGTAGCACAGTGCGCTTGTTGTGATGCTGTTCATCGCTGGCGAGGAGGCGTTGAAGCTGTGGCTGAAAGGCGCCTTCTCGTAGTGACTCTCTCAAGGGCAGGCAAGGGTCGACATCAGGAAGGAAATGGCTTACCAGTCTGTACGATCGAGATCGTCCACTTCCACTCCCCTGTCTGTTCGTGCGGGCGTCGATGGTAGCGGCGGAAGGGTTGTTGCTGGCTGCCTCTGCCTAGTCAGCGCAATATCCGCAGATGCCACCTGAGGGTATCACAAACTTGTCTGGCTTTTTAATCCGTCACACCAAGTTCTCCGCCTGCTTCTGCCATCAACGTGAGGTGGTCTTGTTGTCGTGGCGTGGTTGTTGGTGGGGTGGTCGCGGACCCCCGACCGAACTTGCAAATATGAAGCTGAGGCATCAATACCCTTCCCCGGAAGTGAAGATACCAAGCCAAACGCAATGCTTACAGCGCGAAAATCCGTCGCAGCCCTTATACAACAGTTTTTCGTACGGCTCCATTGCTTACGAGTCCCGCGTCATAAGAGCACTAGAGGGCGCTCGATGAATGCTATCTCTGTCCTTCACGGGATGATAGTATCAGAGTCTAGGATACACTACAGCCAAACAGCCACTGCGTTATATAACAAGATTGTGAACGATGCACAAGAACCTTCTCAAGCTGTTTCCCCACTTGATGCAAGGATTTGACGTACCAGACACGTCCACAGAGTTCACCCAAGTGCTACATACCGCTGTTGCACTCTCACTTCAGCTGACTCTTCGGGTATTTAAAATGGTATGAAGAAATTGTACCCAGCTTATACCAAGATCTTATCCACCGTGTTTGGTGCCCGTTAGCAAGACCGACCCAGCCTGGAGCAACTAGAACTGGTTAAGATATCACACCATTCCTTGCTCATCTGAACCATGCTGTCCGCCTGGCGCACGAGAAGATCTGTTGGCATTGCTGTCCTGGATGCGTGGCAGTGAACAATAGACGCTGTAAATTCGTCAAATGTGCTCCATGTAGAGCTCATGGATGGTGTCATCTAGTACATGATGAGAGTTATCAAGGCGTCAAGCTTTTGCAATGCCTGTGAGCATTGGGGGCATCAACACGCCACAGTCACTCTTTTGCACTTTATTACCTCGTTCTAGGAGGAGTCGTCAAATAACTCATGAGAACGCCACTCTCTTGAATAATATAAGGACAAATCTGTCTTCGACATTGCTGGGTGACTGAGAGCAACCTGTCGTCATTCCTGAGCTGCCCACTCGCCAGAGGTGGCCTAGCGATTCAGAATTGTTTGGCACACCCACGACCGACTTCGTTTGGATGTATTTATGGATTAATTAGGCTCTTTTTCATCAACAAAACACTTACTAACTCATGCCTTAGGTTCGGATCGGCCGGCGGCAATGAGACGTAGGCAATCGACACGGAGCTGAACTCATCTTTTGTCGCTCTTGTGTTCACCTCTCTGTAAGGTTGAACGTTGAGTCGCACGCGGAAACCTTTGATATCTAAACTTTCTACATTTTTAGGTCCCCAATTTCGCAGTACAATCTTAGTAACTTTCGTGTCCTTTGTGGCACGGAGGTCCTAAGTGACGTCTTCTTTTGCACCAGTTGGAGATTGGCGAATGTGAACGCCAGAATTGACATCGGCACATCGCAATGTTCATATGCCAACGAAGTTCTGTTGAGTGTCTATACGGATGAGTTGATCTCTGATCTATCAAACAGAAACCCACAAACTCATAGCACAGCTGACAGATGTAGGCTTCCGGCATCGTTGCTGAACTGTCTTTTTTCTTTCGTGTTCGACTCTGTGGACGCTTCTACATGAGTTTGGACTTTTACTTTTTTGCTTGTAATGATGCGGCGAACGCGAATCGCTGCTTAGATGTTGCCGTGCAGCACTACATCATTCCCTTAGTCACCAGTGAGTGAGCGATTTGAAGTATATGCGAACCACTGGTAGAGCTTTGGGCAGCTAAGTGGTAAGCGTATGGCATAAAGAGGCTTGTAAACCAACAGCGAGAAGGCTTGCGGAGCTGACGTCCATAATTGTGGTACGGAAGCTATATCACCCGGAGCAGACGAGAAATGATTTCGACAACGAGCACTCTATCCTTGGCGACTGTGACAAATGTTGTGGTTGTTGAAAGCTGCACAAACCGGATCGAAGACGCGATCCAAACCACAAAGAGAATTGGCACACGTAGGCCGAGCGATATCGAGGTCTTGGTGTGGTGGATTTGATTTGGCATGGCATAAGTACTACGTTAAGATTACTTGACCATAGAGCACCATCCCTGACAAAAGGTCGAAAACTGCATCGAAGGATATTCAGACTGAGACTTGCGTTAGAAGAATCTGAGTTTACACGGATCGATCTGTTGTTCAAATGCAGACACGTTTGCAGTCAAGATTTTCTTGCGACTGCTTGCTGCATTCCTGCAGCGCATGCATTCCATTCGCCAGTATAGCTACGCACTCTTCTGCCAGCTTTGTCTGCTTCCCGATGGCCTTACTCTCGACGTCAGTATCGCCAAAAGACATCGTCATCAAGCATCCAGGTGTCAGGAGCACGTTGATCTAAAGCTTGTAGACACACTAAATGGCCCGGGCCCATGCATTGAGATGCCACCTCCTCGTACCTTTCCGAATCCTCCTTACTATCAAAGATCACCTCATAAGGCTTGTTCAAATACACCTTGCGTATGTCAATAGCGACGTCAAGGAGTGCTGAATGGACTTGAGCCACGATCGCTGTACATGCGGCTTCAAAATCTTCAGGTGTCATAGCCAGCAAGTACGCGGTTCCACCCATACCCTCGATCTCGCGATGAACAACGTTGTTCATCGTTTGGGTGTATGCCTCCCGATGCAGAGCGTAAATTCGGTATCTTCCATCTTCCGCACTGTTTCTGTCCACGTTTCTCAAGTGATATGTGCGGTAGTAGTGGGCGAAGCTAGCGCAGTATACTGTCTTCGACCCGGGATGATGGCGATGATAAGCCCTTGCATCTTGCAGTCCTGGAGCACGACCGTATTGAGCCGCTGTGGTGTCGCAGTATATTCCTGTGCCATTCAACCGCGCGAGTCTAGCCGCATCAGTGGTATGGTCTTCCTTGGTGTTTGTAATTCGGAACATTGAGTGCCATCTCGCAACTGTATCTTTTGTCGTAGGCTTTCCGTTCGGGTCTAGATACTGGACTCGCACTTCTTGATCCGATAGTACATTGTCGACGTGCGCTTCGTGGATCTCGATCGAGGGGTCAAGGTCTGATCACGTTGAGTTCTGGTTGAACATCGCAGGAGAATGAAGTAAAGACGAACCTTGGTAGAGAAACGCCATCAAGGGGGCAAATATCATGAGGACAGAGGTGCATTTATTCAAAGAGAGAAAAGCAAGTCGACCGCGAGGAGAAAGGGGACCGTTCTCCTTGAGTGTCACCGTACCCAGATGGTTGGCCCTGCCGAGCGCATGGATTTGGCGCCAGTTTCCCTGTTGCTCTTGATGAACCGTCTCTGATATGACTGGGTAGGGGTTTGTTGTTTCGCTGTATTCGAAGAACAAAGCCGTGATTAGAAGTTCGATACGGTCTAGCTTCTGGATGCGCTCATTGCGGCTTTGGCAGTCAAAGCTGCAATACATGTGGGTATCAAACTGAACAAGGATCCGCGTATCACAACCGCGCGTGCTCAGATATGGTACGGCACTGCTTACCAGGCGATTGCAAGCGATGTCACGACATGTAATAGCTGCTCTCGATTGGGACATCCTGACATGTGGGTTGGAGGGGTTTCCGCAAATACTGAAGATATGGATTGGCCGTGTCAGAAAAATGTCGGGAATGACGCGTATTTGAAGGAATTCAGGCTTTTCGAAAGCGTCTAGCGAGATTTGTGCTCAAGCTACCCGTTTGTATCGGACTTCGCGGGCACCGTGGACAGAGATATGGGCCTATCAGTCTTTCACTTTCACACTGCGGTTACGATGCCAATGCGAGCCACATACTCGCAGCCGCTCTGGATCTAAGCAGTGCTCACAGTGACCTCTTTTGGTAGGTCACTACAGCCAGAAGGAGACCTGCGTGTATTTGGAACCAGAGCGATGAATTCGTGCTGCTGCCCGAGCCACCTGCGGCCAGGGAGCGGTACATGGTGCTCGACGACTTGTTGCATGGCAGCTTAGTCAAGCAACAAAAGGGTATCATGTAATGGCCAGCCAATTATGTGGCCTAAGGTCCTGACTTGAAGAGCTCGTCGTAGTTGTCTAAAGTTTGGCTGTTTATGCAGGTATCAATCTGACTTCCACTTGTATAGTCACCACCGACGGAATGGACAGGCTAATGGTACTGGAAGTAGACTCGATAACCTACACGGATGAAGATTCTGTTAGTCGAGTTGTATTGATGCCTGTACATCACTGGAAAGACCGACCAAGGCCTTGTCGGTGAGCTTGTCATGGCCAATGGCCAGACTGATGAGCAGCTCTGCACTTCACGACATCCACTGCGCAGACAAATTGGACTGATTCTTGGTCATTATCATCACTCAGGAAGTCATGAGCGATACCAAAATGCGCAGATTTGGTGGTTTGCGTATCATGATTTTGCTGGTATCTGGAATCATGCGCTAAACGAAAATCTTCACAACCCTTCTTCTCCCCGAGTTCCATCCACTCAAGCCGTATCCCAAGTTCATACGTAAGGCATTGATAGATCAGCACTGCTTAAATGCCTTGCCATAGCATAACCCTTTTACGAGCTGAGACTCGCTCCAGAGATTCTATGATCTTCTCATGGCCGGTATCGAAACAGTCTTGAGCGATGAGCTTGTGATGTGTTTCCCTATCGGGTGTGGGAATACACAGTAGGTCTAGATTGGTAACTAGAGACCGAAGACTGATCTCGACGGAAGCAAGTATCTCCCTCTCGAAGCTTTCCCACTTCGCGATGTCTTTATCCAGCAGAATCTCAGGCCCTCCAAGCCCATTCATCTTCGCGTATATCTTGTTGTTGATCGTTCGAATAACGGCCTCTGTTCTGTAATTGCTCCAAGTAGCGGCTTGATGTAACTTCTTAAGGTGGGCCTCGTAGGCACCACCGAGCTGCGTAGAGGATTGTGGTCGTGCAGGATAACTGCAGACGGCGTATAGTCCTGCTGGGCGGAGGTACTGAGGCGCTGAAGCTTCGATGTACAGTCCCTCTTCTTCAACGAGTCCGTCTGATTCTGGGTAAGCGTCCGAGGAGAGGATCTTGAACATTGTGTGAACAGGTGCGACTCTTCTTCGTTCCCACGTAATGACATCGATGCAAACGACAGGCTGGGCCTCGAAGACGTCGTTCAAGTCTGCTTCATCGACTGTGATTGGAAGGTGGAGCTCTAGATGGCGTCTTGTTAGCGGTCGGGATTTACTGTATGCGACTGAAACTTGGCGTACCCTCGATCAACCAAGCCAGCATCCCAGCAAAGACCTTGCACACGAAAACGCAATAATTGTGGGATTCCATAGCTTCTTCTGCCTCAATGGATGTGTATCCTGTTTCTTGAGCAACAAATTGATCGCCCAAGTCTTCTTTGTGGCAGAAGAAGAGATGCAGTTCATTACCGACTGTCTCTTTGCGCAACAGTACACGGGAATCAACCACTCTCGTGATGAGGGTGAAAATTGCGATCATAAATGTTGATATACGATTGAGGGCATGCCTCTGTAGCGTGGCTTGCGGATTGCTCATGCTGAGACGAATTTGCTTGTCGTGTTCACGTGGGATAGACAAGGTACTGACAAAGGAGGCGTCGAAGTACAATACCTTCGAGATTGGAAAGTGTCTTGAGGTCAAGGAGATTGGCTGTATGTGCGACGTGCGTCAGAGGTGAAGGAGAGACATCGACCCTGGTGTTTTGATCTTCCAGCGACTGGACCTCCCCTCGCTCTGCTGCGAAACCGGCCGACCATCTTCTTCACGTTCACCTACTTTCATGTACAGAACGAAAAGGGATACAAGGGCTGATATGTCATTACATTCGCTGACTACAAACACCTTGGATGCCTATCTGAAATGGTGATGATGTTCAATGGCCGAATGCGCAAGTCTCCAGAAGGTCCACAACACAACAGACCTACACAACGAGTGTGCAGATCGAAAACAAAGGTGGGTAAATCAATCCGACGAGGATAAGTAGCAAGCCTGAGGTTGTCTTTTGCAGAAATGCTCTGTATGGTTCACGTAGATGAGCTGGACGACCACCAAGACTTGGGGAACGCGTCATTATCCGCACTGTCACCTAGCCAATCTCCGCATATCGGCCAAACAAGTCTCACAAGTGACCCTGAATAGCAAAAAGATTCACTCTATGTCCCTGTCATTGCCAGTGATCGAAGCAAAAAAAGATGCCACGGCGCGGCTTTATACTCCTTGGAGATTCGCACTGTGAAAGATCAAATTAGCGAGTTCTTTAGGAAACGCAGGGCGCGGAACGCGTTGACCAAACAGAGTACATAGTACACACTTCTGGTTAATCCTAGTAGTGGTGAGATGCAGACTCTTTAATCGTATTATATAGTGGTATTATATAGATGAGTGGTAGCGGTTGGTATAGTAGGGTAGCAGATTGGTCGTAGCCTTCATGGGGGTGAATAACGGACTAAAGCGGTTTGCACTTCGAACTCATGTGCTTTATGACAATCGAACTGGTTTATCTGGGATCTTTCACAGCTTTGGCGATGACAAGATGCTATCTACACCAGCATATAGTGTTCACTGGATCAGTGAGGACAATAACTGCGCGTCAGCGCTTTTTGGCCTGCCTACGAGTTTGCTTGTTCAGATGACATGCAAATACCCCATTCACAGATAGATAACCATGTCACACGAAGACTTGTACATGGACTGTATGATACGGTTCAGTACGGTTCCCACCTTTACGCTGAATCATATATTCGTTGCGTATCATATTAGAATCACACTATAGAATTGCTCGTGGTGCAGGCCAGTCGCAGCCTTAGCTTTTGGTAGAAACAACTATAAACGAGAAGCATGCCATGTTTCTAATCCTTTGACCCAGTAGTCGTATTGCTGCTAAAGGAGGCACCAGTTCAGTTAGCTGCCACATTACTTGCTGCCGGCAGCGTACTACATATCGTATAGCGCCATTCCAGGAGTGTAGCTTGCTGGAGACGTTTGATTCGACGTAGACGTATTCAGAACCACGACGCCATTGTATTCCACCAAACGTATGAGCTCCCACGTTCTTGCGCTCGTCCGACAGTCTCAAGCATGCGCGCTAGCCAGTCGTGCGCCCCAAACCCTCTCGACACAATGCTAAGAGGTAAACAGTATTACGGTCGTTCTTAGATGCCGTAGGTAGGTTCTAATGATGAATACAGAAGGAGAGAGGGGCTAGTGGGATGTAGAGATACTGTAGCCTACGATATGTCAATTCGCGATTTCCTAAGTGATCTAATTGTACGTATCTTAACTGCGCCCTATGATCTATCAGAAGGCTTCCTTCTTCGAAACTGGCGTTATGGTACTTAAAGACGTCCATGCATCCATTATGGTCCGCAGCTAGGTCTGAGTGCCACCTGTTGTTATATTATCGTGGAGGTTTCGAAAGCCTGAGCTCAGCCATTTTCTTTATGTTGTACCTGAAGCAGCTCCAATTCGCGCACCGTCATGTCGCTGAGATCCTACTCAGTGGAATCTACGCTGGCGGCAGCTAGTAGCGCCTCGGTGATGGCTGTCTTCTGGAAACGAGGGCGAGGGGAAGAAAGGGACCGTCGCTCTTTGGATATGTGGCGCACGTATGAGGTTGTAAAGCGTGACTGGCAAGCAATTGAACGCAATGTCCTTGGCTGAGCCGATCAAAAGCATGTCTTTGTCGTTGCTTGGTTCGACTACGTTCGCAGCGTGAGAGGGATAGTGGTGCATATATGCAGCCACACTGTGTATTTGGGTACTGCAATCTTTCTTGAGATGGGGAGTCGCCTTAGTACGAAGCGATCCGAAATGGTTGTTATCCTTTGGCTCATACGACGAGCTTCTTCGATCGCTGCAAGGGCAGTCGAATTGTCATTTTCGAGCTTCCCAATCCCCGTCTGGTACAGCTAGCATCGCTCGAAGACCTACTATCGTTGTCTTAGATCCCTAGCTGATGAATTAATCCTCAAGTTGGCTGACCTATGTTTCCCTGGGGGGTTTCCGCTGTAGTGTTTTAGACAGTCGATCAGTGCGGCCTCCAAGGTGTGCTTCTGACCGACCCAGTCTTCCATATTGCCGTGATTGGAGTCTTCCCTAGACAATTTTACAGAAGGCTGTGACCAAGGCGCTAAGTTTGGGTGAGCGACTTGGATAGATCGAGCGTTTTGGAGGAGCAAAGCGCACGCACTTCCGCGCTAGTAATAACATCCAAACGCCCACGCTGCGAGCACGAATGACAGCAACTCTTGCTACACCATTCTTCCAAGTCACTTTCATATCTTCTCCTCAACTCATGGCCACCAACTCGTGTGTAGCCAGCATGCCAGTCGCCCCACCTCTCCCGCCCCTTTCCCTTCGCCAGATCCTTCTTGTACACCTCATCGTATTCCAAGAAGCGGTCTTTGGTTACCACGTCTACGGGTACGAGATTTTCAGGTGGTTAGATATCGTCTGCGACATATGCTATTCGGACTCCTATTCGATAGCCTTCCTCTCATCGAGCCGAGATTTCACATCGAGGCTCCCCGACATGTCACGAATCAAGTCAAGCTATGTATATCGCGCTTACATCATGAGGATGAGATGCGACACATTCTGTGCGATCATGCAGCCTTTCGTAGAACAACATCTGGAAAGTAAGCTCCTGCGACGTACTACAAGTTTTGCGCCGTGGATAACTGACCGATCATTGACAGAGCTTCTCGGCCTCAGCAACGCGACTGAGTGGAGACGTTCTCGTGCCATACCAAAAATTCTTCTCCTCTCAGACCTGCGAGGTTTTCACAACCCACCTGGTCACTCAGTTTTGGTGATAACCGACGGTCACGGTGAAGAATACATCTTCGATGGTACTATCGATCAATACGGATGGAATTGGGTGACACATTGGCTCATGACAAGGGATGAGCTTGTGGAAAGCCATATGGATCTGAGCCAAGCTCCGTATTTGGAAGATTACTTTGGAGGAGAACAGACTATTCGTGCGGAGGCGCTGAGCATGAACAACGAGTATGGATATTGGGCTATCGCGAGCAGGCGTATGGAGCAGATATTTGAGCAAATGGACTGGCACTCTCTGCGTGGATGCGCGGAAGATGAGATTGAGGCGCAGATTCGCGCTCTGAGCAGGGCCAATTTTGCGGGTGCATATGAGGAGGCAGTGGCACAGTAGGACAGGTCTCTATGACCTCGTCAATGACACTATACTGCCTCTATTTTCAAAGACAACAAGAAACAGTTCCCTTGGCATCACAGCTGAGTGGGATATTTAGTGAAGCCGCTCCCAAGTTTACAAGGGTGCACTGACTTACCACTAGCGCCTGATTTCAAGATGAATCGTCGCCGTCTCTCTATACTCTTACAACCACCAGGACAACATATCCTCGAGCAGAAATCGTTCTCCTGCTCACAAATCCATCATGATGTCAGCTGCATCTACCACAAACACAACCCGCCTGTCCCTGGAAGAGGTCTTGCAAGTACTCCTCGTCTGCTTCCACGCCGCCGCCGATACCGCCCCAAAGGCCATCCCCGCATACGCGCTTGAGCTTCACGATCCTTCGGTCCCAGTCCCGATCTGGAAGATTTGGTCGATAGAAGACCTGAGGTTCACCCCGCCTGACCCCGAAGACCTCAGCCGCTGCTCCTTCCTGCCACCGTGGTTGAACGACGCACTCTCGCGCTTTAACATGTGCGACTGGTTCATTCTAGTTCTAGAGGAGGAAGTGGACAGACTGGTCAGGAAGCTTTTCAACGGACGTGCCCAGTGGTTGACATATTGGCCAAAGATCGACCGCATCTTGACCTGGCGCAGTAATCCGAATCAGCCTATGGTGCTGATGCACTCCGTGCTGTACGTCGAGACAGGCGATGGCAGACAGATGATCATGGATGGCACCTTGAGGCAATATCTTTGGGAATCATCGACTTGGCTTCAAACATGCCAAGAGTGGTATGTCGGGCGCGTGGACTGGCCTCGTGGTTGGGATTTTCCTTCGCAGAAGATGAGATGCTTGGTGAAGTATGAAGCAGCACGTGCAGCAGGCGGATACTGGGCCTTTGCCTACGTAACATTGACACAGTTGTTCGGCGACCTGGACTGGGAGGAGTTGAGGGGTCTGGGACCAGTCGAGCGACTCGAGTGCGTTAAGAGAATGGCTGAAGGAAAGCTCGCTGGATTCCACGGATGGGCCCCCAAGTTTGGATGAACCAATGCAGGTGGAGACCAAAGGAAATGAATGTATGAATGGAATTCTTAGAAATGACAAGTGGTTGAGAGATGGATACCCAAGTGTAAAGCGCTCGACCGCTGGCCACGAACAATGCTCAATTCCCAAATTCTTATGCTGTTGGTGCCCACTTGCTCTTCTTCCTTATTCGTGCACCGTAGATGTAGAAAAGAATGGGAACAGGAAGGAAGACTACGCAGATGAACGCCAAAAGACTACTCGCCCAAGGTACACCAAGGTTGTGGTACATGGCATGCGTAAACAGTGGGAAAAATGCGCCTGCGAAAGAGCGAATGAAGGTATTGACCGCGATGGCACTGTTGGAATAGAAGCCATAGCAGTCGATGAGGTAACTCATACCTTGCCAGAACGGCACCATGCAGCCAAAACCGAGGAGAGCAACCGAGAGCACTTGTGGCACCCAGGTGATGTCGGGATTGCTAGTCCAGGCGAACCAGAATAGACCAGCAGGGAGTGCAATTGCCCCTAGAATCATAGGTGGCAAACGCTCCTCCGGAATAACCCTGCCGTGCTTGTGGAATGCGCGAGTAAAGTTTGTGGCGGAGCTATAAGCGATGCAGCCAGCACCCAGCAGAATGCCAACGATGAAGGCACCAAATGGCAGCTGCGATACCCCCAAAGACCATCCTCGTTCTTCGTGGAACGAAACCGGGAACTGTCACTTGTCAGGCCTTTTTATCGAGGATTATAGGGATGAACACTTACTGCTTCGAATAGTAGGTAGACGATGCCGTATAAAAAGCTCATGTAGGCTGTCACAAGTGCTAAGATTGGTTCCTGGATGAACATGATGAATGGCCTCAAGAGATAGACATTGACAACCTTATCGATTGTCAATTTGTTCTCGTCTGCTGCAGCGTGGTACTTGTCGTTACCCGTCTCCCTTCGTAACCTGGCAGCTCGCAGTTGCAGTATCCTGGCGGCTGACGTTTCCGGAACGACGAAGAAGCCAATGCCTCCGAACAGACCAGCCATGATCAGTGTGATCCACGACGTCCACCGCCATCCAAGGTGTGATTCCGTAATGAAGCCACCAGCAATGGGGCCTGCTACGGGGCCGGCAAATCCGCCGGCAGCGAAGACACAGATGGCATAAGACCTAGGGATGGGATCCCACAAGTCTGCAAGAGCTCCACCAACGACTGCCAGAGGCGCAGAGGCGAAGAATCCACCCAGGAATCGACCGACGCATACCGTTGTAATGTTCTGCGCGAGTGCTACTGGGATCTGGAAGATAGCAAACAGTGCAAAGCCAAACATCAAGGGAGGCTTCCGGCCAAGCACTTCTGACATGGGTCCAAAGGCAATTGGACCGAATACGAAACCCTGTAGCTCTGTGTTAGCCACTGGGTAGCCGATCACTGAGGAGTTGCTCAACGTACCAGGACGAATAATGCTACGCCAAGGGTAGCTGTGACCAGTTCAACATCGAACTTCTCTTGGACAACACCGATGTTGACACTGAATATCGAGCTGGCAAATGTGACTGTGAAAACCATGAGACCCATAGAGATAGTGATCCCCCATCTCCGCTTTGGCGTCCAACTCTTGGGATTGTCAGGGTCGTTGGGTCCATCGAACTCTACGAAGAAGGACTCCGTATCTATCGGAGGTGGCACGGTGCTGCTTGAAGCTTTCTCCAAGTCATGTGTCGTATCTTCCTCGCTCTTTTCGTAATCATCCTCTCTTGCAGCTGGTGTCTGTTCTGGAGGCATTTGAGACTGCGGCAATACTGGTGTATGCTGGGGGCCTGTGTTGGAGTCTGCCATAGCGATCGGAGAAGTTTGAGAGTCAGCGAGACGGATTCTTGGCTACAATGACGGAAGGCCGAGTATTTGTATCATGTCCAACTTGGATCCGTGGATATGTACTTATTCCCGGAGTTTGCATGGATTTAACGATAAAGAGGCGACGATCTTCTGCAGCCGCCCCTTGACCCACCTTCAGCGCTTCGCCATCTACGCGAAGTCAACTTGGCGTTTTATTGCGCGTTTGGTGCTGTCGCGCCATGATAAGGCTCCGCGGCTGAAGTGTCTGTTCGGGTGCGTCTACGATGGAAGAATGGCGTCCTGAGCAAAAGGAGTTACCGCGTCATCGATTCGTCGAGGTACTTTTCCTGCAGCTAGTAAGCGCAAAACAATAGTGCGGCTGCTTTTCCGGATGACACACCAACCTTCATCCAACATCATCTCAGTCAGCCCTTTCGTACAACCCGATAGACCAGCAGCGCCCTCGTACATGTATTATTTTCACCCAGAGTGTGCATTGCGATCGTCCTCTGGAAATCAGCTCGACGCGAAATGACCAGAAAAGCTGAAGAGTTGAGAGTAACAAGCCCAGATAGCACGACCATACCCGCAGAATTCGATAGATAGCAACAGGCTTTCGCGATGTCCAGGTTAATGTCTTTTGAATGCCGGCAACTAGCATACAACATCGACCTACCCTCTTCCAGGAAACAGCTTCTTCCAGTTGAGCTGATCCAGCGTTTAGCACATCGACATGAGCAGGACGCGAAATGCCTATGACTACGGCCATGAAGACTGATACTTCGACCAACCGTACGACTGTTGGACGCAGGCGTACGGAGATACCTACATTGCATCTGCCCCCTCCGCCGTTCCCAGCACGCGCTCATCGTCAGTAGCCTGCTGGTCATCTCCTTCGTCGATATCTCCACATATCTATCTGGCTTCGCGAAGCTTCTCCGTACCAAGCAAAGACACTAGCAAATAGGCCGTCCAACGAGAAAGGGTCAAGGCTAGAGGAGCATGCTTGATAGGCGACCGAGAACAATACGGAGAGGGAGGCGGGTCCGGCATGCGCCTTGTAACCCAGGTAGCAAGAAAGACGTCCCTGCAGATCCACAGATTATACATTTGGGCCATAGGTTTGAGTACGGAGGGGAAGAGGCAGATCGATACATGGCTGCACAGACGTTAACAGGGCCTCGTGTGCACCAGAGTCATCTTGGTCTTTTGTCTCATCGATATTTCCGTATCTATTACGGCTACCTTGCCTTGCAGATACACCAGCTTTAGCTGGAGTTTCTCAGGTGTAGTCTCTTTGTCATACTGGTCTTCCTCATTCCCCTATTCGACACCGTCTCTAGATCATTATTGCATTCTGTTCGTTATCGTTCGCCTGGATTATTCGCTTCAGACTTTCCCATGTAACATGGATCTCTGAGACCTCTAGTTCCGGAAATTCGTCTTTGAGCGACGTGCTGAGCATGGAAAGGATTTTCTGATGAGAGCGTTCATACCACTCATTCTCGACCGGAATTCCGCATGCATGGAGCTCCCTCTCGAGACCTTCCTCCGACCCAAGAGTAAGTACAAGGAGTAGCACCCAACTCTGTCCGTGTAACATGTGAGGTGCCTTGTGTACAATCGAATTAACGATGCCTTCCCGCTCTGCCTGATCTAGGGCCAGCAAATCCTCGACGCTCCGGCTTTTGAGGCCATCAAAGACATCTTTGAATATTAGCATTGGAAATATCTCAGGCTCCTGTCGCGGCTCATAATCATTGCCTGGTCTCCCCCCTTGGTACCCGGTACCAGAGCAACTTCATCACGACCACGGTCATGATCCTGATGGGCCTCCACCCATTGGCGGTTGGTGGCACTCGCTGGGTATCGTCCAGTATTTCAATACATTTTTGAATCGTGTCCTCATCGGCCCTATCGGGCCGAAACCATCGCCTCAGCCGTTCGTGACCGCAAGAAGGCGAGGGCTTGCCAAATTTCGTGATATTATTCGTGTGTAAGCAGTACCCAAGTATAGTGGCCGGCGGCCATTGGCCGCCCGAAATCAATAATAATCATTGCCTGATCTCGGGATAGGGGAAAGGGGATCAACAAGCCCCTTAAAGCGCAGTCTGATGCTGCTAAGATCTTTCCCTTGCTTCGCAGTCAAGTTGTGTGGTTCTTTGTGGTGATCGTAAGCAGCTTCAAGTACCTCAGTTCCTGTCTTAAAAGCAAATGCTCGGGCTTTCTTGTAGTCTTTTTGATCATAAAAGCCGTAGTCTTTATTTCCGCACTTGGACCAGTCGGAGCAATTGTTCGCTTGTCGCAAGATTACCTCAAGCATTTGCTTCTCAGATAACGTACTCGACTTTGTATCAGCAACAGCGTTGTCCATTGTTCCTTCTGGAAGTGCACTAGCAGCTGACTTCTTGCTCTTCATGACGTCTAGAGGTCTTCCAACTACTTCCCGTTCGCGGTCAGCAACCCCATAGAGTGGATTTACCATGTCAGAATCGATGCGAACCAAGAACACGTTGAATCTTTCCAAATCACTTTTGATGTTCAGGTTCTGGTCTATCATAGAAACTGTGTTCTCTAGGTTATTCCAGGTATTTTTCGCCTCTTTTGTAACGTGTTTTGGCCAATACCAGGTCCCCAATTCCAGTGAGTCATTGGTAGCTTCCGGATTTTCTCCCTCAGTACTTGAAGGCTTTCTTATCGATGATGTCAATAGGTAGTTGTAATTCGTCTTTGGACCACCCCTTCGTCTCACAGCGATGATGTCTCCAATCACAACTGGACCATTGTTGCTCGGCATTGAAGCTTTCAACCAGAGCTTCGCCATGTCGGCAGGCACTCTGATTTCGTCATGACCGTCCGAAGTTGCACTCTTGTCCGACTTGATCGTGGTGGTCCCAGACATGAGTTGCAATTCATCACTTCGGATGGTCTCCGTTAGTTCTTGGTCATTATCCGACATGCCGTGTCCAATGTCTCGAATATTACCCAGAGAGATAGCGGCAAATGGATTGAGACCCCTATGCGGCGCTCTCTTCTTGTACTACTACTAGTTATGTAAGCAATCACATCGCAGATCACCAGTGCTAATCATTGCGAGTTTGCTTTACGTCACGAGTGGCTGCATCAAACTCAAAGGCAGCAGGTTCATCCCGTAGACCGATATCTGTAGCTACAAACATTGCGCGACAGGCACCGCGAGAATGCCAGTACTCAACGAAAACAAGGACTGACATGTTACACAGACCATGCTGGCAGAGTATAGGCGGTTCTGCAAACGTATGTTCAAGAACGTAATGTCCGTGGAAGAACATTGGAAGAACCATCTTCCTCTTTCACTCAACTCATGTAGTGAAGTCAAGTGTTTAAAAAAAGGTCTGAATGCAGTCGCTTTGGCTAGATGGACAACGAGCATCAAGCATTACGAGTGGGCATGAAGATCAATTCCATAGCTATCCTAAATCACATCGTTTGTACCCTCGAATTCATCCTCACCCAACTTCTCAGCACGATCTGTGGTCTTCGCAGACTTCCGCTTTTTCTCAGGTGGTTGCTTGCTGGTCGGCGCGGCGGAACCCCTCTTGTTGCCCTGTTTGGACCCTGATGCTTTATCTACTGCCTCGTCTCCCTGATCAATCTTCGAAATAATCCTTGTCTCCTTCTCCCCCGCAGCTGCTCTAACCTTTTCCGAGACAAGTTGCTGTTCAGAGCCTTGGGACTCTACGCCGCTACTAGATTCAGCGGCGTCTCGTGCAGCTTCATCAGGCTCTGTCTCATTTTCTGCATCTGCCACTAAGCTATCTTGCTCTTTTACTCCAGCTGGTTCGTCATCTTCGCTGCCTTGTAATACGGACTCATCCTTTTCGTCTCTGAGAGGGTCGTCATCACTGCTGCCATCCACCCCAGAATTCACGTCAGTATCCAGACTGACGCTCTCAAGTATCTGAACCTCGTGCCACTTCGGTATCGATACTTTCTTGAAATCTCCCGCTTTTTTAGCTCTTTCATAATCTTCAAAAGCCTTCGGGAAGTCAGACTTAACAACAGTTCTCTTAAGCCATCGCAATGCATCGGTTCGGACCAATATCTCCACAATATCACTCTCCCACCTTTTCCTGCGCGCGATACCTCGAACGTTCTCACTGAAAGCCGCACCAACCTTCTCAGTCAAATTCGCGTCTGTCACTATAAAACCAGGCGAGACCGCTAGATTTTGCTTCTTGTGGTGCGCGTGCGAAGTAGTGTTGGTCGGCTTGCTCATGTGTGCTTTGCCACTGTTTCCCTTATTGTTAGTTAACTCTGGTTCACGCTCTGAACCCTTTTTGACTAGACCATCTTCCTCGTCCCCTTGGCTGATCAGATCGCTAGCTGTGGTTTCTAAGATTTCTGCCGGTTCTGGAGCATCGTCATCGTTATCGAGTCCGTTCAATAGCTTTTGAGCATGTTGCAAGGTCTTTGCGCGTTCAGCCTTTATACGCGCTTCTTTCTCGGCTTTACCCTTCTTCTCTGTGGGCATCTCACTGTTTCGGTCTCTTCCACTACCTGAATTGCTACTCATGTCTTCGTAATGGCTACTAACGTCTTTTTTTGATAGGTTGTGATATTTGTCGCAAGTGTGTGATTGTGATTAAGAGACGCAACCTACCAGGCTGACCTACGGTCTATGTTTATACCCTGATTAGGTTTCCACTGTCGCTCCCTCCTTTGTGTTGAGGCAAACATTGGTACTATATCTCAAGCAATATTTTGATACAATAGATTGTTCTAGCTGGCTCTATTCTTTGTTCCAGTGAGAAGGTGATGTGCTCCTTCACAAAGAAGTCGTTAGCAAGGACAGTTCGAACAAATCTGATGATGCACTAAGAGTGGGCGAAGTATCTGTATCAATTCGAAGCTCACATGCCCCGTCCTGACTCTGAGTCTGTGTTGTGATTTGCGATGTGGATGATGGTAAAAAGGTTTCGATGTATTGGCATAGATTTATTTACTTGATGGCGATGACGGGGGAAAAGTTCTACAGGAGCCAGGTAGGTAGCACAGACACAAAACTAGGTTCTAATTACAATTCCACACTCACACACCTACAAACGACTCTCCTCTCCATCAGTTCCAACCAACCCAGTTCTTACTCATTACACGCCATACCCGCACCTCACCTGATCTCAAGTCTCCCATCTTGAAGCTCTCGGGCTTAACCTTCTTGTGCTCGCGTCCTTGCTCCCAAGCCCGCACCTTCTTCTTGCTACCGTCCCACTCGACAACAACACCCACGTGATCTGGCTTCCCTACATCCATTGCGTACTTGGCATGCATTGGTCCAGTTTTACCCTGAAACTTGGCGTTGCGGAAGCTGATAATGTCACCAGGGCGGATCTCATCGTAAGATTGAGTGGACGCGTTGGCCAAGTTAGCGTAAACGAGCGCACCATAGGAACGGGTCGAGATCGGAGGCAATGCGTCATTGAAGGGCTTCAACAGCTCATCAACCAGACCGTGCGGCGTGCCGTTGCCGACAACAGTGTTCTGTTTTGACTCGATGGTCTTGGCTATCGAGCGACCATACTGTTCGTACGCGTTCTCTAGCTGGTCTGGGCGTTGGCTGGGAGGTGGCGGCTCATTGCGCTGCTCCAGGTCAACGTCGGAGACATTGGTGGCCTCGAAGCGAGCGGAAATGATTGTCTGTGAATAGTCAAGGTGAAGAACCTTGATGAGTTTCTCTACAGTGTTGCCTGACTGCGACTCCTTCATGTCTACCAGGACGTCTTTGCGACCCTGCAGTGAAGGAGGGAGCAGTTTGGGTTGAGTCCACCAATGCGACGAAACCCCCAAATCGATATCACTTGCAATGAAACCTTGGTTCGTTGTCGGACGGGTCTGATCCATAGAGGAGCGAGTTGTAAGCATCTGGACAGCATCGAGTGATTTTCGAGTGTTCAATATCCGAGGTGGAGCCTCTGTTGCAACGGGTGAGAACATTGAAACAGGACGCTCTTGGGGTGGAGGTGGTGCCATTCTTTCTTGAGCTGGGGGAGGTGGAGCCTGCATGTGTGGAAGAGGTGGAGGTGCATGCTGGTGCGGCGGGGCCTGAGGCGGTGGAGGTGGCGGTCTGTCGTGAGACTTCCGAGGCGCAGGCGAAGAGTACAAATCGTCCTCATCGTCTGATTGTTGACGCTGGGGCATGGGAGGCATCGATGGTGGCATTGGTGGCGGTGGACGACTCTGTGGGGGAGGCGGCTGACTTTGCGGGGGTGGTGGAACTGCTCTAGGAGCTGCAGGAGCCGCAGCCTGTGGAGGAGGTGGTCCGGAATACTTGTACGGATCATACTCGTCGTCATCTTCGTCCATAGGGGCGTTGCGAGTCGGCGGCGGTACCGGGGGAAGAGGAGGAGCACCACGTGGTGCATCTGTTGATGGCCGATTGGGCGCCTGCTGGGGTGGAGGAGGCGGTACTGCACGAGGTGCAGTAGGGGGAAGAGGTGGCATGCCGTGAGGAATTGTGGGCGATCGCGCTGATGTTGGCTCGTCTGTCAAGGCGCTGTCCTCTACACTTGAATCCCTAGCATGTGACTTCAAAGCATCTTTATGAGTTGCCTCTGGTGCCATGTCCGTGTCATAATCACCTTCGTAATCGGTTTCACCCTCGTTGCGGTCAAGCTTGCGGATTGGCAGATCTTCATGACGCGAAGGGGGCGCTTGTGCTGGTGGAGGTGGTGGAGGTGGCCGGCTTGTTGTAGGAGATCCGGGACCGGCAGAAGGGATAGGTGGCGCACGCCTCTCTGATGGCTCTTGTGATGGCTCACCGGAAGCAAAATATGAGAGTCGCTTGTTGGGTGCTTGCATTGGAGCAGACGGTGTGTTAGCAGTGTCTGTCATTTCATCGCCAGACTCAGATCCAGGTCCAGGAGAGAGAACCTGAGGAGGGGGTGGTGGCACTGGTCGAGCTATGTATTGTCAGTATAAGCTTGAGCATCATGAAGCGACGTGACTTACACGCTGCTGGCACCGGAGGAGGAGCAGGTCGTCCTAAGGATTGTCAGTACAGTATCAACAAGAACGCAATCTACAGCCTCATGCACACACATACTAGACACGCATACAGTCATAACATACTCCGATAGACCGTCGTAAGTGACATAGGTCTTTGACAAGGTCTCGGAAGATAATGGCTGCAGGCAGTCTTGGGTATGGCGTACGAAAGCGTGAATTGGTTTGCGAGGAATCAGGAACTTACGGTCTGTTGGGACAGGTGGGGCGCCACTGCCGGTAGATGTTTGTTGAGTTGGCTGAGATGCGACGTCCTCTACATCAGGTACTTCGTCCGCTGGATGAGCGCTGGTCACAGGGTGCGAGGTGTCGTCTTCCTTTTCGACGGAAAGCGAGCGGTCTTCCGGCTCTGGGCTTTTGACGGGTGCCATGCCAGGCATACCAAATCCGAACATAGGCACACGTTGCTGGGGCATGCTGTACTGTTCGGCGTCTTCGGATTTCTTCTCAGTGGTCGACTTCTTCTTTGGTGGTTTTGGTGGAAGACCGCCCATGGGCATAGGACCGCCAAACATGGGTATGCCGCCCATGCCGCCGCCCAATCTCCTCATGCGCTCACGTAGCTCTTCTTTACGTCTCAGCTCCGCGGTCTCCTCATCTTCCTCCTCCTCCTCTTCTTCCTCTTCTCCGGGCACATCTTGCTCGTCGCCAACGTTGGGCTCTTCGGCAGGAGCATTAGGTGCTCTAGGGGGTGGCGGCGGCGGGTGCCTGCTCTTTGGTCGGTCCTCGTCCTCTTCGACACTTGTGGACTCTCCTCCAGCATCCTCGGTGTCTCCGGCGGCGGATTGATCGGCATCGTTTTCGCTAAGTAGTTCGCGATTGCGGGCTTCCGAGTCCGGAGATCGAATGTCGTGAGATGCCCGCGGAGGTCGATTCTGGTCCATGGACGCACGACCCTTGGACGCTCCACTTGTCACGCGCTCTAGACCGGTATCTTCGCTGTCTTCAGCGTGAGCGTCTTGGGACTCGGTTCTCCTGACTACTGGCGGTTTAGGCTTCGGCTTCTCCTTGTGCGCAGCTGCCATCCTTTCTGCCTGTTCCTGCTGTTGTTTCTGAAGAAGGGCAATGCGCTCTTTCAGACTCATCTTGGGCTGCTGCTCTTCTTCGCCTTCATTTGTTTTCTGAGAATCATGAGCAACCAGTCCCGCACGCTCTGCATCGTTCTGGTTCTGCGCCTGGCGCTCTGCAATCTCGGGATCCTCCTCACGACGGTATGTCTTGACTGGTGGAGCTGCCGACTCTCGGGTAGGAGGAACGTAGGCATTCCGACTCGGCGGCGGAGCCACGAATGGCTTCTTGACAAAGCTCGGGGCGACGCCAGCTGGCTTGATAGGTTTAGGCGGAGGCTCACTTGTCTTGTTGAAAGCGGCGATGCGGCTCAGGAAAGCATTGTTCTTGGCGGCGACAGGTGGCGGGGCCTTCTTCGCAGGAAGGGCTGGCTTGGGCGACTCTGACTGCGGCGGTAGGGCTTCTTGGGCCTTCGCGCTCGACGCAGAGCGGGGCGACATGGGCGACATGGGCAACGGTGTTGTTTTGGCAGCTTGGGGCACCTCAATGGGGGCAGGCTGTGGCTTGGGTGGCTCCGGCTCCTGAGGTTGAACTGGCTCTGGTTCCTGCTGAGGGGCCTGGGGCATGGGGGGAGCTTCTTGCACAGGCGGCTGCTCCAAGGGCTTGTGCCGCGATGCTCGGTTGGGCCGTGGCGGCGGCTCTGGCTCGTAGCGCTCGACAAAGTTCCTGGGGAAGAGGCCATCGTGCTTGGTGCCGCTCTCGTCGGTATATTCACCCACATACCAGTCGTCGCCCTCCTCCTCGGTTACGGAGATTATCTGGCCGACCTTGAAGCCCAAATCATCTTCGTGGGGGGACGCGTAGTCGTAGACGGCCTTGACTTTGTACATGGCGACGGGCTACAGTGGTGGATGCAGTCGTTGCAGCTGCAGGATGCTCAATGGGGGGGTGACAGCTGCGGTCCCTGCCTAACAGCGCTTGGGCAAGATTGTGTGGGAGCTCTCTAGGGCGTTGTGCACGGCGGGTCTCGGACGTGGAGCTGCGATGACGCGGATGTCAGCATGTGCAGCAATGCGGGAGGCGCGGAACAAAGTCACGACGTACCATTCAATGCTTGCACCCTCACAGCTCGGGGCGAGGGGTAGTGGGAAGGATGAGGGCTGCTGCAGGTGCCTCCGTGCGAAGAAGTGTGGTGACGAAGCTCGAAACAGCCCCGCCCAAGTCCCCCGACGCTCCGCCAAGGCACGCCCAAAGAGGTTCCACTTCACACTCTAGCCACGACGATCCCAACACCAACAGACACCCGACATGCCGCCCAAGTCTATACTCAAGAACACGACTGTCTCCACAAACGGGCCTCCTGCGAAGAAAGCTGTGAACCCGCGCCACCTTGCAGTCGCCCGCCACCATGCGACAGTACTTGAAGATCGCAAGCGCGTCGAGGCAGAGGTGCTCGAGGCTGTCATGACACTGATGGACTATCCCACCTCGCCCGACGCCGATGCTAAGCGACCATCACCCTCAGACGCGCACTTCTTTCAAAAGGCCGTTATTCCCTTTCAGCCTGCCGACTATGATGCCCTCATCGAGGAGCGCAACATCGCCGACAAGTGTGGCTATGCGCTTTGCCCAAAACCAAAGAAGAAGGCGCGATCCACCGCAAGGAAGCAGTTTGTTGACACAGACCACGGTGTGCAGATAGTAGACAGAAAGGTGCTAGAGGTGTGGTGTTCAGACGACTGCGCAAGACGCGCGCTCTATGTCAAGGTGCAGCTGAACGAAGAGCCTGCGTGGATGCGGCACGGGGGATACGGCGACAAGATTGAGCTCATGGTGGACAATGCCGATGAACACCAGAAGGCTCTGCCGTTACGCCTGAAGCAGGAAAGCGCGACCACGGCCCACGTAGACGAAGACGCAGACCTGGATGCAGCCTGGGCTGCTCAAGCGGATGCTATGAAGGACCTGGCGCTCGAACGGGGGGAGAAACCAGGTAACCTAACCAAAACAAACAACGATCTCATCCAAGACCAGATTCTCGAGCGCTCATCCAGCAGCGCGCCGCCACAGCCACCCTCGCTTCCTTCCCAAACATCTGACCATACCATGGCCATCGAAGGGCACGTTCCACGTATCAACCGCAAAGAAAAAGACGACGATGATGACGACGACGACCAAGACTGGGATAAGCACCTGCCTGGGTGAGCTGCCATGACCACGGTCTTGTCACATAAAGGTCCCCACTCATCGGTGCGCACGCGTCCATAAGACTACCATGAAAACCACAAAACGTTTAACTCGCAAAACACATTCGATACGCCATATGGATAGAACCTATTGGCCGAGTACATTTGTAGAGAGAGATCCCGGCCTGGAAAACGGTGGGAATCGTTTTGCACTCAGTACAACAGAAGTCATTCTTGAAACCCTGCTGCCAAAGCGCAAAGTCAGGAAGGCTCAGGATATGCCTTAGCAAGGCTGCTGTTGATAGATAGTCACCGACTAGCCACTGTGGAAACTAATGTCTACAAATCCTATAATTCCATACCTTTGACGATCTTGACATCGTGATGTTTATCCATGCCTGTGGCCCATCAGAAGCCGCGGAAGTCTCGCACGGACCCCTCGCCGCAAACTCCATCGACATTTCTCTACTATACACACATTGGGATCATCACTTCAGCCGCCATTGAACGCCCACACGCGGCTGTCGCATCGCCAAGATGTCTCTAAGCCGCCAGTCTCTCTCGCCTACTGCAAATCTTCTTCGAAATTCTCGCCTGTTCTCGCTGCCGAACCCGCTCCCACGGCCGCCTGTTAGCGAAACCTATGGCGCGGGCATCTCCAAGGCCTCCGACACCGCCACGCTTCCATACCCGACCCACCAAGCCATTGCGACAACAAAGTCCTCGTTAGCACGTGGTGACTGGGGTCTCAAGCGGCCAATCCCATCGAGGAGTCACATAGTTCAAACGAGCGACCCAGTACTGAGGATCACTCAACTTGATACTATCGAACATGTTACAGACTTCGACTCAGCGGCAGACCATGTGCGGACTAGGCAAAAATGGGAGGAGATGGGTATGCCCATGATGAAGAGCACGTCGAGAATCACGAACGAACCACCACTTGGAGCCTTTGAGGTCCGGGATGATACTACGAGTTACGATACCGAGATGGGACTAGATGAGGCTGGATTGTACTTGCAGGCACTCAAGAAGAGTATGCCAGCACAGCGAGCCAAGGCCCAGCGGGAAGCTTTCAACGCTACCTGGAGAGAAAAATGGCAATCGAAACTCGCAAGCTTCAAGGCACGTGGATGGGCTGATAACCTTGTCGAATTTGAGGCTTTCCGAAAAGAAGCGTCTAAAGGAGGATCAGAGACGAAGCCCTGGTTAGATGAATTCAACGCCTTCGAGAACGAGCGGAAGGAAGCAAAGAAAGCACTGAAGGAGCAAATGGCAGCAGCATCATTTACACCTTTCAGACCGCCTGTGGATTTAGCCGTTCGCAACACCAGGCGGTGGAAGCACGATGGCCCTTGGCTCCCTGGCATGAGCGCCGAAGAATTTGTCTCTTACCTCAACAAACAGATTACACGCCGCAAGAAGGAGTTCAATGAGTACCTGGTTGAGTACGTCAAGAACGAGATCTACGCCACCCGCCGACTTGCCGCCACAAATTCTGGTGAGGTCCCGCCAACTGATGCCCAAGAAGCTGAGGCATGGCACGAGCAACGGGAGAATGCCTGGCGCCAAATCACGCAACCTCAGATTGAAGCTGGCATCAGGGCGCTACGAAGAGAGGCTGCGAAGGATCCATTGAGTAGCAAGCTCGTCAGCAAGTTGATAGTCCCCTTTTTGAGGATACCAACCATGAAGCTCAAGAACACAACCTTCAAGGAAGACGCCTCCAAGCGCGACATTGAAATGTTCCAATTCGAACAAGAGACCGCACCACTCTCCACCCACCCTTCAGCTGGACTCGGCTACCTTCGCCACTACTCCTACATCGCCAACCACCCCATTCTCGGTCCTCAAGCCAAGCCCACTCCCATACCAGCCCGTCTCATGCAAGCAAGACGCACAGGTACATCGAACGAGCTTTACGCCCGCTTCGGAGTTGGAGGCTTTGTGGCAAACGATCAATTCAAGGGCATAGACTACTCACCTGTCAATCGCAACGCCAGCATGGCCAACGCCAGAGACGTCGAGACAATTGATGTCGATACACCTGGTGGCAAGAAGATCATGGTGCAACCTAGATACGCCAGCGTTACGAACGATGGTCGTATTCACATCAAACTTGACCGTGCTACGGGCCCTGAAGTCATGATCGCGAGAGGTGAACTCGATGACAAGCCACCTATTAGGGCTAACATCGATAACGGTGACCTAGAGAACATAGTCAGTGGATTGGGAAAGAGTGGGGTCAAGGAATTGGATGAGATGAGTGAGAAAGGTCAGCAGTTGAGTGAGTTTTTGCAGCGCGAGGCCCCTCAAGGACGTGCGAAGCCCGCAAAGGGTTTCCCTGGAATGGCTGAGGCGTTGAGATAAGGTGAAGCAGAGAGACCCTGTAGTATACTGCATCCATTGTACTTTACTGTGTGTAATGAATATGAAATACACATATATCGTTTCCTGCTACTTTCTGTGGTGATTGCCCTAGCTAATCTTCCAGGAACAGGTTTTGTATGAACATTGATTGGATGGACAAATGCCAGTGATTGTGTTAGGTACGTCGGGCATCCTTTAAAGAGGATGATGAGAAACGAATCCAAGCGGTATGGGCGTCAGTTGAGCCAGTGAAATGAACGACGTCATGTTCTTTCGGGTTACAGTGCGTAAAAAGGAAGGTAGCTCATGGCACGAAGCATCTCAAAACCTGCTCGTCATCTGATAGACCACATCTTCAAAGGTCCTCTCTCACGTAGTGCAGTTTTGGATGAGACATCGACCATACGCTACATTTGCGATATCGCTCACTCGAGACTATTGGATCCAAGGCAGACAGTGAGACATTATGTCCCTACAGAATAGTCACGAAGCTTCCAGACATCACTGACTGGCAAAGCGGACAGATGTCTATGACCGAGGTTATGCGTTGAGAAATCATGGGCCGCACTAGTGCTAAACATGGCGGTTGCCTACATTGTGAGACATCTTGCAGGCTCCAACTTCGGCTCAGCAGCAGCCGACGTCGAAGTCAGTGGACGATGCCAAGGAAGCAATATCGGACTGCTGTGCCGCAACACGGTGGTGGCAAGCATGTCGACTAACACGCGTCCTGGAACAGGGATGGCTGCGAAGAGAGTCCGCGATCTTTGTTGGAGGTGAGACAGACATCTGGTAGTAGTAGACCATCCAGGCCACTCTGAGTCGGCCCGTATGGTAGCAGTCATGTGCATTCGTGCATATGATTTTGACGGATATCCGTTCAATGGCGGCTAGTGTGCACTTGTGCCTTGTTGAGCCCGTTCGAGGATGTTAGCCATTGCACTCTCAACAGTCTCACTCCACCTGAAGTCTACATGTATGCCGGTCGAATCTCGCCGTGCTTGGCAATATCCCGCAAGACAGCGTTCAGAAACTCTTATTCGAATTGGGCTACAACAGTGAATTTCTGCTGTTGATACCTGACTCTTGGCCTAAGCAGGTGTTTCAGCTGTCATTGTACCCATGCAAGAAAGCTTGTTGTTCCTGTGCAGGGCCGTGCTTGGTGCTCAATGACAATGGGGCCGAAGCTTGATAGCAGTTTGCATGTTGCTTACGGATGGCGAGGCTAGACGGGACGGCGCGTACACTGTTCCTGTAAGATATGAGGAAGAAGGTGGTGGCTGTGTATTGACATGTGTATCAGGTAAACCTGCTGGTGAGACCTTGGCAAGTTAGGGTCGTAGTAACTGTGGGCGGTTTGCGCGGTTGATGGTATTGCGTTGGCGGTCCCGTTTGGAAGCCAGAGGGATTAGGAGGCATACTTTTCGCTAGCTGCTCGATTCACAGCCGTTGAGACGTGCTTTTTGCCATGAAATGATCCACGGCGGTGTAACCATGACACGGAAGAAAAACACCATAACCATTCTGATAGCACGGCGATGCCATTGATGGCACTACTCGACGATACCACATGTTGAGTGCAAAATATTCAAGCACGGCAGTGACGTGGATGGGTCTGGGGTTCGCAGTAGTTTCCGCAACCGCCGGTCGGACCATCGCGAGGTCATCGATAGCGTGAGCAAAGTTTGTGAGACGCAAACTTTTGGATACATCAGGCGGCCAACGAGGGCTGAGCGGCCATGCGACACTGATAGCGGATTGGTGATATGCTGTGGCGCGGCATGCCTTAAGACGCTATCAGCCTAGTCTGTTGAGGCGTCGTGGCTGAGGCAGAGATATCGGTGGACATTGACGTGCATCATGGAGTTTAGCCGGCATGGTGTTTGCGAAAACACGGTGAGACGATATCTTCATGACGGTAGAGATTTTTGATTGGGAGAGTGGACTGCAAAGGGTGTGGCAGCACAGTGTCCCAGAACATACTTGCCGTTGTCGCGATCAATCACGGATCGACCACGCTTCTCGTAGCAAAGACATATGTTACAATGATGCCACGTACGGCCAAAACTGAACACCATTGTCCATGCCTTTGTCAGCAGTTGAAAGAGTGTGCGCCACTGCAAATGAGAACGGTGGCTGCTTGAGGTGGCCGTGCCTTCCTCGTTAGGCCAGATTTTCTCTCGGATGTGGTCAGAGACGCAAATAGCGGTGTCGCAAATTAAAGGGACGGCTCGCTTGCTCTTCCACTCGTACTTGTCTGAAAATCAAGGATTTTGACCCCCAAAGTATCAGAAGAGTGACGAAGTGCACGAGCTTTAGGGCTGGTGAGTGAGGCTGTGAAGCCACAGAAAAGACTGTGGGCCAAGGGTGGACCAAACGGCTCGCCAGGAGCACACATCGGTCGACAGCCACATTTGGCACACAAAGACGCTTGTGTGACTATGGCATTCGCGCTGATGATGGTGGAGATTTGTAAGGAGTGAGGTTTGTCGTCAAGGTCGGCGAATTGTAGCCTCTCGGCGTTACATCACGAGTCGGCGCTAAGGGACAATGTGCTCGATATTGGGGGAGGGCGCTGACGAAGACTCACCTTTTGGCGGCAGGCGTCGACTACTCTTTCCCGACTTCGGATGAGTCAAGGCAGCAAGGTCGCAGCAGGCTCACATGCTCAGCAATTCGCCTGCCCACCATCATCAATCGTCTTGACGACCGCAATCCATCAGCACCTCTTTCGCGAATCTGCAAGACACTAACAGCGCGCAATATAATCGCGCTGTCGAGGTTTTAGGACGCGATGCATGAGGCCAGTATGCGAACGATGCGTCCGCTGCTCGCGTGGGTGTGCATCTCCCTTTAGTGCCCGCCGCACCGTGAGGGGCCCCACCAGCACCAGCCAGTCGAGCGGCCAAGCACACTTCCCTCCATCCATATCAATCATCAGTGTAAAGTAATATGGTCGGGCATTGGGCGCCGATCAAATCCCCGGCTTCTGGTGCCTGGCATGGAGGGCCGCCTGCCTGACGATACGGGAATGACTGCATGGCGCCTGCCTCTATTCGCCAGTCTTTCAGCTGAAAGCTGTCTGTCCGGATTTTTTCCATCGCTAACAGCACCAGCACGTTGCCGTCTTTTCAAGAAAGAGGAATGTCATCGAGCAAAGTCACTAGGGCCGAGTTTAGGGGCACGATGATGAGGGATTTGGGGAGGCGCTCGAGCACCGGCAGTTTGCCATTGCTGCCCATCGAGTCTGAGACAGGTTGTGCGGCCGCGCGGATGCGCAAACCGGCTGGCAGACTCGACAATTTCTCTTATTCCCCAATTGCAGCGGGCCTATCTCCCTCTTCATCACCCTCAGGCACAGGAAAACCGGTGACGGGCAGGGTCCCACTTGTGGCTGGGCGGTGTCTTCGGTCGCTCGCAGGCTGTGCAATTCACCGCTGCGCAGCCCTAAGGAATGGCCCCAAAGACGCCCGGATCATGTTCATGCATTCTGTCCTGCCCGTCGCTGCGGCCTGGCACTGGCACCTTTTTCTGCACACCCGTTTCGGTCATCTTTGGTAAATCTGTTCCCTTGTCCACTCATGGTGCACTTTCCCAGGCTACACTCTGCGCCGCCTGGTGCTTAAAAGAAACCCTTGCCCAGTAGGGCTGCACTTTACTTTCCACAAAGTCGCATAGCTCCCTGCACATCACACTCTATTATTACCCCTTCGCCGCTCTGACTCTTTCGCCTTTCGGTTCGTACTTGAACTGACGAGTACACTCATCCTACTTGCCGCTTGTCTCAGTCGGGCCGTCACCTGCTGCTCAAATACCGTCGGTGTCCCCAACATTACCGAAGTATCAAGCAAGTACAAATCGACACATCCTTTGATCAACTTGTACTTTGTAAGGCCATCGTACTCTTATCATAGGATTCTCCCTTCACACCAAATACTTCCGCAACTGCCCATTCTCTAACTGGGTTACATACTCGGATAACTTGGTCTGGTACCACCATCTTGAACTCAAGACAGAGAGGTTCTCAATCATCCTCGTCTTTGAAGTTCCCAGCCCCAACGTTACCTACTTCACATTACTGCCATGTGTCGGATAGAGGAGCGCGTCGAGTACAGCCCTGATGGGCGTCCCATGACATCTTCCCGGACCCGCCTGTGCGAGAAAGCACGCGATAGAAAACCATGCCGGGACGCAGTGGTCATACCCTATCGATACAACCCCAAGAGAGGCTCTTCAGGCCGCGACGACACACCATCCCCGATAAACCCACCAACTCCTACTGGTAGTGGGTCATACCTAGTTCAAACTCGCCGTCCATCAGGCAGTGGCAGTCGCCCTTCCACTCGGGATGGCCAACGACCTATCAGCACCGAGATCATCATTGGGTTTGGCTCCAAGAAAGACAAGACCAAAAAATATCCATCGATCTCTGTCTCCAGCAAACCATTTGATCGGTCTTCTCTCGGCTCCAGGGGATCTCACGAAGCAGTCATTGAGCCGGTAGGCTCCGATGCCTCATACCCTCTACGAACAGGCTTTCCTGAGGCACCTCTGCCTCCAACGGCAACTTTCGATAACCCCAATAACTATCTTGCCACTCCCACCATGTCCTACGGATATCGTCCTTCGCATGTTCCGTCAGCATCTTCCAGCCAAACACCATCGCTCTATGCAGACGACGACCCACCGGCTAGGCCGCGGAGTTCAAGACATCCTGCCACTGTCATCCACAACCCGCCTCCTGCCACTCCATCCTCGCCGTCTCAGCGCCCGACTGGAATGTCATCTGGCTCATACCGGACCTCAAATGTCGCTCCACGAGACTCTTACCAGAACCCACTTGACAACGACGTCTTTGCCGACAACTCCTCGTACAGTGGCTCGAGTATGCCTGAAGTCAATCGTCGTTCCAAGAACGGTGACGAGCGACAGAGGCAGCCCAAATCTAACCGACGTCAAGAGGAGTCTGAGCGACAGGCAGCTGAAGAAGCTGCGAAAGCTGAAAGGGAGAACGAAAGGCATGTGCGTTTCGAACTTGGCCGTGCAGACAGTCGCGCGAAAGAAAGGGCAGAAAAGCACTTAGCTGAGAAGGAAAAGGACCGAGCAATAGCTAGAGAGGAGTCTCGCCGTCTCAAGGAAGAAGAGCGTTTGCGACAAGAGCAGAAAGATCTCGAGAAGGCAGCGAGAGACCGGAAGAAGGAGCGGTCGAAGCCTCCAACAACCGACTACTCAAGCAAACGACCATCTGCAGGACGCAGAATGTCCTCAACCATGACGCCAGCTCAGCTAGCAGACCAGCAACGCCTGATCGAATTTGAGAAGGCGCAGATGCGTAGTGAGAGGCAGATTGCAGAAGCTCGAGAACGAGATGAACAGCTGGCAGCAAATCTAAAGAGCCAACAGGAGCAACCTGGCTACTGGGACCCGCGTGGCGGCGATCGCTCGCTTTCAAATCGACGAGAGTCAATGACTCGCCACGATAGCGTTACCTCGCGTCCAGCCGAGTTGGGTCGAACTCCCAGCAAGCGCCGCACAAGCATCTCGCAACCAAACCCTCCAGCATTTGATACCCAAGTGCCTGCAGAGACATACCGACCTTCTAGCTCAAGAAAACGTGCGCCTCCACCGTTGTCGTTTCCCAAGAACTTTAACCAGGAATACGCTACTAGGCCGTCGTCATCTAGACGCCCTTCGTCCAGTGGTCAGGAGAATCCCTTCGCAGCCTCATCTATGATGTCGCCTTCCGTAACATCGCAAGATCCATGGGACTTGCGCAACGTCGAAAGTGCGCTCCCGACCCCTCGATTGCAGAATGATAGCCGTTACGGTACAACGCAGCCTCAAAGCTATGTCGATCCCTTCGCAACAGATTCTGACAGTCCATCGGGTGATTACATCCAGCCTGCTTATGCGTCGCGCACAGGGCTGAGTCGTAAAGGATCGAAGAGGAAGCATTGAGCTTCATATCCAGATTGATTATCGCTTTCGTTTTTGCTAAAGGAGTTTATGTGGTTCTGCTTTCTCACACGATACCCTTCTCTCGCCCTGCTATACCTTGAATAGATATACCCTTTGCTTCACTGCGCATATTTAGGGAGTCAATAGCAATCATATTGTCATCATACGTTGTTAGATCGATTTTTGAGTTGCTCATCAATGACACCATCCCCAATCATTACCTTGTTGATCATCACACTCAGCTGCCTTCAATCCACTCTGTGTAAATTTTCCAGGCATCGCCAAACTCTGCAAATGTTCACTCATCGTCTTCTTTTGGTTGACTCGACGGATAGTCTACTGCAGTCTTCTGACTTCTCCTGCGATAAGCACGACGGCCTATAACTTCAGCTTCCATCGGTAATGTTTGTGTATCTCGCGTAGGAAACGCATCTGCACGTCGATCTTCGTCTTCTGTCGTCGCACGGTAGTCCAGTCGCGCTGCACTCGTGGGTGAGCACGACGACGTCGCGGTATACTGAGGCGGCGTCGCGAAACCCAGTGCACGTGCGGTCTGCATAAGCGGTGGTGCCGGCAGCATGTCTGGGAAATCAGCAAATCGGGCACCTATTTTCTGCGTAGTCGTTTCACCCTGACGACGACGGGATAGTGCTGGCACTGCGGATTCATCATGTGTAACACCAAGTTGCTGCGGAGTCGCTCTACCCTCATCTTCGCTCTGGCCTTCGTGGTACTCAGGCGGTAGATGTAATTCCCTGTTAACAACAGCAATAAGCGAACTGGCAGATTCTGCACGAGCGTCGAGAACCTTCCAAGAGTGGATTTGGACCTCCATCTCTCTAGCGAGACGACGAACTAGGTATAAGTAGCGAAGGTGGTCGTGAAGGGAAGAGGGAACACTAATGTCGACTTCTTTAATGGCTTGAGAAATCTTGACTATAATGTCGGCATTATGTCCAGTAAAACTGTAGTTTGGTGATAACATTGCGGAAGTTGAGGTTCAATAAGAATATCTTGGAGATGTATAATCTCTCTGGATCTTGTACTGATGTATACTCAATGTGCTTGCTACGAAACATATCACGAGATCAGAGCGGAGTGACACTTTTTACCATGCATAGGAAGCCAAACAACTGTCAATCAAGGCCTAAAGACCTGTTTTAGGCATAATATCCTCGACCTACTCTTACATTGAACCTCCATCAGCTTTGCATCTTTCCCGCTTTGTTTACATGGATACAGTAGTGCAAGTGAGCGGCAGCAAAACTTCCCATACGCTCTGCGCCTCTGATAAGCGTAGGCTGATCTCCATCCGCCACGCTAACGTCTCTCCTTGTGGGATTGACTGGCAGCACATCTATTCATCCTCCGCCTCCAAAGCCTGACCTAGTGGGCTCGCCGAAGCTGTATGGCGGAGGATCTCATTAGATTGCTGGCGACGTGGTGGGGGAGAAAAGCTGATCTGCGAAGGCGGCGCGGAGAAAGGAGTGCGAGTCATTGGCGTGGATTGACCAAATTCCTGGAGCTTCTTTTCGAGATATTGGATGCGATCCTCTTGTTCCTCAGTGTATTGCATCTGCTCTTGGTACATGCTCGAGATGTAATTGTGCTCGTTGTATAGGCGGTCAAACCTGAGGGCAGCATTATTGACATCGCCTTGGAGGCGAAGATGTTCGCGATGGCTCTCAAGCTTGACGCTCGCAATGTGGCGATGATGGGCTTCGTCAAGATCCCGAAGCTGCTTTTCGTGTACCTCTCCTACGTTATCCGTTAGGAAGTTGGTGAGCGCTCTGGTGGCATTTATGCGCGCGAGAAGCCCGATTACGACGGCACTAAAGACTGTAACCAAGAGAATGATCTCGCGGTCGGTGATAAGCTCAGTCTGAATCAGTTAGTAATTGAGTACATGAAACCTGTATCGATTCACGTACCTTGGACCAGAGCGAGAAGAGAAGGCCGAAGATACTGGAGCACAGGAAGAGAGCGATAAAGTCGAAGCTATTGAACTCCATAGCGGCAGTGTATCCCGTGAGTGAGTAAGTGAGTGGGATCTTGAGCAGGCAATTCTCGAGCCGTATCGAGCTTGAACACAGATCTGGCTTGGCAGTCCAGCTGAGTTTGTGACTGGAAGCAGATGGGATGAAAGTAGATGAGAAGGCAAACTGGCTTGAATACTGATATCATAATATGATAAATTCTAAATGGCATCAATCAGCTGTCGGGCTGGTATGATGTTGTTCTACCACACTGGCATCCCCGGTCCTGGATCATGTCTTAGTCTAGAAAATCAACATCATTAGACGATATCTCGGAGTTGGATCGCGTAGTCTTTCATTCACTTGTGTATGTATTAGACAGCTACAGATAAGCTTGTGTAACTATGTACATGAATGTGTTTAAGAAGAAGCTGGTGCTTAGATGATATCACACCTATAGGTGTATTGTGACAAATCGCTCAACGCCGTTTTTATACCTCTATGCAGAATACACAATACCCATATAACGCCATGGCCATGCAATAAATCAGGTTGGTGATGAAAAGCGAGATCGCCAGATACCCTAAGAAAGGTCCATGGGTTCGGCGGTGTTGCTAACGGTACCGATTGATGCACGCTGGTCCTTGATTGCCGGAGGAGCAGCCTGCGAGAAATGATTTTGGGGAGGGGGAGCAGCAACGTTAATGCCAGTGTTGACATTGTCGTTACGAACTTGAGGAGGCGCGACATACCCCATGTGAGGCTGGGCGTAGATCGGAGGTGTCGCAGGACCGGAGGAGTTGCGCGGCGGTTTCCGACCACCAATGCGCTGAGCTCGAGGTGCCGGAAAGCAAGCGTTCTTGACACGAGTCTGAAACTCCTGAGCGAAGTTATCATATGGCTTCTTGTCCTCTGAGGTCTTCCAGCCCATCTTGTTCTTCATACATTCGGCCTTACGGTGGCTAATCGTCGAGCCTTCAATACGGATACCATTGGCCTCAAAGCGACGACAACAGTCAGATCGCGAGAGAATGAGTAACACAACAAGAAGGCTTACGTTGTCGTTATCGAGGAGATGAGGACAAAAGTCGCAGACGTTGCAGGCAAAGCGGCGCATATCTTCGAGTTCCTTGGTATCGGTGCAGTTGACGAAGCGTTCGGCCATGGAAAACGGGCGCACCATGTCCCTACATATATGGTTCTGAAGGACATTGGCGACCGAAGAGACGGATACTGGATAAATACTCGAACGGTCGATCTTGCTTGTAGCAGATGATGAGACCGTGCCAGCGATGTAGACAATCTCAATATCATCAAATGGGCCACGATCAAGCTTAATGTCTTGGAGGGATTTCCCTTCCTTCTGGGCCTCCTTGTAGGTCTCGGCATTCTTGATGCCAGCTTCACGTGCCGCTTTGACCGCCTCCCGAGGTGTAGTAAAGCCGTACTGCTTGGCAAGGGCTACGGAGTCTTCGTGCATCTCAAATTTGGACAGCTTACGCTCAACATCAGGGGCGCGGATCCAATCCTCAGACCAAGGTTCTTCAGCAAGAACCTTATAGAAGACCTTGGTAAGTGCGCGAAGCTTGATCTCAAGATCGGTCATCATCCGCCGACCAAAGTAAAGCTCATCGGTCTCAAAGAAGGCATTCTCAATGAAAGCCTTTCGATCCTTTTGGGTCAGTTGGCCCCGCGAGGGGTCATTCTTCCATTCCTGGATGATGTGCATAAACTTGGCGTGAAAGATATCATCAAAGTGTTTTGATGCGGGTATAGCTGTCGCTACATGTTATATTAGCTTCTGATCAGGACTACAGCATGTTGTATTCACGTACACGTGGGTGTGTGGGGTTGTTGTGGTGAAGATGGTAAGGTAGTAGCGGTCTGAAGGACAGGGGCAGGCGACATAATGATTCAAGCGCGGTATATGACCTGATGTACCGAAAAAGGTAACTTGAACACTTGCAGGTCAGTATAGACAATCCAAAGCAGTCAGATCTCGATGGAATCAGATGGTGTTGGAAGGTGAGGTTCGCAGTTGGGTCAAGTGTTGCGGGGTGGCTGGGTTGTCGGAGCGTGAGGTTGTAGGCAAAAACATTCACGCTCGCGTAAACTTAGCGCTTGTCTTGGCGGGAGCATTGGAGCAGCACGTGACTGCATGACTAGCCAGCATGTGGCCCCAACAACCTCGGATGAACGTCATAGCTTAGCGCTGTTAAACGCAACGATCATCCTAGCCATCCGCCAGGCACCTCAATCGTTCAGCCTACAGTCCATCAACAATAACTGTTACAATGGCTTACATGTTCTTACACACACCTAGTGTCGCCGGAGTGAGCCCGGGTGCGTGTAAGCTACATATCCCTTCGAGTCGCTTTCTTACAGCAAAATCCTCGACTCATCCGGGTTCTATCTGTCTTCCTCGATCAATGTTCTACGTGTTTCATAAACAGCAAATGATATAGAAAAACTGGTATCAAAGGAAGCCAGGCCTGGTCACAATCTGTAATTTGTTCTTGTCGACTAGACTCCTGTATCCTTTCGGGAGCAACGTTAAATGTCTCCATAGACTGTGTCGCCTCCAAAATGGTGACCACCCTGCAGATAGGTTGATGGGACAATTATCTAGCCAGACCACGATATTTTCCACGTCCGGGACGACATTCATAGTATGCGCGAAAACCTGAAAGGAACCAGGAGCTTGACATTCATGGGGTGTTTGTTGGTTTCCAATTATCAATGTTGCGATATAGGCTAGAAAAGTACCATTGGGACCATCATGGTGTCTGTCTTATGCTGAGGATTAAAAGAATGTAACGAGGCCACGTAATAAGCAGAGATATTGCAAATGGCCAGCCTAATGAGGCTTGTCACGGCGAAGGACACTTTTGCAACACATCATAGAAGCGGACTAGAGCCGAACATCTCCTCTGTGCGAGAGGACCTTTTTGCGACCTGACTCCCTTTCAACCTCCATCTGGAACTCAATCGCTAGATGGGTGCGCTATAGCACGACTTATACCTCGAGCCAGAACTGGCCGTACCCCAATCGCGAAAGCATGCCGCATTCTCGCACTGTCTGCCGAGCTCCGCCTGCTCATCTACAGTCACTTGGTCCCTGAAGGCTTCCTCCCGAACGCGCACCATAAGACGTACATTGGGCTCTTGCTCTCCTGCTCCCAGATCTACCACGAGATGGCGACAGAATCCATACGCGTCGCGCCTCTCATTCTGCACGAGATACAAGACACTGTCTACGCAGCGCCAATGAAGCTGCAGCCGTTTCGTCCAATCAACCTTGCCTCATCGATGCACATCACGGTCGGAATACCCCGCTGGGCAATGAGCAACAGGCCCATCTTGAGCGGCATAGTAGTCGCTATAATCTCATTACTGGAACTTCATCTAGCAAGTCTTACCATTGGAATCGAGGAGCATCAGAGTGAGTATGATGTCTGGCAGATGTTTAACATCGGGTTTCCACTTCTAATGCAGTATTTTATACACGGTGTGAAGGCAAGAGGCACCGTGTTTCCTCTCGGATACACCACGAACACAGATCATTATCGCGAAAGAACAGTATACTCGGATATTATCACGCTTGCTATGTCAATGAACTGTCTCGTTACGCCAGGTATCTGCAATGGAAAGCACCTGCCAGAAAATAACGCTTGGTGTCTCCGTCGTCCATCTCGCTCTTCACGACCGCCACTGCCAGCAAATGCGTGCAGAATTAGGAGGATTGTATTCTGTCTAAAGAGACTCCACGATGAAGATCACTCTGTTGCAGGTGGCCAATTCCGCCGGCTCGTATATCCATTCAGCAGAGAGATTATGCGCCAACGCGGTACTACTACGAGCCTACGATCGCGCCCAACGACCGAAGTGCTTCCGTTACTGGAAGAGGGGTGGGAGGCTAGGTGGATAGATGAGATGGGCATAAAGAGGGGTTGCTTCAGAAGAAAGGCGGGTCTATTTGTCTGGAAGATATTGGGGGAGAAGCCGATAGAGAAGTCGGTAGAGAAGCCGCCAGGCAGGGTGAAGAAAGCGCTGAAGTGGCTGTTCAAGCGGTCCTAATTGACACATATTCAGTGAGCGCTCAAACTTTCCAAAGGACTCAAGGCTATTGCAGGTGGCTCATGGAACGTTCACAAGCACCGAATGATTTGAACTTTCCTTGCGATGCTACATATATCCACACCAACCTTGAAAATCACGTCAGCGCAACAGGGATATCCCTTTGATGTCTTTTAGTTGCAGCACGTAGTTACACATTTCGATGTATTTCCGTCATCGACACTAAACTTCATGACCATCATATCATGCGCACAACGTCAGTATAACGACCCTTAACAGGATGTGTTCGAAAGTTCTGGATGTAACACGCCACTACCCGACGGCTACCACAATAAATATCCACAAACAGAATGAACATGCATTTGCACGACCCACTTCCAGCTCTTTCCTTACCTGGTCAATCAAATCCCCATTGCGTATTGAAAAGTATACAAGACCTACTGTTCGTCGGCTCCCCATGATCCAGACTTGCTCAACCCAAGCACTACTGTTGACAAAATAGACTCACACGATGACCTTGTCTGGCCCGGAAACAGCCGGCATAATCATAGTAATCATCGTCATTCTACTTCTTTGCTTGGGAGCCTTCTACTCTACCAAGCATATCCGCCAGCAGAACACACTCCCGGATGCAACGGATCCACCTTTACGCACAGACTCAGGCCGTCCATCACTCTCCTCTTTACTACGACTCAAGGCAACCAACAAGCGCACTGAAATATCAGACCTAGAGCATCATATACGTTATCCAAGCCTAGAACATGGACCTGGCCCAACTCTCACCACATTGGCTGATCCCGAAACACCGGCGATCGGTACCATCAGAGCAGTGACAGCTACACCTACGGCGTCTCCATCGAGTACTAGAGTGAAGCCGCCTGACAGTGTGTCATCGAATGACAGGAGTAGTTTACATCGAGCGGTGTTGGATGTGGGTACAGAAGACGACCAACAGAATGACGATGCGTCGAAGAAACCTGATGATGTTGCAACAACGGCCAAGGAGTTGAAGCATAGCCTCGTGGGCAGGGCATACACCGGAGCTTGGCCTTTGCGCGATGTCCATGGTGCCTCTGGGAGGCGATGAGCGGAGGAAATCTCTAGTGCTGATCTTTCTCGGCAAAGATCAGATTTGTAGAAGTAGCGTATTACAGAGAAGTGAATGCATGAACTTGTTTCCACTGAATTGATAGCTGGTGAGCTCACGACACATACACGTACCGCCTGATGCCACTCCGTCTTTCTTGTCTTTACACCGCAGTGCATGATTAGAAGAGAGCCCACTTACCTGCCTCATATCTACATTCGTTCTTGGTCGACATCACTCCAACATCACATCACGCACAGGGCATGCATGGGGGAAATGGCAATCAAGCATCGTCTTCATGTCTTGCGACAGTCAGACTCAGCGACACCTAGTGGGGGGAGAACCTTTTGTTTCATTGACTCCTGATCATCATGCCGCCGTATATAGCCGTAAAACCATGCCATAGTCGTGGCAGAAACCCTTTCCCAGACACCATATTTTCAGTAAGCCGAGAAAGGAGGAAGAAGGGAGACCGACGGGTCGCGCTTGCGCATTCGTATCTACGAGCGGGCGGGGCGGTCGTTGAAGCGGCGGGGACCGCGCTCGACAACTTGTTGTTGGGAAACGGCAATGACGTTGGTGGGGATGCTGTCGAACTATGGGGAGCGTTAGTAAACAGCATAATGCAGTGTGGGTAAATAAGTAACGTACGCCCATGGACTTGAGGAGGTCCTTGGTCTCCTGGTCGACGTCGAGCGAGCCAGACTCGCTGTTCTGGGTGAAGTCGAGAGCGGAGATCTCGGGGACGTACTGGTCCTTTCGCTCACGCTCCTCTTCTTGGAGCTTGAAGGAAATACCACGAACGGGACCGCGCTGGATACGCTTCATCCTGCTAGTTGTTAGTCTGATGCCTAGTGCAAAAGAGCGAGTTGCTCATGGGGGTTCCAGCTCTGGTGAGTGAGTGCCTTCCTATGCAAGTGCTAGGAGGTCTGCGAAAAGCCAATACTCGGCGCAAACCACCGCATCTCTTCTAGGTCCTGCCCCTCACTGCCATTGCCTCAAACCCGTTGCAGAGACGTACAAGTGAGTGGTGTATCCGGCAATCTTGTTTCGGAGCCTCTTGGAGGCAATGATGGCGATCTCATCACAGATCCTCTTGTTGGTCTCGAAGTCCAGCGACAACTTGGGGTAGTAACGCTCAATGATGACCTTGGCGGACTTCTTGACGGTCTTAGTTCGGACGCGACCCATTTTGGCGACTTGTTGTGTGAGCTGGGAGAAGAGGTTGTCGTGGGAAGGGGCGGTGGCTGTCGGGTTAGTTGGATTGACGCTGGAGAGTAGAAATGTCGGTAGGACGGCTCGATAATTCGCGTAATGTGTGCGGTGGTCGGTGCGCAAGGCTAGTCGCAGGGGGTTTAGCGCCAACGTGGAACTGGGACATTTGACGTTCACGAACACCATCTTGCAGTTGCTAGCATGTAGGAAGAATTTGTATCATATATGTAGTATTGATATTTCACGCTCGCTAATTGCTGCTCATGGGAAAGAAGAACGCTCAAAGAAAGTGCATCACAGATGCTTGTTAGCAAAACTTCGCCAGGCTCCTCGCAAACCATTTCGTACTGAAACTCCAAACACCGTAGCCGTGCCAATACCAATTTGAGGTGACAGATCCTGATCACATCCATCTGATCGTCGCTAGTGACCGCCTTCCGCACCGCCCTCTGAACCGCCTTCAGCGGCGCCACCGTGGTGCGCAGGGTTGGGGAAGTAGAACGCGCAGATTGCAATGATAATGTATGTCATCACGCAAAGCATACCCTCAAGGTAGTTGGAACTCCTATCACGCAGGAAAGAGCCCACCGCCAAAACGGCAAGAATCAAAGCGACCGCGTCGAAGATTGCGAAGTTGTAGTCCATGCCGACACCGATACCCCAGCCAACCAGTACTACGAGCGGTGCGTTGAACAAGGCAGTCTGGATAGACGCACCCAGAACATGAGCGAGAGCCATGTTGATCTGGTTGTCGTAGGCTTCGTCGATAGCGAGCAGATGTTCAGCGATCTTCTCAACAAGTGGGATAAGAATAAGACCGACAAAGGCGTCACTGACACCCCGCTCTTCTACAATGTATGGGATCTCGAGGACGAGGGAAATGGCGACAAGCGATACGCAAGTCAAGGAGACGAGAAGGGCGACGATGACTTCGGTCATGGTAAGCTTGGGCTTCGCCAACTCCTCGTGGCGGTCCTTGTCCTTGTGATCGTCCGCCTCGTAAATTTCGTGGAGCAGACCATCATGGGATACGGTTTGGAAGTACACGTAGACCAAGTAGCCTATGATTGATATGATGGCTACGCCACGGGAAATCAGACGAGTGTTGTATGGGATGTTGACGGTCGTCAAATTGTAGTCAGGATTCTGGAAGAGGTATGCGTAAAAGACAGCAGGAAGTACCAGTGCCGCTACTGAGGTTAGTATTGAAATCGAACAAGATGCAGGATGATGACGTACTAGCAGCGACAAGCATCAAGCCACTGCCGTTCTCAGAAACAGCAGGATGGAACTCTTGGTGGTCGTTCTTGAGACCGCCGAAGATAAAGCTACAGCACATTAGCAAAATAGGTCAACTCATAATTGCGAGTGCTTACCATGTTCCGAGACAGAGGAGCAGATTGGCAAGAATGGATCCCAAGATGGCAGCCTTAATAACCTGCACATTGGAGTCGCCATTGGATGTCCCTATCAAGACCATGAACAGAATGATTTCAACGATTGAACCGAATGTTGTCTCGAGGACGACGGCAAAAGCCTTATTGGGCATCTTGCGCGAGAACTCCTGGCCAGCAAAGCCGAGCATGTTTGCTGACGGCAACATAGCAATGTAATTGGTAATGAAGATTGCCAGATGCCATTCAGGTTTCGCAAAGTGCTGTTGACTTTATCAGTATATACGAACCGTACTTTGGCATGCCAGACTTACGAATGCGATCGCAATGGGTACGATAGGCCACAAGCAGTTGACTAGCATGGACGGCGTGCTGCTACTCCTGCCAGAGATGACAAGAAATTTGATTGGATTGAACCCCCTTCTACCACTTTCGCCCTCTGGATGAAGGCCTGGGGTCACCCTATGGCCATTGTGATTGTACTGCGGCAGTTCCGAGCGACGTCTGGATCTATCACGGCGATCGTCGTCGCCGCGGCGCGTCGTCTTCTCGGTGGTATATTGTCGCTCTCGCGATGAGCGGTGCCCATGGCCGCTAGGATAATCTCGCGAGCTTCTTGAACGGTGCGCCATGGTGTTCGTAAATGTGGGTTGCTTAGGTTGTAGTATTCACAGGCAATGGGCGCTAGATGTAGGCGACGACTGCACGGACGGGGCCCAGCGGTGAGTGTTTCAGGGCGTGCGTATGAGTAGACCTGCAGCGATTGCAGTCTGTAAGGCTGCAATTGAGGAGAAAGTGTAGGAGTGCAGGCAAAAAGGAAAGACAAGAGGGCCGGTGAGACTAGACATTGTAAAAGGGCCGGGCGTCATTTCGGGAGGAGTATTATACTTCCTTGTTTACGAGGTGCAGGAGGTCGCAACGGGCGCGTCCGCTACAACACACAGCCTCAGCGCTATGATCGCCAAACAACGAAAATGTCGCAGCGGGGCTACACCGAAACTCTGCGACTGGCTGCCATACCGCCTTTCAATTGCGCTCCATTCGTCCTGCCACATGTCCATCAAGTGTCTAGCTGAGCTTATCTGCTCTAGACACGTCACCAAGCACCGTACAACGTCTTTGGCAATGCTTGACACCCCTTGGCTGCATCATGATGCGGATTCCAGAACAGGGTTTCAGCTCAATGCACATTGACGTGGGCCCAGACTCCACATTTCACGTCTAACAAGGGGGAAAGGGTCTCGATCTCCGCTACGCAGATGCGAGCTACTCGATGGCAGGCTTAACACTACCAGCCTCCAGATGTCGCGTGCATCGACTGCGCTATTGAACCCAAGCGCAGAAGCATGCTTCCGATGAGTTGGCTTCTGAACTTTGCACGAATATAACTCCATCGATCGCAATGTCAAAAAGGCCCGACGAGCTGCGAAAGATAGCGATCGAGTATCGAATTCAACCGGTACTCACATACAAATAATACTCGCACCGAATGTTCGGAACGTGATGATCAGGCTGTGGTTCGAGCTCAAGCTGATTGGTTCTTGAATGGCTGTCGTACCTTGCATATGATAGACTAGTGTCGGAATGGCTATGCGTGAACCTATACAGGGCTGCATTTCTACCGCATGATGCTCTTCCCACATTGCAATCCGCAATGTTCGATGATGAGGTTTGAAGACACACCAGTCTCCGTGAGTATATGATACGCGCTCGAGCGTGATCACCTGGCTTCGTGCACGGGGACATGTGTTATCGGTAGGCGCGTGCTAGCGTCATGGCAACAGCGACACCTCTATCAACAGACAAACATCATCCATCCATCTCACTTCATCTCCACACCTTTCCATCTCCGCATCTTACAACATGGTCTTCTACTCAGGCTTTGCGCTGTGCGCAGCCATCACAAGCGCTGCTGCGCTCCAGGTTCCGCTTCTATCATCCAGTAACCAAGCGTCACTCGGACATCCACATGGGACAAAACCGCTGGTCAACTCCACGGAGCTCCAGGACCTCATCAGCGGAGACAGATTGATGGCGCGCGCTAAGAAGATGTACGAGATTGCGAAGCTCGGCGAGGCGGAATACAACCACCCCACCAGAGTCATCGGGAGTGCTGGTAAATCTGCCCACGTGACGTGTTACTTGCTGATGCTAACGAACTCGTAGGCCATCTCGGAACGCTATCTTACATCTACGAAACTGTCCTTGAGCTTGGCGACTACTACACCATCACCAACCAGACATTCCCAGCTGTTTCCGGCAATGTTTTTGAATCGCGTCTTGTCATCGGTGACAGCGTGCCCAAGTCTGCAAGGGCCATGGGATTGACGCCAGCCACCAAGGACAAAGAGCCTGTGCACGGCGATCTTGTTTTTGTTGAAAACGAGGGTTGCCAGGAGTCTGACTTCCCAGACTCCGTAGCCGGCAACATCGCCTTCGTCAAGCGCGGTGTGTGCCCTTTTGGCACCAAGTCTGAGCATGCTGGTCGTAAAGGTGCCGTTGCTGCCATTGTGTATAACTACGAAAAGGATGCTGTCTCGGGTACCCTCGGAACGCCATCACCAGATCACATTGCCACTTTTGGCCTCTCTGGTGAAGAAGCTGAGCCAATTCTGAAGAAGCTTGAGAAGGAAAAGCGCGTTGATGCGATCGCCTACATCGACGCCGAAGTGAACACGATCCTTACCGTCAACATTGTGGCGCAGACGACAGCTGGTGACCCAGACAATTGTGTCATGCTCGGTGCCCACAGTGACAGTGTTACTGAAGGCCCTGGAATTAACGATGATGGATCAGGTACGATGTCGCTGCTTGAGGTTGCCACACAACTCACCAAGTTCAACGTGAGCAACTGTGTGAGGTTTGCTTGGTGGGCAGGTGAAGAAGAAGGCCTATTGGGTTCTGACTACTATGTCGCCTCTTTGCCCGAGAAGGAGAACCAGAAGATCCGTCTCTTCATGGATTACGATATGATGGCTAGCCCGAACTTCGCCTACCAAATCTACAACGCTACAAACGCGCTGAACCCTAATGGTTCAGAAGAGTTGCGCGATCTGTACATCCAATGGTACAAGGATCAAGGTCTAAACTACACCTTTATTCCCTTCGATGGTCGCAGCGACTATGATGGCTTCATCCGAAACGGCATTCCTGGCGGTGGTATCGCTACGGGAGCGGAGGGTATCAAGACGGAAAAGGAGGTTGAGATGTTTGGTGGAAAGGCGGGAGATTGGTATGACAACTGCTACCATCAGCTTTGCGACGATATCTCAAACCTCAATGAGACGGCGTGGATCGTCAACACCAAGGTAAGCACTTTCAATACCCAGTATGCAGAGGGACTTCGTTAACACTTCCCAGCTCATCGCACACTCAGTCGCAACATATGCGCGCTCCTTCAAGGGTTTCCCGAAGAGAGAGCTAGAGGCCTCGGTCAAGTCTACGGCATACAGGGAGGATGTCAAATACCATGGTGATAAGATGTTCATCTAGAATATGTCCTGCCCTTCTTTGCCGGCGTATGGGTTAATGTTTGTTGGGTTTGACTGGGTTGCACATATATCATCATGGGTTGATGCGAACATATTTCTGGCAACCAGTGCTACTGAATTTTATGCAATCTTGAAACGGAATATCTTCTCTGTTTAGGTGGGAGCATTAAGCCTCATGATTATCAAATGCGATTGACTTGCTCTGGAACGAATCTTGAAGATGAACGACGGGAAGTCGCGCTAAGCGAACGGGCCGTAACCGAATCATCGGTCGCAATGTCGCGTCTTATTGCGGGATGCATCGCCTCCAATCGCATCATGGCACCCGTATCGATGGCTTCAGCGCTTACCTTTGAGCTGCTGGGGAAGTGCTCAGTATGCAATATCCGAGCTTGACATGTTGCGCACCCTCTGACAGCCTCAGGTGACCAAAGCACGCGCCGCAACGCTGCATCTGCCTCATGGCCCTGTACCCCTCCCCATCTTCATGCCCGTTGCGACGCAGGCTTCCCTAAAAGGCCTCACCCCAGATCAATTAGAAGACCAAGGATGTCGGCTATGCTTGAACAACACGTACCATCTGTACGGGAGAAGTCTTGCCTCCATATGTGCCAACAGCTGCTGACTTGAGGGAGAGGTTTGAAGCCAGGACAGGCGACACTTGACGCAATAGGTGGCGCGCACAAGCTACAGTCATGGCCACACAATATTCTTACAGGTGCCAAACACAATATCATAACAGGACGAAGGGGCGGAAGTGCTGACTGCTACAGATAGCGGTGGGTGGGTGATACCTCCAATTTTGTCGCAATTGGGCAACAGCTGATATCAACACCAGCTTCCAGATGGTATCGCTACTCAAACTCGCCAAAGTCACCGAGGAAGGCGTCCGCTTTCTCAGTCCCCACGATGGGTCTCCCATGTTGCTCACGCCCGAACACTCAATATCCCTCCAGAATTCGATCGGGTCAGACATCATTATGCAACTCGACGACGTTATCGCGACCACCTCGCCCGATCATGCGCGTATGAAGGAAGCCATGGAACGCTCGGTACGCTGGCTTGACCGCTGTATACAAGCGCACAAAAATCCAGAGAAGCAGAATCTCTTCTGCATTATACAAGGAGGCTTAGATCTAGACATGCGACGGGAATGTACGGCTGAGATGGTCGCGCGAAATACGCCAGGCATTGCGATAGGAGGCTTGTCTGGTGGTGAGGAAAAAGCGTCTTATTGTAACGTCGTCAAGACATGCACCGATCTGCTACCTGAGAAGAAGCCTCGATATGTCATGGGCGTGGTATGTCTTGGATGACTTGCGACATGTCACAACTTACTGATAGGACTAGGGCTACCCAGAAGACTTGGTCGTGTCCGTAGCACTTGGTGCGGACATGTTCGACTGCGTTTGGCCAACCCGCACGGCTGTAAGGCAAACTATCTGCTTCACTGTACACTCGGACTAACGTTTACCAGCGTTTTGGCAACGCCATTACTGCCCACGGTGGCCTCAACCTACGCAACGCTGCTTACTCTGAAGATTTTGGCCCTATCGAGGAAGGTTGTAAATGCACCTGCTGCCGTCCAACGTCCGAAGGCGGACTTGGTATCACGAGGGCATACATCTATCATGTTACCGCCAAAGAGACCGCCGGAGCGCATCTTCTTACAATGCACAATGTGCACTACCAGCTCAATTTGATGAAAGAGGCAAGAGAGGCCATCATACAAGATCGATACCCGCAGTTCGTCAAAGACTTCTTTAGCAAGTTGCACAACGGAGAGAAGGATAAATATCCTCAATGGGCAGTCGATGCGCTTCGAGGTGTTGGCGTAGATCTGCTTAGCTAGTAGACGGGTAGAAGATGTCCGCGCTGGCAAGACGCAAAACTCGACCTCCTTTATGATACTTCTGTGAAGGTTCTTTTTGGGGCAGGGTGAAGGAATCAGTGCTAGAATCATGCGGTATTGCACCAGGGCATAACCGATTCATCCTAAACCAGAATGCTAACACATGAGCCATACGTCGACTCTATGACCCGTACTCTGGCGGGCTCCAAATCTTTGACGACCCAAACGCCGGAATGATTTTTCCAATCACACCACTGAACTTCTGAATATACGGATGTGATAGCGTGCCGGTCACAGTGTTGAAGATCTTGATCCCCCACTCAGTCTGCGGGTTCGCAATCTGTGGTGCTCCTGGGATGAGCTTCTGCGCCTTGTCTACATATTCCCGTGCAACACGTTCGTAGTTTGCTAGTGCAGTGGGAATATCCTCTTGGTTACGAGAGATCTCGCCAGCGAGGACATAGGCGCCAACTATGGCTGCTCCAGTTCCCTATTGTAGATGTTAGTATCACACGTCAGTGTTGAGAAGATGTGTTGAGACAACTTACGACACCAGAGATGGGACTTGGGCAATACGCAGCATCGCCCACTAGAGCCACTCGCCCCTTATGCCAAGTATCCATCTTGACCTGCGCAATCTGCTGCATGTAGAAGTCTTCCGCCTTCTTCATCTCCCGTATGCAGCGCTCAGTCTGCCATCCCGCGCCCTCAAACTCCTTTTCGAACCACGCTTGCTGCTCCTCCCTGGTTCCCTTCTTCAACAGCTTATCTAGCTCATCAAAACGACTCAAGTTCGCATCGGTGACGGCAAGATAAGCTCTGGTTGTACCATACTGATCAGGTCGTAACAAAAACAGCCGGCCGCGCGATGCATTGTACCATTGTGCATACTGGGTGTCGGTGGGATCGCGAGGCATGGTGAAGAGAGCAGAGTACTGTCCGAGACGATACAGGTAATCGTCGTTGTTGGGTCCGTGACCAAAGACCATACGGCGGGTCCTTGACATCTGGCCATCGGCACCTATCACAACGTCGAATTCTGTAGGAGGGAGTTTGCCGTTCTTGAAGGTGACGAGGGCTTTGCCGTCTTTTGATTCGTCCTGTTGAATTTCAATGGCCATCTCGTCGAAAATGTAGGTTATTTGTGGGTTATCCTTTGTGAGTTCATACACGATGCGTGCCATGTCTCCTCGTAAGATTTCGTACTCGCTTGTTGCTGGAACGAGGTTAGATTGAAGTTCTCATCGCGTCTCGACTGGTGTTTTTCTGTTCGCAAGGCATTGGGACTAACATACCACTTTGCCGCTCCTCCTCTCCAGTAGCCTCAAAAGTGGCTCGCCTTTGGCCATCCCGGTACACAAATTGCATGCCAACTTCTGTTGTAGTCTTCTCTTTCACTTTTTCCAATACTCCCATCTTCTTTACGATTGGCAGACATGAGGAGCGGAGATCTACGGCTTGTCCACCCAGTCTTGGTTCAGGCGCACGCTCTAGGATGGTGATTTTACATGTTGGCATAAAGCGATGCAGCCAGTATGCAGTGACAGGACCGGCAATGCCAGAGCCGTTTATGAGAATGTTGAGAGGACTTGTAGCTGACGGCATCTTTTTGGCGACGAGGAAATTCGGAGAAGGTGTGGATGGGGATTTTAGGTGCTGAGTGGCTGAGATATGATTCTGACACAGATATGGAAGGCACTGCGGCTAAACATGTGCAGCAGGATGGAAAGGAAACTGTAAGCGTGTTTTTCCCGAGACGGACGTCCGTACATCTAAACTATATATTCTTCGTCCATTCTCTCCTTCGGTCCTTTGCATGCGTCCTGATTGTACTATCCTTCCTTACCCCAGGTGCAGCCCACTAGGATACAGACAGTATCGCGAGTCGGAACTCCGTACTTGGAACTTGCGGATCGGGTTCTCAGGCGCTACGGCGAAATTTCACCGTCGCTAATGACATCACCAGGATTCCAAGACAATCGGTGGTCGCCCTGAACGCTGCTAACTTCAATTGTTGGGGCTTTAGCGATTGGATATAGTCTGTTTGGGTTCTAGGCGTGCACTTCTGCAGGGACACAAGCTTGAAAGACTGTCGGCCGTCAATTATCTTCCGGCACCGTGAGAGACGAAGGTGCTCGTACTTATTGCTTCAATGGGCCTAACTGGGCATCGGAGGATGCGAAAGCCCCGACAGGATCTTGTCGACGCTAACAAGGCCCCCACACCACGATGCCCAGAACCTCCCATCAACATCCTGCATCCAACATTGTTTTCTACAATCGGAACATGTTTCTTACTAAGTGTGCATATTTACCACGTTCATGAAGATTTGCACTGATACCTGCTCGATCTTTAGTCAGCTTATCGGCCTCTCGATTCTAAAATGCCTGAGTAGCACGGATCTTACGCAGCCAATACCCCATCTTCAGTCTCCTGCATTGTCATTCCTTTGGCGCCTCTCTTCCGCACAAAGTGCCAAGTGCTTAAAACAGCCCCCAGACAACTTGCAATCAATGCGATAGAACAGGCGTAGCTAATTCGATATGTTGGACCAAATTTCGTCTTATAGATCTGGGGCCCAATAATGCATAATGCCTGTAAGCTGTCCACTTGTATTTGTCATCCCAATAGCCAGTCCAGCCGTCGTAGTACCCTTGGCCACACGTATACGCTCGGGCCAAATAATTGCGAAGAAAGATTGAGAGGCTGCTGTCGCTATCATGGCAAAGATGTACTTCGCGACTGGTTGTTTGACGTTGATCAAGAGAATATAGCATATTATCTGTATGCCCTTAACTCCAAAACCGGCAACCCAAGGCGAGAGATACCCGTGAATTGTGCGAGACTCATCAGTGTAACGAATACAAGTGCGTAAGTCGGTACAGTCAGAGCCTGAGACACGGCTGTGTTGAAAATGCCTAACTCGTAGATGACAGTCGGAAGAACGAACGATATACCCCATCCACCGATACCGTGCATTGTCCAGATCATGAGGAACGGGAAGAAGGTTGCGCTTATGAACAAAGACTTGACTTGATCTGTGTCAAATGTTTTTGCGCGCATAGTGGGTGCTTGCTGTGGTAGATCAGTCAAGATGACTGCGCACTCGTCTTCACTCAGGAACTTGACAGTCTGCGGGTAATCTGGTAAATGGAAGTACGTATACGCCGAACATATTATGGGCAATATACCCTCGATGATGAAAAGCTGAAGTTTGTTAGCATATGGATCTAAGAAGATTTCGATCACATGCCCATCGCCAACCAACAAGTCCGCCAACCCCATTCATATAGCATATCGCATACGCGAGTAGCCCGCTGACCGTACCGGCGAACATGCCACACGCATACAGAAACGCAACACGCAACGGCAGTCGGTGTGCAGGATACCAAAAGCTGAGATGGTACAACACGCCGGGGGAAAAGCCTGCGGAGGTGAAGATGCAAAGTCAGTATGTATCTTTCAAGCATTTCGTACAGTCACAACTTAACCGCCTCGGCCGTCCCCAAGAAGAAGAGACAAGCCAATATACCGGAGTAGTTGTGCGTCGCAGCCTGGCACATCGATACAACACCCCAAGCGAACATGATTCGGCTCATCCAGACGCTTGGGAAGAAACGTTGCAACATCAACGTTGCAACCGGCTCGAACAGCATATATGGATACCAGAATATGCTCAAAGCCCATGCCCATTGAGATGAAGAAAGGTTACCAAGTTGCTTTCTTATGTCGGTACCTTCCACCTTATTCAGAATCGCTGTACTCGAAATGTTGTTGACGTTCATGCGCATAATGAGGAAGACAAAGGCATACCAGTATAGCATACGGGCGTCCACTTTTCGGTGAGCCTCTATGAGTGCATTGTTCGCGCGTTGAGTCCTAAGTGTCTCAGATGGTTGTACATGGTCAATCGTTTTGGTCATGTCTTCTTCAAGTTTTCGCGTTGCTGTTATTTCTGCCTTGAATGCCTCTTTTCTCAGTAGTATGAATTACAACAAGTGGAAACAGACTCAAGAGATGGTCGATTGATCTTAACAGTCGCTCGAGAACATGATTGTTTTACACTTCCACGCTGTCGTCGACGTCACTGTAGCTAGAGAGGAAACGTCATGTCTCTTTCTAGGAGGTCGCACAACCCTAGCATGCGAATCATCTGTACGGATGAGGCATCATTACGACCCGTACGACCAGTAACTTCATACTATTTTGTCAAGCAGAGAGCTGCCGAAGAGGCCCCATGACACTTGACAATGACTTTGAATGCTACTTGCTGACTACAAAAGAACGGTCAAAACGCATATTAGTTGCTGTAATACCTTTGCACAAAACATCCGGTTCGGGCGACATTTTCATGCCGTATGGAAACGTATCAATCGCGATTACGCACAGTAGTCATCCTCGATATGGTCGGAATAACGATCGTGACTTAGAAACACGCTTCGCATGAGTTTGCATTTCAGGTGAAGAATTTCGGAATACAAATGGGAACAGTATGCGTTATGTGACGCAGTCATGCGAGCACGACGTCTAGCGGGGTATTGCGTGCTCGCCACCTCCGCATCTCTGTCAGGGAACACAAACAACTATGATAGGCCAGAAAGAACCGGAAATAACTTCGCCGAATACATATAGGCGTAATCATCATGCTCACAAACCTCAAATCCCGCTACTCCCACCAACAACATGCCGTCAGCGGTGCTGCCAGAACCACCATCCATCGCGAAGTGGAAGCGACCCCAACACACGACCGAGGAATTGAACTGGGCAGACATTAAGATCATTGATCTATCCACATTTGACGAGCCTAATGGGAAACAGAAATTGGCTGAAGAATTAAGAGACGCCGTAAGTTAACAGATATTGTACAATGAGCCTCTATCCTTACGAGCACGGAGGTGCACCACACAGGTTTCTTCAGCGTCACTGGTACTGGCTTCACCCAAGAAGAGATCGATCGGCAATATGACATCGGTCAAGCTTACTTCAACTTGTCGTTGGAGGAGAAGGGCGACCCAGAGTACCGATGTGATTTCGCAAATGGAAACTATTTCGGGTACCGCGCTGTAGGTATCTTCATCTGAACAGCAAGCGCGACAGCAGTATGTGCGCACTAACGCGAGAAAAAGGCAAACGAGAAGAAGATAATGGGTACAGCCGTTCTTGATAACGTCGAATCGATCAACATACCTAAATTCATTCCTTCAAACTCCCACGAACCATTCCACCCATTCTTGCATTCGTTCCGGTCCGAAATCGAGGACTTTTCCCGTCGATCTCTGGACGTCGCTTCGAAGATTTTCCAACTCTTCTCCTTGATACTAGAACTACCAGAAAATTACTTCTCTGACCAGCACCGCTACGATGATCCGTCAGAAGACCATCTCCGCTACATGGTTTACCACCCCCGTCCTGCTGCTGACGACGCCAAGGTTCAAAATACCTGGTCTCGCGCGCACACGGATTTTGGAAGCTTGACTCTATTGTGGAGCCAGGATGTTGCTGGCCTACAACTCAAAACGCCGACTGGAGAATGGAAGTACGTCCCACCTGTGCCCAACGGCATCGTTTGTAATGTTGGCGATACGCTGTCCTTTTGGTCGGCAGGCTATCTGAAGTCGACTATCCATCGGGTTGTTAGACCGCCAGAGGATCAAGCATACATCCACCGACTGGGCTTGTTTTACTTTGTTCGACCAGGGAATGACGTAGATATCAAGCCGGTGGCGTCACCGTTACTGAGGAGATTAGGTCTTGTTGGCGATGATGCGGCCGACAAGAAGCCGGTGAGGGGATTGGAATATGTGAGAGAGAGGGTGAAGGACTACCATAATCACACGGATTACGCGGATAAGAAGGGAAAGAAGTTCAAGGTAGGAGACTTGGAGATCGAGGACGAAGCTGCGTAGGAGTATAGAGGCTCGTGATGATGCGATCCATTGGAAACTTGATAGAAACTCCTAGCTATTTAAGCAATGCCAATTTGAAATACACACACAACACCCACATGGTATATCCCACTCGTCTACTCATCGTCAAATGAAGCACTCCACGATCTCAGTGCATACAATTCCCTTCGTCGCAAACTTCAAACTACTCTTCCCACCCCAGACCTCACTTGTCCAACCCTGACAGATTTCCAGCCTACTTTCCACCATTTTGACCCTTCCTGCCCACTTCGGCGCCTTATCTAGCTTCTCAAGAATCGGCATATAGTCCTTGGTACCATGGAAAAAGTGGTAGGCCGCCGTCCGCCATGGACCTATTGGATCCTTCCGATAGCACTGAGAAATCATGATACGCCGATTGATGCCATGTGCAAGATATTCGGTTATGGCTGCTAGGATGGCATAACGTTCTGGATCGTGATCCCGAGGGTCGGGTATGGATTGGACATGCCAGTGCTTGTGGTCGAAGAAGTCCTGGACTTCGTCGCGGAGGACTTCGTAGTCACCGCGGATGAGGTAGTGGTACATTACGTAAATTCGATCCAAAGGGGTCTCGTAGGGCCTTCGTTTTGGGAGGAGGATAGCGTCGAGACTGGTGTATTGTCAGTGGGTATCGGATATGTTGCTCGGAAAGTGGATGCTACAACATACGGCCAAGGATATATTGCTGAAACAGTGTGCGAAAAAAGAGAGGGATGCGTATAAGTTGTGCTGAACGTACGGAGCTTTGTATAGAAGACAGGGTGGTTGTTCAGAAAATACGCTTTGAAGCCACGATGGGGGGTTGACGGCTGGAGAGGTTTATGAGGGACCGTCGGGAAGTACTGCGGCATCGTTTCCGCTTCTTGATAGAATCTAGATTTTATTTTGCTTGCATCCTAGAGGATGAAATGGATTTTGAATTTATGGCAGTCCCGGATAATTACATCGAAAGATATCAAGGAAGGATATCGAATGACGCAGGAGAACCGGAGATACATTTTGTGTGCAGTCTCACTGTTGGCTCACAATGACCAACCAACCTAAAAGAAGCACCTATCTACCATCAACCAATAACTCGTGAGAGGTCCTCTAACCAATGGAGCGGTGAATAAAAGCATCAGCGTCAAGCAGAACCAATGAGCCGGTACTGAGGGGTACCGTCTGCCTGTACGTCTCAAGCCGAAGCACCGGTATCTGACACATCGTTTCCTGCAGTTTTTTCCAGGGAAATTATCAGATTCAGGTAGAGGGTCAAATTATGCGTGGGTCAGGGGTGGTGGTGACGAGGTTTCTGTCAGGATCCGGCCCATTCTGACCCGGCCCGACTCGATCCGGGGTATAAAAGCAGACCGAACACTATCGTGGCTCGGTAGCGAATCGTCTCTAGTACACACAGCAATATGATTCTATTATAGAGCAACGAGTATATCCAGTATGTTCAACTAGTATATTGTATCACACCTTCAGGAAAAAGTGATCGGGACGCTAGAGTCAATCATCACCCGTGTCTGTCGAGCAGCACGACTCGACACGAACCTCAAGATGATGGAAGATCAGTCTCTTATCTAGATTTGATTGTTATAGTAGGAGATGAGCCGCAAAACGGACATAGCGAGTGTAGTAGGAATTTGGCATGATTCCACAAAGCCATTGTTTTCAGCAATCGAGAGGGTGACGATCAATGCAGTGGCCCGCAAGATGACAGTGAAGATGAGAGTGAAGATCTTAATGCTATCACTACCTTATATTAAATCTCAGCGCTCTTTTCCTATGATATGCATCCCTCCAACGTTCATGCTTTTCTTCTTCTTGCCCAAGCCCTTCCATTTGTCCTTGCAGCTTGGGCTAAGCTTTCTAGTCACACTCTCACCAACTTTTTCTACTCTTCCCACTAAGCCCTTCATACTATCTTTTCCTTCTGTAATCGCAGGTACAAACCCCGTAGAGAGGGTTCTCTTCAATTCTGAACCTATCGAAGTGATCTTCTTGACTTTCAAATTCTCCCAGCTGCTGGTTCTCAACTGAGCGGTGGATTGTTGTCTCGTCGCCACTCGCTTTAGAGCGGAAGTCGAACGATGGTGGCTCGGCGCGAAAGAACTGTTGGAAAACTTCCGCCTAGAAGGATGGTGTGACGGCAATGACATATGCGGCCTGTCTGCAGCATGTGTACGGTGCAGTGGGGATGGTGATGTGGGCGTCCAAGATGATCGGTCTGGTAGAGCAGTCAGAGATATGGGAGATTGGTGCGTATCGGGAGTCCATGAGAAAGCTCTCGCTCTCGTTGACCCATCAAAATCCTCTCCAGGTGTTGAGTCCGATGTCTGCCTGAAAGGAGTTGGCCCCAAATCAATGTTAAGGCCAATTCTGTTCTTCCTTTCATGCCTGGCCTCGAAACTTCTTCGCTCTCCAGATATACGTTTCTTGCTCAGCCTGCGCCTAAATTTGTCGGCACTATTCACTCGATAGCGGATACTCCCGTGTTGCTTGTCTTGTTTCTCTTGGAGCTGCCTCTCATTTTCCTCATCGCGATCTGCTTGCTCTTGGCGCGTGAGGAAGTCTTCAATCCATTCTTTTGGTCCGTCGTTGATAGTACAGGGCTCAACCCATTCACTCGATTTCGCCCATTCGTGCTTGTGAGCTCCATCAGTGTATGGAGAAAGAACACTGTTATTCAACCTCGAGTGAGATTCAAGGATATCAGCTTTCAATGGTATATTGGTTATAGACTCTGGTGTGCCGGTAGGTACATAAGCAGCCTGGTTGTTTGTACGACCGTACCGTAACGTGCTCCAAGGCCTATATAATCTAGTGACTTCATTGAGTCTTGCATCTAGCTTACTGATAGATTGCATACTCTGGAGTTGAGCAGATGGACTAATTTGGATAGGTCCGGGCTCTTGATGTGATCTTGCTGATACAGCCGAGCAGATTGTTGAGGTGCGTGATGATGGTGGACGCAGGGACGTGTTCGGGATAGTGGTGACTGTATCATCTCTTGCAATAGCTTCGTCAGTTTCAATACTGCTGATTACCGGAAGGGTTCCTTCCAGAGGTAGACTTGTTAGATGGTACGTTGGTGGCTCGTGGTCGATGGCCGCAGTGAGCTTACTATGCGACAGACTTGACGAGGGCTTACCGCGAGTCAAAGTAAGAGCGTCGGCGCGGTGTGTAATATTGGTCACATCCGTGGAATGAAGCTTCAGTACTGTCGAATCCTTTAGCGATTGTGATATGGCCATATCATCGTACATCGAAGTATTCGTTTCTTGTTCTGATGTGGAGATTCCGACGTATCTAGATGTCTTTCCCAACGGTAAGGATGATTGGGCTGAGTTTCCAGAAACATGTCTGTCCTCAATGATTCGGGTATGTTTTAGAGGTAGGACATCTTCCACTTCTGTCACTGCAACCCCTATGTCGTCTCTGTTCCCACAAAGATATCAGTAAAGCTTGGCCATGCAGCTTATTCACATACCCAGTTTCATGTTGTCTTAGCTCCCGAAAAGCTTTGAGTAATATTTCCGTGCCCTTGTCGTGACCCAACGGGTATTCCATGATGGCACCGTTTCCCGCTTCCATATCGATATGTTCTTGCTGGAAAACAGTGGGGAAATCGCATCTTGATAAGAAAACTCAGGAAAGACTCCCTACGTCAAGGAGCATCGTGTACTTCAAAGGCCGTATCAGGCAAACGAAGGGTTCACTGTGCCCGCAGTATTGTCAACCGTTTGCCCGTAGCCGAAGAGTGAAACCACAGCACTTACAGGCTACAAGAGATGATCAGGGCTGAGGAAGACCAATCAACTTCTTCAAAGTCTTGTTACCGCCGCCGAGTGGGGTTCGGCTAAGGTGTGAACCTGGTACTGCAGCAGAAGACCCTGCGTCGCATCGTCGCTCCTTGCGCTGCCGTCATCGGATCCCACATTCATGATCATAACTAAACGGTCTTCTTTTTCCCAACACGTGATTTTACACTGGCCACGTAGGATTGGATAGCCCATGGAGATTTGCCGATGCGAGGGTGGTTAAGGGCCAAGTGATGTGAGATCTGGGAAGACTGGAGAGAGCCAAATGCTTCGGGCGGGAATGTTCCTATCGGAAGAGCAGTAGAAGTCTCTGCGAGATACAGTTGTTCTGAAACCAGCCAGTTATGGACGGTACAGCGATTGTTGATCAGACATCGTGACCGATTATGGATTGCGGAGAGAGCGTACCGTGGCACCCTCGATCGTGTACCAATGAACGTGTTATGAGGAACGCACGATGGCGGAGAACGTATCTCCACAGCCGGACGCTGGTACAACTATGATTCGACAGAGATCATCGTAAAAACCTTGCGCCGCTGACTTGCGGATACTGAAGGGGGAATTGGAGGTTTCGGAGAACTGCACTTGCCGAAGCAGTCATGTTAGTCTGACGCTAAATCACATGCATTCATAGGAAGCTGATTTGTCTCTAATGACGTTCAGATGAATTTCTCACTCACCACTATAGATGACGTAATTGAAGTATCAGTCTTAGTTGTATAGACTTATCATTATTCTCCGAAGATGGTGAAGATGATGGAAATTAGCTTGAAGACAGAGTCGTTGAGTCACATGCTAAGAAAACATCCATCCGAGAATACTCGATGATACGTCTAGGTCCTGCCCATGACAATCATGAAGGGTAGTCGATCGACCATCCAGGTATGACAAGACTTCCTCACTCTTCAATCGCCATACTGCGCTCGTAGAGGTTGGACACTATGGAAGAGTTAGTCAACGTCTTTCTCTGAATGTTCATGCGAGGGCTTACAGGTCAGTCCACCCAGGAAGAACCCCTCCAAGGTCCTGGCCACGCGCTCGTACCTGCCTATACCTTCTTCGTCGAGCACCACATTAACCTTGGCTCGGATACCCCGAACATGCGCCAGAAACTTGAGAAAGTTTCCCGTCAGGCGATCTACAAACACGGCCTCCATGTCACCACCCTTGAGCGGACGATTATCAACACGCATCGCATAGGTCGGCTCGTTGGCTTGGATAGCCTTCTGGAAGCGTTCGGAATACTGGTACAGGAAAGATGCGTGGTCTGCGACGACCTCCCAGAAGCCGATCAGCGAGAGCAGAGCAACTCGACATGTGGCCGGATGTTGAATATCAGCAGACTGATGACCAGGAAGACCACAGACGCGACAGCCACCGTATACAGGACGAGCCAATAAATTGGGCGCGTGCGACACCTGTTTCGCGCCGGCAGGTGTCATCTCGCGAACAGCAACAGAGAGCTTCATCAAAGTCTGTCGGACATGGTCAGCATCGATCGATATTGGTGAGGACATAACGTCTGGCTGCTATTTGTTAGTCTGGGTGTTAGTCTTGAAGCCTGAAAGGTCTAGCGGTAGCAGTCTTCAGAGTAGTAAATCCCGTAGAGTGAACAATTGTGAAGGCTAGTGGAGACTGGTAGTGAGTAAGGAAGGAGCCACCCGTGTGAAGTATTGACATATGAACAAGGGTACAGAAAAGGAAGGCAGCGGGGCCGTTGCGAAGCCACGGCGGACAAGTGAGAGAAGGTACGACCAGGTCAAATGGCTATAGTGAATCATTTCACCTCGCAGCCGCATGCACGTTAGCACAGACTCGCAAAGTGACATAAACGTCAGGCGCAAGACCTTCGGGAAACTCTATTGTACAGTTGCCCTTCGGAGTCACTGCCAACTATTGCACACCGTTGTGATTGCTGGTCCCTTGGATTTACCACTTAATATGAAGACAAGATCATGATCATGTTCTCTGAGCGGAGAACCGAGCAGAAGGCTCCTTCTTTAGATTAATGCACTACATTTGTCCCGCCATAGCAGGGCTACCATGGCGCTGATCAAGGTGATCGTAGTTGAGGTCAAACTCTTTCTGAACTCATGTTAGCGATTGGCACTTGGCAAAGTGCATATATATGCGGTTCAGATTACGTACCCTTTCTCTCCTCCAGTTCTTGACATCGAAGAATAGGTACCAGCCATGCTCTTCTTTTGGTGACAGTCTCATGGGCGCCGCCAGATCTGGGTCCTTCATCATCCACTGCTGGAGCTTCATATGCCACCGCCAGTCACGGTTGTATAGTTCTTGTGCAGCAATTTCTTGCAGGATGTCTCGCGGGAACTGATAGAAGATGGCTAGCAGTGTCTCCGCAGAGAAGCTGGCCATTTTCGAATGTAGCGGCGGAACGTTCGTAACAGTGTATGCTGCGGGTAGAGTGAAATCTGGTGGTATCACTGGCTTGACGTTGGACTCCGCGAACGGTGAACCAAAAGTGGGGTGTAATGGTGAGTTGCTAAGAGGAATGTCAGCAATGAAGACGTACCAATATCCGTGGTGCTTACTCTGGTCGACTCAGGTCCAGGCCCAGGACTGTCAGGTCTTGCCCCATGGCCAGCGAAGAGTAGTCAGGGCTTTCCATAGGTATCATCGCCAACAGCCCAGGCAGTCCGTATCGTTCTGAGTCTGTCATGTCCGACAACTTCTTGTGCAGCATATTTTGAGCGTTGGGAGAGCCGAGAACTTCTGCTCCAAACGTTTGATCGAACTGGTTTTGTTGTGGTCGCTGTCCTCCGGGGGCAAGATCTGCACCGCCTCGCATACCCATCTGAGGACCTAAAGAAAACATGTTCCCTGACTGTCCTATCCGTTGGTTCCCATCTGCTTGGTTGCTTGTCCGCATGTTCTCAAAGGGCGTCCGTGATGCTGTGCCAGGTAGCGCCCTGCCACCTACAGTGGGATTGATGCTCCGGTCTTGCTGGCTATCTGTGGGGCTCGAAAGGCCATTCCGTGTCTGTCCAAGGCCAGGGAAGGCGTTGTTTCCGTTGGCTCCAAAAGCCGCAGCATTCTGTATCAGGCCGGCTCTTCGGTCTTGTGGAATGTCTCCGCCAGCGCCACCCAACGGTGGAAATTCCTCCACGTTGCTCGTCTGCGGTTGGACACCCCCCAGTTGTCCTACACCCCCTTGTCCTCCAAATCGATAGTCATCGCCAGCACCAGAAAACTGACTTTGGGATGAATCATCCTGTCCCTGGTTCTGCTGTTGTTGGTTTGCAGCTTGTGCAGCTTGACCTTGCCCTTGCTGTTGTCCTTGGCCCTGTGGACGTCCGATCGTGTTCTGCTGGTTTTGTTGCGCCGCTCGTATCGTAGGGTTCGCCCACATCTGTTGCGCGGTCGTGTTCTGTTGCGCTTGCGGTGCGCCCGACAGCGAAGGGAACTCCCTGAGATCGTTAATATCTAGCTTGTATCTTTGCGATTTCTCTAAAGGGGACTTCTGAGATTCACGCCTGCCCTCTGGGCTATCTCCTTGCTTTTTTGCCATCTTACGTGGTCACTTACTCAAGATTCAACGGCGTATGAGGCTGCGAGCCGCCCATTGCTTGCGCAAAGCTTGACATGGCTCCGCCGTTTGTTCGTGTTTGCGTGTTTGGCAAGCCTGGCGCGCCCATGGGGGCTCCGAATCCCCATTGAGATGCGCCACCTACATAAACAGCAGTCAGCGATATGTCCTACAGCCACGCCAGGAGTATTCTCACCCATCTTGCCATTCTGCAACCTATTCGCACCTAATGGAGCACCGCGGCCCGGGTTCTGCTGCGTTTGGAACATGTTCGAGCGTATGCTTCGTAGAAATGGTGCGCCCTAGCCTATAAGAGGGGGGAGGTTAGTATTGTCTAATTCGCAAGCAGGTACGTGGTCTCCGGAGTAAGCGACGGGGCTGAAGTTGAAGCGGTTGAGGAAGGCGCGCAGTGAGTGCGGTCACGTAGAGGAATAGTGATGGTCGTGCGTCTGTTCTTTGGGCAACTTTGAAAGCGCAGTCGTGGGTAGCTTCGTTGCGATGTGCGGCGTGGTGCGATTTCGGTCGAACTTTAGGGTTTATGCGGCCGGGAAAAGGAATGCGTTTGGTGGGCTTGCAGGGGAAGAGTGAGTACGGACCTAGCGATAGAGTCTTTCCTTGACTTTTGCGAGCTGGCGTATGTCTAGCTCACGGTGTTGTTGTATCAGTCTCGCGTCTGGAGGTTCCCGAAAGTGAAGTGGCGCTAGATCCCACAAAGGGCTAGCTCACAATGCGGGGGATCTTCCGTCGCGGTTGACGAGTGAACACTGGCTGAGCGTTGAGACGATGCAGCCGCGTCGCATAATTGCACCTGTAATGACGACGTATAGAGTAGAAATAGCGTCGACACAGATCATCTGCCCTTACCCCTACTTACTCGTGGCAGAGGTCCAACCGCGCATTGATTACATAGACTCTGGTGGATTCTCGATTGAACACCAGCGTCGCGACTTAATGTGAGAAGTGCAGACACATTTTCAGATATATTGCTGAGTCTCTTAATATGCTTTATCATTTTGCAACTATGGTAGCTTATAGTGAAATGAATGATGATTTAGCACCCAAGCTGAAAGATGCTGTCCCGTAGCATGCCCGTTCATCCATTCCTTGGAACTTTTGAACCTTGAAAACAGAAACCTATGTAACGACTCGATCGACGCCGCTGGTATGCTTATTCCGCTGAATAGAGATCGATGATAAAACAAGTAAAGCAATCACGCTAGTAGACTTGTGAGCCTAAGCTGGGCCTTGCTGGAACAGGTGCGACATATCGGCCTCGCCGTTGATACCGAAGAAGTTGAACCTGGGTCACTAAGTTAGTCGATGGGTCGGAACATGATTGAGTTTATGACTTGCCAATCGTCAACATTTAGACTCATAGGCACAATAGGATTAGGTCGACCTCCGGAACTCTGACTCCAAGCATCATCCTGTGCGCTATGTTGTTGCTGGTTTTGTGACATCATCTCCATCTGTTGCTGCCAGGACTGAGTGTTATTATGTTCGTAACCGCCAGGAATGCCCGTGTTTGATGGTGGATTTTGCATCTGTGGTTGACCCCCAGCAGTCTGTTGTGAGGGCATGGGCATGTTCTGCGGCTGGCTCAACGCCGGGTCGACGAGACTATGATTTTGCATGGGCGACATTTGTGGGAAGTTGACTTGTGTGTCGGCTGGGAATAGCTGGTCGGGTTGGAAGTTTTGCCATACTTCTTGACTGATATTAGGAGTATCACGGGTAACCAGAAAGAGATCGGGTGGCGTTCCAGGGTACGAATATGATGGGTTGAATGGCGTCGTCGGGCGTGTTCCCGACCGTGAAGGGCCCATGAATGCATCGTGATTCTGCCGGTTCATCTGCGGAGATCCAGTAGTCATCTGGGGCATCTGTTGTTGGGGTTGTAACTCGCGCGACGGGGTGACGGCCGGAGTCTGCGGTCTTGATCGCTCATAGGAAACTTGAGCAGCCGGGGGTCCACTAGGAACAGGGAAGCCTAGGTCCATATCATCGAACTTTCGTTTCGACGACTCTTGGGCAGGTTTTGGAGGAGGTGGTGGTGGAACCGAAGGAACTTTGTTCTTCTTGTGATTGCGACCGGCAGCCTTCTGTAGGCGCTCTTCAAGATGCTTGTTGCCAAGAATCGATTCAAAAAGTGTGTGCACCATCTTTGCAACGAGCCAGACCTTGGAGACCTCTTTAAGAGCGTCTAAGCAAATCTGAAGGCGTTGCTCCGTCGCCGAGACGACGGACTTGTTCGACGACTTCATTTGGTAGACGTGCATGATGAGGGCGGAGAACAAGCTGTACACGATGAATGCGGGAGTGTACCGTATCTCATCATGAGCACGGAGGTTTTCAATGATGGATGTAATCATAGCAGCCGCTTGGTATGCGATATTCCGTGATGGGTATGCATTAGCCTCACCAAATCCGTCCAAATGACTGGCCTTTGGCGAGCCTGCCGGTGGCATATGTGCACGATGTAGAAGACATAGGGTGGTGCTGCGAGGGTAAGTGTGAGTCAGAATTGGGTCGCGGGTAACTTACTAGTAATTCGAGTGTAATAGGGCAGCCCAGAAGTGGTGGCGGTTACGCTCCCACTGCACTTCTGGTGGGCAGTGTTGCAGCCAGTCCGCAAGCGCCATGTCACTGTGGGTAAGATCTATAGCATTCGCTCTGCGGTGTTTGGACGCCACTGAGTATTGTTGCGATAGAACCAGGCCCATGATCTCGCTTAGTTTGACGTAGTTGATGAAGAACTGGACATGGATGGGATCTGGTGGGTACTCTGCAGCATGGTCTGTCTCGTCATCGATGAAGTCGTCTTCAGACACCATTTCGACGTCAGAGTCCTCAGGGTCAATGGCAACCGGTCTGCCTAGTGCTACTGCCACTGAACGGTCTCGACTGTACAGTGTCCACCAGATGCGCTTCCACAAACGCTTGTCTGAGCGTGTCAGCTGTGAACCCTCGACGCTACGGTGCATGCCCGAGCCTTGAGCTACAACAATAGCCACTCGGGTCCAGTAGAAGACGTTCTTGGTTACATCCTCGGGCCCCTCCCAGTACCAGCCCATCAAGATGAGTGCTTGCACAATGGTTACGCGATCATCCTCGAAGTTAGCATCGTATAAGGCCTTTGCGCGCTTGTAGAAGGTCATGGCTGCGGGGGTTGTTGAGCCACTGGAATCCATCAACTGCGCATTGGTACACACTCGTGAGCCTGCCAAGAGAATAGCCTGTAACAAGAGGAGCGAGGGCGGGTTCTTCGGGTCTCTGTACTGGCGCATGAAGCGGCTGCGATTGATGACTGGCACGACTGGGGCCACCCATCTGAAGAAGGCTTCGACGAGTTCGTCGCACAGCGCCCGTGGCGGGAGCAGGAAGGCACCTCGCTGGTGCAGTATCTCTATCTCCATGTTGTCCATCTCGTTGACCCGCGCCTTCGCGCCCCGCACGTTTTCTGGAAGCGGATAGTGGACAACATCGGTGGTGCCATAGCGGTCGTGTACGAGCAGTGAAAGGTTGGATGATTCTCCAAGGTATGCGACGCGGCCGGCTTCTTTAATGGGGGCACGCGCAAACTTGGGCTTCATGAATTGCACGTAGGTGCCGTTGTGGGTAGCTTGCTGGGCAGCGTATTCGGGCGAGACGGTAGTCGAGGGTGTTCCATCTTGGGAGTTGAATACGGCCGACTTCTCGCGCGGCTCGACCGAAGTGCTGGCTGGTGAACGGTCGTCGCTATCTCCTCGGTCACTGCTGTCGCGTCAGCACTATACCTTGACCAGTGAAGTCGTCTGGCCGTACCTATCGGCGTCTTTGGCCCTGGCTGTCTGCGTCTTCTTGCGCTTGGGCTGGGGGATGCGGCACTCGATGCCGAAGGCGGTGCAGTTGGTGCACGGGATTCCCAATGAGGCGGCGTCGCATCGTACCTATTGCGTTGTTACGTGGTGTCCCGACGACGACGATGATGCGGTGCCGCGGCTGATTACTCACTTTCCTTGCGTGGCAGGCTGTTTTGCGTCGTGGTTAGCAAACGTTCGTCGAATCGTTCCGTTTCTTCAGGTTGACCGAGGTGCCGAGGCTCGTCGTGTTGACCATATATCCCACCGACGTCGACGGATCCTCTCTCGTACATGAAATCAGGGGAAATGCTGCGCAAACATGGGTCGCACTCACTTTCGCACGCTCTGCTAGCGCGTTGTCGCCTGAAGGATGGGTGTCCAGGGGGAACTGACTGCGACGACGCCGACGGCCTGGCTTGTATGAGCATGTGCAAGAGGTCCTGCGCGCGGCACTGTAACCTACGGAGTCCCAATGCTGGGTTGCGCAGCGAGCGGTGGAGGCGCTGCTGCTGTGGCCACTGAACTGGCCATGAAAGAGTGTTCGCCCGACATGCTGCTGTCGCTGAGCTCTCTGGCGCGGTCGTCGAGAGTTGAGGTTGTGATTCGTCCGCAACTGGTCGTGTTCTTGGGGCACACACAGTGTGAACTAGCGCGGGCGCCGGGTACGGGAGGCTACGGCAAGGCAGTGATTACCTTTGCGACACACGAAACAGTGCTTTTTCCTGCTTGACAAGTACAATTTCCCAAAGGCTCCATGTTACACAATTACATAAGCTGGGCTACTTCCACGCCAGGTCACGTTGGCGTCATTGATCTCTTCTTTGTTGCTAGGTAGAATCGTCATCCTTCAGCCTACTTACCCCAGGTCGCGTCTCCGTCAATATGGGTCATCTCTTATTGGTGGCAGTCGCCAGTTTCAAATGCAGTAAAGCGAGACAACATATCATGCTCCATTGATCGCCGACGCCTGTCACGCGCATCCTTCTCCACGTCTTTGCTTGAAAGCCTCCAATTTGACATCCTTGTTCGCAGGACTGATGTATCTGAGCTTCACATCGCCGACCTGGTCACGAACAACTTCATCTTCAGAAGCGAATAAGAACTTCTGATGCTCAGTTGGATCCAAGACAACATTATCTGCACTTTGCACCGACATTTCGAAAACCAGCTTGAGCCATGTCGTTGTTCGTCGGCCAGGCTTCTCATCCACGAAGATAAAATGCGTGACTTTCTTCAATATACGAATCGTGTCAAGACCAGCTTCTTCTTTCAGCTCTCGAGCAGCAGCATGTAGAATCGTCTGGTCGCTATCGTCAACTTTGCCCCCTGGTATCTCCTATATAGTATTAGTTCTAGGACAGTCGTGACTTCCTCGTCGGCTCACCCAAAGGTCAGGAAATGCTCTTTCCTCCGCTGCACGCTGTACTAGCAGTAGCTTCCCTTCGTCATTGAACACAATTGAACCTGTGACCAAACAGTCATACTCGGGGTGTTGGCGAAGATAGGTTGCTTCAGACACTGCAAACTCTTGCAAAGAATCTGAAAAGTGAATCGTATCCATAGCAATGGTAACATATAGGTTGAGACGGAAGGATCGAAGTTGCAGCTCGATTTCTCAGACTATGAAGGCAGCTATATACGCTGCAATTGTCGCTGCCTTGAGTGCGACCTCACCAAAACATCGGCCTCTGATAGGACCAAGACATCGCTGGTTCGGATGTGCTAATGAGAGAAGGATAAAAAAACACATCGCGCTCCTCCTAGCAGCGCTGCTACTATTTGAGCTAACGCATGGGATGGTGCACCACGTGAGCCAAGAGTTCGCGCGTCTAGATCGACGCTAGGTAGTGAATTCAATCCAGTGCGTCACAACATCGACGCGCCTCATCCCCATCGCTGTCGCACGGTCGCTGCCCACTTCATCCCAATCGCGACCACATCCGTTCGCCTTTACACAATTCTGAACCCCCCAAAATAATCACGCGGACGGATTGCGACAATGCCTCGTCCCCCACGCTCAAAAGTCGCGTCGCGCGTCGCGAAACCCACCAAGCCGAAAGACGCCCCCGCGCCCCAGCAGCCAGCGAAGCCAACCCCAGCGCAAACCAAGGTCAGCAAAGCTGCCAATAGCTTCAGCGAAGACAGCGATGGCCTTGTCACAAGAACCAGATCAACGCGTTCGCATAGGAAAATGCCACGGGAGAAGACACCGGAGGTCCATGACGAGCCAGAGCTCACCATGACCGGCGCGCTACCGGCTGAAGAGAACACATATTTATCAGCTACCAAGACCCGTACTCCAGCATCAAATGCATCAAAGCAGATGCGCGCCACAAGAAGCAGTGCGAGGAAATCGACCGCGCATTCATCACCACTGGCTGTAGTTGCTCAAGCACACGAAGAATCGCAGATAGAAGAAGATAGCGGCTATGGCGATCTGACATTCTCATCTCTCGGTTCCGATTCCCCAGCCCACGGCACGCGCCCACCATCAGCCATCAAGGTCGGTGCAACACCCGCACATGAGAGATCGATACTGGCCTTGAGCAATTTCAGGCGAAGACCCCGGCAGCCAAGTCTGTTGCGCCAGGTACAACAGACTACCGATGTGGAGGACAACGATCAAGACGACCTAGATAACACCGACAACTTTGACTTTGACGATTTCCTTCCGCATGCCGAGTCCACACCCCTTAACGCACGGAAGCAGGCACCGGAGCAGGAGATTCGGAATGATAGCGGCACTCAGATCTCAAGCTCTGGTTCCCGTGGCACAAAGCGCAAGTTTTCGTCTGTAGTCCAAGTGCCACGCTCGTCACCACCACTGAGTCCACAGTCTGGCGAAGATGTCGAGTCAGAGCGATCACCCTCACCGAGCCTGCCAGAAGTAGTTGCATCACGCGAGGAGATGATCGAGCAAACACAAGAGGATGAGGAGCCACTAAGCGAGACACTTGCGCCCCCCATGTCGAGTAGTCCGATACGGGAAGTCTTGAAGCCGCCTCAAACACCAGCGCAGACGCGACCGCGCCGAAGAGGACGACAGGCCAAGACGCCCGTCGTGGATGAAGACTCAGAAGGCGAGGAGACAGAGACACCTGCGAGAGCTAAGCAGAGGGCCAAAAAGAAAGCAGAGCAAACTATATCTGTTGCGCAACTCAAAGCTCTATTACCACGTCGACGGAACCGCCTGCGGGACCGGGATGAGTTCGACATTGAGTCTTCAGACGATGTCGAGCCTGTGGACTCGGATCAAGATGAGCTACAAATGCCAGCGCGTCGCGTTCGCCAAAAGCAAGGGACTACAAAGTTAGTATCGCCAAAGGCAGCGACAAAGAAAGCAGCTCGCCCAAAAAAGGGTGCCCCCGCTAAAGTAGCGCAAAAGTCGGGCAGAACATACAGTCGCAGGATATCATCGGACAAGGAAAATGAGACTACAGGTCAGAACGAAGCAGACAATACTGAAGTCTCGGCAATCGAGCACTCGGAGAAGTTGGCTGCTATCAGAAGGAAGTTTGAGGAGGTTGATGCTTTTGAGCTGGAATTTGAAGAGGTGGATGCGACGACGAGCTCAAGTCCTTTCCGATGACGGTCAGGCCAGCGGATGTGAAGACTCGTTCTGTTCTACAGCTTGTTTGTTGCTTTTTGCTATCTTGATTGTGTTTGTGATGACTGATGATATATCCACGTATGTTATACAGAATCGTATGGCGCTTATTCACGTGCATGCACGCTGTTTGTAGCTGGCAGGTGTCGAGCAAAGATTCTTTAGTGGTGCGTAAACTGTACCGTCTGCAGTCCAGAGCATCGAATAGTACCTGTTCCCTCAACATGGCTAGGTGATCGGCCTGCTTCAGGAAGTGAAAGCTAATCGTTATCTGTCCTTATCGTCACGAGGCGGTTTGAGCAGCCACGGGAGGGGCGGTGAAAGTCGATGAAAGCGCACTACTTACGTACACAATCCATATTAATCTATCGTGAGACTTCTTTATGGTGCCTAGGTGACTTGGCATCGCATGTTCTGACGGTTCGGCGGCACAGTGCACGGCCGTGCTTGACTGAAGGGGGAGCACTCGGGGTTACGTAGCTTCCTGCCCCAGCTATTGAACCCTCACGATATCCGAGCATCCACCTCCCCATTGCGCCTCCGCCTTTGCTCCTGACGTTCACGCAATGTTGCCGTAACCCCATGTCATGCGGCTTCCCGACCACTCCAATCGTTTGGCTTATGCAGCACCACCTTTGCCCACTCCGCCTGGCGTCCGCATGCCATGAACCCCTCCAATGGCTCCTCGCTGTCGACATCCAAGAGCAACTCGACACTGCGCCCACGAACCCGAAGATTGATCTCCGTAGAAGATGACATATATGCAACCGACGGGAATGAGAGCGGATCGAGCAGGGCCACGTCAAGGTTAGCCTCGCGGAACACATCTCCTACCCCAAATGCACGCACAGGCGGCGCTTCCTCCTCGCGTCTGAACGTCACTTCCGCACCGTCATCGTCCTTCCAGAGATCTTCCGGCACCTCGACCCCGAAATCGCCCTCGCAAACACTCTCTGGACTATGGGGCAACTCTTTGGCGGCAATCCAGGGTATTGCCGCTACCGTCCTGGCTAGCGACGGTACCCCAGGCGACTCCGGAAACACTCGCAGGCGCACAAAACCGGGTCATGGGCGACGTACGTCTACGAGCGCACCACCGCCGAAACAATGGGGCCCGGCAGGCGCAGGCTCGCATGTTGGGGCTGGAACACACGAAGAAAGAGAGGCCATGGTCAGAGCAATGAAGCGGAAAGACCTGTTGACCGCTGGCGAGCATCTGGTTCCCGACTCTGTTGGCCGTATAAAGCGCAGGAATTCGGATGAACGACTTAGCGCGTCCGCACCTCCCAGTGAGAACGACGACCGAGATGCACTCGTATACATCCACCACGTTCGGCCGCAGGACACACTGGCTGGACTCAGCATCAAATTCAACTGCGAGCAAGCTGTATTACGCAAAGCCAATCGTATGTGGCCGAACGATAGCATACAGTTTAAGAAGCAGGTGGTGCTACCAGTAGATGCTTGTGGCGTAAAGGGAAGGCCAGTTCAGGGCCCGGATGCTCTTCCTGCTGAAGACCTACTATTGGGAGAGTATGGTGATGGTTCGAGTTCCAAGGCCCCAGTTCCAGATACTCAAGGTCTGCCTGATGGCTGGACCACACCGAAAAAGAAAGACCAAGAGAGCAATTCAGTCCCCTCCGATGCGGAAACCCCATGGAAACATGATTCATGGGTGCTCCTCCCTAATGATAAACAGCCCACACAGATCGGCCGCATGCCACGCAGAGCACTTGGCTTCTTCCCACCCGCTCGGCGGAAGTCCCTCGCGTACTCCGACGCATCAACACCTCGTGCATCCGTCGACCTTCCGCGCTCCTCCACGTCCACGAATCCACATACCAGCTCTCCCTCGCAGTCTGTTCGACCCCGTGCGTCGAGCAATCTGTCATCTGCCTCAGCCCACAGCCGCCAAAGGAGCACATCAGGCAAAGCATGGGGTCTGCACGGCCCAGGAGGTGTCGGTACAATGGGCAGAAACGTGCGGAGCCCTGGGCCTGCGCAGGATGGTCTGAACAAAAAGTTTGGTCAGTACCTGCCCAACATGGCGCCCCCACCCGGTCAGGAATACTTCACACCGTGGGCACCAGGCCTGTTGGACGCAGGTACCGGGACGTCGAGTCAGTACGGCGGATCCGGTGCTGTCACACCGCTCAGCGGTAGCGGCTTGGATTTTCAAGAGCTTGGAGGTGCTATAGAAGGATGGGTGAGAAAAGTTGGTACACAAGCACAGAAGCTTTTGAATGAGCCAGGTACACCCGGACAGGGGAAACGCAGTGCCGTGCCTGTCGTAGGAGCTGTCGGCGGCGATCTGGGTGATCTCATAGAGCTCCAAGATGATGCTTTTGAGATGGGAGATGGTGAAAGGGACAGGGGCAGATCGAGGGCGGAAGAGACGCTTGCATCGACGAACGAGCGCTCGGTATCAAGACCAGCACAGCAATATCAGTCAGCACGACCAGATATCAACCTCGTCCTGAGAGACAGGACACGAAAGGGTGACAGTAGCAAGAAGGATTAGACAGCATTATTGAATTAGGTGTCAACGGTATTAATAGCTATATGCGTGCATAGTATGATAGCTTGCTTCGTGGCATCGAGGCAATTGGGCATTTTTGGGCATCTGCAATATATCCTTCACATGTACAGAGTTCTCATTTGCACGCCTTGGTGATTTTGTTTCTGTGCCTAACCTTGCCCCTCGAAAGCTTGGTTGCGAAGACAGTCCGGAAGAACTACAAGTTTCTCATCGGATCGCCGAAGGCCGTGCGCCTCCACATCAGTGATGAGCTAAACGAAAGACGCAGGTGGTGACCCTTGGCACCGCCGTTCCCTAGATACTGTGCGGGTCATTTCTTCTATCCATCTAAATTGTGGGTGCGAGATCCCTACATGTCCGCCAGAAGTGCATTAGGCAGGTCATCTGCTTTGCTGCGGCATGGATCGGCATATGAGTCTACTCCACTCCGACGATACCTTACCACACGATCACCTGCAACATTCCTTGCACTGAACGCTCGTCTTGCACTACAACAAGCTCTGAGTGGGAGACGAACCATCTACCAAGCTACAAAGTCGAACCAGACTCCTACGCCATCAGTTACGAGAGCAGCAACGTTCGCCACGATGCATCGCTCCCCCGCCGCTATGGTTACAAAACCAATGGCGGATCCTAATATTGAGATCCGCACCCCAAGGGACCCAAACACCTTGTCTAACTATCACAACTTTGTGACCAGGCATACGAGTGTCGATTTTGATATCGATTTCCAGAAGAAGCGGTTGTTTGGAAGTGTAGTGTTGACGTTGGAGAGTCTGACGGATGAGGAGGTGAAAGATGTTGTATTGGATAGCAGGTATGCATTTGAGATACAAAAGGGTAGCAGAATCGATTGAGGAGCTCACTGACTGTGGCATAGCTTCCTTGACATCTCCGTCGTAGAAGTCGAGGGTAAAAGTGTCAAGTTCAACGTTGGCGATCGTGTGGAGCCCTATGGCAGTCCTCTTACCATTACGCTTCCATCCAAGGTTCCCAAAGGCAAGACTGTCGATGTTGAGATCAAGGTCGCTACTACCGACAAGTGCACCGCACTTCAGTGGATGACGCCAGCTCAAACCTCGAACAAAAAGCACCCGTACATGTTTTCGCAATGCCAGGCCATCCATGCACGGTCTGTCTTCCCTTGCCAGGATACTCCGGATGTCAAGTCAACTTTCAGCTTTGCCCTACGCTCGCCGCTACCGGTGCTTGCCTCGGGTCTACCTACTGGAGCCAGTGACTATCTACCTGCGAAGAAGGACGGCGAGAGCGGCACCATGAAATACACGTTTGAACAAAAGGTCCCGATGACAGTGTACCTTTTCGCTGTTGCGAGTGGAGATCTAGCGTGCGCAAGCATTGGCCCCCGCAGTACGGTATGGTCCGGACCCGAAGAGCTCCTTGCGTGCAAAGATGAACTTGACGGCGAAATCGAACCCTTCATGAAGGCACTCGAATCGATTGTCTCACCCGCGTACCAATGGGGACAATACAATGTACTCATTCTGCCACCATCATTCCCGTACGGCGGCATGGAGAACCCAGTCTGGACCTACGCTACTCCTTCCATCATCTCTGGTGACAAGCAAAACGTCGACGTCATCGCACACGAGCTGTCTCATTCGTGGTCTGGTAACCTTGTCAGCGCAGCGAGCTGGGAGCACTTCTGGCTGAACGAAGGCTGGACCACCTACCTTGAACGTAGAATTGCCGCTGCCATTCACGGAGAGGCGCATCGCCATTTCTCTGCTATCATCGGCTGGAAAGCTCTGGAGCAAAGCATCGAGAACTATGGCGCAGACCACCCCTACACTAAGCTCGTTCTCGATCTCAAGGGTCAAGATCCAGATGACGCATTCTCCTCCATACCTTACGAGAAAGGTTTCCATGCTCTTTACCAGTTTGAACTGCTTCTTGGAAAGGACAAGTGGGATTCCTTCATCCCACACTATTTCGACACCTTCAAGTTCAAGTCAGTCGATTCATACGACTTCAAGAGCTGTCTGATAGAGTTCTTCGAGAAGGATGCTGAGAGCAAGAAGAAGCTTGATGACTTTGACTGGGATAAACTCTTCTACGCGCCCGGTTATCCTGTGAAGCCAGACTTTGATCAGACTATGGTCGAGAGTTGCTATGAGCTTGCAGACAAGTGGCAAAGCCTAGTTTCTTCCGAATCCGGAGACTTCAAGCCCCAAGCTTCAGATATTGGAGGCTGGGTATCTAACCAGTCGGTTGTCTTCCTCGAAAAACTCCAAAACTTCGCTTCCAAGTTCTCAGCCGACCAAATTCACTTGCTAGGCGCAACGTATGGCTACAACGACACCCAGAACATTGAAGTTCTATCACGCTACCTGAGTATCGGACTCATGGCCAAGGCACAAGAGACGTACGAGCCAGCAGCGACTTTGCTAGGCAAGATTGGTCGTATGAAGTTTGTGCGACCCATGTTCAGGTTGTTAAACGAGGCGGATCGTGATCTGGCTGTCAGCACATTTGAGAAGAACAAGGAGTTTTACCACCCAATTTGTAGGCAGATGGTTGAGAAGGATTTGTTCGAAGAGAAGAAATAGTGTTGAACAGGAAAAAACACAAATTCGAAAAACGACACATGGATTTTAAGATACTTAAATAGCTTTGACCATCCGAGAGCATCATTCAAGTGCCAGCTAAAGCGTGTAGATTCTGAAATGTAATGTGACGTAACCCGTTGGCACATCTTGGCATGCCAACAAGTTATTGAACGTGTTGGAATGCGGAAACCACGACCATCACTTTCAACACTCGGAACAACCACCGAGACAAAAACTTCGGCCTCACAACCCCGAGACCGGTATACCTCGTCCCGTCGCCATCTCGCATCGAGGCCACAAGCCTCACACTTCTACCCATCGGTATACCGCATTCGGCACTCCCGATCCCCGCATCCCGCATCTCCAGCATTCCACTCCCTCGAAGGGTCGTCTGTTTAACCCCTCATTCATCCGAAATCGCCGCCCAGACGCCTTGCCCTTGCATATTGCCTTTCTGCCAAATCGTATAAAAGATTCTCGCCTACCCAGCCCGCCCATAATGACCCCTCCCAAGCGCGCCTTGTTCTCTCTAAACCTCGACACTGACGCAGACCACGTATACCAAAAAGTCGAAGACCACAACAAGGACGGTGTAGACAGAGTTAAAGTCTTGGAAAGCAAAGGGCCCACTCGCGGACACACGGATTTGAGTTACGTGACGAGGCCGTTTGAGAAGACTGTTCATCGAGCTGTTAACGAGGTTATTGACGGAAGAAAAGTCAAGTCTGCGGAAGGAGAAATATCATATTCGACAACTAGAACCGAAAGACGAAGTGGTGGTACTTCTAGACGAAATCAGGACACAGACGACGAAGACAGGGAGAAGAGTCGATTGAACATCGTTAGTAAAACGAAGAGAAGGAATATTGAGAGGAAATACGACACTTCAGAGCTTTGAGATCTCTCCAAAAAGCAACATGTCAGCGGACCAGCAGCCTCTCCGTATAGCCATTGGCTGCGACGATGCGGGCGTCTCGTACAAAAAGGCCATCATCAAAGACCTAGAAGCCGATTCCCGCATTGCCTCCGTAACCGACGTCGGCGTCCCCGAAAACAGCGACAAAACAGCGTACCCACATATCGCCGTCGATGCCGCCAAACTCGTCGCAGAGGGCAAAGCAGATCGTGCGGTCCTCATCTGTGGCACCGGTCTTGGTGTGGCCATCTCGGCGAACAAAGTGCCTGGTATCAGGGCTGTGACAGCACACGATAGCTTCTCGGTAGAACGTGCGATTCTGTCCAACGACGCACAAGTGCTATGCATGGGTGAGCGAGTTGTTGGAATTGAACTCGCGAGGAGATTAGTCAAGGAGTGGGTGGGATATCGATTTGACAAGAGCAGTGCTAGTGCGAAGAAGGTGGAGGCTATTATGGAGTATGAGAGGGAGAATTACAAGGGTTTGGTTGAGGATCAAGGGAAGAGCAAAGGGTGCTGAGTGTGGAGAATTCAATGTTGTAGGTTTTCAACAGTGGGATACTGGGGTGGAAGTGCCGTAGCCATTGCTGAGTAGTGCAAACAGAATATCACGGCTAAGCCTCTCACCTTGATGTGTTCAGTTCTTCACATCTAATGATCCGGTGTGCCAAACTCCCAAATATCCTTTTGATACCCCTCCGTCAAATCCTTGTCCTGCCCATATTTCTCCTGCCACATCGTGAACCCGCCTTGTAGGACGTAAACCTTTTGTTTCTTGATCTGCGTACCACTAGGCCCCTTCTGCTCTCCCTCTCCCTCCTTCTCCACAGCCTCACTCTGCTCCTTGATCTCACCCTTTGACTCTATCACCGAACCAGGATCCAGTCTTTCCTTCTCCCTCAAGTATCGTAGTGCGGCACTAGGTCCCCGTTGCTGCGATAACGCGCAGTGGAAGATGACGACTTGCTTGTCTTGTAGTGTGCGGATGAGCTCAGGAGTTTTGTAGTCGAGTTGCGAGGAAGGAACCCAGGTTGAGCCTTTGATGTGGCCACCAACGTGATCGCTGTCTCGTACCTAGATTGCGAAAAGGTGTTAGTGTTGTGGTTCCTGAGGCAGGTTTGTTGGAGGAAGGGTTTTCTTACGTCAACTACTGCGGTGTTGGGAGGTAACGCAGAACCTGACGATTTGAAGTCGCTAGCGAGTGATTCGCGGGTTACGAACTCCAAGTCTGAGAGAGATATAGTCGACATTGTGCGAGTGGTGGGATGAGGTAATGGACGGATGAAGAAAGGATATGGGTGCGCAGTGGCAGAGATTTGGTGGGCAGGTTTTCCTGCGCGTAAAATCCTGAGAGAATACAGATTGGAGTTTGTAGTATCGTGAGCGAGTGTCTTTGATGTATCAAGAAGGTGCGGTATGTGTACCCGAGTCACAATGCGTAGAATGAGTGAAAGTAGTTTGGAGGGGTAGTGGGGTACGCGTGGGGAGCTACGTCGCGTAGACACGTGTGTTCTCCACCCAATGGGCAACTGCAAGTGACATGCCATAGTATATGCTCTAGACTCCAATGTGGCTTTACGCAGCACGTCAAAGGCTTGGAAATGTCGTGATATCGCCTAGGCATAAGCAGGGGAAACGTTTCGGGTGTCAGAATCCAAGGCATGCTGATAACAACAAGTCGTATTGGTACATGGTGCAGAATGAATAAATGTTATCGCTCAAAACCATGCAACCAAAGCTATGATACACACCGAAGCGAACGCCAAAACCCCAAGGGTCATCCTATAATCTTGTCTCGAAGCTTAGTCATGTTTCGCGCCTCCAAAGTTGCCATTACCCATGCTGCCTAGTAGCCCGTCCTTCTCTCCCAGTTGAAAGTACGCGCCGGTACTGCCAAACTGTCTCCTTCGTCTGCTGTTGCCAAACAATGTAGCCGCAGTAAAGAAACCCACAAACATGCCGAGGGAGATGAAAGGGTGGTTGTTGACAAAGTGGCGAATCGACAGCCACATGCCAGCAATGCGACCAGTGGTAGACTTGGCCGCGATCTTGGGAGGGTTTGAAGTGACCATTTTGATGGTCTCAAGGATTGCTGCGCGAGAGAGACGAATAGGTTCACCAGAGATGGTGCTATCCCAGTAACGGCGGTTCTGCGTATGTTAGCAGGTTTCATATAGGACCGGTTTTGGTGACTTACATCTTCATCGTTGATGATAACGCTCTCGCCATCCTTGACATCGACACCGTATGTAGTCCGGATCCAGCGTTCCCAGAAGATACCGTCGACCCACGCGAAACCAACCTGAGTGCGCGGGATGTCATCCATGTTGATGCGGATAGACTTGGCATCCCTAAGTGCTCGCTGATTGTCCTTGTCTTCAGCCTCTTCAATGCGGAGTTGCTTAGCATCGCGGAGCTCCTGTCGCTCTAGCTGGAAGGCGGTCTCCTGCTTATCGATCCATTCGATTGCTGCGCTCTTCAACTCACGCTTAGAGAGGATGAATTCGTCGGAACGGTCGCGATTCAGTATACCTAGAACGACAAATTTGCCTTCCATAATCTCGCGAGCATTGGAAGACGTCATCTCGGGGACGATAGGCAACCAGACAGACTTCATCCAGCTAAGGACTTTCTTGACATCACGCATCTCGAAAGGTGTCCTAGGTGGGTAGTACGTAGGTTTTCCGTCTCTTGACACCATCAGTCTCGGCCATGTTGAAATCTTGAAGCGGTCAAACAGCTCCTTGTCATTTGTCTTGACCAATTTTGCGCGACCGACAAGGCTGAGAGGAAGTCGCTCTAGCGCTTGAAAATCCTCGGATGTGGTCGCGTGATCGTAGAAATAGGTAAAGATGACCTCTTCAGTCTCTTCCATCTTTTTAAACTCCTCGGCATTTACATCACGTACTCCAGCACCAACAGCTGAAGCCTTCTCTGCATAATCCAACAGATCGCCAAGCCCACGGAGACCCGAGTACTCGATACGCTCGCCGCCTTGGAAGAAGAGCATGGTTGGGTAGCCTCGAACGCCAGCTGCCTTGCATAACTTCTTCTCTACATCGCAGTTGACCTCTCCAACGTTTAGCTTTCCCTTCATCTGGCGCGCGAGGTTTGCCCATGTCGGCGCAAGAGCCTGGCAGTGATGGCACCATGGCGCGTAGAATTTGATGAACCAGGGATCGCGTGTGTCTGTAACAAGTTTCTCAAACGTCTCGGCGGTGAGGGGCTCGACGGTGCCAGATGGGTTCGCGTTCGAGGTGGGTTCGGTCTTTGCGGGAGCGGCCTTGGTCGTCTTGGTGAGAGAGGGTGTGGCGGATGGGGTCAGGTTGGTGGCCGGGCTTGCAGCTTTCTCATCTTCTTTCTTGTCTTGAGCCGCCTCTTTCTTCTCTTCCTTGACAGCTTCCTCTGTGTCTGGGCCGGTCTCTACGGATGTTGCACCAACCTTTGGCAGTTTGGGGCCACCCTCTTTGCGTGTACCGGGTCGCAGAGTCTCCAGGAGTCTCTCAACCCAGGAGCTCATGCCCTTGATGTCTTTGGAGCCCGTCTCTCTCTCCGACTCCTTTCCGTCTTGGAAGTAGACCATGGTAGGGTAGCTCTGAATGTTGTGCTTTTTGCAGACATCAGCGTAGGCGACACAGTCAACCTTGGCAAATTTGAAGTCATAGTAGCGCGTGAAGGAGTTTAGGGAGTCGCCTTCGGGCTCGTCTTTGGAGAGGAAGGGTTTCGAGGTGTAGTAGAACTCGTAGGTGGTTTGGTAGGTTGGCTTGAAGTGCATGCAGTGGCTGCAGTAGGGGGAGAAGAACTCGACTATCCTATGGTGTCGTTAGCATTATTTCCAGGATGAACATGTCTCCTTTCGTACCAGTTGCCTTTGCTGATCTCAGTGTCTATCGTTTTCGGCCCAAGTTCTATCATGGGAGGCACTGTCTCGCCATTAAATATCGTGTCTGGCGTCTTGTCGTCCCAGTCATCCTTCTTAGCCGTCGCCTGGGCAGTCGGGGTCTCTGCCGCAAATGTAGAAGTAAACGTCGCCAGCGACAGGAGGGAATATATCATGGAGCGCATCGTTGCGGCGGCGGAGGGGGCGGGCTGCTCGTGCGAGGCAGCGGTCCTCTAGAGAGGAATAAGATCGGTATTATATATCAGGCTTGGAAGTGAATGCGACTAGGGCTTGTAGAAATTACACGCAACCTGGCTATCACAAGGCGTGGCGGGGGGTTGTCGCGCGCAAGTGAGGGTATTCGTGTCCCTGAACATTGCTAGCCAGGGATCGCCGCTCCGGCTGCATATCGCTTGGCGGGCGCATCTTCGTCCTGACGGCATCACCACCGTCAAGCACCAATTGCGCCCCAACCCCACACTCGACACTCCCGCCAACATGAGGGCAGCTGCACGTCTCCTCGCCAGCGTCAAGCCTGGCCAGTTCCTTGAGGCCGGCACTCCCACGGGTCTCACAGGGCTCCTTACCCACCCGTCGCCGCGCTCCGCGCTGCTCTACCACTACCACTCGACTCTTGACAAGCTCAAGAAGATTCCCGAATCATCCGTATACCGCCAGTCAACCGAGGCCCTTACAAAGCACCGTCTTGCCATCATCGAGCAGTCCAAGCCAGCGGGATGGGACGAGTGGCAGCAAAAGATCGCCATGCAAGTTAGCGACGACCCAACCAGATACCAGGTCCTCGACACATCAGCCGGACAAACCATCGTAATCCCAAACCAGGCTGAGGTTGACGAGCGGTCAAAAGCAGCCGAGTGGGATGGAGAGAAGATCGAGACGTTCCCCGAGGGTATTCGTTCGTCCAAAGAGCGACTGCCCCATGCGAGGAAGATGAAGGGCGACGTCAACTACACACCTGAGCGGGTGATGAACGATATCAAGTTTGACCCCGAGCCGCAGTACACTGCCGAAGCGTATGTCTTCACCAAGCCGCAACGGGTGGCGACTCCATCACTGACTAGTATAGTATTTCCGACCTTGAGAGCAGACTTGGCGCGGGCCTGATTGAAGAAGTCATTCAGGTCGCTGAGGGCGAGCACAAGCTCGTCGACGTCATGACCGAGGCCAAGGTGTACGTAACATCTATCATTAGTGTTGGACTACAGCTAACATGCCGCAGTTGGGAGCCACTCGAGGAGCCTGCGCCAGAAGGCCAATGGTCTTACTTTGAGCGCATGACACACACAAAGACACAGAAGCCATAGACTCGCGTCGCCCACCAAAGCATGTAGATAGTAGAAGAACAAACATTATATTTGTGCATGTGAGGCTCCATCACCATTCCGCTACCCTACAAGATATATGTGCTTTCCATCTGTGACGTCCCTATGAACTTAAGCTCCCCCTCCCTTTCCTCCCTGTTGCTCCTTCAAAGCTTCTGTCCTCAATTGGTTCCGCTTGACCAGGATCCTCAGCGTGTTCTGCTTTTCAATATCCGCCATTTCATTCCAGTTTGAAATTCGCGACAGGGTGCCATCTTTGTTGACTACCAGAGGACCCATGTGGTCTAGCTTTACCGCTTGACCACCAACATTGACTTGCGTGACACCATCTTCTGCTGTAGGTGCTGGAAGAGGTAGTGGAGTCTTGTTCGATTCCGATGCTTCTTGGCCCTGGGAGTTCTGTGGGGTTGCCTGGTTGACGGAATTGGTGAAGTCTGACATGGCGCGAGTTGGTGAGTGGATGTTGTGGGGGACACGAGTATTAAGTATTCGTGGAGTCTGTAAAGTCGTAGTGGAGCGTGTGCGCAAGGCTTGTGATACTGCTCTCATTGATTTCATGGGTTTTCTCGATGGGGTAAGAAAGTTGGCACTTGGTTCATGTGTACTCTCAATGTCTGCTACGATGTTCGAAGAAACTTCCGTTTTTGCTTCTAGAAAGGTCTACCACAAACATACAAAAAATCGTATCTCACACATCACCAAACGCTGACAGGTAAAAGTATACTAGAAAGAACAGCACCAGACAGCAGTATCTCAGATCACTTAGAGTATGGTTGCGCGTGACGCACATCTGTAGTTGTGCTTTTTGGAAGATTTTTAGCATGCCCGAGAGGACCACAAAATGCGAGATCGTTGCAACACTACGATCACCATATGCAGTAGCATATTGTTGCTCCCGCTGCAGGGAAGCAGAAAACAAATTTTATCCCGCTCTGCTCAGTGTATTGGTAGTGTAGTTGACGTTGAATCACCACAGCAAGAGTATAGGATGCTGTAAGGCCGCCGTCAAGCCGCGCAAGAACTCTGACGTCAAGGTCGACATATTCAATAGATGGCAATCACTACCTCCTCTTATCACATGACGATGAGAATTGTAGACTATTACCACATAGTACTAGTTGTGTTGCTGCCCGAAAACTGAGTGCTTACAGCCCTGTCGGAGGAAGCGCAACCCAGTATACTTAGACCCAGGTATGCGTCTCCGCAATTATTTCCAACTTTCCGATATAAGATAGATATTCAAGGCAAGTACACCATTGCAACTTATACCGCGTTCCTTCTTGCTTGGTACCCTTTTGCATGCCATGATGCGGTGTTACGGTACCTCAAAAAAGACAGCCATGACCTTGAGCATACAATGGCTCGTCGTACCTAATTTGTCAAACAATTTCTCTGGCACGCCCCAAAGCTCAACACCATCCGTTGAATGGCTCTCTCAAGCTGAATCACACGAATCGCCCCATTGGCAGTTATGACGAGACAAAGAGACGGGATCAATGTCAGAGCGCGTACCGCATTGTACCGCCGTTCGTGCGAGGTCGCACTAACGAGCAAAAGCATATCTACAACGGCGGTATCGCTGTGGAGCTTACCAGACACACCACGATGATCTCACTATCGTGTATCAGCTAGAAGCATCGCCTTGGTGCGTACCAAACGTCGCCTTGCTCCTTTAGGACTGTCTTCGTAACGAGTCGGAGGCACCTCGTAGCCAAGCCCTTCTTTGCATCGGAACTGCACATCCGCTTGCACCAGTCGGCGGACAGTACCATATTCGTCCGGTCAAAGGCCCCCGTCCATGACTTGGCCAACACGCTATCTCGACGTCGGAGGCCTGTCCCAACGCCTCACCGGTCTTTCTCTCGGCGGCGTGACCTCACAAGACAGGATGTTGAAACTCATCCTGTGCATGATGATCAAGCCACGACGCGCCTGGCGGGTCAGAGCCTGCTGCACGACATAGACATCCCGCCTGTATGTCGCTGGTCTTGCCGTCTTGGGAATCACTGCAGCGCGTCAAGCGGACAGCCCACTTTGATGCCCACCTTCGGGTATCATCCACACCCAGATTCGGGAGCGCAACCGCAAGTGGGACTGGAGCTTATTCCAACTTCCACGATGCAGAGTGTATTCGCAGTGCGAGTATTTCATGAGCATTGCGCGTACGGAGAGGGTTTTTGCGGCCACCTAGCACGCCTAGCGGTATCGTCGGAACCCTGAGAGCGATTGCGCGCACGGTGCCGCGTCGGCGGCCTGGCGCAAGCTGCAAGAAATGCTGGCATGCCGGAAGTTCTGATACACAAGAGCGATGTGGGATAGTGTACAACACGTGGGGTTGGGTTCATCTGGATCTAACGGCCCTCTGGTAAGTCAGGGCGTCCGTCTGACTTCAACCATACGTATCGCGCAATCAGTCATTGTGACAGCATGCCGCTTGCCGCGGAAAATTTCTCTGCAACCATCTCGCCGTGCAGTCGCTGGCAAGCCTCGGCAATTTCTTCCGCAAAAGGTCGCGTTGTACTTTGCCAAGCATGCAACGCAAAGATCGGATGCTCTCAAGCGAAGACCGCGGGAGGGCCTTTGTGCACACGAAGCTCTTGACAATATGTTACGCGTTGGGGAAGAGGCAGACGGATGCAGGATATGCACGGCAGCACAAGAGTGGAATAGCCAGATGCCAGGACAATTATGAAGGAAGTGAGTTGGCAAGCATTGGATGCGTGTCACTTCTGGAGCGTGTAATCGAGTCAGCACCAGCATCCGGAATGCCGCTTTGAGTGTCAGTGGCCGTCAGCTACGAGGCCGAGCGGCATCGTGATAGAGGACGCTAGCGGCGTCACAAGTCGCGATACGTAAGCTGACTGGACGAGAGGTATTCAACAAGATTCGCCTTAGGGCGATCACGGCCAACAAGTCGCGCATTGCAGTTATCTGTAGAGCTGCAGCATGTGTTGTTTCGATTTGAATGCCCCGGCGCCTCGACCTTCCAGTGCATCCTTCTCGAAGAGCTGTTTCAAGACGTGAGGTTTCATTCGAGGGTTGCACAGCCGAAGGATCTGGCGAGCCGAAGATTTAGCGGACGCCGTTGCAATCTGCCGTCTAGGAATCCTAGTTGCACGCTAGACCGCTTCCGGTCAGCCATACGTCACGCTCACGAAACTTTTTACCTCAAGCTCGGCGGTTGCCAGATGCCTCTGCCCCATCCGCTCCCGCCCGTGTCCCAGCATTTGAGAGATGGCGAGCAGAGTGCTGCGACAATGGGAAACGCTGGATGAGCGACGCAGAAACATCCATGGAGCTCACCGGACGCGCTTGGTTTCATAGACGGATATAACACCCCAGCAAGCCACAGCCGCCAACGCGAAGTGAAGCTCGGCCTTTGTCGGGTCGATGCTCGGATGAGTTGCTTGCTTGCGCTCCTGGCTCGCTGGCCTTACCGATCCGGTGGCTCTGACAAGTCACTCAGACTAAGGGTGCGCCGACGGTACGTACGAGCAACTGGTACGCACCACGGGAACTACAGGGTCTGGGAAATGAGCTTCGAAACAGCCAAAGACGGGGGCAGGCAACCGTAGTATGTAGAATGAGGCTCTTGCTCTTATCGATTGCTAGGCAGTGGCGTGGGTGAAACTCCTGGGACCATGGTAATGGACGAGGTCGGGGGCACAGCTGTGAGGGCCATGATACGCTTCCATACACCCTTCGGAGGTGCGCACGATTCAAGGGCCCGGCCAGCGCGTAGACTGGGATTCTAAGGCATCTGTGCATGTGCATGCAATTGGATACTCGTCCGCTAGTACACGAACGGCTGTCGTCATTGGTAATAGTTTTTTCCAACGGGCGGTGCATACGCGCTCCAATGCAGTGCACACAGTAGGGAACATCACGTATGCGAAAAGTCTAAAAGTTCGTGATCACGTGTGCATCGGAAATAGGTAGTCGGGGTCTCGAGATGGTCCTGCATCTCTCCCACTGTCTTCACCTACTACTCCCGCCCTAAATTCTGTAACGTCGCTGCACAGGCATCCCGACGCGCTTGCCGCGACAAGACCTTGTTCAGAGAAATCTCTTGCGCGTCCGCCGCCTCCCCTGCCTCCTCGCAGAAATCACCCACCCACATAATTCTTTTCAAGCCATATCTGCTCACTATCAACGTCCGGCAAGCTCCGGCATTCAGCAGCGCGGAAACAAAACAGGAATTACGTGGTGCGGAAAGCGGAAGTTCTCCCAGCAGCACTCGCATATTTTTTTCGCCGACCGCTATCTCTACCCCGAGCCACCTTCTCCCCTCCCCCAAAGCTCCCCAACAGACCTCACTCCTGTCGTGGGTCTACCGTACCTGTCTCGTGCTTACAGCTCTCCACTTGGTCTATCCGCAATCAATCGGCTGAGGCTGAAGGGTGTGTGGGCCGCCGATCTGCAGCAGGTCCCTTGTCCCTTCGCGTGAATTGCCGCGCGAGCCAGGCAAACCACCGCCGCAACTTTCTTGCTAGTCCAGCTACGAGAATTCAGCGTCACCGGTCACCTCTTCCAATTCCACACCGTTGCCCCTCTTACCCATCTTCTCTCGAACTCACCCACAGCGGGCTCCTATTTCCACCCATCCGTGGAGTACCCGCCGACGCGTATCGACTGGCCATCTCAGTCCCCCACACGGCTCCACCTGTAAAGCTTCTTCGTGGCCCATCGTTACTCCATCCCGACGTCCATCTAACGGCCTCGTGGTGTGCTTAGCCAGCCTTGCAGACGTTACTCCGCTCTAAGCTCCGTCGAATGGTCCCTTTACGATCAACAATTGGTCGCGCCTTCCCCATCACTTCACTCACCCTCGACCCACCAACAACTTCATCATGGACTCTACAGATCGCTTCCGCCAACCTGGCCTTAGCAACTACCCATCAATAGGCCAACAGCAGTACAATGGCTCTCAAAACCAGCTGCCCACACTGCCGCCTCTGCAGAGTGGCGGCCAGTACCCGTTGTACGGCCACAATAGCAACCCTCACACGCCCCAGCCGCCGCACACGCCTGTGACCTCTGCCGCCAATGGCAGTTCCACCATGCCACCGCTGCAGCACCCGCCGCTGCGACCTCTCCAACCCACGCCGAGCTCGTACCTGCCTATGTCTTCGGCCTATTCGCAGGCGCCTATGCTGTCCACAGCATCTGCGCATACCAACGGCCACCAACTAGGCGGTCCTCCTGGTATGGGAGGATTGGGACACGCGTCCATGTACGCCCACCCTCCTGTGCTCCCCAACCAGGAGCCGGAGCCTGTGCACGTCGTCGGCCAGCAAGGTCGTCGTGGAGTATTGCCTACACACCCCGGTAGGCCCGCGCCAGCTGCAGGCAAGACGCCCACTACTGCTACCAAGAACGCCGAGGGCAAGTATGAGTGTCCTCACTGCAATAAGACGTACCTGCATCTGAAGCATCTCAAGCGCCACCTGCTGCGACGTAAGTTTTATCTCACATCCAATCAAACTCCGCCTCTAACATCCCACAGACACCGGTGAACGACCCTACCAGTGCCATCTTTGCAAGGACACCTTCAGTCGAAGTGATATCCTTAAGCGCCATTTCCAAAAGTGCTCGATACGAAGGGGCAACCCAACCGGCGCGAACCACCTCCAGCACGCGCAGCAGCATTTGCAGAAGAACAGGCAGCCCAGCGGCGCAGACCAGAACTCGTACCTTAACCACATTGGTGCTAATTCTATGTCTTACGCTGATGCTGGAGGTTATACTATGGGTTTGCCTCAGATGCCTGCGATGGGCGGCAATGGCTTCAACGACAGCCTACCGTCGCTTGCCAACCATCACCAGACCATGTCTGCGCGCACATCTCGTTCCAACAGCTTGATGCGCCCCAGCAGCGGAGTCGAGGACAGCGCGCATCGCAGGAGCATGTCGGCTATGGACTTTGCGAACAACAGGATGAACTTCAACGACTACCGCCCGGATGGCGTTCCCAATGGCTACGCGCAACAACAGCAACAGCAGCCCCAGCCTACTGCAAACGGATCCGATCCAAACTCCCACTACAACTATGACCACGCCTCTACAAATGGTTCGATGGCGCAGAATGGCATGACCGTCAAGAGCGAGGCTGCCGACCCTGCTTCCTACGGAGGAGTCTCGACCCTGCCCAACGTGGATGGCATGCCCAACGGCCAGGATGGCTCACTGTGGCGGAACGGATCGTTCAACGGCGATATGAATAATTCCAGTACGGCAGGTGGCCCAACCTTTCAAAAATCGGCCCAGTTCTGACCGGAACTTTTAGACCTCAGATGATACACCACATGATACTTTGTTTGGACTGTACTCGCATGTTCCGGGTTTGGCCGACTCTTCCCCGATGCTTGACAACTGGTTCATTGGCCAATCCACGTCTGATCCTCTGCACGCTCTGGCAGGATCACTTTTGAACTTTTGCTTTCCGAATGCGTCTCTGCTTCCAAATCAACACTCAGACGAGGCGCACGCCTACGAAAGACTGAAAAATATCTTGACTGGCGACAACGTAAAGGAATTCCTACACCAATACAGACACTATCAATCACACTGGCCCTTGATACACGTTGCAACATTTGATCCGTTTTCCGCCAACCATGGGCTTGTTCTGGCCATGTGCTGTGTTGGCGCCGTGTACTCTGACCGAATGCGCCCCTCGGATGTTCGATGGCTGATGGATCGTGTTCGGGAGAGTATGCTCAAATCTAGTCACGTCTACGAATTAGCGCAAGCGCACCAGATGGCCGACTTGAATCAGGAGCTAACAGTGACTACCGAAGAGATTCAAGCACTGGTTCTTCTACATTCCCAGTTCCTCTGGCACGGGTCTCAACAACAACGCCAGCAAGTGCGAGACGAGGTTCGGGGGGTGGCCAGCGTTACACGTTGCGCAGCACTGTTTCAACCTCTTTCTTCTGACAACCCGAACGCGAGCGCGTTGCATCAGCCAGGACCAGTCACAGGCGCCGAGGTCGACTCATGGAACTGGAAAGCTTGGATCGAGAACGAAAAACGAACTCGATTGGCAGCATACATCTACCTCATTGATGCCTCTTCCACCATATTCTTCAATACCCAGCCCAGATTTGACGCCAAGAGTATTACAGTGCCTTTGCCTGCAGACGACGCAGCTTGGGAAGCGAAGACTTCAGAAGAATGCGCCAGTGCTTTGGGTCTAAGAGGATCATCGGCGCAAATGAGCAACGAATCAGGGAGCAGACGCGCAAAGCAACTAGCGATGCGTGAGGCATTGTGTGTACTCAATGGAGCCTGCCCGGGTCAATTTCCTGAGCGGGCTACTAATGTCTTTGGAAAGTTCAGTAAGTATCCACTATTTTCACTTGAACACAGCATTCTAACATCGTCTCCAGTACTCATTCACGCGATTCATGCCCAAATCTACAACATTCAGCATCAGCTGCTTCAGCGAGTGTGTTCAAGCGGTACAAGCACGCCTCAATCTCAAGGCGACAGTCCAGCCACACCACCCAATGGGGTCAACGAACAAGTTCAAAACAACCTTCGTTCGACGGTCGGTGCGCTCCAGCTATGGAAGACGTGCTGGGACAAGGATCTCGCCACTCAGTTTCCACAGAACCAGCGTCGCCGTGGATTCTGCCGAGACGGAATCCACTTCTACTTCCTAGCTCAGGCTTTCCTGCGGCAATCTCGACCAGAGGACTGGGCTGCACCTCCCGATGTTCGATGCCGACATGTATTCAATCTTCTGAAACAGATTAGGCATTATATTGCATCAGACTCCGCGCAGAAAGGCATCGAGATCGGGGACATGGTTGCTATCGCCGACGACTACGCTATTGCCGACTTGACGCTTAACATGAAACGTCTTTTCACGCCCCTCGACGAGCTCTGAGCGCTATTGCTCATTTCAATTCCATCACCAGAAACGGTCATCAAGCATCAAACCCAACAGAAAGCCAAACGTGGTACTCATGCCACAGTACAGCTCCACTACAAAGTATCAACAATATATCATCAAGGTCTACATCATCGATCAACTACCAAAATCACTAGAGCAACAAAATTTTCGCAGTTTTACCCAGCAGAAGTCGAATTCAGCTGGGCTATGCATTCTCATCGGAGTTTCCGGAGCCAACCTTGCGACCAACTGGCACGTAAGGCGTTACGACCACATATGGCGGCAATTACGATTTCCTTTCCTATCATCAAAAAAAGCATTAGACACAACTCGCCAGATGCAGGCGACAACACAGAGCAGAGTTTCATGGGACCATCGGCTGGATTCCTTACGAGAGTGCAGCGCAGATTAGACCGTGTGGGTCATATTTGGCTTCAGTGTATATGTTAACTTGTTTCTTGAACCTTAAGGGTTTGTCGCGTCATTCACTGCATTTCGAGGTGTTATTGTTTAAAGGAGAAAGCATAGATTAGAGATAGGGTGTGTGTACCTTACGGGACTTGTGTGCCTAGAGCCTGCCCGTAAGGGATCCAAAAAGTCGTCAATGAAATACGTTTGCTCCAGAGATGGGTGGTGCCTTGATCATGCATTGACGTGACTAGAAAAGTGGATATGGCTCCAACTGACATGCTGACCTAGTTTCGTTCCGTACCCACCAAACTACCCACTCCTTCCTATCTGTCATGTCAACATGGGTCGGCCCTTCTTGCACACGTGCGTCGGAAAATACTCCGATGAGAGCCAGGGAAGTGCGTACGCTATACAGGCATAATCCGGTTAGTACACTGGAGACCTAAGGAGACAGGGACTCCTCACTTGCCGCCCAGCTACTGTTCTCAAGCTACCACCTGCATGAGGGACCAGTGGCGAGGTCAGGCGCTGAGAATATCAACATGTCTCTATCTGATACGCTTTCGTGTTTTGCAGCTTGCAAACCACACTATTATGTGCTACACCACGATATCGCTAACCTGGTACCATGGATCGATGTCTAGGAACAACTAGACGTTCTATCTACTCCAAACTAGAAGCGAACCTTCATAGGGCGGGCGCACACAAGTCGAACAGACAGTCCGCAGCTCCTTTTAAGATATTCGACCTTAGGAAAGCAGACGAAAGGTATGCGTTGTACGTCGTAGGTGTTCGCCACAGGGAAAAGGCATCAAACCAATGAGAAGCGCAAGATAAGAATCACGTGGACTTACGCCTATCGGTCTTCGTAGGCTGTAGCCTAATGCCTCCTCAATTGCCAGCCTGCCCTCCAAGCTACAAGATTTTGTCTGATCTTAGTTCCTCTTCGGTGCCTCATAAATTCGTGAAATTTCCAAGACCTTGTTCCCCATTCATGACGGCGCGCGATACTACGACACAGATCCAAATCTCTCGTATGGTACACCGTCTTTGCTGCTTGACATTGCATCTTCTGGATAGCAGAGGCGCCTCCTGCGATGGACCATGAACGCAAGGGATTCGAGGACGCTTCGGATCCCACCTCCTGTGAACGATGCGTGGATATGTGTTCAGAGATACAAAGATACTTGATTGGTGAGGAGGAAGTCCGCCTCGCAGAAAGACTGATCATGGTGTCGTCGGAGATGGCCAGCGAAGTTTCGTACCCAGCAGAGTACGAAGAAGTGATTGTCAAAGTAAATTGTAGCGTTCAGGCATTAACGGTTTCATTCTGCGGACTTTGTCGACTGATAGGAACAGCAATCTATGAAAAAGAAGGAGCCTGTTAAAAACACGGACCAAGTACGCTCAAACTAGAAGCATCCTCCTTAAAATGATCTCGGTATGACGATAGCTGCGGACGTTTCGAGTAAAGATTCGAAAATGAGGCTATGTGGTCGTCTTTTCTTGGTGTGGAACTAGCCATCGGAGCCAGTCACTATGACACTGCTGAGTTCTATTCTCCGACGTGTGATCTCGACTTAGTCAGAAGCTGCATTAGTCGTTGTGCAGAATCCCACGATCTCTGTCGTTTAGAGCAACAGCGACCATTGTCCCATCTCAGAGTTATTGATTGTTACCTGAGTATCGTTATTTCAGCGCCAGACGAATGCCAATATGTGGCATTATCTTACGTGTGGGGCGAAGCCGGAAACACGTTGCTGCAAGAAAATTCCAAGTTGCCAACTAGGCTACCGGCTACGATAGAAGATAGCATTACTGCTACGCGGCGTCCTGGTTATCGATACCTTTGGGTGGACAAATACGTGCGTCTCAATATTTTTCTCTTTCCAGACCTTCGTTTCAGCTAACCACCACTTTGGTGTGTGCATCAGCAGGATTCCAGCGACAAGCATATTCAGATTCAGCAAATGGATGTCATATATGCCTCAGCTCAGATCACCTTGATTGCAGCAGCTGGCGAAGACTGCGCGTACGGTTTACCCGGCATAGGACGGGAACGAAAGTTACATGAATTAGTCGTCGCCATCGACTCCGTTACCGTAACATCGGAACCAAATCCCGTGGGTTGCCGTATTTCTAAATCAAAGTGGTCGACTCGTGCATGGTGAGTGATACATTGAACCTAGCAGGAAGACATGCTTCAGAACCTGACACTAACGTTTCAGGACTCTCCAAGAAGGATGTCTCTCCAGGAGAAGACCCTATTTTACGCCCTACGATATGCTATTCATATGCAAAGAGTATACTGGGTGTGATAACGACATTATCGGTCCTGACCGAGAGATAAAGCGTCTTGAACATATCATGCCTCGTTTGACTGACTATGGATTGAGTAGGGGAATGGGCCTGCTCGAGGTTTATTCACTTTGTAGTCTCAGCTTTCAGTCAGATGCTTTGAACGCTATATTGGGTATTTTGAAATTCCTTCGCACCGAGAACGACCCGGTAGGCAGTGTCTGGGGTGTTCCATTTGGAAGAAGCTCACGCTGCAACAGAGCGACTGACTTTCGTCTGTGCCTCTATTGGAGAACTTCAGGACCGAGCGCTAGACGGCATTAAGGCTTCCCAAGTTGGTCGCCCCTGGCGTGGGAAAGAACTGGGATAACATTCAACCAAAACCAGTATCCGCTATCGGCGACGAGCCTACCGGCATTCTGGGAATTATATGATCGTCAGTACAATACTGCAAGAGGTTCGGAAGTATCACAAGACCTCTTTCTGGCAGCGTATGTTGTCCAACTACCTGTAGAACATGAAGGAGAATACGAGGGGCGCGGGCACTTGCTCATTCTTCCCTTCACGTACCTTAAGTGGAAATCGAAGATGTGTTGTGCTATACGTTGAGATAACCCGGAGGCTGAAGCCGAGGAAGTGTCATCAGTGATGTGTATCTTCACAGTCGACAGGTACTCGACTAGAATATGTTTCACTTTCATTCTCGTTGAACCATGTGGAGAGAAATACATGCGAAAGGGGACCTGCGAGTGCGAGGTTAGGACATGCCAGTCAGCAGAAGTAGAGAGGTGGTTGGGAAATCAGGTCAAGCAAAACACTGTTCTAGTATGAGCCTTGCCTGATGCTAGCATTTATCCGAGAATATAGACCCCGGGTGATGCATGTTGCGAATGGCGAGGGTGAACGAAAGGGGAGTTAGAGGGCAAGTTTTGATGCTGATTCAAACACATATATTGAATGATTAATAGAAGATTACATGTGATATGCAAATGTTGGTATAGTGACCGCGGTCGAATCAGAATAATACTCACTTGCGTATCAAAGAGCGAGACGTTAAGCCATTCTTATACACAACGCAAATTCCACGAGTGTGCTTCTCCCTTACGAGAGAAATTCCTCCAGCCACATATCGGATTTCTGCTTCGCGATGGTGGGCTCGGCTTAAACTCGATCTCGCGAAAAAGATCTGATCTTTTCTTTGGTGTGGGTGTGAAGTGATTTTACCAATGATTCGTGCATGTATTCCTGAGATACAAGGCATCTCATCCTGTGCACATTGTGGGTACGGACTGGGAGTCGCATCGATTTCATCCAGCATCGTCTACCGTACCAAGACAGGGAGAGGATATGGTAGAGATGTGTGGACAGAAGCGTGGGGGTATCGAACTCGGAAACAAATTCGAGCATCTCAGCCGGACTTCGGACAGTCGTGTTGCGATATGCGCACCGGCTGAGCGCCTGTAGAACGGGTCGCGTTTAGCTCTATGCTTAGATATTCATTGTGTGTTGTTTTTCCAGGCAGCAATAGGCGTTTTGCTCCGAAAGAGCGGCGTGAGACCATTGACATAGCGCATGTTCAACATGGCACAATAACAGCTCCACGATACTACAAGATTGGCGAGGGTACTCGACCATCAGAAGCATCATCCATCTCTAACACACATGTTAGTATACTCTCCGTATAAGAAGAAGCGATCTGCTGCAGCTTCAAAATTTCAGCTCAACCTCGTGATCATCCCTTGAGATAAGGGGAGCGACAAAATTCTCTCTTCATCCCTCTAAGTTGCAGGGGCAACACGAAAACCCCGAAACCGAGGCTCTCTTGACCCCTCCCTTGGAACAAGATACAGCTGCGGCAGCCGTTGGTCGATCGGTAACTCAGCGACACTATACTTGCAGCAATAGCGTTCATCGGTATGATGTGTTCTTTTCGGGGCTTGCGTCTCAAGAAGGGTAGGGGTGGCTGAGGATTGCTGGTCCTGACTATCTTTGTATACTTCTTCCGACCCTGCATGCATGTTGTGAAAGTAGCGCCAGTGGTTGCTGTCACGACAGTAGCTAGTTAGAGCAGGCCTCAACACTAGTCTTACGAGCAGCGCTGCTCCGTCACCCACCTTTTGAATGAAAGGATATAGCAAGAATCATCCGATCAGCGCATCTCGAGGCCTCCATGGTACGAGAAACAGGATTTCTGCGGTCATGCTATAGGATGATACACCCGTGATTGCGCGCCTGAAGATGTGCTGAAGAGATGTTTGTCCACCCCATTTTCCAATGTAGGAAGACTTGGCCGATCCAGTTATTCCGAGGGTTGAGTACCCGAATGCTGTTCCGCTAGGCATCTTTGCCGTGGAAGCCGTCAGTTGATCGAACACGAGAATGAGTATGACGAGATCCTGCGCAGGTTTTCGGTGAATGGCATGTCAGTGACTGCGGAGCCGGACTGCGGAGCTGGGTGTGCGACGCAACTGCGATTTGCGGGACGAAATTCAAAAAGCATTATTACGAAGAGTCCGAAGTCCTCGAAGCATTAATCTAGGGCCATACGCTCATGGATTCGAACTTGACCCGGCGGCTCGACAAGCGGTACACTGATCGTCCTGAATGAGTAGCAGCTTGGAATCAATTTCAGATCCAAACGCTACATTTGAACAGTATCATTGGTCCATATTCAGTTGTTGCTTCTCTTAGCAGTCCCATGTTGATGGCTTAGCCAGCCTGAACAGGGAAGGATTACGAAGACTCACTTCGTGGGTATGTCCGATGCCAACTGTCGTGCCCAGCTGGCTCAAGTTACAGAGAACATGCAGCATTCAGGGGCGGAAGTTCGTCCAGTCCTGGCTCAACTGTGGTTAACAATAGCTACTGGACGCCAGAGACATCGAACAACGACTTCGTGACTGGCGCACTGACTAAGAGACAAATTAACCACATCGAGGATGTATGGGCACTATTGACCATCAAGTTGTTTTCAGACAGACTGTGGAGCTTTTTCGAAGCGGGATTGGCGTCATGAAATCAATACGGCATTCACATGTCGCGCAACTGTGGCGTTGTTGATTGCCCGTCCCCGGATTATGGTCTACAGAAGTTTGACATTTCGGTGGACAGAGGGCGTCTCTTGTGACGATACTCGCGCTGTGATCCCGCTAGGGAGACGCCTTGGGCTTAGACAAGTAATCAAAACGTAGTGTGTGGTTAGCCGCTCTGCATACAAACGGCCTTGATTGGTAGCATCCTGACCCGGTAAGTTAGAAGCTGTGTTCATCCACAGCCGTATCGTTTTATTCCACGACATCTGCACAGACCAATAGTTCGTGGGCTATCCGTGGCTTTGATACAATTCGGTGGTGTCGTTGTACCGTCCATCTCGGAGACTAACCGAATCGTCGCTCAAAGGCTGTGTGCATATCGTTCACATGCACATGGAAAGAATACGGCTTCATATTTTTGGATGATGGATCCACAAAGTAAGGTTGGTTCAGGGTTTTCTTTGACGTAAGATTTGGGCTGACGCATGTCAGGGTCGGAGAATTATATGCATTCACTAGGTCTGCGCACTAGCCACACGCCTGAGTAGAGCGCAGACCATAACGAGGTCACAGCCGGAGGTCGATAGGTTCTTTGTCAAAGAACTGAATAGCTAGCAAAGCTGGTCAGATAATGTCTTTGCGCCGATTGGTGGTCCGTTTCGTTGTTGTTGTAGTCCGTGGATGCCATCGGCCGCGCCGGACAAAGCCAACAACTCGGTACCAGACCATGCAGCTGCTCTTGAAGCTAAGCGCAATATTAGTGGATTTTCAACCGCTGATCGCAGAGTTACCAGCAGTACTTGTCCACTGATGATTCTTGAAAAAGCATGGGGTGCCAGCTTCCCTGGAGGATGTACTTACTGCGGAACAAACACCATTGAGAGTGCCAGTTCAGCAGATATGGACAAACTTAGCAAAAAGTTCCAATTACAACTTGCACATATTCGGGAGCTGAGTCAGATTAGGCTCTAGGGTATTTCTCCGTGACTCAAAACTCCGCTGGCGTAAAGCTGTGCTTCTTCAACAGTTGCACTGGATCCGTTGTGCGAGTCCTCGAACGGCAAACAACGGACCGTTCGTGCCGCAGCACTAATTGCCATACTATAAGTGAAAGCCCACTATAGCCTCATGTGTCCTGGCATAGGTGATCTGTGAATGGGATCACCGAGAGTCAGAGCTATGCTAGCATATCCCGTCTTCCCTTGAGTAAGGGATGGGCGATTCGGTCTGCGCAAGAACAGCAGCGAGGCGTGTGAGCTCGCAGTAGCTCCATAAGCAGAAACAACCCCAAAAAGATGACCAGACTTTGAGATGTGTCAATGGATTGGAGGGTATACGCCTTTCATCGATCGCAATCGCTCTCGACGCCGTCGGCGTCAGATTAGAAGACTAATGTTCCGCTCGGGTGCTGTCTTCGCCCGACAGCCAGGAAGCTGGACCCGAGTGAATAGTCCAATGACTAGTTCAGTGAACAAACTATCTGCTGTAGCCTGGACGGTTGAAAGGGCAGTGTGTGTTCAAGAATTCCCTTCAACTTCGACGGGCCGTACCGCAATGAACAGACGATTCTGCTTTCTAGACACTGCGTCACATCGATGTTTCTTGACGATCAGTTGACCAGGAGACCCGAAATAAGCAGTCCTGGTGTAATATGCCATACGCAATAATCGGCAGACAGCTGCTGCGACAGCCTGGCGATCATGCAGCCCCCCAGGCTACTTTGAGTCGGCTGAGATACACAGAAGGGCCCGCAACGGTTCCTGATCTTCCCGATAGTACATTTGGGGCGGCTGCGGGTCGCCATGATTCTATCGATTACGAAGACTGCTTGACAGCCGATCATCACCGTCACGGGAGGTGCGGGAGGCTGCAGCTCATTGTGCATCGCCAGCAGATGCCTTGCAGGGCAGTCGAGTGCTTCGTGACCTCAAGATTGCATGCACCACTACTTCAAGCGGCGATCCCGTAAGTTCGCACAGCCACCATCTACATCTACACTTCAACGGCTGTCGTGCGTAGGTGCAGTGGAATGTTTTGGCTGGTACCGAAAGCACCACAGGTCAGGCACAAAGTGCGGTGAGACGCTCAAAGAACTAAGCGAAAAGCCTGCTCCATCAACCTGTAATAGAGACGCGTCAGATGATAGTCCTGGCTTAGATGTCAAAGGAATGCGCCTGGGTCAGTCTCATCTTAGCTTCTGCAGCAAGCCAGACGGCCTTCTTCGCCCGCTAGAAAAGGCTGGTAGCGTGGTAGCGATTGGCTCAAGTTCGATATGAACTACTCTTTGAGAGGCAAGGAATGCATTGCGAAGCACCGGGTGGCCGTCGTGCGTCAGCCCCGGGCGCTCGGTGGCCGGCCGCAACGTGCGATGCACATCAGCATGGGGAGGCTCAGGAATGGCACGTCACCTTGCCCGCGTGCATCATCGCGGAGGCTCACAAGGACTTTACGGACAACGACGTTGGTGCGGTGTTGGATGCCGGCGTCGTGATGATGGTGGATTGGGAGGTTTGGGAGGTTTGGGGAGTGCGAGCTGCAAAGGGAAGCTGCCAAGACATGCTAGAGTCCAGAGCAGTAAGGCGCAACCGCAGGTGAGGGAGGAATACCCGGGCGAAGCTGCACGTCACCGGGCGCTCTTTCCCAATCCCCTGCCAGGCCCCATCCCTCCTTCCTCCGTGGGCCATCGATCCTGTATCGCGTCCCATCTCGACTACGCGCAACGGAGCTGCCGCAGACTCGTCGCTTCTCGCCATCCACACCGTTCATCACCTGGCCTGAGACCCTGGACTCGAAATGCCGTTCGCCGCGTCCATATCGTCGCTTGACAGCAGCCGCCGAGGAAAGGCGACCTTCTGCAGACAGTGGCGTCGTTGACTGGCTGTGCCCTCTTTCGGAGGATTGCGCATCTACCACAGTGTCGGGTCGCCGTGTGCTTGGGGGCAGATGGGAGCCCGGATCATGGCGCTGATAGTGCTCTAACCCAAACCTCGAGGCGATGCAACATCTGCGCATCGCACGCTGGCCGTGGCGCCTGTATGTGGTTGCTTTCCCTCGTCGCCAACAATCACGTCAAACCGCCCCCTCGAAGCCAAGCAGTGCCGTCGCGCTCGTTTCTGTGACAGGTAACGGCCTCGAGCCCAACCCCTCGTGCCTCTAGTTTCCTCTTTCACTGTCCATCTGCGGGACGACCTGTCGTCTGCCAACGGTTGCCGGCCCGTGGCGCTGCTAGCTACGCCAGCTCTTGGCCTTTTCGCCATCTGCTGCTGACTGGACGCCGCCCGTGACTGATAGTCCAATCTAGCAGAGCCATGACCAGAGCAAACTATGATCATCCGTTCGCTTCATGGGTTATTCTGAGCGGCTGATCGAGATGAAACATCAACGACCCGCCAGTCTGGTTGCTCGGCTGCCGTGTCAAGTCGGCCCCCATTTCGAGAGTGGTGTCGTGGCCAATGTTCCTGCATCGCCGCACGGGACTGTATGTCTTTACCGGGCGAGCCAGTCGATGTGCGGCATGTAGGTGGGTCATGGTCCCGCGAGGTAGTAGGGCCTGCGTTCCCATGAGGGAATGGAGTGCGAATCTCATCGACTATTCGAAAGACGTAAGCCTGGGCATCAGGGCGAATTGATCTTCCCTAACATTGGAGATGTATAGATTCTCTATTAGGAAAGGCTCGCTTCTGCAGCTTGCCAATACTACCGTGGTGCTAGAAAGCGGCCATGGCCTGAGCAGTACGGATCATTTGCATTGGGGCTGAATCTTGATTCAGCATGCTAATCATGCTTCGAGGCTATACTCATCTGGTAGGCACTCCTCCTTTGAGCCAACAAGTCCGTCCTCACCCTAGTCAAACTCTACCCTGTATCGAGCTGTAGCGTTTCTTGTCCGTCAACTGTACTTCTACTGTCCACTTTCTGTATGCTCATCCTTATTCGACCACTGTCCGTGTTGTTGGACCCTCCCACTTCATTCATCGCTTGCCGTTACTCCCTGCCCTGGACCCACTATTCCCAGCAGTTTTCAAGTCATTGTTTCGAGACCATACGCTGGTAGACTACCAACCTCACAGATCACGGGGGTGGTGAGCCCTGGCGAGCTTGTGCAACAGTCTGAGAGCAGGAGATCAAATTTCGATAGAGGGCACGGTGCATATATGCTTCGGCCCCTTCACCATACGAGTCTTCAATGTACTGACCCAGGCTCACATCTATTGCAACATCTTGACAGTACTTAACTTATCACTTGTGGTTGTACTCAAAACTTTCAACCCTAAGGCAGACAACGACGTGTGTCTGTCGAGCGCATCCACGAACCCGGTGTGCGTATACCCAGTATCCGACGACGGGTCAGCATCCTCGTCGAAGCCGCCACGATCGAATATCAGTCGACGCCACATCATTTTATTTGGAAGACTGCAGCAGGACCCTGTAAGCTCCACTCTCGTTGCGACATTACCCTCGGTCAATATTGCGAGACTGACAGATCGCAGTACTGCGACGTCAGAGACGCGCCTACACCGCCTACTTCGCAGCCAGATATCAGGTACGCAACGACAAGGTCGCTATCCGTACCTGTCTGTGCGCAGGATTCGAGATTCCAGATCTGTGTAGAGTGCGGGAAGAAGCAAAGCGTAGCTGCGGATCTCTTCGCTCTGCGTAGACGAGCCGTTATATCTCCAGGGTTTAAGGTGTTGCGCAGTCGCCGTAGGTGACATCAATGCATATTGCATCGCACCTTTTTCGATCTCAGAACTGTCAGTCTACTCACCAAGTTTCTACCACCATGACCAACATCACGCGCCTATCCGCTAACCTCTATGATAGATATACGCGCTGAGTTATCAGCCTAGTCGAGCCAACCGGGAGCTCACCATAATTTCAGCATTGCTGAATATACGCATTACTGTGCCTGCTTGCAACAGCTGCATTTCCCCCAGGCCGAATATCAGCATTAACGGAGCCTAGCCCCCAGCGAAGCGCAGCGGCAACTAATCGAGGATCCCGCCCTTGTGCCGGCTAAACCCCCCAGATTGCTTCTCAAGCGAACCAACAGCGGGATTAGACGAGTTGACGGCCTTCACCACCATCCCCTTTCAGCATCCCTTCGACGCTTGGCTCAGCACCCCGAAGCGTAGCATCGCAATCGCTACGCGAAACACTGACTCGCCCGGTCGAATCCGCGTCCTGAGCGACGGCGCGAAGCAGTTCGGCCGCAGCGGAAGTCTGTCAGCAGCGAATCCTTTCGCCACTGCCGGCGCCATCGAAGTCGACCCAGACTGTCGGAATTACTGCGTAGAGCGGCAGAGTCAGGCGTGAGATCCAGTCTCTCGTAAGGGCTGTCGCATCTTCACAAGGCGCCGTCACAGATCTCAGCTGGATAACGGTACATTACTGGTTGTTGCTGCAATGAATCAAGGTAAGTCAGATTCCGAAGTATTTGCAATCCATGTCCTGCAAAATACACGAATCCTCAAAACCCAGGTCGCTCGCTCCAAGCGCTGCACCTTCAGCCATAAACTGGCGCCCTTCTCCGCGCTCTTTCCAGACCAACATTCTCCCCGCGTCCACTCCTATATTACACCACAACACAGCGTGTGCATCAGCCTTCTCCCTTTTGATTTCTGCAGCACGCAGCGGGTCCTCATTCGTTCCTGTCCCTGTAGTGCGTTTTGCACGCTTGTTCTGCCACCCGATTGTGGTGCCGCTTGTGCAACCACGTCCCACGCGCATCTTTTGTTGCTGTCTATCGCGGCATCCGTGCACGTTGTTCGTTATTGTCACACGTCTTGTTCAACAGCACACCGGCTAGCTCAAGTTGATTGGCTGACGTGCAGGATAAGCAGTGCTGCAATCACCGCTGCCACTGGCACCGGAAAACCCTTTCTCTTCGGAGCAGGACTGCTTGGATCATATCGGCGCGCATGCACATCATAACTCCTTTGCAGGCGTACCCGATCAGCTAAGACGCGACGGGGTCCTAGCACATACTGCGACCGGTATCCACCAGGCCTCGATTACAGGCCGTTACGGTTCACATCGTCCCGACAGTGCGTAAGTAAACACTCTCATTGGTCCTTGTCTTCCCGGGCTGGCATGGTAGGCTCCGTGATGCTGCCTAGCCTTGTGGCCCCCAGCGTGCATCCCTCGACGCCTCTCTCGCCTGGTGCAGCCCAAGCTCAGGCCTCTCCTACCCCGAAACAAACACGTAGTCAATGTCCTTCATCATACCTGTCGTCGCACACGTTCCGGGTGCATGGCGCACTCGGTCTTCCCAACAGGTCGGTCTGTCACATTGATCACACGACAAGCCTAGCGGCAATGCCGTACCGCCCCTGGAACTTGTTGACGACTTATACCGTGCCACTCTACTCTTGGTTACACATCGTTGTCGTTGGCATCACTTTGGCCGAATAGCTTTGTTTTGCGAGTTTGACTGACCTATGTCTATAGCTATCAGTCGAGTGCGGCTCTATCGGACTCAGGATCAGGCTCCATTTCTACATCGCCTAGCTCCAACGCCTCGTCGGCACTAGCTTATACTTCCTACCCTTCATACTCGTCGACTTTGGCCACCAACTATCCAACTCACTATTCCGTGCCAGGTACTTACTTCAGCGCTGCGTGTGGGTACGGCAGCATGTCTTCAACTCGACCACTGTAGGTATCTTCTGTGGCGCACTCGTGCGCGTAGAACCCGAGGCAATGCATGACAGCTGACAGCTACACAATAGAAATGATGCCTCATCGTCGGCAATGTTACCTCCGGCAAGATCACCAGGGCTAGGCCATTCTGTATCACCATCCATGGGTTCGTCGACTAGGGACAATTATACAACTGGAACGCCTGGTGTGCCTGGATATTCCAACGCTCTGTCTCCTCGCTCACATCTACCTCGATACAACACCCAGCCTGACACTCCTAGAAGCGTACATACAACTACTATGCCTTTGACTTACAATGGTGCCTATGCCACTACGTATACCACAACTGCAGGCTCACCTGAAACGCCCCCCTTCAACACGCAAGAGACACTGGCCAACATTACCTGTGAAGGTAACGCGGTGACACCGAGTATCGACGCCAAGATTGAAAAGGGATTCTTCTATTCTGGTGATCGTGTATGGACTTGTTACAGGAGGAATTATTTTTCGGTCAACGTATCGTTCCAACTTTCGCCGTGGATTGCTAATGCACGCTTGTATCTTGAACAGCCCAATAAGGCGGCTCAGCAGATACAATCCATGGCTGTATCTCTCGCTGCTGCTGTAGATGGTGCTACGGGGAAGACTATCGAGTTGATCCAGCATACACCGAAGCGCGATAAGGGCCCGCAGCTGCCAATGAAGAAGGAATTACTAGCACCAACACCTCCAGGGAAAAGCCATGAACACGGCGGATATGGGCTGAGCAACTTCCATCAGACCTCGACCGTTGCAGGTCCTCAGCTCCCTTTGCAAAGCGACAGCGACTCGTCACAGCAATATTCTCCCACGAGCCACGCCAGCAGCAACTATCAACATTCGTTCGAACGTATACAATTCAAGTCAGCGACAGCAAATAATGGAAAACGTCGGGCCCAACAGCAATACTACCACCTGATTGTGGAGTTGTGGGCGAACGTGCAAGCCCCTAGAGAAGCTGAGCCCAAATGGATAAAGGTTGCAGCTCGGATGTCTTCTCCAGTCGTTGTGCGTGGAAGATCGCCTAGTCATTACCAGAATGAGGGTCCCCACAATGCCGGTACTTCGAGAGGAGCCCCTGGTTCTGGCCTGGGTGGAGGTGGTCATCACGGACTAGGCTCAACTGGCCGACCATCTTATTTGCCCTGGACCACTGGCTTGTCAGGTGGTAGCGCAACTGGGATGGGCAGTAGCATGTATCGTGGCAATACATACTCCCTCGACCCAAGCCCTGTCGGCAGCCATTCAGTTAGTTCAGCGAGCTCTCTGAGTGGAGCCCCTGTTGAAGGCATCACTGGCGAAAACCATATGACCGAAGACGATGACGCGAAGATTATGGATGCTCCCCAGGATTACTCTTACTATCCTGCCTCCATCTACGAGCCGATACCACCCAAGCTTGAAAGCACACTGCCCCCTCCCGATCGCAGGATCAAGGATGAGTACCCCATTGCTGGCTGGCATCTTGGAGGCTGTGGTAGATTTCAAGGAATGGAAAGTAGTCGCGGATACTATCCGGACGTACAAGCTCATACCTATTGATACGCACACATCTTGCCGCCGTCATAGCTGTCAAGAAAATGGTTGGCCGGCTCAACGGATATTTGAGCCTGCTGCATGTAAGAATCGGAGTCAACGAGACTTGGTTCCGCATAGACAGGCGAATATCCTTCGCTATCGACGATCGCTTTGGAGTGCTTCACGATAAACTTCTCGGTTCTGCGGCGGCTTTGTCATTGTTACGGTATTTGATCCTTGGCCAACACGAACACTAACGGGCCCCCCGTACTTACATCACTTCCCGAACGAAAGACGCACGGGCCGGTACCGCATGACAAGGCAAGGATGGTGCACAAAGCGATGTATCACAAATCGCACAACAAAGGCTGTATCGTAGGCCTTGGGTATGTTTGCCGCAGCGGAACTCTGATGTTGGTCTGCATCTGGAGGAGCCACCCCCAATATCCGTCTCCGTGGAGCCTTAGCCGACCATGCACTCAGCTGCAAGGCATCTCGTGTGTCGCAAATTGCTAGCCTACTTCACTGCGTTCCGTTTTTCTATTTGTCATCCCACAGCATATTTAACCCTACACCCTGCCACGGCTTGTCAGTGTCCTGTTTTGCAGGACCTGGATGAAGTCTAGTTTCTTGCATGTCGTTTTCATACAGTCTTTTTTTCTCTTCTTCTTCTTCTTCTTCAAGTTTTGGTCTATGATGGGCCTTCTTACGCATTACGAGACGTACAGATGGTGTTAGGTCATGGGCGCACGCTACGAGTTATGAATGCAAACGCATGTTGCATGGCGCATGTGGGATAAAAAGGTCGATGGTCACGCTCTTCCCCTTCATGCTATCCCTGCCTGGTACGTTATGGCCTATGCCCGTCAGCATTTGCCACTGCGGGCTTGCAGCGACAGTTGATCATGGTTGTATGAGTAATGGGTCACGACTAAGGATGGTGTACACGGATATGTTTCAGCAGGATTGAAGGCGCGCACAAGGGAACTGCAATGTCGGTTAAGGAGTATGAATTTGTCAGGTTAGGGTTGCGACAAGCAACTCTGTGGCACAGTCAGAACTGGATGGGAGATGCACGACACACGGGAAAGCTAGTGGTGGCGGCCCCTTGTCTATTGTATGATTATGTAGTGCCTTAAAAGCGTGTGATAGTTGTCCAATGCAGGCGGCCCTTCTCGTTTACCATCATGTGCACCACTCTCTTTGTGATGTTGCGCGAGTCAGGGCGGCGCTGCCAGATGCGAGCCTTGCCGTACTTGTGCATTGCGCAAGCGTTATGTAGGCTGATATGGTAGCCTCACAAGAAGTTGGAGGAAATGGTCAAAGACGAGGAGAAGGGCGAAGAAGAGCAAACATGAGGTTCTCTTAAGCTCTTGCCGTCGGACGTGTTCCCGCCTTCCCCGCGGCTCAGGCCTCACTCCCTGACTGACTCGGGGAGACGTGGCCCAAAACTTTGATCCTGAAAGGTGTCACGTCATCGCTACACCCACGCGTCACCCTGGAAGCGCCCTGACCCCGACGCCGCTTTCACAGGCACCTAATCTGTCAATCCCATAACATTGCGCACACGGCGCTTTGTTCACCGCATCTCAGCTTCAATGGCGTGGTACGACCAAGACAGCTGGCTCACGGCCGCTTTCTCCCCGAACCCTCTCACCATACTCATCACCTTCATTGTCGCGATTGGCCTGCCGATAATAATACACACCGTTCTGTACAAAAAGGCAGCTGCGGCCGCGCAACAGCCTACTTTGTTGCTCGTTGGACCGAGTGGCAGTGGAAAGACAGCCTTTACGACATTGGTAATAAGTCCCCTAAAACAGTGCGCCTTGCAATGTCTAACAACTACTAGGCCGAGCGCAATGCTACGACGCAGACGCACACCTCCACTACCCCCCTCACCATCTCCGCTATCCTCCCCAGCCCACACGTCCCCGCATCTTCACACTACCGCTCACCAGGCGACCCAGCCTTCGAGCGCTCCCGCAACTTCCTTCTCCTTGACACACCCGGCCACGGCAAGCTCAGACACTATGCCACCGCCCAGCTAGCCGACCCCAAGAGTATCCGTGCTATAATCTTCGTTGTCGACGCTGCCCAGCTGGGCGATGAAGCCGGGTTGAACGAGGCAGGAGAGTACCTTCATGACGTCCTTCTATCGCTACAAAAACGCTACACCAACGCTGCAACAAGCAAAGGACCAAAGGAAATTCCTGTTCTGGTTGCGGCAAACAAGATGGATCTGTTCACTGCACTGCCACCCAACCTTGTCAAGAGCTCGCTCGAGAAGACCATCACGGAAGTCAGGGCTAACAGGGCCAAGGCGCTCAGGGATGCAGGTGCGGCGCTGAGTGGAGGCGAGGACGAGGTCGATGAAGAGAAGGAATGGCTTGGTGAGGGTGGCGAAGGCGCGTTCACGTTTGAGCAGATGAGGGAGAGCGGAACGAGTGTAGATGTGATTGGGGGTAATGTTATCGCAGGCAAGGAGGGCGGTGATGTGGAGAAGTGGTGGCAGTGGATTGCGGAACAACTTTGAAGAGGTTATACGTGCTTGGAAGTGTCATGGCATGACATGGACGCAGTGTATCGATACCCCGTCCGTTGATAATGTAGAAAACTAGTAAGTTTCTCTTACTCTTTGTTGAGATCACGATTGACCAATATAGATTGCTAAACATGCTAATCAACATATTCCTCAACATGACAGGAACTGGTACTCCTAGTTCGCAGCTATTGCGGTGGCTCTACTACTTGGAATCCCTCCTATATGTCCGCTAACTCATCGACATACCACAACCTGTATTTGCAATGAGGCACGACGCAGCTCTGACTCTGTATACATAGCCCAACACCTTGATTCTCTGTCACGTCTTGGTATCAAGCCAAGCTCGTGAGTACAAATCGGGTTGCTGGAATCATGACGCGTGCTCCAACAGCAAACAATATCTGATCAGTTTTCCAAACCATGATGACCTCTTGAGATAGAGCAAGCAGCATGTGAGCTTGTGCAGCGTTGCGGCTTCTGGATAAGTGACCTAGGGCAAGCGTGGAGATCGATCACAAAGGGTTGTATAAGTACGTGCATTAGATCACTTCATTCTCCTCAGCATTGCATTGGCGTCTCATACTTCTATCAGTACTTGTTCGATTTGGATTCACGATAGCAGCACGAACAATGTCGAAAGAGTCGAAGAATAAGAGGAAAGCAGAGAAGAAGGCTACCGAGAAGGCTGCTTCTGAGGCTGAAGCGTGGAAGTCATCCTCCAAGACCGTACTTGGCCGCCTTACCTATCGTCTCAAAAATCTTCCCGACCTCCAGATCATTCGAGTAGAGTTCTGGTCCTCGCAATCTCTCGATGGAAATCGCGAGGTACATACTCCCGATGAATATGTTAAGATATACAGCCGTAAGCACCAAGAACCCGCCTGGAAGGAGCTTTTCGAAACTGTTTTTCTGGATTACAAGGATATTGCTGCCATCAACAAGAAGCCGGTTGGTAGAAAACATGAGTGTCATCTCATTATTCCATCTCATTAGATACGGAACATCAGCTTGGGACGATATCCTCTCCAGACCAAATATCCTAGGAATGACAAGCTTGGTCTGCCCGAGGGGCCGATGGAATGTCGAGTTACTGGTGTCTTTTTGCTGACTAGCAACAACGACAAAGATCGCAAGCTCTACTGCAAGTCTCTTGATCTACTATTACAGAGCCGCCACGCGATTATGGCCCAAGATGACAAAAAACTTCCTATGAGTTTGGAGTTTTTCATAAACAGTCCAGGCTCCGAGACCGCGCCCCCAGGATTGAAGACAGCATCCATAACGCCGTTGATTGAAGGATACACACACAATTCAAGCAGTGGTTCGCAGCAGATCAAGGAGAGCCTGTACCCGCTATACATACGAAGCCGTCTGTCAATCAATGCTGAAGAGAAATTGCTGCACATGGTATTTGATCTGACCTGTGCTCTTCCAACTACCCGTGGAAATGTCTACGAAATACTTCTGGATGTGTTCGGGGGTCACATGAACGCAGAGAGCATCGGACGCCTGCAACCCATTATCAGGGACCTTCTGGTCGGTCTTCAAGTTCAGCGCAACTATGAGCATACGAAACCAAAAACCACAAGTGAAAGCAGGAACACATGGTCCGAACCGTTCCTGATCCGTGAGATCTTGTTTGCCAAAGAAGTTAGGGAGAAAATTAAGGATTCCGATGGAGAGGAAAACGATGTCTATGGCTATTTCAAGAAACGTAAGTCCCCTGTTAAGATGAAGAATGGTATATGCCGGCTAACGTGGATAGATTACAATCAAGACAGAGATATCGAACACCAGTACCTTCCTCTCATAGGCGATGGACGCGGCTCCTACTTCCCGATGACCAAAGTCAAACTTCCTGAAGTGGTACAGGTTTTCCCTAAAAGCGCTGACGTTATTTCCCAAGCTCTCCGAAATAAGATACGTGACCTCGAAGTCCTCGAAATGGGTCGCCAGAAAACCATGGAATCAATGGGTAAACAATTCTGGCGTTTTGTGACGAAGCGACAACAATATGCCGATGTAAGTATGTCACTAAGATCATGAGACTCTTGCTTACATATTGGTAGATCACAAAGCGAATCGATCAGACCGCAAGAAAAACAGTAATACCTCAGCAACGGCCCAACCCGGCACTCGAACAAATCGATCAGTCTGGAACAGAAGATGAACCAAACGAGCTGCTCGAAAAAACCGGAGAGGAAGAAAACCAGTGGGTTGGTAACGACCTCTGGAACCTGGCGCTCTGATATACTTTTAACTACTGGACCGAAGATACATTTGACCCTGATGCAGATGTACTGGCTTGCTGTCGCACCTATGCTCCTCAGCAGCACCCACGGCTGCAGTTGCTTTCTGGCATTTTCCTTCTCTCTGTTCTTCTGGGAGACGCTCCCAGTTCTACGAGATGTCTAGTAGCGACTGTTCTTTGGATTTCCCTTATTTCCTTTCCCAGTCATCTTTGCTCGATCTGCTCTCATGTTCATACCCGAGCCTGCCGCTTAGGATGGACACTTTACTTCGCAGTAGGCGAAGAAGTCTTTCCTTTTTGACTTTTCGCATAAGTATGTTATCCTTTCCTGCATTTGTTCCTGCGTTCCGCGTTGTTTCTCTAGATAGTCTAACTCAATCCACTCTTTTACAAAATATCAGTCTTACTCTGATGGTTGTATACGGTGTTGATGTGAGACCATCTGATGAGTAGACACGAACACCATTTCCTGCAATGTGAATAGGGGGGGAAGATCATGGGTGACCGGTCCGAAAGTCAGATGCCTTCACTTTTGCATATCCGTTCGGGACGTACACCGATGACACCATGAGCCCAACCCAGTTGTTCGGTAACGTGTCAACAGAGAGCTGACTGCTGCACCCCATGCAGGGCGCAAATCTCCCTATGCAGTCCTGTTCGCCGGACCCACTCCGCGGGAGTGTTCGAGCGACGGACACGGCTGAGACAATTGTAAGCTTACCACCCTCTTCTACCCTCATCCTACATCGCAAACGGGATCAAACCTTAAGCTGACTTTTGTCGGACATTGGTGTCCACTCAGCAGGAGAGATGGATGGTTTAGTGATCGATGATTACGCCCCGTATCCACAAGTGGCAGCCTTCCGCTTCTTCCGCGTCCTCTCCCGCGCGGATCCCACTTGCGGCGGAGTATCGGTGTGGAGTTCCACAAAGCCTCGAGATTCACGCTCGTGGCTTACTCGTTTGGGGTTCCGCGGATCTGGATTAGAAGGATAGCGATACGCAAGCGGGTTGGTCATGCGTGTGGCGTGCTGTAGCCTCGAAGATAGAACACTTGGTGATCAAACGTCGCAGCAGACGTGCAACTACGTGAGGCAAGCATCCGAGGCTATAGGCCATGACTTCATGTTTCTGTCTCAAGCTCATAATCGTTCAGCTGGTCGCAGGGCTTTTGAGTTCCTGTTACTTCTTTGTAGTTCTTCGTTTTCCCGGACGCGAGCAACTCCCGAGGTCGTTTCTGCACGCGGACGGGGGATATATTGACGCCAAGGACATGTTACGAACACGACTTTCAGTGAATATCGTGACCAGCCGGTAGTTGATGGTCACCGCCGGCTGCGTAACACTTGTCTACCACGTGAACCACAAAGACGTCGCTGTGGCGTGAAGATGGTGTTAGGGTAGCAAATTTGGCTAGCGTGGTAAGGCTGTGCTAGCGGTGGCTCAACCGCGGCTGTAGTGGCGGGTAGTAGCGGGTCAGGGCATCCAGTTTGTTCTTTGCGACAACTTTGCGTTCGTATCACGACATCTTTTTCGTTCTTGACGTGCGTTTCCTCTCCTTGCTTGAGATCTTGCCTACTCTCATTATACCTATTCTCAGCATATCTACATCACCCAGACACGTAGAGAAGACACGAAAACACGAATATCGCAACCATGTCCACCAAGACGCGCCCCGCCATCCCGCCAGTAGTCATGGACAGCATGACGCAGCAAATCGGCAACACACCCCTTGTACGCTTGAACAAGATTCCGCAGTCTCTGGGAATCAGAGCAACCGTATACGCCAAGGTCGAAGCCTTCAACGCCGGCGGTAGTGTGAAGGACCGCATCGCCCTTCGCATGATCGAGGCCGCCGAAAAGTCCGGTCGCATAAAGCCTGGTGACACTCTCATCGAGCCTACTTCCGGTAACACGGGTATTGGGCTGGCTTTGGTAGGCGCGATCAAGGGATACAGAACCATCATCACGCTTCCCGAGAAGATGAGCCCGGAGAAGGTGGCGGTTCTCAAGGCACTTGGAGCTGAGATCATTCGTACCCCGACAAGCGCGGCATGGGATAGCCCTGAAAGTCATATCGGTGTTGCCAGGAGACTAGTCAAGGAGATCCCGAACGCACACATCCTCGACCAGTACTCGAACCCGGATAACCCGATGGCGCATGAGTGTGGCACTGCCGAGGAGGTATGGACACAAACAGACGGCAAGATTACGTGTCTTGTTGCTGGTGCGGGAACCGGAGGCACCATTACAGGCCTCGCACGCGGCCTTCGGAAACACAAGCAGGATGTCAAGATCGTTGCTGCCGACCCGCACGGCAGTATTCTTGCCCTCCCCGCGAGCCTCAACGACGAACGTGTGAACGAGGGCTACAAGGTTGAGGGAATCGGATACGATTTCATTCCTGACGTCTTGGAGCAGAAGATTGTGGACAAGTGGTACAAGACAGACGACCGGACATCGTTCATGTACGCACGCAGGCTGATCGCCGAAGAGGGCATCCTTGTTGGTGGTTCGTCTGGCAGTGCAATGGCTGCCATGGTTGAAGCTGCCAAGGACATGAACCTGACTGAAGACGATGTCATTGTCGTCATACTTCCGGACAGCATCAGGAGTTACCTCAGCAAGGTTCGTTATCCACTACTTCATCTCTCTATCTCAACACACTAACACACCCTAGTTTGCCGACGACGACTGGCTTGCAGCGAACGACCTTCTCCCTCCTACGCCTCCTCTGACACCCGACACAAACGGCGCGTCCGCACGCCGTCTCTCCACCACCAAGCAGGCCGACGCTTTCCACGGCGCTACAATTGCTTCCCTCCGGCTCAAGCCTGTCACCACCATCCCTTCCAACTCGCCATGCAGCGAAGCCATAGAAACTATGCGTGAGAAGGGCTTCGACCAGCTCCCTGTCAGCACGTACTCTTCATCTGGAAAGGCGCGTCTCGTGGGTCTTGTAACCCTCGGTAACCTCCTCTCCTACATCGCGGCAGGTCGCGCTACGCCCAAGTCGTCCGTCGAAGAAGTCATGTTCGATTTCCGCAAACTGAACGAAGTCGTAAAAGACCTCGGTCGTCTGTCGCTAGACGGTGACAACGCGAAGAACACACAGAAGGGTGGCAAGAAGGGACGAAGGGAGTTTGTTGAGATTACCAAGGAAACCAGCTTGGGCGACCTGAACAAGTTCTTCGAGTGGAACAGCGCTGCTGTTGTCACCGAGCGCGTAGATGGCGAGCCTAGGGCTATTGCTGTTGTTACAAAGGTGGACTTGCTTACTTGGATGGTCAGACAGGGAAGCACCAACGGAATACACTAGACGATATGGAGATGAAGAAAGAAAAGCAACAAAACGAATATTGGATATGATACACAACGAAACTCTCCACAAGATATGGGTCGGTGGCATGGGAACGGTAGCGATGGAGTTATGGGCATAGTATGACTCGATTTAGAAAGCATTCATCTGATCACTGGGTATCTCAAGATAGAACGAGACCTCAACGTCTACACATCAGAATTAACAGAAAGTTACGCAACCATACTTTGCAACGTCATGTATTCCAAGTGACCGCCATTAACCCTGCGCTGTTCCCATCATAACTTCCCTCAACCTCCCTGCCGCAGCCCCATCCACGAACTCAACGCTTCTCTTGACTTTCACTTTCCCCTTACTAACCTCTTCCATCCCTAGCTCCCAGAGCAGGTCATTTTCTACCGTGTCTGCTTCTTTCGCTCCTTTGGCTTGCATCCAAAAGCTGATCCGTAGCATGACCTTCATCATTACCGGGTCGACGATCATATTCGTGACATCTGCTTTCCACGACTCCAACTTAGGCAACATGAAACTCAGGTGTTTGACGAAATCATCGAAAGAGTGGAACCCTTGGAGAGGCGGGGTGACGGAGACGGCGTAATTATGGCCCCAGGAGTGCTGGAAGTCAGGAGTACAATGAGTGCGCACAAGCGCAAAGTTCATACGTTCGGGGAGGCTATTGTCCACAGCTTGAGCTTCGATAAATTCGAGAGCCGTGGCGCGGAGGGACCGGTACAAAGGAGTGGCAGAGTCCCCCGTTGTGTTGTCGCTCATTGTGGCCATAGTCGTCTGGATTTTTTTTGTAAAAAATGACGGGAACTTGGGAAGTGTGGCTTGGACGAGTTACCTAGTATAGCTTGCTTTGTTAAATGCAGAGAGCTGTTAATGTCACTGAAAGTAGAAGCGGATCCCCACCTGGGGTGTTACGGAAATAGGGTTCGATTACCCCCGAAGAACGGACGAGCCGTTGATTGCAAGGTTGTAGTGGCATTCCAAGTCCGTACAGGGGATGGAGGTCTTATGATTGATTATACAGTTCTCCATAAGGGGAGGTGGTTGGGGTTTCTCAATACCGAAGCGGTTGCTCCCGTCGCTCCGCTAAGTTCGTCCAATCAGCTGAAAACGGTAATGACGTCTTCGCCAGTTCGGAGAGACGAGCGTTCACGGACCAGCTCTGGAAGAAGACGCGATGTGATAGCGGACGTATCCCAAATTTGCGCGGCAGCGCATAGAAGAAGGTCCATGCGAAGAACGTTCGCGCCTTATTCACCGCTGTAGTAGCGTGAAATGGGGATGGAAAGATTGAGTACAACAAAATTAAGGTACGATATCGGCATATTGACATGCTCAGCACAATGAGAGGTCGAGTGCCCATACTTACTGTCGTGATCAAACGCAGGAGCGAAGCCAGTTTTGGCGCAGTCAGTGACTGCTCTTTACTCTGTGATGGCTTTATAGAAGCAGCACCCTGGGCAGCTAGTACATTGTCTCAACAAACCCCCCTAATCGAGATGTCCCAGGGCGGCAGCTAGCCTGCTGCTCGTTGTGTTCATATGATCCAGATCTGCCGAAGTGAATCGGTCTCCATAGCCCGTCACTCTAACCGTGGCGTATCGCTAACCGCGCGTAGTGGATTTGGTGGGACCAGGCGGTATAGCCACCACTCCAATTGTATAATTCTAGGAAAGGGCAGGCGATTGCGAGCGTAAAAACAAAGAGCGGTGCGCCTCAGTAATACACAAGGGTACCGGAGACATCCAAATCGAATGTATGTATGGCTTCGAATAATCGTAACACGGAGATCGTCAGTTCAACGAAAGCCTGTAGCTGTGGCTGCCATTGAGTGACATAGTCGTGCGAGGGGGGAACGGTTGGAGGTGAAGCGCGCTATCGATATCGAGACGGTTGATTCCTAAGCTGTTAGTGAATCAGATTATCGGACCTGCTTCAGCATATAGGCAACGTTCAAGCAGTGCAGTTGCACCAAACAAGTTTTGTAGTGTGAACTAGATGCCTTAAACACCTGGGCAGTAAGAGCTTGTAATTTCCCATGTGGATGGAAGATAAGATTTGAAGCGGAACTGTCGGCGGCTGTGCATCCGTGCGCTGTGATATTGGTGCATCATACGTATGCGTCACCAAAAGGGGCCTAGAAGCAATAGCGTTATCGGGAACCGTCCGTACTGCAGTCGGTTTCCAATGAAGAGTTTGTGTGGAAGAGGTATCGAGCTGATTTTACGCGGCAGTAAATGAAGACACTCGCTCCCCCCAGCGGGAGCCAGCGTCTTAGCCCGCGGAAGGCACGCCCCGGGGCGCGTCGGGTCGGACCGATACTCAGCTTCAGGACAGCACGTCTTGGGCTACCTTTCGCGCGCTTCGCGAAGGAAAATATCGCACTCGTCTGCACCGTGGCACAAGGATACATAGCTTGCCCCAGTTCGATTGGACCTGGCGTGCAGCCACCGGGGCTGGGCATCATTATTGCGCAATAGATATCCCAGGTCAGACCTGATTCGTTTGCAACACGGAAGTCTCGTACAGCCCGAGGTTATGGTTCCCTTTCCATGGGACTGGATCTCTTCCGCTCATTTCGAACCTCGTGGTTATGCGACACTCGGCGACTGAAAGCTTAGAAGGAAGCGCATTACCACAATTTTACTCAGCCGAGAAGAGAAGCCTTCCCTGACACGTCCAAGGTGGCGTCTATGATATCCGGGGTCTCTTAAATGCACTCGTCAACGTGCTACTGGCTCCTGCTCAGTGTTCGTGCTTCGGTATGGTATGGCTTGCCGTGATTGTGTCCAAAGCAAGCAAGCGAGCGCAAGATTTAGTGTGGCTATGCTCGAGATCAGCTTTTGGTGTTTCCAAAGTTCTGTATTGGAGTCGCGCCGATCGATTATCGAAATTTCGTTGGCATGCGTCAATGAAAAGACGCTCGAGACGGCCGTTGGAAGGGTTGTCGGAATGTCTAGACGAGGGATGCACTTCGTAGCCGTGCCACATCAGCGCAGAGCGTTCTGCTAGTACATACATTAGCGCTACACGTCAAATTCAAAGCTCGAGTTGGTGGAGATACATCAACGAACCACTCCTGTGCACTGTCAAGCTAGGGGAGAGATAAACTCTAACCCTTTGGACACTACCAAGCGAAGTCGCCTACTTCTCACTTACAGCGTTCGTGAGACATTACTGTCCTGTCCTTTGTGACTGGGCTAGGCCAGCCCCCCCTCCCCCAACTTTGTGCCAGGAGAACCAATCGTCAAGGTAGTCATTCTCGTGGACTAGTCTTCGCGGGAGCGTCGTACGTGGAATGATCAGAACCAAGTCCCCCAGAAGTCATTGGGTATGTAACACTTCTGCTTCCATCCTGATGACGAATGAAACTTCAACGTAGACTAAGGTTGTGGCCTTGTACTCGTGGAAGACTTCCGGGCTATCGCTGTGTGTGTGTGTGTGTGTGTGTGTGTGTGCCGCCAGCGGGAATAACCCATTACCCAGGCTGCCATACAGGCGTGGCGGTACTGGGCAAGGGCTTGACCTGAGTCTCATGATTATCGCCACCTCAGAGTGGTTCTGATGTGCGAATGTGTTGTCCCATTGGAGTTGTCATCGCCCGCATCGTGGATACAGGCTTTGCGCAACGGTGATGTGGCCGGGATAGGTCGATAGTGGGAGGGAGTACTCATCGTTGTGTGATGTACTTTGGACGGGATGTATCGCGTGGTTCGATCGGTGAGTCGACGGTGCGAGGCGATCCGTTTCGCTCAAATTGAGATACCGGGTATTCGGGGCGTTGACAACGCTGATGTGGCTAAGCGCTAAAGCCATGATTCAGATGATGAACATCAGGGGTACAGCTGGTTGATCAAAGGCAGTTCGAAAATTCTTCTTGAAAGAATCGAGAAGAGAAATAGAGGCTTGCGGACTGTGCACGCCAGCTACATCGGAGAGTGACGGCACTTTCGCGGCGATCTGCATCAGTGATCTTACAGGGAGTGAACGTACTAGATAAATCGCTAGATGCAACCACGACTCATCTCAGGGGCTTCCGCTCAAAGCTCAAATCTTCAACATGCAAAGGGCTTCCTTATCTGGCATGAGAGATGCCTGTCTACACGTTATCATGACACCTGCTGCAATCCTGCGTGCGCCGGCGAACCTACCGAAACTAAGCGGCTCGCAGGCTACATGCTACCACATTTGAAACAGTTCCAGCACAAACCGAAGGATATCCCCTTGTCGAACCGTGTCCAGGCGAAGACGAACTCACCATGGAGCCCTGGATGGAACAGAGTGTGTACCGTTTGCAGACGCTGTCTGTCATGTGCGCATGGGGTCCGTAATTGAATGGCTTAGCGCTGGTTTAACAACAGCAAAATGCCTCCGATTTGTCACTGTAGTGACCAGCCTTCCTGGATGGCAATGCGAGCTCGTAGTCTCTTTGCCGTGTTCCGTGGAGTCTTCAAACGCCGCTGTGGTATATCACATTCAACGGCCGAATAGTGTCTATCCTGTTGCTGTTACACTCGGCTCGCAGTTTCGACGCGGTATGGGCGCTCTCGTAAACTCATCTGGTTTTTTCTGATACTCTTTGTCGACTAACAAGAAAACATGTTCACTCTAACAACTCTTCTGTCGTGCTTTGATCGATTTGTCAATCTAGAGGAGCATGTTCGCCGAATGTTGCGTCCAGATCCGGCGAATACAGCTCCATAGCGTGGCGGAGTCTTCCGGTCCCTGGCTCCTGCAATCCCACGTTAAAGGTGACACAAGTTTTCGCGTACATGAAATGCACCTCCAACGTGGCCAGGAGGGTGAATCGACCATTGACTCGCCAAATCTTGCCATGCTAGCATCAGACATGGCTTACATCATTCCGATGTGCATCATGCAGCGGATCGTGGCCGTGGTGATGGCGTGACGAGTGATGAAGTGTTCTAGTTCTCATATATGTATGATGACTGAGCCCTCCAAGAGAGACGTGTAGATGTGTGGTTTATTTTGGATGGCTCCTGGATTCAATGGACGAAAGAACTGCCACGTCTGTTGCCTTCAAGCAGGTTAACTAATCCCGCGTTCAACCGAACCAAGGCACTCTAGGCAACAGGTAGTGAGCTGCAGGCAAGTTCTGATCCGTACGTTCGACTCGGGCAGAGTGGGGTCGTACTGAAAGCTAGTCTGAGATAAACGAACGGGCCTGCGGGGATATATTCCGGGCGCCTATACGTCGTTTTTAGATACCGTTATGTCTATGAGACGACGCTATCGGATCGGCAGTCGTGTGTTTGGTCATCCTCCAGTGTGGCCGCGAGGCCATTGCTATCAATCAAGCTGAAAATCTTGACGGAACCCGGTCTGGGCATGCTAGACAGGATGATGCTGTGTGGACGCTGATACCGCTGATTTGTTTGTCCGATATGGCTGGATGGAGAAGAAGCCAAGCGAACAAGTTTTTGTAATTCCAGAAGTCGTCACGGAGGAGAGACGTCAGTTCAGCAAGTGCGCTAAGGCTTAGTGTACCACAGCTGAGCAGTCAAGGAAGCGACGACAGTGCACGACCATGTAAAGTATGTCTGAGAAAAAGAACCATCAGTCCTGTGCAAATTCGTTCTGTCACACTCAAAAGAAGTACAATAAGAATGACATAGCCGCCGCCTTTTGAGTTCCCTCACCGACTCCAATATACCATAACATTCACAATTGACAAATTTCCACCAAAAAAAAAACACAAAGTCGATCCGAAGCTCCTAAGTCGGCTGAGAGCGCAGAATTCTACCAAGGGAGAGTTGTAAGCAAGACCACTGATCAAACTAACCGGCATTGACAGCCGAGTCTTGACGACTCGCAACGGCTCGATAGTGGCTTGCCGGTGGTGGTGATTGAGTGGTGTCCGTGTATCCAGTAAGGGATCGTAGCGCGATCTCAGCGCAATCTTCTTTTGCATTTGGGAGATAGGCACAATCGTACCAGAACCTTGCTTGGAAGTTGTTCCCGTTAATTGTGACCATAGTTGACCAGGCCGTTCGACCTCCTAGGATTAAGGTCAGCCAGACGCTTGTTGAGTCATATGAAGTGCTGTGGAGCTGAGCTTGACTTACCGCGACGATCAGAGAGATCCGTGTAGGCTGGTTCCTGAAGGCCTCTTACAAGGCAATGATCTGAGAAGCATGTCAGCGTGCGTTGAATCGATGATTAGGGTGGATAAGCAAACCTCGAAGACGTTGCGACCACAATTCTTGGCTGGCCATGACAACAGTGTTTGTGTATGACTGTTGAAAAGGGGGTGATCCAAGACAAGACGCAAGTTGTAAGGGATGAAGATTGATGCTTGAGAAGGGGGTGGAAGCTCGATGCTTTGAGGAGAACAACTACTTATAAAACGTGCGAGCTACGCAGAGCCTCACTCAACGGCAGGAGAAGCAGAGAGTTGTAGCAATGAGTTACGAACACATGCAACGATCCGTCTCGTCGGTCATGCTCTTCTCGCAAGTGACATGCGCATATCCTGCTAGAAGCCGTCTGCGAGGTGAGTTTCCGTGGCCAATGATAAGTTTTCCACACCCGAGCCATTGGGTTGGAAGAACGCCTTCGAGAGCGGGCCGATGGGGCACGCAGTAACCCTAAACATGGCTGAAGCAATGCGCAGCCGAATATTGCGTACGAAGAGTTGGCGGCAGTCTCCCGGCAGCTGCTGGTAGCGGGCACGGATAGGGCGCTTGTCAACACCCGCAATGGGAAGAGCTGCATGAAGAGCATGCAACTGAAAGCTGCGGCTTCTTCGTGAGGGTGTTTTGGAACTTCAGCCCAAAAGCTCGTTTGACTCCACATGGCTGCAAAACATTACGGCTAGTGTGAAGCGATGCCAGGTCACTGTGCAGTAGTGTTCACAGGGTCCCTGCCTACTCTTTGTTTTGGCGGCAATGATTTCATACCGAAGTATGTTATTTGGCAAGTCATTTTTCCGGTATATCAAACGACACAAAGAGACATTTGTCAACTATGAAGCGGATGGCTTGTAGCAATAGTGTTGTTGACGGCATGAGGCGGACAGTTGAGGTGTTTCCGCTCGCTAAATGCTTGAAGTGGCGAAAAGGCAGGAAGACCTATCATAGGGGTAACGAAGGCGGGTACCTGCCAGCCTTTTGTACCCCTTTGTATTATAATATTGCCACGACTCAAGGATGGTCAACGGATGCTCTAGCGTGAAGCGAAAGTCAAACTACATAAATGTGGTTTCACAAACTTATGGCTCCAGTTCCTGCTTGCTGCAGCCTTACGAGACAGCCTAATATAATTGGCTGTTTCGAGTATTGGTCCTCTACGCCTGTGAGAAATTTCTGCCATTGACATGTCTTTGGTAAATGCTAAGTAATGTTTTGCATCAATACCATGTTTAACGGAACGTGTTGAATTGTGCATGATCGGGATATACCCAGCGCGACGTACTGTGGCGAGCAACCACTCAATTGCGAAGGAATGAAAATCATGTCAACTTCTACTGTGCGTTTTACATGCGAAAAGGCCATGAGTTGCACAAATAGCGTTGAGCCGATGTCGTGGTCGAAAATGCTAGGATGATGCAGAACAGGTGCAGAGTTGAGGTTGAATTTCGTGGAAGATGCGACAGTAAAGTGACGCGGCCCCGAGCTATATTGCTGGCGGCGGGTCTTCGAGCCATGTGCCGCGACGGAGCATGAAGCACTGTAACCTGTCAGTACCATTCTACCAGGAGTGTGCGTTCAATGAATGGGCTCGTCTTGTTCTGAACTTGACGCGTAAGCAAACATGAATTGGAGGAAACCCTGCAGTCGAACGAGCGTTGTCCAGACTCGCACGGCTTCACTTAGGAGCAGAAGCGTACTGCGCTCCACCCTTGACAGCACCGAGAATGAAAAACCCTCACGTGTGGCAGATTATGAACCAAAGGTAAAGAGCAAATGAGCTCAGGTCATTATTCGTTCCAAAATGTGGTATCGTAACTGCGATCCAAGTATGTATCGATCCAAGAATGATAACGTGGCGATTCGTAAACCAAAAGGGGCGGCATTATGTGCATGTGCAGGACATCCACGCCGATTGGTATCCTGTGTAACGATAAAGGGCTCAACAAATGCAACAAACAAACAACGCTGCGCATGCTGCAGACCAGAAGATCATGCGCATGCCGGACACCAAGGTGTAAAAGAGAAACTGAGCACCAAAAAATGCAAGAACAGCAACTGCCTACAGGCGACCATCCCAACAGAAGAGTTCTGACAGGTTGGTTGTACAAGATGGGAGAACGTGCTGCAACTTCCTGGTGCAGATAAACTTTGCGCCAATGCAGCGGATTTCCGCTGATCAAACTTGAGCTAAGTAAAGAAAACGCTAGACTGATGTGGGTACACGACGTGCTGACGACGGCTGTCTCTTTGACAAGTTACCGTCTTGATGTTTTCGGTTGAACATCTCATCGATGAGGCGTTTGGGACCAATGTATTCTAGGTTGGCCATCTTGAAGGAAGGATTTCGGAGGAGTGGGATATGCATCGTTGTGCTCTGCTTGGAGTGGAAGCGTCGCTTGATGCAGTCGTCTACAAGAGCCATGAGGCCTGTCGCCATAACAACACTGTTCATATGGTTAGCTCACTGCTGCCTTATACTGTACGCTTAGCCGGTATGTACTTACTCAGAGATGTCCGAGTCAGAGTACAGGATTTTGTCATCCGTAACACGCATATAACACGGTGGGATCCAGCCCCCGCGGGCAGCTTCCTCATGTGCCTCTTCACGAGTCAAGCGTACGGGGCAGATGTGCGCTAGCGGCTCCTTATCGTTGTCGTCGCGGACAAGATAATAAGAGACAGACTCATGTTGTTCGCGGCCTTCCTTCTTGACGATGCGTTTCCAGGAATAGTTGTTGCCCCAGTATTCGAAAGCGTACTTCTTGTATGACTTGGCACCGCGGCGCTTCACATCGAGATGCGCGTAATTCGAAAATTCGAGCTTGATGGTATTGGTGGGTATTAATGCGCGGCCTTTGGAATAGCCCACAGCTTTAGGGCGTGACTCAGATGGCATATCGTCGTCGTCGTCATGAACACTGCCCTGTACGGAGTCATAGCCGGAGTCAGCCCGCTTCAGACCAGCTGATGTCGAGGGGCGAGAGTCGGACTTGACCAAGCTAGCGAGGGCTGTGCTTGCGCGTTGCAGGACTGGTCGCATCTCCGCAGCGGGCTTCTGATACTTGCGCGTCGAATGGCAGACTTCGCGTCCTGACTCTCTGCAGTACCGACGGAGGGAGAATTGACGTGTGCGAAGATCTTGCATGCGGAGGTGGAAGAGGGTGTAGTTCTGTTTCCGGTGTCCGCGTTCCTCGACCTGTGTGTCCACCCTCAGATTCATGTTTCCGTCTATGGTGGAGTCGTCGTGGCGTATTGATAAGCGCTTAGATGTAGGGAAGAGCTCTCCGAAGTCGCGGGGTGTGGTAGGGATGGCATCGCAAGCTAGCGGCTCGTGTCGGTATGTAGGCACATCGTAGTCGGGCATATCATCGACCTCATCGGCAAGGTCTTCTTCTGATGTCGAGGCATATGTGTCGACGGATGCGCGGGGCGGGGGCTGTGGATACCGGTCGACCTGGTGTTGAGGCACAAAGTAGTCTGGTTCCCGGCCGCGTCCTTGTACGCGGGGATGGCATGTTTCGCTGTGCAGTAGCGACGGTCTCCGGTCGCTGTACTCTGTCGGCGCTGTGTCGTAGGAACGGGCGCTGTGAGCGCTGTGGTCGCTGTGGCCTGAAGCGGTGCTGTTGTCGCTGCGGCCAGAAGTGGTGCTATTACTCGACTGGTACTGCCTCCAATTTGCGGTCGGCGCCATGATGTAACGTGATGTGTGTTATGGGAGCAACGGGGATGGTGATAATGATGATGATATTAGATGGGTGTATTTGCTGAACATGCAGAAGCGGAGATGTGGGTGGGGATTGAATGGCAATGCCATGCAACGCAACGCAAACAAGCGTATAAGTAAGAGCGTGGTAAAAGCGTGAACGTCAAGCGCACAAGTGAAGCAGGCGGCGCAGTAATCCGAGACAGCTCACGAAAGGGTGACCCAGCACGCGGCGGAGGCAGGACGGATGGGGATTAATATCACGGGCAGAGTTTGAGCTGCAGTGCAGTGCGAATGGAGGCGCAGCGCATGGCGTGGGAGCGTGTAAATGGGCTGCCTGGGAGCTACGGGAGGTGTCTCGCGGGGTTCGAGACGCCGGTTGATCCCTCGCAGAGTCCTCGATCATGGCCCACGAAGATGCCTGCATAGTGCTGCATCCCACAAAACGCCCTTGGCCGATTCCAGCAAATCGCCGGCACGACTGACCACATGACTTGCCTGCATCGAGCGATTTACCCATGGCCCGGCGAATCGCTGCCACTCGCTGACCCTCCACCTGCACCACCCCAGGGCCTCGCCCAACCCTCACGGCAGCCCTTACGGCGTCACCAAACGGCCGTCTTGCCCTACCATGCGCTGCGAAAACTCAGCTCCTTCATAAAGTGCTCACTCAGCGAGCGCAAATAAGACGCAAAAATCTGTCTTCAACAAAACGGCATGATCGGCCAGGCATCCCATGCTATGCGCACTCACCCGATGCTGACTTTTGGTTACCTCTCGGCACCGGGCGCCTACGGGACGCTCCCTGGTGGCTGATCATCCCACGTGCATCGCGAAGCCGACGGACTTCTAGACGGACTGTTAGAAGGGCTGTCCCGGTCGTTATCACCAGACGGTGGGAAGACTCTGCTGCCTATCCGACCACTTTGACGTCATGTGCGCTAGGTCGTACGCTGCACACATCGGAACTGCACCTCCATGCGCATTGCGACAGATGGCCATCTATCGTCGGGTGCTGTGTTGCAATGGCTGATTCACCCCTCGATCCACAGCTTATTGTCACGCTGCGCTGGCAGGGACCAGCATACACGCAGCCCGGCCGCTAACTCTCTCCACTGTATTCCAGGGACCAGAAAGCGCCCACGGCTGATGAGCACGATCATCTGAGAGATCAACTTGCAAGAAGACGACTGTTGGCTGGAAGAAAAGCAAGCATGAAGGAGCGAATTGTTCATGCACGCTAACATCTGGGGAAAGAGCGCGACAACGTGTCATTGCTACATTACTGCGTACCGATCAAACAATCTGGCCTTGAAATCCACAGAGTAAAACTATATCTTCTTGCGTCACTCTACAGTACCTTTGCACCAAGAAAAGAAAATTGCTTCACTACCAATATTGAAGGGCCAATCAGAGCAAGTTACGTGTTGGCTTCGCACACCAGCCACGACAACAAGAACAACGACAACAACAACAGCGCAGAGCCCTATCGTATCGTGACTCTCGGATGATGGAACTTGGGAAACCATCCGATAGTAGTCGAGATGTAAGAGCTGAGCATATCAAAAAGCCGCCGACATGATGCTGTCGTCCTCCGATACGCTCATTCCACGCTCAGTGGTTCTGGAAGCCCGTTCCCCACTTCATCTCTCCACTTATCTCTCCACTCGAGTTGGAACATTGGCTAAACTTGTCTATCACTTGCATTCACGGCTTCTAGACGTGGTCGTTTCGCCCCGAAGAGGTGCTGACTGCGGATCCTAGTAATGATGCCATCATGGAGGGCAGTGATTGCTGCATATTGACCAAACAGTTCGCGACGATTAGCCTGTGCATACCCCTGGCTTCCACCACTGAGAGAGCGCTGTTGTTACTCGATTTGAAGGACTCATACCCTTCCCCACACTTTGCCTCGCATAGCATCGGTACGTCAGTGAGGCGATGCCATCCCACGACCTATCCAAGCGAGCTCTACCAGTACGTAGGGTAAGCGAGTACTCTAGGCATCCATGTATTGCATGAACAGGAGGACGTTATGCGAGGCTGTGAAGACACAGCTTCAGCTAAGCCTTGGGAGGACCTTGACGATGTTGCTTTGCGGTTTGTTGAATCCCCGAGCACGTCTCCCTGAATGAGGCGACACCATCGTTTTCGAAAGACAGCCCTACCTGGCTCGAAGGCTACTACTTCAAGTCCTCCGTCGTGCGCCTATCAAGCACTCAGCCCCTGGCTAGTCCTTTGATGACAGGCCTCAACAAATTACGCATTCATCTGGCGACACTTGGTACATCGCCGATGAGATACTACTGCTTCGCGCCATATCCCTCGTCATGACTAGAAGGCTTGGTACGGTCTGAATGAACCAATAGTGTACAGCATGTTACAGACTTTGACAAGCTTCGCGTCTTCTCCATTCGCATCTTCTGCATCGTTGCTCAGCAGCAGTTCCTGCGAAAAGAGCGCTCTAGTATATGAGACCAGGGACGCATAAAGTACGGCTTGGCGACGGGATAGTATGTTCTGCCAGTCATCACAATATGACATCTTTTGCCCTCGTCTCGATTATGGGTCGGCACTGATGCTCTTCTATATATGTCCACGCACTAGCATCCATTTGCGGAAGATATTCCTGCGTCCTGGTAACATAGATATATGACACGTGAATGTTGCACAGTTAATTTGATACTGCCATCAAAACACTGCTCAAACTAGAACGGTTCAAGCATGAGTTTCTGAACCAGAGTGCTGAACCTTAATCACACGAACAACAGTTAAATCTTCGAGGTATGTGTTCCTGCTAATTGAGCGACCGATACCAAACCGTTCGCATGTGAAAGTATGCACCTGCAAGGCACGAAAACTAAGCTAGGCGCCAAAAGCAGCGATTTTCTTAGAATACTGAGCTTTAGTAGTAGGAATCGTGCACCTCTTCTTCTAGGTGCGCTGTACTATCATCAAGGCGATTTGGAGAATGGCTTGTGAAGGAAAACTGACTGCACGTTTTGGGTCAACTGTGGTGTGGGATATACATGCACGTTGTTTCCCACGTCCATGCGACAAGTACACCTTCCGTATTTGATGTTTATATTTCACATGTCATGGAATCTGAGTTTTATAGCACCGTCGCCGCCTTTTTTTAAGCTCGTCTCTGGTTCATTAAGCACGATGCCGATTGTGACTTCGCTACAATGTGCTTTGGTATTGAGTTAGTGTTTTGCAGTTGGAAAGTACGAGTTATGTTCGGATATCATGGCACGAAACGAGGCACAATTCCAAGCATATGTAGATTGCGCACTGATCATTGCCATTTCCTAGCTGTAGTACTATGACAGACCGAAGATGCCCACTGGTCTCGTCTTATCGAGCCACGTGGTATGTCGTGATTCATCGTTTTCGTAAGCCGCTCAGAAATTCATTCCAATATCTCATATTGCGTGAACATTCTTGTTCAAATGACTCAGTCGCCTACAACTGGCCAGACTTGGCGATAGTGACCGCCTTGGAGGTGGCGCCGCTGCCGGAGCCGACCTTCTCGATGGCCTGGACGACGTCAAGACCCTCGACAACCTTGCCGAAGACGACGTGCTTGCCGTCCAACCAGGAGGTCTTGACGGTGCAGATGAAGAACTGGGAGCCGTTGGTGCCAGGTCCGGCGTTAGCCATGGAGAGGATACCAGGGCCAGTGTGCCTCAGGTTGAAGTTCTCGTCCTCGAACTTCTCGCCGTAGATGCTCTCACCACCGGTGCCCTAGATTATGTCAGCCTTTTGTGCTCGTCAAAGAAGTATCGTGGTGTTGCCGTACGTTGCCGCGGGTGAAGTCACCACCCTGAAGCATGAACTGGGGGATGACACGGTGGAAGCTGGAGCCCTGGTAGTGGAGGGGCTTGCCGGAGCGGCCAGTGCCCTTCTCGCCGGTGCAGAGAGCGCGGAAGTTCTCGGCGGTCTGTTGGTAAAAGTTAGCGGCTGGTTCAACTTTCCAAAGTCTCGAGCCGAAAAGAGCAGCGATGAAGACTCTGATAGCGGGGTACTGACCTTGGGGGTCTGGTCGGCGAAAAGCTCCATGACAATGCGGCCCGCGGGCGCACCGCCAATGGTGATGTCGAAGTAAACTCTGGGGTTGGACATTGTGATGGATGTGAAATTGGTGTGTAGAGGAAGTGTTGGGGGTGGAGTGTTGTTGATGGGAAGGATGAGGGGCAGCTTTAAAAGTAGGAGAGCAATAGAGGGGCAATTGCCTAGCAACCTTTTATAGCCACCATAGCTCCTTCCGTAGAGCCATGACAGGCGCAGCACAAGTGTGGGGCTTTCGGCTTGATTGGGCCTCTCACTGTTGAGTTGTCGAGGCTGGAGCTGGGAAAGGGCCGCGCTCGGGCCACTTTTGGAGGGGTAGTCGGAGGGGAAATTGCGCCATGGACACCCGTCATGTCAGGGCAGACGTAAGGATCGCCACTTCACAGACCGCCTTGCCGTAGAGCTTGGAAAATTCTTGACGGGCTTACCCAGATACTTAGGTACTTGCAATCGCCTGCCTCAGCAACGGAGTTCCGTTTGGCGTCGAGATGACGGGAGACAGATGAGAGGCACGGAACACCGTACACCGAGATAGCGCCTGCTGGTCGGCTCCTCATGGCGAATACGAGCTCTACAGCCTCATGTGTAACGTCCGTCACGAAATATAAGATAAGGGTCAGCTGCTGTGTCCCTCCGTGATTGTCACATGTGCTTCTTTCCGTCACCATTACCTGTAGTCGCAACGGTGCACGAGCAACATATCATAGTAGAATCAAATGTGGTGAAAAGGTTGAAAATTATGGCCGACCGACGTGGCCATGGTCTGAAAACTACATAGGAGAAAGATAAGGTGAGACAGAGGAAGAGAACGCTCACGAACGCCAGGCCTTCCAGCTATGCCCTCGGATATACCCAACACAACAAACAAACAAAAACTGTCTATGGCTCTACAAGAATGTTCATCTCAGATGCCTTCGCAAATGCGGCACGCTCCTGGATGTCTTTCGCTTCAGCCTCTTTCCAGAGCTGAATCACTTCCTGCTTGCGGCTCTCGCTCCTGGGCTGAAACGCCATCTCCCACGGATCCGGCTTGATGATAAGCAAAGAGTTGGACTTGTTCAGTGGTACTTCGATTTCCTTGCCTGAGACTGGGTCGACCTTGCGCCTGAGATTAAAGGCCCACATCAACGCTCCGCAGCCTGTCACCGTCTCGTCACGTGTGATGGACATGCCCAAACATTGGCGCTGACCCCAACCGAAAGAAGTCATGCCGACGATATCAGGGTACTTGGTCAAAGGTTCTTGGAAAGTGGGCCATCCGGCTTCCAACCATCGCTCGGGACGGAATTCTTCGGGCTGAGGGTACTTAACAGGGTTGCGAAGGAAAGCCCAGTCGAGAGGAAGGATACGTGTGCCCTTGGGGATGAAGTACCCTTGAAACCAATCGTCGGCCTCGGCCTCGTGTGCGACACCTAAGATCACAGTCAGTCTCAGTGTCACGATTAGTCGGGTATACACTTACCAGTAGGTACGGTTGGCTTCCATCGCATTGTCTCCTTGATGCAAGCACGGAGGATGGGAAGATTGGGCAGGTCGGCGACGGCAGGGGGGTTGTTACCGCAAACGCGGTCAATCTCATCCTGGCACTTGACCTGCCATTCGGGGTGGTGGACCATGCTGATCAAGAAGTAGTAGATGGGTCCAGTGACAGTGAAGATGCCAACGAGGGCCATCATTCCGATCACGCAAGACGCCTCGTAATCCCCAGAGATGTTCGACTTTTCGGCAGTTTCCAGGTAGCTCTTGGTGAAGCACGACCTTTGCTTACCCATTTCCACGCTCTTCTTGGTCTTTTGGAGGCACTGCATGAAGAAGGCTTGCTGTTCGTCGTGGCGCTTGCGCTCCCGAAGCTTCCAGGGGTTGATCGGTTCGGGAACCCAATCCCAGAGAGGAGTCAAGACGTTGGTGATCGGGCCGGCGGGAGACATCTGAGTGAGCAGTCCCCATGCGCTGGGTGTAAGAGGGATACTGAGCGAGGGGTCGTCCCATGTCAACTGGCACATGACCTTGGAGCACATGTCTTCGAGCGAAAAGCTGAAATCATCGGGGTTTTCCAAGAGCCTGGCCATCCATCGCTTGGCTTCAAACTCCATGATGCCGTTGTAGCGTACATTGGTCGCACCGGTAAGGTAAGAGTGAGTGAACTTTCGTTGACGAGCCCAGTATTCTACTTTGGTCAGCGAGGGTCGTTCAAGGATCGCCAGCGAACTCACGGTTCTTTCCCATGAGAGGCAGGTACTCCATTGAGCCGTATGTGCTCTTCGCATCAAACAACGACTTGATCTCGGGTCGATCGGAATACAACTTCGCCTTCTTTACAAGCATGTCCTCTGCAATCTTCTCATCACTGATGATAATGAAGTTCGCGCCCAACATCTTCGTCCGGTAGATGGGACCATGAATTTCGGCCCACTCCTTGAACTTCAGCCACATGAACTCGATGGGGAGATCGTGAATGCGCCCAATCCAGGGTAGCTGCCATGGGCCAGGCATGTTCTGGACATTGTACCTCTTGTCGTACTTGCCAACAGCATCGACAACTGCGTACACGACGAGGCCGACGACCGCGACGCCAAGAGCGTAAGCTGTGAATGGGTGCATGTTGTCAAAGCGGGAGACCGTCGAAAGAATGTGTGGAAGATTCCAAGTCAGATAGGGTGACTGACTGTCGCCAAGAGTCTTGAGTGGGGATGCAGATGAAAGAACCGTGATGACACAAAATCACAGCGTGGGAGATTCTGGTAAATATCACACCACAGCTTGGAGTTGAACTACCACCTGTCCGGCTCCCCAGACCTTGACTTATGTACAGCCATACAGGGACCACTGCCGCGGCGAAACCGTTTAGAGCAGCAAAGTCATCGGCGTCTGGACGAGCATAGCCGATATGGCCTAAGCATTGCTTGGGATGACAGACGGCAGATTCATCCAATAGCCAAAGTTGGAAACTACCGATTTCCATATTTTGCTAGGATGCCAATGTCACTAGCATGCTTGCTGATCGCAAGAATCTGTTTCCGTTACAGCGGAAGAGCAGAGGTCGGTGCTAGCGGGCGCCGATTATGACATATTGAAGAGCTTGGATCTGTGCTAACATGTATCGGTGCGCCGGGAGAGCACATAGATCGACATGGACTAAGTTCACTTGCATGAACTCGAGCGTATCGAAACAGCCACCCCTTGCATTGGAAGTCTGATACAGCTGAAAGAGCACGCGTTTAGTGGTTGCGTGCCATTCCGCCGCCGTGTCTAGGTAAGTTACCGTTATCTATCTAGTACCATACTACACATCGACAACACATACCAAGGCCAAGGTCTAAGTCGGCAGCCGGCATATCACCGCGCCGTGAGACCCTCTTCACTGTCAAGACATGCAGCATAGTTACCGGCAAGGGTGTCACAATTACTCCTCGTCAATGATCGACGTGGATGATCCAACGACTCGATAATGAGCACAAGCCCCGTGCTGCATTCCTGAAACCAAAGCCTCTCAGCTGTCGTAACACCAAAAGATTTCTCGACGTGCAACTTTCCCTAAAGGAAAGTGCGATTTTCAGCCAGCCTTTGCGGCCCGATTTTTACTATTCAAGAGCAATGAAGTCTAAGCGTCATCAGGAAGGCTGACGTACATTTAGCGACGTTACACATGAATCAGATCTCAATCGCTGCAGTCATCAAGTCTCCACGTGGAACAGAGCCGTGAGACAGGCGATAGGCTGGGAGTGCCGCGGGAATCTCATCTGCGCGTACGTCCAACACAGCAACCTTGAGCCCGATCTCGTTTGGACATGGCTTAGGGTGCCGTTGAGCACGCTTGGCCTCCGGAGTTTGTGGGGAACCATAGCGCAAGTGCACGGACATTGGTAAATCGGGAGTTTTGGCTAGCGCGAGAGACCATTCGTCGTCATCGAGATCGGTCCAAGACCAAACAAGCCGTGTTCCTGACAATCTTGCGCCAAGTGTAATGATCATTGCTCCGTCCAATACCTGCATACCGTCGTACGAGGGTGAAAGCACAACAACTAGAAATGCCGGCCACTCGGACATCCGAGGGGTCTTCGGCAACCCTCCCTGGTACCCCAACGGAGAATGCAGGTGAAGGCAACCCTCAAGATGTATGAAAGGCAGGCATAATTTGGTTTGGAGTTGGTTTCGACGATACACCAATCCCTCAACCATCCTACACATCAAACCGCAATTATGCCTCACGCTCTTACTTCCCGTGACTCCACGATGGAGTCGAAGCCAATAGGCTCATACCCTAACACCGGTATCGACGTACTTATCGTGGGTACCGGTTTGGCTGGTCTGGTTGCTGCCCTTGAGTGCACACGCAAAGGACATAACGTTCGTGTGCTGGAGAGGAACGCAGACATCAACACAGCTGGTGAGCAGCATCCTCGAACTGCAGTCTTGACGCATTGCTCATGATGTGACTCAGGTGACATGTACTTCATGGGTCTCAGCGCAACCCGCTTCCTAAAGCATTGGCCTGAACTGCTCAAGGAGTACAAGAAGATTTCTCTCCACAATGCCTGGATCGAGACCTTCAAACACTCCGGTGAGGTTGTCATTGGACCCAAGAAGGTGGCGGACCGCCTCCGCGCACAAGGGCTGGATCCCGATACTCCTCCTGGCGAGTTCCAGATGCGCCCGCTCGTCTACAAGATGTTTGTAAACGCCGTAGAAAACCTGGGTGTCTCCGTAGAATTCAACCGCAGGGTTGTAGACTACTTTGAAGACGAGCAGACTGGCAAGGGAGGTTGCACCACGGACGATGGCAAGCGTTACGAGGCGGACGTGGTCATCGCGGCCGATGGTGTTGGATCGAAGAGTCAGAAGCTTGTTGGCGGACAAGTGCGCGCGAGGCCGTCTGGAAGGGCAATGTGGCGTGCTGCTTTCCCCAGAGAGGCTCTTGACAAGGACCCAGAGGTTAAGGAGTTCTTCAAGATGATGCCAGGAAACGAACCAATCGTCAGGACATGGTTGGGGTAAGTCTTTGTGACTGTATAAGCCGAGGATTTATTAACGCTCACAGTCCCTCCACATATGCGCTTACATTGTCTCGCGAGGACGTCATGGTTTGGATCATGAACCACGACGTTACTGGTACTGAGAAGGAGTCTTGGAACAACACCATCGAGAAGGAGGAGGTCCTTGACGGCATGGACAACATGCCTGGTATGGAGAAGATTAAGTGGGCGCCCATCTTCAAGAAGCTTGTCGAGACCACTCCAGAGAAGACCATTGTCAACTTCGAGTTGCTCTGGCGTAACCCCCAGCCTAGCTGGACATCGCCCGCTGCCCGCGTCGTTCAGATTGGTGACGCTGCCCACTCTTACCTACCAGCCTCTGGAAACGGTGCGACCCAAGCCATCGAGGATGCTATCTCCATAGCTTCTTGTCTCCAGGTTGGTGGCAAGGAAAATATCCCTCAGTCTGTTCGCGTACACATTCGCTTCCGGTAAGCCACCATCCCAGATCTACACGCATATGCTAATGCAATAACACAGCTTCATCCGTAACTCTTGCGCACAGAAGCTTGGTTTCTCCAACGCTGAACTCCTCCAAGATACCGACTGGGACAAGGTCAAGCTCGACCCCCGCCGTGCTGCGCCGAAGCTTCCCAAGTGGGTTTGGTCTCACGACCCTGAGGCCTACGTGTACGAGAACTACGAGAAGAGTGCACAGTCACTGAAGGAGGGTATTGACATGAAGGACGAGGACAAGTTCGAGCCCAACTACCCCAAGGGCTACAAGTACGAGCCTTGGAGTATCGAAAAGATCATGGAGGACATGAGGGCGGGTAAGGCTATCGATCTTGGCGCTGGTGATTGGGAGTAAACATGAGCATTGGGAAGCATAGCCGCAGGGCAAACTGCGTGCGTGGCGTTACAAATATGTCTTATGAGCACTCCATAGCGAAATATGATTTTGACCACTTCATTCAAAAACCATGTCCTTCTTCAAAAGAATCTGCTCTCCGGCTTTTGGTGCACAAGTCCTTGGCGTAATGATTTAGTAGGTCTTGCCTTTTTAGGGCAAGTCATTCCACAACGGGAGCGCCCGTTCTTTTGGCGCTCCTCTTCCATCAATGACAGCTGCCGCTCCAATCTTGCCGCTTAATGGCTGACTCGCTTTTTCTTGTCCTTTCAAAGAACACCACAGCATATCACATATATTCCTGTCGCGAGACACGCACTTATCGATGTGCTTACTGAGATTCGACACGAGAATTGTGTAAGCGCCATGGTACACAGCATCTGCAGGTCCGCGGCAAGCACACGTTTCGCAACCGAGATGCGCCGGAAAGGAAGTTTCCCGTTCCTGCCTCAAAGTCCCAGCTAAAGCAAGCGGCGCAACCTTGGAGTTCGGGCTCGGAACGGGCACCCAAGGACCAAACTCTTTTTCTCGCACCCAGACGGAGCCCCTTCATGTCGGCTTTTACAACCGCCGCCCTACAGATGGCCGCAGAACTTGACGATTGTGAAGAAGCAGGGCAGCAGCAGATTTGGCCCCTTCAACGCATCACCCCTTACCCCATAGACAACAGGAAATTTTGTACAGACTACCCTGGAACCTTCCTAGAACTGCCTTCAGACCAACACCCCAATGCAGATAATCAATCTCACCTTCGTACCAGGTTGCAAGTACCCACCCTGCAACAAAACGCACATCCCCAGTTCCACCACTACAGTTCCCCAATACCTCTCTAATTCCTTCTTCCATGATTAATGATACATTATCACGGCTCTCCGCCGGACATTGGAACTCTGAAGCATGTACGTGATGTGCAAGCGGTGTTTCGTTATTTGGTCTAGAGCGGGGAAATCAGACGCGTAGAGAAGTCTATGACGCTGCCTAGTCGCGCTAGTGCTCACTGCAGGGAGCACTTGTTGAGCGTCGCACCGCGGATAGAGAGGGAGACGCGAGGATTTGGAGTGGCTTAGAGGGGTAATGGAGCGCTTGTTGGAACGTGGCTGATAGATGGATGTGGTGAAATTGCAAGGGAGGGGATAGGCCTAGGACGACGTGAAAGAGTAACATGTGAATCTCTGCTTGTTGTGATACCAATTCGATTGTCTACTTGTTCCACGACTCTTTTGTTTAGTAGTGGTAGGTTCGGTGTAGAGCGCATATCGACACATCCCTGTTCAGGACGCTAACGCGCTACGTGAATGCGTGTCCACGTGACTTTGATACCCCAATGATCGTCGCTGTATGCATTCTACGACCGTCAGCGATGTCGGTCATGTGTATATGCCAAGTCGAACACCATGGACGTTCCCTTGAGGTCACCGGCTCAGAATTCCACAGATCCGTGCAAACGAATATGCAGCTCCTCAGCCTTCTTACTGTGCACGAACTCTCTCACGCTCTCAACTCTCTTTCCGTCTTTACTGAGCTTTACAAATAGCACGCCTTCAGTCCACCACTCCGTAATGTGACTCTCAGCCAGCTGTGCGCCCAGTTCATGGTCTTTATCTACTTTGCCTCCCATCTTACAGTGCGCTATCACGGTGTTCGTATCTCTCAAGAAGTGCACTGCTTTGCCTCCATCTCCGTCGTTTTGCGGGACTACCTGGAAGTCCTTGAATATATCGAATACAATTTGTGCATGTTCGCGGAAAGGTTGGATCGAGCGTGTGGGTAGGTTCAATTCTGCTGGGAGAGAGGTATGCGTAAAGTCTCGCGTCGCGTTTGTCGTCAGCGCCTGGGGACGAAGAGTCGAATAGCTATTTATAAAATGATTGAAGGTCTCGAGGTGTTTGGTTGAGTCTTGCGATTGCGATGGGTAAAGATAGTATGCGATGGGAGCGAGAGCGGCGATTGCTGCAAGAGTTGCGGTAGCAAAGCGTATCTCGGAGGGCGTGAAGCCTAGGTCTGACATTATGATATGACAGAGACTTTGCGTTGAAAATGAGATATCTACGATATGTTCGTGTCCGAAGTGTCTGCAGTTTCGGCTTCCAACTTTGCCAACCTTGCCTCCACTGGCGTCGCTAGTTCATCGTTTCCTGGTAGAATCTGGTAGCGAGTAAGATCATTCTGACGGCGCACTACAGTATCTACCCGGATGATCACCTGAGCCGCAAATAACCCGACTATGATCTACGGACCCGTCTATTACTGCGGCTTCCAGTCACGACACCGGTGATCAAACTTTGAACCCCTCCATGGCTTGCGTCCAGTCGTGTTGAGCTCGGTCTCCGTAATGCTCCTGCATGATCACCGCAATGTCGGTGTGGTCCTTCACCGACCCGTGGCGTTGTGGAACATCATGACAAGACTACCATTCGCTGTACGGGCCCCATTCTCTGCAGCTCCGTCGTGAGATCAGCATTCAGAAGAGTGGAGCTGCGTTCTGAACAGAAGCAACGGTCGTACTAAGGTGTTGCGGGGCCGGCAGTCCCATCCTTTGCGCGACGCGTCGACGTGAAGCTGTGCATATTATTGAGGCTTCCTCTGTTCTTCTGTCGTGATCGTTCTTCCTGCTTATCATTAGATCTGAGGCTGAAAACAAGCTCGACCTACAGCGGTATCATAAGCCCCTCCGGAGCCAAGCGACTCTTCTACCCTAACAAGCAACCCCGCCATGGCCGCCACGAAAGCTATCCTTGTAACTGGCGCTACTGGCAAACAAGGCGGAGCCGTGCTCGAACAACTCGCAAAGCACCCGTCGCACGCTGAATACACACTCTTGGCTGTCACTCGTGACGCCAACTCCGGCTCTGCAAAGAAGATTGTCGAGCGTCACCCCGACGTCAAATTGGTGCAAGGCAACCTGGACGATTGCCCAGCGCTCTTCGCATCAGCTAAGGCTGCACTCAAAGAAGCCGGCAAAGAAGAGAAGATCTGGGGTGTATACTCTGTACAAGTTTCTCTAGGCAAGAATGTCACCCACGAAAGCGAGGTTGTGCAGGGTAACGCTCTAATTGACGAGTCGATTAAAGAAGGCGTCACGCACTTCGTTTACTCCAGCGTTGACCGCGGCGGCAACGAGCGAAGTTTCGAGAACCCAACACCTATCCCACATTTCCAGAGCAAGTACGAGATCGAGAAACATCTTCTCGAGAAGGCTGGCAAGAATGGCGAGAACATGGGCTGGACCATTCTCCGACCTGTTGCCTTCATGGACAACTTAGTACCTGGTTTCCCAAGCAAAGTCTTCCTTGCCGCGCTTCGCGATACATTGCAGGGCAAGTCCAACCAGTGGGTGTCTGTTGAAGACATTGGCCTTTTCGGTGCAAAAGCATTTGTCAACAACCAAGAATGGAACGGACGCGCCGAGGCTCTCGCCGGTAGTGAGCTCACCATGGACGAGATGAGTGGATGTTTCGAGCGTGTTATTGGCAGTCCAGTGCCGGCCACCTACGGCATGTTTGGCTCCGCGCTCATGTGGGCCGTCGCCGAAGTGAACGTCATGATCAGTTGGTTTGCATCTGAGGGCTATGGTTGTGATATCAACAAGTTGAAGAAGGAGGAGCCTAAGCTGTGTGATTTCGAGACTTGGCTGGCAGAGAGGAGTGGGTGGAAGGGACAAGCTATCAAGCGATAGATGATGATGCCTCCATATGCTGGCGGGGATAAGCCTCTAGCGTCGGATATTTGAGCTTTTGGGATCCTGACCCTTGTCCCGGTGTCTTCTGTAGTTTTCGATAAATTCATGATCCTCAAACAATGCTTGTCCAATATTACTGAGCTTATCGTTCCTGACGCACATGTTCTTAGTTCTCAGCTGCGTCACCATCGTACTCGGAGATTCCGCTGGTAGCGAATCAAACACAGTAAGCATCAAAATTCGTCCTAGATCTACATGCATCTATATGCCTAGTATATTGTCAGCCTATGTGTTGGCGTTATAACAGGTGTCCTCAGTTGCATGAGAATCACAGAATTTATGGGTAACTTGAAGTGCTCAATCATTCATACGCTTCATTGATCCTATGCTAGACTCCAAACACCTACACATACAAAAAAGATGTGGTAGGCAGCACAATGGCCGAACTCATAATTGCAATCAAAAGGCCCGAACTACTTAAGTTCTCTACAAAGAGAGCAAGTTCCACAGTGCCAGGCCACCAGCAATGGTTGGTGTAACCAACCTCAGCCTGTTCCAGCTGGCCCACTTTGTCGCAATGCTCTCTGCCTCACCCAACTCCTTCTCGTTGCTCCTCTCCGCCAACGCCTCCAACTTGTCGTTCAACGGCTGCATGTTAATAGCGGAGTGCAGGATGGTCGTCAAGTGCATGACGGCCGCAACACCAAAAAGCTTCCAGTCACTGCGGGCGAGCATGCCCTCACGGTAGACTGAGTAGCCAGCGTAGGCGTAACCCAGGAATCCCAGAGTTGAAATGGGACGGAAAAACTGGTTGCCGACTGTCCAGCAGAGAGGCCACTGACGGCCCAGAAGACGTGCGCGGTCTTTGTGTTCGGGTGTGCCTGCGCGTGGGAAGTTGACGAGGAGCGCGGGGACGGTCATGTAGGACTGTGTGATGGCATTTCCTAGGTCTATGAGCAGTGAATTGGGTAATGTTGAACTCTGGACTTACCAGCGAGGATGAAAGAGAAAGTGATGCAGGTTCCTGCAACACTCTTTACGTAGATGTTGTCTGACATGTTGATCGTTTGATTCGGCGTATGTGTAAAATCGGGTATTGACTTTGGAGTATATGAAAGGAGGAATGAATACGTTCAAGAACTTCCGGCGACAACCACCTTCAATTAACAATTCCCATCAGCAAACACCGAAACTTATTTCGCGTACTAGCAGCCATACATTTCCGTTCCGAGACCCCCAAAGCCCGCGTTGGGCCACTCCACCCTGCATTATGGTGTGATGGCGGTGTTCCTGGCGGCTGTAGTTCGGTTCCCCACGGCCGTCGCGTCGCGTCCCTTCAGGGCTCCAGGCGCACCCCCGTTTTGGGCGATCTCGATTACATCACGACAGGGGTCTGTATTTTCGAAGTGGACTCTGATATGTGAAGCAGTTGCATCGGTGTGCTCTGGATGCATCTTGCGTCTGCTGCGATAAAGTCGGTGAGTTCCCTGCCACGCGCTGGCGGAGTTTGTAGCTTTTGCGATGCTGACGCTGTTACGAGGACAGGAGATGACTCCGACAATACCAGGACTATGTTTACGAGTATTCATATTCCTTTTGGACATACCGCAGCAGGCCAAGTTGTCATCGGCGAGGTTCAGTCCAAGTTTAGATGTCAGCTCACAAGCGAGGAGTGCGAAAGGGATACCACGCGAAGAGATGGTACTTCTACGAATGTGCTCATCGTAACACGACATTTCAGCACACAGCAGCATAAAGCACATAAAAAGATTGTAGAGCCTTTGTAACCGTCTTCTGCAGAGAGTGCTTTTGGGAAATCATTCAAATCTGCGGTAAGAATGCTGATTATAGTAAGTCAGGAGTACGATGTCCTTAGGTATGATCTGAAGAAGCAGAGGGGTACCCACGGCCATGGCTACAGCCACCGTCGTTTTTGGTTGTGGATTTAAAATTCCTCAAATTCCTCAGATTGATTCGTAAAAATTAGCATGCTGACAACATCCGCATTCGAATTCGATGTCAGCTCACCGGTCGTTCTTACTATCATGCAAAATTCTTCGCAACGTTTCGGAAAGCGAAGACACGCAAGCCATCTTCCACATGGTCGTGAATTTTATTAAGTATGGCCTTTTTGTGATAAGAAAGAGAAGGGAGGGTTCGATGATGGATACATCGTTTCTGACTCTTTCAAACTTGCAGACCCTCATGACTGTCTACCCGATAAAAAAATTGGCCATCTGCTTTATGGAAGCAGCGAAGGACCCGTAGGCATGTAATTATGTCGATGTGATTTTTGGTTGCATCCTGTGGACTTCTCAGGAAGAATCTTTCAGGAATGGAAGCATGGTACGAGACAGACTTCCGTGTCAACTCCTTAACAAAGCAGTTACAGGCATGGTGAACAAATTCAGCTTCCCAAGAGATCATGTAGTCATCAATCAAACGTTTTCGAGAACTGTATGGAAATTTCCTCGTCCTGCTGCCATGGTGACTCGGAAGCATTTCCTGGGAAGTGGAAAAACACAGACTCCATAGTTTGTTCAGCATGTCAATTCGAATTATTGCCCTTCTCGCGCAGCTGAACTCAGGAGGATGAGGAGAGGAAGGTCTTGGGATATATATATATATATATATACAAATGTACCTCTCAGAGCCCCCGATCATGAAAGCTGATAGCTGAGGACTACCTGACATGCACACACCTGCTCAGCGCAATTACGAGGATCCAACGATTTTTGTGAAAGGCTGGACTCATATGGCAGGGCTCTTGGCAGCTCAAAACAACTGATCTTGGCGTCATGGAAACATGTGTATATTCGCACGGCACACCAAGAACCGTGCCTAATCCACTCTCTGTATACCGTCTGCCCAGCTCGGTTCGATACCACTACAAACATCCACATAGGCATCCCACCTCCTCAATTCCTTTTGCCTGTCCATCCCACCCCACTCCTCAGCGTTCCACCCATTCTCGACACCCTGTGTAGTCCAGAACATGGTCCACTGATCACCTGGCAAGTTCCACATACCCTTGCTCCTCTCCTGATACCACTTGTTCACAGGATTGCTAGTCCGACTCCTCCAGACCACACCATCAGGAAAGCATGTCCGCGTCAGAGCGGCCCAGACGATGTCTGAAACGCCACCAGAGCCTTGCGAAGAAGTGAGGACGGCGAATTTATCGAGGTAGGGGACATAGTAGGGTGAATCTGGGGATGGGTTGACGGGAAAGTCGAGTCCATGGAGGGATTTGGGCGTCTCCCATGTGCAGATTGCGCCGCCTTCATAGTCACCCGCTATGATGATGCCGGCAAGACGGCCGCGGATACGATGAAGGTAGTTCTTGGGATGAAGTTTTCGTCGGAATGAGTCATCAATAAGATCGACAAGTTTGGGAAAGTTGATGCGGGGGTCATCTGCTAGCTCTATGCTTGGGTTTGCTGCAGAAGGTGGCTGCCATGGTCCGTGAATTCGCGGGTCTGGTATCATGGTAAGAGGTATGCCTTTTTTGAAGAATGTGGCAGGGTTTGGTGTAGTCGATCCCAAGAAACGAGAAGTTGGTGATGTCGGGAGCGATGAGGATGTCATTGGCTTGTCGGTCAACACGTTGTGCAGCAGAGGATTCTTCGCAGGCGAGGTGCGCGCATCATCGGGTATAGCCTTCCTTGCAGCTTCTAGCGGTGTAAGAACAAGGCCAGATGAGGATGGAGGTAGCAGCTTTAGGCCGCGCTCGAGCACGTCGAGATTCTTCAGATGGCGCATCGGAGCCGAGTTGCTAATCTGCTGTGGCTCTGCGCCTGGTATTGATGCCACTTCTTCCTCGACAAACTTTGAGAATGGATTCCCAGTACCAAGCGATACTGAGTTTTGGGTCTTGTCATCCGGGATTGCTGACGATAGCTGCAGTAGCTCCTTCTTGATGTCGCGATACTCGGCCTCCAGATTGACGAAAACATGGGCGCCATCTGCTCGTTTTTCAGATGGTATGCCACCAAGCGGATCGAGGATGATGATGCGGTCCAAGATAGGCATTTCTACAAGGTCTCTTGTTTTATGCCGTACACCGCCGACTGGGCTATTACTGCCTGTCTGACCGGCGAGGCCAGCAAACTCTCGGACAAGCGCAAGAAGCACGTCGTCTGCTTGAACCCTAACCTTTTTCAGATTTGTGTCGTAGGCGAAGGGCGTGATGACTGGTATGACACCGTCGTCGATGGGTGGGAAGAGTAGGTAGTTGTGCTGAACCTCTACACCTCCCCGCACCTGGACTGTACTGGGCATGTCGTTGGCTGATGGAGTGCAGCCCAGAGCGTCCTCTACCAACAGACCTCCTGGCTCGTTGTATTCTTCCAGCGCTGCCACTAAACGCAAAGCCTGTTCTCTGACCATGTTTCCATATTCCAGCGTGAACTCTGTGTTGTAGGCGCCGGTGTCGTGGTCGCAGTCCAGTACTACGGCGGTACTGAGCCCCAGCTGTGCCATCTGACTCAATGTCAACGCGATATCTCCCAACGTGCGGTCGTCAAGCGTCTGTGGCTGGCGAAGTTTGACAAGTGCCAGATGTGTTGGCTCGTCCTTCTGTTCCGCTTGATACTCCTGTTCCGGGAGCGGCTCGCGCGTAAAGACGGTCGGCTTGTACAAGTCGCCCAAATTGACGCCTGTTCGCAGCGAACCCGACTCGTTGTGTATCTTGTCGCTGACCAGCTCCTTAGCCTTTACTGCGATGGCCGCTTTGCCCTTGTTGGGCGCATCGAATTGCTTCAGAAAGTTGCGCGCATCGCGTTTGCCGGGCGACTCCTTCAGCAGGCGCGTCAGCTGCTGGCGTTCGGCGCGCTGTCGCTCTTTCGCTGAGCTTGACGATTTCCGCACGTAGGGGGCGGACGTGGAGAGACGCGCATGTTGGATCTTTTCGAAGACTTTACCACTGTCATCGCGCTTGGGAAGCTGCTTGTTGTCAGTATGGTTACGAGTACGAATCACTGTGTCGCACGCACCTTGTTTGTAGCCTTCCCCAAGCCCCTCGCGGGGGCTTTGCTCCAGATGAACATGCTTCATGCTACCGTCCAGCCGCTGAACACATCACAGACCGAATTTTCGCAATTGGGAGCTCGGAGCAGACGTATGACTCTGCAATTGTGTGGGGAAGTGCGCCCGCATCCGCATTTTCGAGGGCCCAAACATCGATAACAGCGTGGGAACGTCATTTGCTGGTAACCGACATCGGCCCGTTTGTGTCCTTATCCCCGGGTCTACTGACGGATGACGACGATGAACACCATGACGAAGCGCTTACTCACGGTAGGCAAGATAGAGGCACTGCGTGGTATAAGTTGTTGCACTTGGCATTGTGTCTTCATGACCCGCAAGGACACATCCAGTTCAAATCCCAGAAGGAATTATGGCGCCACAACTCGCTTGGATTGGCCTCGGCAACATGGGCAGGGTAAGTATATACCATTGTCACTCGACATGTCACTAACTTGCAAAGGGCATGTGCAAAGTATGAAGCGTCGGAACCTATCGTGCAGGTTTCATGCTAAATGAATTTCGCAGAACTTGGTTGAGAAGGGCAACCTTGACAAGCCCCTGATTCTATATAACCGAACGAGCTCTCGCTCTGAAAATCTCGCCTCTAAACTTGGTGGTTCCAAGACGAAAGTTGTTGACACCATCAGTGATGCAGTCAAGTCTTCCGACATCATCTTCATGTGTCTGGGTGATGATGCAGCTGTCAACTCTGCTGTTGATGCGATGCTCGAAGCCGGTATTGATGGCAAACTCGTTGTAGATTGCTCTACCGTGCACCCTGACACAACGAATGGACTAGAGAAGAAGATAACGGAGAAAGGTGGTGAATTCGTAGGCATGCCTGGTGCGTTTCACATGTTACTGCACTCAAGCAGCCGATTCTAACATGGTTCCAGTATTCGGCGCCCCAGCCATGGCAGATAACGGCCAACTGGTTTGTGTGTCGGCAGGCTCAAAGGCTTCCTGCGAAAAAGCAGTCCCGTATACAACAGGTGTGATGGGCCGCGCAAACATCGACTTCTCAGGGCAACCAGCAGGAAACGCTACACTGATGAAGGTCATCGGTAACACCTTCATCCTTAACATGGTCTCCCAGCTTTCCGAGGGCCATGTTCTAGCTGAAAAATCTGGACTCGGAGTAGACAACCTCCACACGTTCATCTCCACAATGTTTCCCGGCCCTTACACAGCGTACTCGCAGCGCATGTTGGCAGGTGACTACTACCAGCGCGAGGAACCTCTCTTCCACATTGATCTAGCGAGAAAGGATGCAAGACATGCCATGTCACTGGCGGAAAGCAGTGGCGCGAAGGAAAGCATGAAGATGCTGAAATTAGCGCAGGGAAGGTTGGACGGTGTGAAGAGTGAGATCGGCGATAAAGGAGATATCCCGAGTGTGTATGGAGTTGTGAGGAAGGAGAGCGGATTGGACTTCAAGAACAAGGGTTAGAGGGGTAAATCTTCAATGGCATTTCTAGAATATTGAGATGATCATCCCCATATGATGGCGTCGCAACGTTTGTGCTTGCACTAAGGCTCGCCCAAGCGCCCTGCCGTCCCTACGAGCATGGTAATGGCGATCTGAACTCGACTTACTTTCCACAGTCACAGCAGACGCATATGTATTTCAGCCTGCGGCTTTTCAACGCGGCTTAAACATGACGCGACATGGCTGATCACTACCCGATGCAACCTCTCTCGATGCACGTCGTCGGTCTAACTACGCCGAGGATGCATCATCTGTCAGAACATTCTCCCACCGTCGCATCACGCTAGTCTTCTCAGCGTTAAAATCCCCAGGTTTTACCCCAGCTTCTCCCCTCCCCACTCACTTGATGAGGTCAAGCTTCGCCTTGGCTGCAACGGCGGGCTCAAAAAATCAACCTCTGGGATGTAGCCTCTTGTGACGAAACCTGGTAGCCATGCACATGGCCTGGCAACCGATAACCTTGCCGCTACCTCACGTGGGTGAGAGGTACTTGAAAGGCCTCGAGACCCTGCAGCTTCTCCACGTTGCGACTGCCCCAACTTCACTACTCTGTTTAACCCAACTTTCATGCTCGCTTCTTCCGTCCAATTCACGACGTGATCAACATTGCCAACTTACCTATCGTTAGGCGGTATTCCTATCGCATCACGAGCACAACATGGGTTTCCTCCGGAGGCCTACACTGCGCAGTCGCGACGATCAGAGGACGCGCGCTGCTGAACTCACTTTGCGCGAGTCCATTTATCCGCTCTGCCTCGTCACCATTCTTTTCTTTCTCTGGGTGAGCCATGGCAGCGCACTACGCAATGAAAGCAATTGACTCATCACTACCCAGGGTTTCTCGTATGGTCTCATTGATACCTTGAACAAGCACTTCCAGGAGGTCCTTGGTATAACCCGCGCTCGCTCGTCCGGCTTGCAGGCAGCATACTTCGGCGCATACCCACTTGCTTCACTCGGACATGCCAACTGGCTACTGCGCCACTGGGGTTACAAAGCCACCTTTATCTGGGGACTGTGCCTGTATGGTCTGGGTTCTCTGCTCGCGTGGCCATGCCTCGTATACCGTTCGTTTGGCGGCTTCTGCGTAGCTATCTTCGTGATCGGCAATGGACTAGGTTCGCTAGAGACAGCAGCGAACCCCTACCTAGCTGGTACGTATTCATCGCTGAGACGTCCTATTCTGTACTGACAGCGGTAGTCTGCGGGCCGCCCAAATATTCTGAAATCAGAATCAACATCGCGCAAGCCTTCAACGGTATTGGCACTGTGGTCGCGCCAGTTCTTGGGTCCTATGTCTTCTTCAACCACGTGGGAACCGATCAAGCATCCCTTGAAAATGTGCAATGGACATATCTCGGTATCGCATGTTTCGTCTTTGCCCTTGCGATTTTGTATTACTTTACAGAAATTCCTGAGATCACTGGTAGGTTGCTCCATGGATCAGACATGAAAAGCCGCTAATGTTCTGCAGATGCCGACATGGCTTTCCAGGCTGAGAGTACCCATGCAGGTACTGACGTGAAGCCTTTCCACAAGCAATACCGCTTGTTCCATGCGACCTTTGCTCAGTTCTGCTACACCGGAGCGCAGGTAGCTATAGCTGGAGCGTTCATCAACTACGTGGTAGAGACGCGAGTTACATCCAGCGGCGAAACAGACAGCCCGACAGCAGCCCGTTTCCTCGCTGGTGCACAGGGCGGTTTCACCGTGGGCAGATTCGTGGGTAGTGCCCTCATGAAGTTTGTCAAACCGCGATGGGTATTCCTCGTCTTCATGACGATGTGCATCGTCTTCGTTATCCCAGCTATTACCGAGCGAGGCAATACTGGTATGAGCATGCTCTACATGGTACTCTTCTTCGAAAGTATCATCTTCCCGACGATCGTTGCGCTCGGCATGCGCGGACTGGGCAAGTATTCCAAGCGTGGCTCAGGTTTCATCGTGGCTGGTGTCTCTGGTGGTGCTGTCGTACCTCCGCTGCTATTTGGCGCCAGTGACACGCTCGGAAAGGCAAGGCCTTTTGAAGGATATTCGCCAACTGCCATTGCGATGACTGTTCCACTAGCGTTCTTTGTCGCAGCATGGAGCTACTCTTTCTGCGTCAACTTCGTGCCGGCCTACCGTAATGTGGCAGATAAGTTCTCGACGGCTGAGATCGGCATCAACAATGCGCATGCGAATGATCCGGAGAGTCAGATGGAGCAGACGGATGGCGGGGTACTTGGTAAGAACGAGTCGCCAGCACATACCGAGGCGGTGGACCTGGACAGGAAGACATAGGATGATTCTCTTGTCGAGCTGGATGAGACGGAGAAGACGGAATTAGCTGTGAAGGCTGCTGATTGCGAAGGAGTAGAAACTGAGACTGCGAGGAGGCATAGCTATCCATGAGGTCTTGAGATGATGACACATGAGAAAGACTGAAATGAAAAGCATTACATTCATGTCTACTGCTCCAATCCGATGCAAACGAACGAATACGAGAAGGATGTGCTGACAGGAGACGGCACCGGGAATAGACTTGGCCGCGACAGCTTGGCGCTAGAATAAAGTGAGGCGCATGCATGTTCCCGTATTGCGAGGACGTGTATGTACCCCACCATTCGCTCGCAAGCAGGGCTGTATTGGTGGTAAGCTAACATTAGTAGTGATGACGACGGAGGCGTGCGTAATGTACTCGGTGTCAGGGTGGCAAATATCATGGTGCCAGTGCATTGAGGTTGGCCTGCATACTCGTCGTGGTATGTCAAAGGGACGATCTCAAGTCGCGCACGTCTCACGGCGAGGCGGAGCAGTTGAGCGTCTGCCGTGATAGCCGTGTGGTGTGCGTGATGTAATTTTTGGATGGTCCCTGGAGATCGTGGTCAAGGGTCCTGATCGGCGACTGCAGGGTATCATGACCCGGCCACTGCAAAGTCGAAGCAGCAGGCGGCAGGAGCACAATGTACATGGGAAACTTCGTAGTGACGCGTATTGGCGTATAGCTGGCAGTTGAGTCCGTCGACTCGGGGCGGGCACGGACTTCTCCACCGTCCCGTTAGTGAGGGTTCGTTAGCACAGCCCGCTGGAGAGGTGCAGGTGCCGAGCAGCCGTAGCCGTGCCTGGAGTGACGCGGGCCTCAGTACACAATCACAGTCTCACGTCGTTGTGTCCACCACCAGGTCATGTCGACTGTCTCTCGCTGCGCCGACTGTTCCCTCCCGCAGATTTAGATCGCAACCACGAAGAATGCGGCCGTCATGGACAGAAAGGCGCTCCTCTTCCCGTGGTAAGCCCAAAACTAGGCTACCAGCACCCACAGTAGCTGACAGACAATAGCGGCCTCGTCTTAGCATCCGGTTACTTGAGCACTGCAACCCCCGTCGACTACTCCTTCGCCTTTGACAAGCCGCTGCACACGGTCGCCGTCGTCTTGCTGCTGACTGGCCTCGCCATTGTCGCAATTGAGGCCTGGTCGTCGCGCAGTAGCCAGCCGCCGCCGCCGACAAGATATATCGCCATAGCGCTGAACCAGGTCCAGAGCAGACATGCCGCCGAAGAGATATGGACAGAGGCAGGCCAGCCAGGGAGACGGCGAGGCTGGAGTGTGAGGGCGGTTGGTGTCCTGCTGGCCGTCTTGTTGTTCGCAATCTGCGGCCGCATAGCCATCTTCTACCGCGTTACCAAAGACGTCGAGTGCAGTGGTCCTTCTGCATTAGTATGCATGTCCCAGCCATTGCGCGACCCGTACTGACCAACTCAGGCATTTCTCCCTCTCGTCGCCGCCCTCTACCACAGCATTCGTCACCCTAGCCAGCGACAATACCCCGCCTGGAGTGCTGACACGCGCCCACGCACCCAGCTCGACTCCGTCTACAGCTTCATCTTCAATGGCTCCACACGCTACATCATTCCTTCGTTCCTGCTCTCCGTCAGCAGCTTCCTCGTCATCATCAAGTCCAGCGCATTGCGCTCGACCTTTATCTGCCCCATCGCAGACTCGACAGCGACTACAATACCTTCCCTTCAATTCTTTGCCTTCTTGCTCGACAGTGTCATTGTCCAGATCTCATACCGTCTGATCGACGATGGCATCTCCGACGCCGACGACTCGACTATCCACCTCCAGGATGGTACCTCGAATCACCTGCTAGTTGGCTTGACACTTACTGTATGCCCATCACCATTCTACACCACTGCACATCTGACTCCCAACAGGCATCTTCTTTAGTCCTTCTTGTCGCAGGCATCATCATATACCCCGCCATGCCCGAGCATCGCGAGTGGATGCTCTCATTTCCGTCTGAATATCTCCTTGGTCTTTTGCGTTTATCGTTGATGATACCCTTTATGACGTTATGTTTTCTCAAATCGGTAGGTTGCCATGGCCCCTCTTGTCACCATCTCACTGACCACACAGGCTCGATTGTACGGCGTTATGAGCGCATTGCTCCTGGCCGCATTTTCCTCTGCATATATCGGCCTTCTTCGAGCCCTAGGCACCGGCGTTTCCTACTCGTTTCCACCAAAACCCACCGTTGGACTTGTTTTGTGTTTGACTTTACTCACCATTGCGCTCATCCTTTATCTCGTCACAGATACCAACATCGAAACCCGCATACGATCAAAAGTGCCGGTTCGTCTGGGCAGGAACCAGTCGGCCGGTTTCATCGTATTGCTGATCGCCTTCTCCATCGGTGTCGTTGTATATCGCCGGCACGGTCCTGTTCTCGAGCACCCCATCACTACTCTGATCGACGTTGCGGCAGTCCAACACGAACGATGGGCATCGCAGGCTTACCGGAGTCGATCTCTCACTGAGGCTGTTGTAAACTACCGGCAACGCTATCATCGCGACCCCCCACCCAATTTTGACAAGTGGTATCACTTCGCTATCAGCCGAAATTCCATCATAATCGACGACTACGACAATATCGAAAAAGACCTGGCACCCTTCTCGTCTTTCAACGCCGACGACCTTCGACTACGTACTGCTACCGTCCTGGCCACGCATGAAGGGGTGGGTGGGATTCGCATAAGAGACGGGAAGGTGGAGGTGTTCAACAATGTACCCGATACGCACCGTTGGATGATGGATGGTGCGGCGACCATGATACAGCGATTTGCTCAATCCCTTCCTGATATGGACCTCGCATTGAACCTGAATGATGAGAGTCGTGTCGCTGTACCGTACGAACGTTTACAGGATGCACTGGATAACCCGCAACCGTACCCTACACCGGAGCCTTCTCGTCCTACGAAGGATTTCAGTGCTAATCGTGCGGAAAAGTGGCCGGATGTTGACCGCGTGCGATCGGATCCACATTTCTTCAGCGACGCTCGCATCAAGTCCTCGTTTGAGACATACGGATCCGTCGCCTGCCCACCCGAATCGCGCGCGCGGAGAGAACGCCATTGGTATACAAAATCGTTTTGCCACACCTGTACTCAACGTCACTCGATGGGCGCCTTCATAGCGAATTGGAGTCTCTCGTCTGAGCCCTGTCATCAGCCGGATATCGCCAATCTGCATGGCATGCATCTCAGTCCAGCTAGCCTGATGGGTACTCATGACATGGTACCAATCTTTAGTCAGAGCCGCGCTCCAGGTTATGCCGATATCAGATACCCATCGCCGTGGAACTATATGGAAAAGACCAAGTATGGATTTGATGAAAAGTTTCCTGATCCTCACTTCCAAGATAAGGTAGATGTCCTTTTCTGGCGCGGGACGACCACTGAGGGCGTGACCACGCAAGGCACCTGGAAAGGTATGCTTCGCCAGCGACTTGTGCATCTGATGAACAATGAAACTTCCCGCCAACCGATCCTCCTCCCGAAACCTGACCATAGCGGCCATCTAGAATACATGCTGAAACGCACGAGCGACATCAAAAAACTTCTCGAGACTAAGACTGATGTGCGCTTTGTCGGTCCGATCGCGCGCTGCGCAGGGCAAGACTGCACCGGCCAGACACGCGAGTTCGGCTTTGGTGATCCTATCGATTTCAAACAACACTGGCGCTACCGATACTTGTTCGATACTGATGGCGCTGGCTTTTCTGGTCGGTTTATTCCCTTTCTACAGTCCAACTCTGTCGTCTTCAAAGCTGCCCTCTTCCGTGAATGGTACGAAGGCCGTCTCACAGCTTGGAAACATTTCGTTCCTGTGGACCTCCGCTTGCACGACCTCTTCTCTTCACTCGCCTACTTTGGCGGATACGGTGTTGAGGCAAGGAACAAACGCATGATGGAGGGCCAAATCAAGGCAGCGGAGAAGATTGCACGTGATGGCAAAGTGTGGACTGAAAAGGTGCTGAGGAAAGAGGATATGGAGGTTTACATGTTCAGGCTCTTGCTTGAGTGGGGGAGGCTGACAGATGATGCGAGGACTGAAGTAGGCTTTCGTATAGAGAAGGGGAAAACGAGTGCTAGTGAGAGGATGAGTAGTGTCCAGCGAGAGGTGGAAGAGTTGTGACATCGTATCTAAGCCAGGCATTTAGACAATGGCGTTTCCGGTGGGATAGCATTGCATGGCGTACACTCCCATTCGGAGCACAATTGGTGAAATTTCTGTCACTCACGAGCCGCTCATATATGTATTTTGTTGTGTTGGTGACCAACGTCATCGTCTCTCTGCTAGCCAAAGCTAGTTGCGTGGCCCGATCCATAGACCGCTTTACGACAGACCATATTAAGTGCTCATCTCTGCCTCCAATGCGTCTTCTTTCTCTCCTAACAAATTCTTCTGTCTTGATGTGCCAAAACATACATTGCGCAAACTTCATGGACTGAACCCTATCTCCAAATCGCAAACTGAAATGTACATGAGTTGGCCTGTTGGAAGGCTTTCTCTCCATACAAGAAATACGGACAACTTGTGACTCATAGGCTACTGGAAACCTGAAACCCTAAGATCTTAATAACCCGGGAGCCAGTCCTATGCTTGCCAGCTGCGGTCTCTCTTGATACGAGAATTCTGGGGTTTCAATAAGCCGGCATGTACCGTAGTGCGTTTGCGCGAGAGCACAATACAACAGTCCCTGGCTGTACTTTTCTCCTCTCTGCGAACTGTTTCTCAAAGATAACGAAAATTGACGAATCAAAAACAGATGGAGCGCGTGGGAGTGGCTGTACAAAATCGAACTTTTTTGGGCTCCGGGTGTGCTGTCGTTCGCTCGCTCTGCTGCAGAGAAGGGAACCGTATGTTTGGTATATTGCTGCAGCTTTGTCTTCTCTTTTCTTATTAAAGAAAGGTTGATGTGCTCCAAAAAGTAAACGCCAGCAACTCATGGAGTTTGCTTCTCAAGAGCGCAACGCAGCGAATCACATGTGCTGTGCCGAACTGAGGGGTGCGTGTTGAGAATTATTCTCGTGCTCGTTGGAATATTTTGCTACAAGATACGATTCGGGAGATGAAGAGAATACGAAAAGACACATCTTTATGCCCATGTCCTGTTGCAGCATGGCCTTACCTCCGAAGAAAGCACCACGTAGTATCACTATGTGCGTAATCCCTCTCCTCTTCTCAAACATGCTTTTGCTCAAACATGTTGGTAAATCACGGCTATTCTGCCGGATGCCACAAGCAAAGAGACCTTTCTCTCTGCGTTTCTCCGTTCAGCAAGATCTATCACTCTCTATCACCAACTAAGTAGAGAGATTGCCATGACCCTCTGGCTCCTTTTGACGTGTGGTGGGCGAGATCTCTACCTCACTGAGAACGTCTTTGCACCCAAAAAATCAGGCCGTTCCAGCATGTGGATGTACTTGCTCATAGAAAAGCAGAGAATTGGCTCGCTTTATCCATATGACCTGCTTGACATTCAATACGACAAGGAAGTCGGGAGACTTGCAAGGAGCAATAGTGTATTCTGTAGTGTATATAAAAAGATCTTTCGCCTATCCAACTCATCCTTCATACCAACCAATTCTTTTGTGAGTTTATCAAAATCGAATCAACTGATTTCTATGTGTCCGTCTGGTTCCGTTCTACAAAAGGTGGTCAGAACGCAATACGTGACGTCTCACACGCCCAGGTCGCTAATTCAAATTCTCCATGCAGTCACTTCGCCCACGATTATCACGATTATTTCGATTGATTGGTTCTTTACACCTAGCTGATCTGCTGCACCCCCAAAGGCTCAACGATTGACTTCCATGTTGATTCACTGTTCCTGTCAACAGCTAAGGACATAAAGTTGTTTACTCATGTTCGATACGGCCAGTGAAAGAAAGGTATCTAGAGTGTAGTAGTCTTCAAAATTGGCTGCTTCATGACGTCGTACTCGCCTTCTTTTATGAACATCCTGTACCTTCCCGGTATCTCAAATGATCGCATTCATGAGTGAGAATTCTAACCTTTTGCGAAGAAGCAGTCGAGGAATCTGCAGCACTGTTATGCAGAACTGGCAGCCGAAGAGATGATTTGGGGATAAAACCATGGAGGAATAATGAGCATGATCAAAGATAGTCCACATTACAATGAACGGTCATGTGTCATAGTTGGGTGCAGTTCTCCGTAATTAATACTTCATACTTCTCATCCCCCTCTTATGACTGGGGCTGTCCATCCAAGTCTCTTTGAATTGTTCTTCTCCATCATCATCTTGATCCACATCTCCCAGATCAATACCAGTGACACCATCCGGATCCTCATCATCAAACTCCTCTTGCCCACCAGCAGCACCATCTGGACTCCAAACCGGACTCGTAGCAATCCTCGGTCTAGATTTGAACACCCTGTCATAGTCTATCTCGTCGCTAAACAACTGCTCTGTCGGCGTACGCTCAATACTTTCCGACTTGGCCTGCTCCAGGCTTTCGAAGGATTTACGAGTCCGTGGCGTATCGAACTGGTTGACAGGGAACAGGGATGAGCGGCTGGACTTGCGTTTCTCTTTCTTTGCTGTGTCCGTCTCGGATGGGCGGGATCTCGATTGCATAGCCTCCATAGTTTGTCGGGTGCGCTCTGCCAGTGTTGCACGTCGGTCGCCATCTTCATCTCCCGTGATGGAGGGGATCGCAGGCGGGCCCATAGACGGAAGCGGCAGATCTGGCGACTCTGGAACAGACTCATAGGATTGACTTCGCGCCATTGTCATGCGTGTACGTTCGATGAGCGAGAGGGACATGCGTGGTTGGGGTTTCTTGACTGGAGATGGGGTTGCATTACCGATAGAGTTGATGATCTGGTCCGCAAGTGCCTCTTCGGCATCGACTTCTGGTGGGTCAAAGGTTGGGATTGGCGGTTCAGAGGTACGTTCCGGTGAGGCTTTAGACAGATCATCTGGTGATTCTGTTCTTTGCTCAGAGTGATCAGTAATGGTAGGCTCTGGGGAACGAGTCCCGTCAGCTGGCTCGGAAGCTGGAGGTACAGTCGCTGATACTGGTGTGCTTTCTTGATCAATTTCCGTTGGCGAATCATCACGGTAGTTAATCGTGGCATTCGATGCCGATGTATTGCCGATGAGCGTAGCCTCAGAATCTGCGGATGGTGTTGCAGCCGATGCGAGGTGTCGTGATGGTCGAGGCAGGATCGGAATTTGGTCCAAAGAGTTTGGTCTTGAAGGCGACTGTAGTTTGACAGGCTTGGCTGGAACTATTGGCGCCTTTCGTATCGCCTCCGTCTGGGTGGATTTTCTGGTGAGTAGGGGCGGACGAGCCGTCTTTACCGATGAGGTACTTCTATGATGTATGATTGAAGGTCTGACACTAGCCCTGACTGTGACAGCGCGAGCCAGCTCACTGTCCATGTGGGATAGAATGTCCTGGAACTCCGCTCGCATAGCCGGTCGCCTTATTCTTGCGGACTCCATCGCATGCTTCGCTGATGGCAGCTGGTACTGTGAGTGATCGTCGAACATAAAATCCTTTGCTTTCGCGGCTGTCTGTCCGCTTCCCGATGTCTCCTTGCCGGATTCATCCTTTTGTAGCTCTTCATGGAAAGCCTTCCACTTTTGCAATCTCTCTTGTTGCTCATGCACTCTCGCCTGTAGATCTTCAAGTAGTCCAGTCTCAGGCGCGACCTCGTCCAGCTTCCGGCCATTTTCTACCATGTGCCAGACTTTGTCAAAACGACTGGTAAGGAATGCATCCTCCGCTTGGACATTGTCACCGCGCAGCATTACATCTAACCACTTCTGGTTCCCAATCCAGTTGTCCTTGAGTTGCTTCTTGACGGCATTGGCTTCTTTCTGTGACACGGCCGGTTTCTGTGGGTGGGGTGTGTCTTTGGTCTTGCGTATGCGGCGATTTACATCTTCAGCTTTCTTATCCAAAAGGCCATGGAACTCCATGTATTGCTTCCTCTTCTCTTCTTTCCGTCTCAGCACATTGACTAGGGACGCTTTGTGTGCGATTGCGAGAGGCAGTAATGAACGTTGCTGTTCGCTCGAGAGCATCGTCGCTGTCGCCAGTCTTCTCGCGACTGCAGCATCTATATGGCCTGCATCCCGCGCTGCGAGAACTTTCTTGAGGACGGCATTGGAGAAGATGGCCAATATCTCGTAGAACTTGTCGCCCTTGCACTCGTCCAACATAGTCTTTCTGAGCACAGACTCTCGTCCCAGGACACCGTTTTTCTTCAATTCGTTCAGACATCGGAATAGCGCAGCGCGGAGGTTCAACGATTGGAGGGGTTCGAGTGGTGGAAAGAAGGGTTGGAGTTTCTACAGCCAGGTCAACCACATGTTAGTAACCAGTTTCGTCCGAACGTACTTGGGCCGTCTCATTGGCATCCCAGATCTCGAACAAGCGAAACAAGGCCCATTCAGTCCCACCAATCCTCTGTCGCTGGTCTGCATTCTTGGCAGAGAAAGTCTGTACTGTGATGCCGGGCCAGTCGTCTCGCAAATCGAAATCCAGTAATCGCAAGTTGGTCACGAAGAGTCTAATATCCGGCGTAGATATGGGGTTCACGACTTGGGGTTTGGGGATTGACTTGACCGACAAGGTACGCGAATGACCGTTTGCTGTGGCCGTGGTGGCCGTAGAGGCGGTTGACGGCGGGCGAGACATGGTTGCGATCGCAGTGCATACATCCGCGCAGTGTTCCTTGTAGAGAATGCTGAGGCTCGAGCTGCAGGCGTGGTGTTGCGGTGTGACGGTGTGACGGACCCTTGCGTTGTTTGCCAAGGCGGGAGCAATCGATAAACCCCGTTTGTCCCACCATCCTTCTCTTGCCAAACAGTCACCGTTGATACATCACTCGCACACATAATTGCGCCTCTATAAACACACGTCCTTGCAGTCTCTAATTGTAACATCAAATAACCATGACTGTGGACGAGGCAACCCAGGTCAATGGCGTGCCCGACACCAACGCCGGCGTACTTGACGCCAACAAAGTAAAGCAGAGTGATTGGTCAGTCGAGAGCGGTATGTCATGAACAGGCGATAGTTCGTCCGTATGCGACACCTCTCTTACTCCTCATTTGTCTTCTTCATCGCATGACTAACGCGCTCTGTAGTCCTTGCAGAAAACAACCTCCGCTACGCTGAGAACACCGACTCGCCCGTCCCCTTCTTCCACCTTCTCGAACGCTTAAAGACTACCAAACGCGCAGGATGGCAGCGCTTCCACATTGGAGACGGCGAATCTATATCCGACCACATGTACCGCATGAGCATCCTCACCATGATGGCGCCCGCGTCTCTGAGCTCGAAACTTGATATTGCCAGATGCTGCCGCATGGCTGTTATCCACGACATGGCTGAGGCGCTTGTTGGTGACATCACACCTGTAGACGGAGTTTCCAAGGAGGAGAAGAGCAGGAGAGAAGCCGAGACAATGGACTACATCTGTACCACCCTGCTGGGCAAGTTCAACGGGGGACTCAACGGCCAGGACATTAGGGCGATATGGCAGGAATATGAAGACAGCAAAACTCCTGAATCTCTCTTCGTACACGACATCGACAAGATCGAGCTTTTGGTTCAAATGGTAGAATACGAACGCAAATCAAACTGCGAGCGAGACCTAGGAGAGTTCCAGTGGGTCGCAGGACGCATCAAGAGCGAGGAGGTCCAAGCATGGGCACAGCAGATCTTCCGAGAAAGGGAACAGATGTGGAAAGATGCTGGTAAGACACCGAAGCCTCGCGAGGAATACGAGAGGTCATAGGCTACGATAGAGTCTGGGCACGGAGCATCCATGTCTCAATATCAACGGACTCACGCACTGGCGTATTTCACCAAGTACAACGACAACGTTTTTGTAGACGGTTTTGCATTTGTAGACTATATACTTTGGCATGTATACTCGTGTCTTTGTGCAAGCGTGATGGGTTCGCTACTCATAGAATCGTGGTCATCATTCCAACACCCTTGCGCCCTACAGACCAAGGACTCGATAAGTCAAGAACTGGACAAACTTATCAATCTCCTCTTTTTCACCTCCCTAGTCGGCGTTCCCGCAAGTCCCGGCGTCCCGACAACCCCTACATCTCCAGCATGATAGTCATCCTTGCTATGTCCACCATCCCCACTTATACTCTTCTTGGCACCTTTCACTCCAGTCCTGCCATACTCACCTTTCCTAATCTTATTACCGGACCTGCGTCCATGCCAGTAACACAAGCCGGCACTCGGCCCCCTATACTTTGCATGCAGAGGGCACAAAGGGCTATCGGGAAGATGTTCAGGGACGAGCCATTCAAACTTACGGCGTTCTTCTTCTTCTTGTCGGGCAAGCGCTGTGAGAGTGCGTTCGTCTGGTGTATCAGGGAAGTGTGACTGGTGAATACGATACCAGCCATCATGGCCCAGCATCGGAGACGTTGCTGCTAGAGAAGGGCTGGCTGGTGGTTTGACGCTGAGGTAACTGGAGCTATTTCCTTGGACATTGCTCACAATGGCTGTAAGTCCAGGTGTGCCATTTGGTTCAAAATCTACAGATGTGTGCACGAAATCGCTACGTGGGCCTTCAGGGCCTTCGTCTTCATCATTGTCTTCGTGGTTGTCGATGTCGCTTGACAGGCTCATGAGCAAAGCATCAGAGTCCCAGTAGCCTCCCGGACTAGGTTTGATTTTGGTGCGAACATTCATAGCGCCGCCACCTTGTGCATCGAAGAAGAAGTTTGCCAACTTGCCCTTCACTTCACCATTGGCGTCGAAAATGGGCGGAGTCGGTACACGCTGAACGCCCGGTGGGATGAAAGCAGGTGGGACAGGTATATGTGCGAGGGACGTTGATGGAGGCACATTTTTGCCGCGACTAGGGTGGACCGAAGATGGGGCTTGCAGTTTGCTCACTTCTGCATCCGTCTGGTCCGAGATTCTGTTTGACCGTCTGAATGGGTTCATTGAGAAGCGACGACTTGGAGGCTCTACAGGTCTAGGAGAACAAGGAGCATCCTCACTAGAGGCTTTACCCAACCAATACCAGCGCCGTGAGCGACTTGTCTTGGACTCACTAGCAATTTTTCGCAGCTCTGATCTCGTTTGAGTTTGGTGTTCTTGATAAATTCTCTCTTCTGCTGGGGTCCAACTACTGTCCGGTGTCCGAGCTAGAGTTGAATCGCTTGCACTAGTGCCACTCTTGTCACTTATGCCACTTCTCGTTCTCTTGGACTTTGGAAGGCTGATGTAACACCGATCCCTCACTCTCGCCGGCGGTCGTTCGAATTTTGGGCTTTGCGAAGAGAAGAGCGTGTTGGTATCAGGTGAAAGACCTATGCCACCATAGTTGTCGTTCCTCGGCGCTGAGGTGTTGTCGCGAATGTAATCCTCCTCGAAAATTGGCGCAGACTTGGTCATCATGGCTGGTTCCCACTGTGGCTGCTCTTTCCGGACCCATGGCGTTTTGGGATTTCTCGAGCGTGGAGCACCAAGGCTGCCCATCATATCGACAGGTAAGCGACCGCGAGCGGGTAGATCTAGCATTTGTGCTGGCATGGAGAGATCGAGGTTGACCTTCCTGCGGTCTCGGAGTCCGCCTTTCGACGTCGAGTGAGGGGTTGGCGGTGTAGTCGCATTATTCACTGCTGTTGGGGGAGTATCCACAGACGTCGATGGCTCCTCGATTACAACGGATGGCTTTGAGCCTTTCTCATATGACTCTTTCGACTTGACAAGCGGAAGTGGTGCGAAGGATAGCACACGATCTTTCTTGTGCAGCTTCATGGAAGCTCCATCACCGGAGTCTCGTCGCTGCTGGTCTTCTTTGCTTTCTTGAGGACGTGGCATTCTCAAGTTGGGCACATGCTGTACGATGCCTTTGGCGAAAGCCGCTATGGAAGATCTTCTGTTATCGCGAACATAAGAATCACTAGTTTCCACAGACGTAGAAATGGAAGCGGCTGGACAGGTAATCCCAGAAGCGTGTGACTCTATGCTATCCATATGACGAAGCTTAATGTTTTGAAGATCATCTGCATCGTCGATGGTCGTTCTGCGAATGATTTCGTCTAGTGGTGGAGGTGAACTTTGTCGTTCTTGTTCCATCGGCATCTGGTAACGACTATGCCTCCTCTCATCTTCGAGGCTTGGTTGTTGGCCCCAAGCAAACCCCTCCCGTCTGGTCACTTGTCTTGGAGTGAGTCCTTCATCTTCCCCTGCCGTTTCTGTGCCAGTAATCTGGTCGGCATGCTCTTGGACTGAAGTGTAGTGTCTGGTGAGAGAAGTCGGCGAACTCGGGCCCAAGACGCTGTCGAGATCGTGAGCAGAGGATGCGAATAGCCCTGATACTTCCGGAGTGTTGATGGAGGAATGCGCGGAGGTATCGCTTGCAAGGGCCCTAATCAATGGCGCCGACAGCATGGGTGGGCCTGCGGTAGATGCCGCTAGTGCAGACGGGACGCAAGCGTGCCCGATCGGTAGAGCATTCAGCTGAGGATATGTCCGTCAGTGGTTTCGTCGATAAAGCCAATAGGTATGTCGTAGATGTGTGCGCAGAAAAAATAGGTAACGCGCGATGGTAGGAAACATGGTGCTGTTCAGTCTTGGGATGTAGAGAAAGCCTGTACCTTCAGTTCCCGCATCGGGAAGGAGACATGGACGACAAGACATGTAACGAGGAAGCGGCCAGTAGAGCCAGGGATGCGCATACCCAACTTCCCAACTAGGCTACTAGTTTCATAAACAAGACTCCGCCAACACCATCATATGCAAGCCTATACCGATAGCATCCCAAACTGCAATCCAACCCATGCGCACCGGGTATCCAAAGCATGCCTCATAACGCATTACAAAAACATCAACGACTATCCAGACCCTGATGTGGCTTGTACCACACTTGTGCCGTCGACAAACCGTGTACGGAATATACGGTTTGCATTCTGGAACATGCCGTCCTTCAAACTGACGACGATGAATTGCGATCCCTTGAAGCGAGTTTTGAACAGACGACCGATATTTTGTGTGTGGGACAGGTCCAGCGCAGCATCAACTTCGTCCAGAATGTACATCGGCGCAGGCTTGAACTGGAGAAGAGCCATGATAAGAGATAGTGCGATAAGTGACCTAAGAGATGTTAGCGCATGCGTTTCGGGGGAGTACGGGCGGACGCATACCTTTGACCACCACTTAGCTCTGTTAGTGACTGCTTCCACACCTTTCCCAGCATAACTTTGACTTCCAGACCATCAGAAATTGTCTTGCCCTCGGGAGGATCCAGCTTTGCGAAACTGCCTGGTAGCAGTTCGTTGAAGATTTGGCCGAAATCGCGGTTGACAATCGTCCATGTCTTGTGGAGCGCCTCTTTCTTATACTCGTCAAGCTTGACGATAGTCTCCTCGATCTTGGATTTATCGCGGATGACCGTCTGCATATTCTTCTTGAGACTCGCCTCTTTCTTCTCGACATTGTCAATCATAGCCATGACCTTCGGGTTAATTTTGTTCTTCTTCTGCTGGAAGTGTTCTTCCAACGACTTTCGCCTGATCTTTGCGTCGTTCATGTTCACGCCCTTGAAGTCATAAACTGTTCCGGTACGTCCAAAGAGCTCCGCATCATTTGCGATGAATTCGTATTCCTTTTCAAGCGCCTTGACATGACTAGCAGCACCTTCTTGTTCTTTGTGGAACCTCTCGATCTCGTGACCGAGCTTCTGTTGTTCCAGGCCACCCTCAGTGATGGATGAGTTCTTTGATCTGATGGCGTCTTCGAGCGAACGAAGCTCTTCATCGAAGCCAGTCAATTTCGCTTGTTCGTCCCTCAGATGGGCTGCAGCTAAGTCGTGTGCGTCCTAGCAATGTCAGTATTGACAAAAACATCACGCTGAGAAAACCTACCTGGACACGAGATTGTTCAGCCAACAACTCGTCCATCTCTGCTTGTTGAGATTGCAGGGTGGTCTGAACCTCCTCCAGCTGCTCTTGTGCTGCCGCAAGGTCGCTACCGCATTGCTCAGATTCGACCATGGCTTCGCGCATCTCGGTCTGCAGTGGCTTGATGGAAGCGCTATTTTTGTTCAAAGACTTTTTGAGCTTGTCAAGTGATGACTGCAGTTCGGCGAGTTTGCTGTCCTTGTTATTGCTGAACTCGCTCATGTCGCGCTCGATGCGCTTCACGTCCTTGTTAGCTTCCTCTTGTCGAGATTTCGCCGCCTTGATGTCTTCCTTGAGCTGAGCGATGGTCTGCTTCATTTCTTCTACCGCTTGGATGATCTAGTACAGAATCAGCGATAGTTTTACACTTCAGTGTCAGGCTTGACATACCGATGACGAGGAGTTGCTGCCAATCTGCTCCTCGGTGAGCTTGATCTCATGCCTTTTCAGGTCGAGCTCCTGCTTCGACTTGCGTGCGGCATCCAACTTTTTCTTCTCCTTAGCCATAGTATCCTGCAAAGACCGGAGCTGGGACTCTTGCGAACCAAGCTCTGTCGTAATTTCGTTAAGCTTTTGAAGAGTGATGAGAACTCCACTAGATTGAGGCGCGCTACCACCAGACAACACACCAGCAGGGTCATAAGTATCTCCTTGTAGAGTGACACTCTTCATGCGCACTGCGGGATCAAAAGTCACCCGCTTAGCGGTCTCGGCGTCCTCACAAACAAGTGTTGATCCGAAAACGTACTCCATGGCGGCGTTGACCTCGTGCTCGTATCCAATCAGCGACAAAGCCAGATCAACTTTGCCTGGTGCAATCTTTTGAGCTGCTCCAATCTTCTCCGCCGACGCTTTAAATGCCGCGATCTTGTTGAGCGGAATGATTGTCACGCGCTTCTTCAGCCGGCCGTTCTCGAGAAGCTGCTTACCAGTAGCAGCCGAGTCGACAACGACGTTGTACAGCCGGCCACCAGCACAAATTTCCAAAGCTGTACCTGCCCTGGTGTGTTCCTTCTCGAGGGTGAAGAGTTGGGCGACAAGACCCTTTACACGAGATCGGTCAAAGTTCGGGGAGGGGTCGCTGTAGCTGAAGTCGATGTTTGCAACTTGTCGCCTCATGCCGTCGGCTTGCTGTCGGAGTTCCCGTATACGTGCTTGAAGATGCGATTCTTGTTGGTACATGTCCGCCTCTTGACCTTCGTTGTAGCCTAACTTCGCCAGATCCGCCTCTAGCTTCTTGGCTTGGGATTTTAATGCCTCGAGGTCTTTGAGAAGTCCAGAATTTTGTTCTTTTGCCTTCTTCGCTTTGGGCTCATCCTCCTTGATCTGCTTTTCGAGATGCGATATTCTGAGCTTGCTTTGCTCTTGCTCGGTGGCAGCTGCGCTCGCTCGGTTTCTGGCATCTTGCAGTTGGCCCTGATAGCCGCCTTCTTGACCTTCCTTGGACGCCACACCGGTTTGTAGGGTTTGTAGAAGTTCTTCTTTCTTCTCCACTTCCTCTGTTTGCTTGGCCAGCTCGGCGTGGGCTGTCTGGTACTTCTCCTGCAACTTCTCGTACGTCTGCTTCTTCTCATGTAGAAGCTTCTCCAGTTCCTTGACACTCTTCTCAATGCCTTCCTTCCTGTCTGCCTCCTCGGCCATGCTCGTCCTCTTTAGGTCCAGAACCGTCGTCAGGCGAACGATCTCGTGCGAGTTCGTCTTGACCTCTTCTTCCAGTGCCTGGAACTTGCCCCCCTTGCGTAACTCCTGCTCGCGTGTTGCCTTTGTTTGTTTAATATCCTCTTGGAGGTTCTCTATCTCCTTCTTCATGCGCACAGAAGATTCGTCGAGGTCCTTCGCCCTTTGCTTCTTGGTCTCGAGGTCTTCGGCAGACTGTTGTAACCGCTCGTTGTATCGTATATAATCATACGCGACTACCAGCTTCGTGAGACGTTCGAGCTCGCTCTGCGTCTGTTGGAAATCAAGGAAAGCACGCTTCTCCATTCGTAGTTTCTCGAGCTTGGGGTCGATTTCGTCTCGTAGTAGCTCGGTGATCTCTTGCACCTTCATCTCCTTCTTTGCCATGGTCTTGTAGGCCTTGTCCCGCCTGTCTTCGAACATGCGCGTTCCAGCAGCCTCCTCAAGCATAGCCAAAATCTCCTTGGCCTTCATGTTCAGCACCTGCATAACCTTTCCCTGTGCGATCATGAAGTTGGGGTTGTTGATGTTGAGCTGCACAGACTGAAACAGGTTCTGTATACTTTGTTGCTGCGCGCGGTGTCCGTTGATGAGGTATTTGCTCGCGCCGCCCAGCACGATCTGCCTTGTCACCGATATCTGCGCATGTTCCTCGAAGCCAACGGGGCTCTTCGATTTATCGCGGTTATCGAACACGATGGTAACGCTCGCTTTTGTAACGCCTGCTTGGCCGCGCTTGTAGATGAGGTCCTGCAGCGGTGTAAGCTCTTTCGCTCTGCATGGTCCTTCCCCTCTCTACACCCACCTGTAAGTTCTGCGCCCGCACCACGCTCAAGTTGTTGATTCCCAGTACGAAACATATCGAATCGAGAATGTTCGACTTTCCAGATCCGTTGAGACCCGTGATTGAATTGAAGCTCTCGTCCCTGCCCAGTTGTCAGTTGCCGGTCTCTTCGCAAAGGGAGCGTAAACAAGCCCTACCAGCCAGAGATGACTGTTCGGACAGCGTATGACTTGTAGCCCTGAATCCATGTTAGAAAGCGCCAAATACAGTCTCGGGCCGTGCTTACATCGATTACAAGTTCTATAATCCTCATGGTGGCTGCACGTGCTGTCGTGCTGAATTACGCTGCTGCCAATGTTTGTTATTCCGTCTCACCTGGGCAAGGGTCTCGGTAGCGCCCCACCATAACGCGCTAGGCTTTCACGTGGCAGCGCGATCACGCGTACAATCGTCACTTTCGCCCTCTACCACTTACTATTGCAACAATACAGTTCAGAAGCTGAATTTTCCACTCGTCGTAAACATCATCGATTACTACTATGTGCTGCAAGAGGTGTGAAGGTATTCACGGTGTATCAAACGCTATCATCGCTCATCAACGCAGGACCCTAAACAAAATCACCGAGCTTGCCCCAGGCAATGCTTCGGTTCGATCTCCACTGGCTCGCTTGCTTCCGTGCATGCCGTCTTCGAACAACTCTTCTTCCTGCCTATTCCTCTTGCAACATACTCTTTTGACTCAAAGCTTCCCATAGCTTTCAGCCCATATTCAGAGTCGTCCTTCACTGGCGGAAGTGGAGCAGTCCTCGGTGCACCTCCCATCCCCTCCATGGTGATCTCATCGTCTATGTTGTTGGACAACCCGAAGTGGAAATTTCCGAATACCTTGGTATTGTGTCGGTTTGTATCCGCGGTACGGTTTTGGTAGTATGACGTGTTCTGATTCGTGCCATACTGTGGGAAAAGGTATCGGAAGAGGCACTTAGTCGCTGGTGCGCATGCTGTCATAATGTGTACGGCAGGTTCGGCGATGCTGATTCCAATACCAATATCCCAGGTACGGTCTTTGTTGGTAGGGGCAAATCGGTAGTAATATACGATAAACCTACCTACCGACACTCCTGTTGCAATCCATCCCAGGCTCATCACAATTACTACCAGAATCTTTGTGCGTCGATGCATCTGAAGACCCCACACCATGACGGAAGGTATGGGAATGATGATGAGATCCATGAAAATCGATAGAGCACAAGATACCAATACGAATGTCCGCGAGTCGATACATGTACCGCCTGGTACGACATTCCCGTTGGCATCAATGCTATCCATGGCGGGCCTGGACCAAGCATAGGCTCTGGGGGTGCACTGTACGACGTTGACTATCGTTGATCCGATGGAGTAGAGGATGTTGAGCCAGAAAGTAACGTGTAATGGGTATCTTATGCGACGACGACCGTCCTTCATGCGGAAAAGAAACATGATGATAGAAGCCCGAATCAATCCCATGACTGGAAGGGGATCAAACTTGTTAGCGAAGTCTCTTGAATGGCCAAGGGATACGTACGTGGATGGTACAGCATTTGTACAGTGAAGTTCCATCTCAACGCCACAAGCTGCTCTTCAATTGACTTCTTAGGCAGATCATAGATATGGTAGCCAGTGCCACTCAGTATGATGTACATCCATGTTCCCACGGTATCCGCTATGAGGAGCACAAAAGCAGCCAGAATCAACCAGTCGTCCCAGCAAAAGTTGCGTCCGAGATAGCGCGACCATACTCTAAGGAAGACTGTAAAAGAAGCGACGACTGTGAAAGTACACACAATGGCCAGAACCTCGCATTGTCGGCTTTCGACCATGGTACTGCCGAATTCTGTCGACGTAGTCGTGCAATCTTGGAGTGCTCGGTCCGTAAATGGGCAACAGGCGTTGGAGCCCACGGGGTAGTGTCCAGTGTCCGCCTGTTCAGTCGATCGTGAACCGGGAGAACCAGAGGGTTGATGAAGATCGTGGGTCCACGACGGTAGATCGCACCGAGAAGCGAACGTGGAGTAGTGACGCAAACAGTGAGGATCTGAAGGGATGACGGGTAATGTAGGCAGTATTGGCCCACTCAGGAAAAAGTCAAATGTACCCGCAACGCGTCTGGACACGCTCAAGTTTTTTGCTATGTGACTAGTAGATGCCGCGTCCTCCAGCGCTCCACGCGGGTAGTCGCACGTACAATCCCTTAATATCAGATGCTCTGGTGGCCAAGAAGGATGCTGTCATTAACGACTGACAGTTGCACGGCGAGGTGAAAAGTTGCATCGGACCAGCCGCTGCTCTAGACTCTGGATGTCTCAAGGATGAAAACCTGCCAGGCGCGGGAGACGTCGTTCTAAAGCGAGGCTGTTCATCATGCAGGCCACAATCGCGGCAACATGGTTACCCTCCGCTCGTATCTTCCCCTCTCGCTTGACCAGAACAAGGACTAGGCTGTCTCATAAAGTCGAAAGAGGTTCCTCACGGTCCGAATTCGGGCTGACATGTCCAGGTCAGCCCTGAACACGGGCCTCAAATCGCGGGTTGGATGCCTGTTCACCTTGTCGGTTGGCGAGGAGCCTGGACAACGCCATGGGCAACTATTCCGCTAGGCATTATGTCTGCGATGCGGCGACTCGATATTCTGAAAGCGCTTGCGATTAGGGGAAGTAAACATGCCGATCCTCCGAACATGATGTTGGATGCTTGTCGGGTGGCTGACGGAGGTCGATCCCGCGCTGGGAATTTATTGCCCGAGCCGTGAATGGCGGGTCAGCACACGTGTTTTCTCCGAGAGAACAAACTCAATTGCAAAGTGAGCTGGCATAGTAGTGAATGCGTTCGGATGCCGTGGTCAGGAACGCGGCTCAAAGGAGAATTCTGAGCTGCAGGTTCGCGCGTTAGTAAGGTATTTTCGTCTCCTTCCCGTTTTGGATGCGACCATGACTCTCAAACTTCGCACTACCGGCAGCTTGAACGGCACCAACAAGCAGACCCTGGACGACAAGCCTCACGACTCAAGTAACGATGTGCCGGAGACTAGTCCCAACGACACATTCGAGCGCACGTGGGCGCATTCGATACTCTCTTGACAGCCTTACGCGGACAAAGTTTGCATTAGAAATTGTTGATCAATCATTATGATAGGTCCAATATAGGAGAGTATGCAGGTGAGAAAATGCGCGTTACGCAACAGCTGCATACATGAACTCTCATGAAGTGCGGATAGGTCGCAGATTCGTAACCAAGTCGATACCTTGTCGTCGACCCTGGCTATCTCAGCTGTCAACACAGTTTCTAGAGAAGATCAGCAGTCACACTCAAGGCAAAGGGCATTAGCCCACATCCTGCCAAGCACGGTATATTGGGCGTTGCCTCCTATATTGAGTCAGTCACTGAGATGACCAATATGACTATCCTTTTGTTTCTCGTCTCAGTGCGCAACGGTCCGTAACACGCCAGCAGCCGCAAGCCCCAGGCGAAAGGTACAGTAAGAAACGGTCGTTCATGACGCACAAAGAAACTTTCTGACCGACATACAGATCTGCAGCCGTTCAACGGGAGACGATCTTTTTCCAAAGACCGGTAAACTCGGTCGTACTCTGAGTCGTTGGTTTACAGAAAAACTTGTAAAGATGGCCTCTGTCGCTTTGTGGCTCGCAGTTTTGACTGCTGCCTCAACCACAGCATCGCCTGTCCTATCAGCCAAGGCTGAAACCAACACCCTTAACGTGGATGTGGACCTCCAAGGTGTTCCTTCTGCAGTCAGATCGCTCTTTCTCCCTGACTCACCTAATGTCACAACGCCCACAAACACTTCGAGATGCAAGGTCTACCCCGATGATCCTCAATGGCCGTCCGACGAAGCTTGGTCACAACTCAACAAAGTCACAGGTGACCGTGTTATCAATGCACCCACTCCTCTTGCAGCAGTGTGCTATCCTGGCGACGACTACAATGCTGCCAAATGCTCTGAATACACCGTGGCAGCGTGGCAGAAGTCGTACATCCATATGATCGATCCCATCGAAATCATGTCTCCGGTCGCGCAAGGCATGACGTGCACACCACCAGTACTCTTCGACTCCCATGGCTGCACCCGTGGAGGCTTCCCTATGTACGTTGTCAACGCCACTGAGCCAAAGCATGTACAGGCTGCGGTAAACTTCGCACGCAACACCGGTGTCAGACTCGTCATTAAAAACACTGGCCACGACTTTCTAGGCAAGAGCGGTGGTAAGGATGCTCTTAGTATCTGGACACACAACATGAAGGATATTGAGTATATCGAAGAGTATGTTGATGAGAAGCTCAACTGGACCGGCCCTGCGTTCAAGAGCGGTGTCGGTGTGCAAGCCTTCGAGATCTACAAAGCTGCCGCCGAGAAGGGCAGAATCGTCGTTGGTGGCGAAGGAGAGACAGTCGGAGTCATGGGAGGATACATCCAAGGAGGCGGCCACTCCCCATTGACTGGTTTGTACGGTACCGGTGCTGATAGTGTCCTCTCCATGGAGGTCGTTACAGCCGACGGCGAGTTTGTTGTCGCAAACAGCACCTCGAACACTGACCTCTTCTGGGCTCTTCGTGGTGGTGGTGGCAGTACCTTCGGTGTCGTCACCTCTGTGACTGTCAAGGCCCATCCCGATCTCGAGGTCACAGTCTCCCGATTTGGCTTCAATTCTGCCCAAACCGGAAACGAGACATTCTGGGCTGCCATCCGCGCTTACGTCGACCTATGGATCGACAACGCAGACGCTGGAACATACACATACTGGACATTGATTCCATCCAACGGTACCTTTTCATTTGCATTCTCGCCTTTCTTCGCGCCTGGAAAGAACGTAGAGGAAGCATCTGCGCTCCTACAGCCCTGGTTCGATCAACTTAATGATTTGGGCGTCAAGTTTGACCCAAATATCACTCATTACGACAACTACTACGATGCTTGGCGCAACTCTTTTCCTCTCGAAGCCGTTCAAAAGCCCAACGTAGCGACCGCATCACGTTTGTTCCCTCGCGCAAACTTCGAGACAGCTGAGAAGCGTCAAGAGGTTTACGAACGCATTCGCGCATCGAGCGAGAAAAACCGCGTTCAAGTCCACTTCAACATGCAGGCTAAGGACCCATACAATACCGACAACGCCGTAAACACTCATTGGCGCCCTTTGGTCTCGTTCAGCATGCAATCTGTGCGCTGGCCCATCAATAGCACCGCTGAGGAGATCTTGAAGATCCGTAAAGATTTCCAAGCGGGCGATATGCAGTCTTGGAGAGACATCAGTCCTGGGGCCGGATCCTACCTTGCTGAGGCTGATCGTCTTGAACCTGACTTTGGTAACGCGTTCTTCGGTGACAACTACCCTAGATTGTTGGAGTTGAAGAAGAAGCTTGATCCACAAGATGTGTTCTTCGCGACCACGAGCGTGGGTAGTGAGAAGTGGCGAGTGGAGAGTGTTGATGGCCTACCAAACGAGAACGGCAAATTGTGCCGTGTATAATCGCGCGTTGTGTTCATAATTTCTTTCTTCGAACATTATTGATTTCGGGCGGCCAATGGCCGCCGGCCACTATACTTGGGTACTGCTTACACACGAATGATATCACGGATTTTGGCAAGCCCCCGCAAGAAGGCGAGGGCTTGCCAAAATTCGTGATATCATTCGTGTGTAAGCAGTACCCAAGTATAGTGGCCTTTCTTTCTTCGAACATATATTATTTTTCATAGGTGTATCGCATCCATTAGTATCAGCATCTGCAATAGATGATGCTACTCGGAAAAACTGTTAGGTTTCTATGGAAGATCGCTACTCTGTCCAAGGTGAAAGCTATTCTAGGAACAACCTCAATACCTCAACGTGACGACGTTAATGGCCATGTTCACACAGACAAGTAATCGCCAGTCTCGGCTATACGTCTCTCTGAGCACTACTCAGCGCAGGTCGACCTTCTATTGTATCCATGACCGGCCCGACGAACTCATTTTTTCCTTTTATGAACCACCACACGGCGCTCAGTATGAGAACGCCTCCCAGCACGACCGGGGCGTAGTTCATATTCTGAGCCGTAACGGGTTGGTATGGTGGGAAGAGAAGGAATATGGATACATAAACAGTATAAACGATAGAAACAAGATTGATAGCAATACCAAGCTTCCCAAGCCGGAAAGGACCATACAAAAGTGAGCTTGGGCGAGCTATCCGTCGATAAAATATGAGCACTATGGGCATCAGGTATGAGATGTATAGGGCAACGGTACCCAAAGAGACGATGGCGTTGAAGGCGGTAGTGGAACCAATGTTTAGCAGACCGATCAAGATAAGAAATACACTGGTCACTGCTATCGCCGGTAAGGGAATGTGGTGTCTCTCGTTAACCCTGCTAAGTGTCTTCGAGTAAGGCAGTCCGCCGTCCTGGGCAAAAGACCACAGCATTCGAGATGCGGTCAGAACAAGAGGTACCGTTGCCAAAGCTGCCATGACGATGAGGGCGCAGGTCATGGCAGAAGCCGCTGCATTGCTACGGCTTATCTGGAAGAATATCTCGATGATTGGGTATCCGGTCGTTGTCTCCATCGCTTCGGTGATATCGCCCATACAAAATAAGATGACGAGGAGCCATCCGAGTCCTATCGCGCCGTTGATGATGATGGATGCTAGCATAGCTCGTGGGACGTTACGCTCCGGGTCTTTGATCTCTTCGGTGAGATGGGTCGCGCTATCGTATCCTGGTAATAGTGTTAGTCTGGTCGAGCAATGGTAGGGTATGCGCAGACTTACCAGCAAGCACATACGTGCTACTCAGAAGGCCTATGCTGAAGGCTACACCGTCGCTGCTCCAGCCCGATTCGTTGACGTAAGTGGTGAAAACGAATTCGGCGGTATGTTTAGTGGGCGAGATAACGCAGATAACGACGACTAAAACAAGCCAGAGTACAACATGGAGCAAGAATGTTGCATGCAACACCCAAGGCAAGCTCTTGATGGCGAAGACATTAACAAGTGTTGCAAGTCCAAGAAAGGCCCAGTACAGCATCGTCCCATGCCACCTCTGATACGAATAATCCGGGTAGTTGAGTACGATGGTACCCTGAAGCATTGTTGCACCAAGAAACGGAGCACTTGCAGTGAAAGTTTGCCAGGCAAAGACGGAGATCCAGCCAGCGGCGTATCCCCATGCTGTTCGAAATTTCTTGGGAGCAAGCTGAACCACAAAGTAGTACTGACCTCCAGCTGAAGGGTACCTGGTCAGGCAAAGGCAGGTTAGGATATGTTATTGCCAACGAATGCGTTCTCGACTTACATAGATGCAAGTTCAGACAAGCTCAACGCCGTCGCCAAAGTTCCTAAGACTGCGACTGTCGCATCTTATATCAGAAAGGAGGCTATCTCAGGGGGTGTATGAGACGAACGTATATACCCGAATACCAGTGACACCGGGCCTCCAGATATGAGGCCGGTGGCCATGGTAGATCCGAGTGCTTCCCATGTAGCAATTAGAGAAGTGGCAGTCGAAATGAGAGACAAAACGTTAAAGTTTTGCTGTTACTACGTAAGTAAAGCTTGACTGACCATGTTCTAGTGACTTACGTCTAGATGTTGATGCGGAGCTTGTGTTTGCTCATGCTTCCCAGACACAGTCCGCTGCAAGGCCAGAGCTGACATTCCATTCTCTTTACTGTCATCGTATTTCTGCGCACTCATGTTTCTTCCCTTTTCCAGAGTAACCCGCGACGCGTCTGGTTGGAGAAGTAGAGTGTCACCGATGCATATCCTTTGTTACTACTATCAACCATGTGCGGAAGCAGTCCGAACAACCTGGGCTGGAAAAATGACTATGATCGAATCGGAGAGAATTGACAGGCCTATCAGGATGTGCTTATCTTTGCTCCACTTGCCCTGATTAGTGACGAAGCTCCATGCTAGATGTCTGGCGTTGATGCAGGTCGGTTTCCGACGCTTTGCCTATCATTCCGAGGCAGGAAGTCATGCATCTCACTTCGTCCAATCGTCAACCAGTTTGTGACAGCGGGAGAGACCAGTTTTGCGGGGAGCGGCACAGACTAGTTGTTCTGCAATTGTAGCGGAACTCTGCCGTCTTTGTTCTGGTAGAAACGGTTTTGTGTATATGCCATATTTATCTTCGTCATAGTCCGTAGCGCTCACTGCGCATGCTTGGAAAGAAGTTGTAGTGGAACCGATGAGCCGCAGCTCGGGGCCAGTGACGCTCGATCTTTACGTGTGGTTCGGCCTGTAGGAATGCAAGTATGCTAAGTCTGCATGTTATGCAAATTAGACGCGACAACTATCTCTTATCAGACTATTCAGTTGTTGTTGTAGAATATGGCGAGTATTGACTCAACGCGTCTTATCTTAGCTGGAAGTATTGCGTATGTTGCAAGCGGACGGTTTCCGCGGTTTCCGCGATAACATTAGCGCGAAGGTCATCCACTGCACTTACCCCATGTACGCAGGGAGTGGCAATCGCACTTCGGCCCCAGATTCTATGGCTGTTCCCTTTGGCCTTATTGAAAATGCGATGGTCCAGAGATTAAGTAGGTCATGACATAGCGATTAACGTGAATGCAGTAGGAGCGCGTCACCAGCCCCCTGTTATCGAGACATTCCGAAGAACTCGTATTGCTAAAGTCATAGTTAATAGGCTTTGACACGCGAACCACTATAAGGCATTGTCACTATCTCTTGTTCTTCTACCACCATTCAGAACCATTCAATACACCTAGACCGCCCTCTCCAAGCATCTGCGTAAAATACCAATCTTCAACAACCACTGTCGCAACGTTTATAAGCTCCTTCATATGCCGCTTGCATATATAGCCACCTCTCCTTTCTACGTCTGGCCTCCATCGCACTTTACTACTGCAGTCACGAACAGCGCAGGGTTTCTGAAGATTGCAGCACGAGGTAAAGGATGAGGAAATGGAGCTTAGTGAGGGTCGTCGGACTCTAGCCATACTGTTGTCGCGCAAGTTAAGGATAATACTCTGATGGCAAAGGGGCTTGTTGGGATGTTATGGTAACTTCTGATGTGAGTATGCTTAGAGTGTCAGTGGGGCAGTGGCTCAGTCGGACGACTACTGGAGTTCTTATTGTCGGGTGATAGTGCCTTCGCTAACAATGCGTTGGTCTACAAGCGATGTCGACTGACGGTGCAACCCAACAAACCCTCAATCCAATACAAACGAGTGTGGACTGTCTGTATCGACGCATGCAGTAGCATTATTCACCACGATTCTAAATAATCGCGCCTATCCGTTGTCCTACTCGTTGATAGGATCAGTATCTCTTCTAACCATCTCCTAGGGTTCAACGTGTATATCCTCTGAAAACTAACCATCAACTCCAACGAAGTCTCCGTCATTGTAGACGCCTGAGTATTTCTTTCCACATCCACAGAAATCTAGCAACACGGCATGTATACGACTTGGTGAGGTATATGGGCCACCCCAGGTCCAATACTCTCGCTGTCGGCGGGTTCTTTCCCTGAATTTATTCCTAGTACTGCCTCGAACCTGATCGTCTCGCTCTCCCATATCCGCATATCTCTTGCGTTTGTGAGTTGAACTTCGGGAAATAGTCGCAGCTCCTTTTGCTCGGCGAGTGGAAGCGCACTGTTCCATACCCATACCCGCCCAGTCGGAATGATCGTCCAGTGCTTCATCAATGCTTCATAATCGTTAGACGTCATTCTTTGCTTGTGAGTCTATCCGGACGTTCTCTTTCTCCGTCTGCCAGGTCTCAATTGATCTCTAGATCAACTAGCTCCACTTTGTAGAGGGAACGCTGGCCCGGCATGTCGGGGAGCTGAATGAATGGACTAACTCACGTTCTCCCATCCTCGCAGACTTTTGATTCCACTTCCTTGGTCTCTGACAGCGTGGGTAGCGCAGTCAAAAACTTCTCAAAAGTTGGTGTATCGTATGCTGGTACGGACCTAAAGGCAAAAGTGCGCTAGCTACGTCAGATAGGTCAGGCGAAGAATCCCCACGTAGCTCAAACGCTTCTTCTGCTAATACCCCGTTACTTTCTCAATTTAAAATAGCGATGTCGCACGATTCCAGCGAGGACTTACCTTCCTGCGATAGCCTGACGTTGTTGAGCGGTGAGTGAGTGATGAGTGAGTGGTAAGTACATCAACAATTTCAGCGGCTACTGAGAGACTCCATCATTCTTCTCTACCCTACGCTGGTTTCGTTCTAGATCCTCGATGGCGAACACTTATGGAAGGCAGTTCAACGCTGCCTGGGACCTCCTCGATAAGGATGAATGCGAGAAGTGTATCGCTTAAGCCAAGAAGAACCTCAGGTAAGAGCTATCTTGTCATCTACTGTATATATCCACTAACAAAACGGAAGCGACGTGGCACTGCCGCGTTATTGAATCATCAAGATCTCCCTTATTATCGCCTGCGCCACCAATACATGGGAGGAAGCGGATGACTGGAAGACAGCAGCGGAGCAAGTCTACCATGAGGCTGTAGCGAAAGCAACCAGCAAGGGCGACAAGGATTCCCTCGAAGCGCTCAAAGACCTGCGCGAGGAGCTCGACGCGCTAGATGAGTTCAAAAGGAAGGAATTAATGGGAATGACAACAGAGCAATTCCGGGCAGCGCTCACGCTTAGTGATGCGGAACAGGAGGTGATCGACAAGGAAGGAGAGGAAGAGATGGCAGCTTGGGCCGCATTCCAAAACGGGGCGTGTTGGGGGGTTGCCTCTGACGACTACGACGAGCTCGCCGATGCAGAAGACGAAGAAGCTGACCCCAGGGACTCCGGCGAACTGGCCAAGGCGGAGAACGAGAACGAAGACAATGGCTTCCAAGGCGCAGAGGAAGTCGCCAGGGCAGAGAACGCCAACGAGATTGCTGCCGCTCGTATTCTCCCAGACCGATCCATGCGCCGCTTCGTCCCCACCCCCGACACTACCCCGACGACTAGAGTGCCTACGATTGTCGGCGACCCTCCCGAAGCCCCAACTACCACTCAGACGACTACAGCGTCGAAGAAATTCAAACTCAGTCGCAAGAAGAGTACCCTGAGTAAGGGCGGAGCCTACCACGCCCACTCGTTCAACAGGGAGCAGGCAAAGCAGGCCTCGCGTTCGAGCGTCCTGGATATGGACTGGACCGCCGAGAACAATGAGGCGAAGGAGCAGTGGAATGAAGGAGTAATGGAGTGAAGGAGTAGTGAAGTGGGTAGACATTTGAATGTAGAACTGAGTGTAACGGAGGAATATAGCAGCAAATGGAATGCCGCGGGCTCGAGAGTGGCAGCATCAAGTTTGGAGGGATAATCCTTTTGTGAATTTTCTCTGCCCTACATGCGATACCGACACTGGCGATATAATCCAACAAACCCTTGATCCAATGCAAACAAGTGTGGACTGTCTGTATCAACGCATCTTCATATATGTCGGCGTCCCGCTGCAAAGCCGCATTCACTAGTGTTTTGTGAAGAAAGCGCCCCAGTCCAGTCATCAACTGCGAGCCTACTGCGAAATACCCAGCTCTTTGTAAAAGGCTTCTGTCTGGGGCTTGCGGCCGAGGAATTCCTCGAGGATTTCCATCTCCTCCTTGGAACCGCCACGCTCAAGAACGGTGTGTCGGTAGCGGCGGCCTTCTTTGGGGTTCATAGGGTCGTCCTTGAAGACAGTGTAGAACATGTCTGTGGAGTAGACTTGAGAGGAGAGATAGCCGTAGTAGCTGTCATGGTTAGCATGTGATGTTTGGCCGAGCTATTGAATATGGCTTACCCAGCGTCATAACCACCGATCAGATGACCAAACGTAGCCTGTCCATTCGCCCAGTGCCAGTCACCCTTCTTGTCGCCCTCCAGCGATTCAGGGCCCTTTAGCTGACTAATCTCATGCCTCAAAGAGTTGTATTTCTCAGTGATGTCCATCTTTTCGAGCTCCTCGTGGCTGGCCGGCTCGTGAACAGCCATATCAAAAGTTCCAAAATGCAACTGTCTCAAGTTGAACAGCGCGTCATTGACATGCTTCGTGGAGATCAACTTGGCAATCAACGATTGAGGAATCTGCTCTGAGGGCTTCTTCTCGGCGCCTGACGACTCTAGGTATGCCTTCTCGTAGTCAGAAGAGATGTAAGAGTAGTGGTGAGATAGAGAGCGTAGTTGCGAAGGTGTCCAACACCAGTTCTCCAGCATCTGAGATGGCGCCTCAACGAAGTCACGAACGGTGTTGGTGCCATGGAAGCGAGAGTAGGTTGTCCGTGATACCAGGTCGTGGATACCGTGTCCAAGCTCGTGGAAAAGAGTGACTACTTCATCGTGCTTGAGTAGTGAAGGCTTCTTCTTTGTTGGCTTGGAAAAGTTGCAGACTAGAGCCGTCGCTGGATAACGTCGCTTGCCGTTCTCATCTATATAGCCAGGCTGCAGATTGAAGCTGCAGATTTGAAAATACGAAGTCAGTGTATGTCTCATATGCATCTCGTCTAGGCACAACTTACTTCGCTGCGTGGCCGTACTAATTAGGAAAGAAGGTCGTTAGTAAGTGTTCTAGAAGTGTTGTGGTTGTCTTCATACCTTGCCGTCACGTCTGGTGTTGAGTTAGCAGAAGCTCGGACATATTTCGGGATGAAAGCACGTGACGTGGTTCGTGCGTACGGTACTTACGGGAAGAGATCCAGATAGAGGTAGCCAACGAAGCCTTCGCCCTCGCCCTTGTCGTCCCAAACGCTAAAAACTTGCACTTCTTCGTGCCAGACAATGTCGGATCCCTTGCCGCCGTCAGCAAGGGCAGCCCTGTCTTCCTCGCCCACAATCTCGACGAACACCAGACCAAAGAGCTCCTCGAAGATTTTCAGCATGCCCTGGATGGTTGTCTGTAGGGGGAAGTATTCAGCAATAACTTGGTGATCGAGCTGGAAATCCTTCTCCAGCATCAGACGATCGTAGTACCTGTTGTCCCACAGGTAGTAGTCTTTGGCCAACGGACCTGTGATTCCATTCTCTTTGACGTCTTGCTCCTTCAATTCCATCAGCTTCTCGATTTCTTTTTTGCCACCTGGTGCGAGCCTTTCGCGCAGGTCACCGAGGAAGTCATCGACGGTCTTGGTGGTCTTCGCCATCTTGTCTTCTATCCGGAACTGTGCATGGTTGTCGTAGCCTAGAAGGCGGGCGGCTTCGTCGCGGAGTAAGATGGCCTCTCTGAACAGTGGTACGTTGTCGTTGCACTTGTTCTCATTCTCGACGAAAACCTTCCTCCGTGTCTCCGGGTTTGTGGCGTACTTGAGGGTTGGGAAGAGGTCGGGGTATTTGAAGGTCAGGAATAACTTGCCCTCGTTTTCGCCCTCTCCCTTCTTGAGTCCTGAGGTAACGTCTTCTGGCACGCCGTGCAATTCCTCTTGTGTGAACCACAGCCCACCGTTCTCTTCGTTAAGGTTCTTCTGGAAGGCGATACCGATTTGACTCAGACGCTGCTTGATCTCCTTGAACCTGTCCCTCTTGGGTCCCGCGGGAAGATTCAGACCATTTCGAATAAACGACTTGTGGTCCTTCTCCAGCAGCCGTTGGGACTCAGGATCCAGCTTCTCGCCCTTCTTCAGCACAGCGTCAATGAGATTGAAGACGTCCTCGCGCATGGACGACTCAATGCCAAAGTCGTCAAGCATCTGTTCCACTTCGCTGGACGCATCGCGCAGCTCCTTGCTCGTTGACACAGCGTTGTAGAAGCCAAGGATGTGCGATTCGATGGCCATCTTGTTGTCATCACGGGCGATTTGGAGGAGTGTGTTTTGGAAGTTCGCGTTCTCGGGCTTTACATCGCGAACGATAGCATCTTGGACGCTGCGAGACCTGTCGATCTGGGAAGTGTCAGCATCCGGTCGCAACACCTCTCCTGCGGGGTCGGCGGCAGCAATGGCAAGCAGAAGTTCAAAAACTCAGGACGACCACATACCAGTCTCTTTGCATCGTCAATCAAGCTTTGCTTAGTAGCTGTGAACTTGGGCGGCAGCTGTGGCGGGGTCTTGTATTGCGACGGAGCCATAGTGGAGTTGGTGAGCGGCCTAAACGGTTGCGTATAGATGGGATTCCGGAGCGGAGAGGGCTTGACGTATTGTAATATGGATGGTACGCGTCCGCCGAGTCGGATTGAAGCCAGGATGGCGGATGTCGCAATAAAGAGAGCGACAGCGGCGAGGAAGAGCTTGGTGATGCGTGAGGAAGCCACGGTGCCGGTGATTACCCAACAGCTTAAGACTTAAGCCGAGATGTGGGGAAGCGGCGATTGGGCGGTGTGCTGGGATAAACAGGCGCCTAGTAGCTGGGAGCACGACGATGATGCGATCGAGTATAAACGTCTACGTGACCTCTCAATCGCTCTCCCAGACACCTGCGCAGCCGCATGAGATCGACATCCATAGATGGGTCCGCCCGAGGTTAACTGGAAATGGAAAGGTGCCATCGTTGGACCCATGTCACACTGCAGCCGTTGTGCGACGTCCCACGTTAGACACCCGTGGACACCCTGTTCGGCCATGGCAAACCTCCTGTTGCAGCTGATAGCTCTTGCGATCAAAGAACGAGATCTGTGCGGTTCCAGAGTACAGCACGCGTCGCACTCTTCCAACGAATTTGACTATTGACAGATAGGATTACGATTGCGATGGCTGTTTGCAAAATTCAAACTCAGTATAATCATATTATCATTATCGTTACAAGTACAAAATTCCTCTTCCCGTTTCCTTACACTGTCATATGCGGATTCTGTGTGGGCTCCAGCTGTGCCTCGCCTCTACTGCTTGAGCTTAGGCTTTCCGGTATCGTGATGAAGGGACCCCAAGCAGAGCCTCTAGTACGCATCGTATCTGCGTGTATGGTGATGAAGCAATTGGATTGCTCCGTGGCCCTCTTCTCGTCCCGGAGCGGCCATTCGCCCATGTCGAGTGCTTTGTGCTGGCTAAAGGCATCAATCTGGAGAGGCTGCGAAGGGACTTTGTAGACCTTCCTCGGCGTTGCGCTCCGCTCTTCCTTTCGTTTGCTGCGGAACAAGAGACGGAGGAATGGTATAGATGAGGAGATGATTCCACTGTTTGTCTCAACTTGACCCCACAGAAGGAGGTCGTTTCCAAAACGCGCCGAATTATAAGGTGACTCGGCCCACAGCATCATAACCCACATTCGTACGGACGATGCAGTGATGGCCATGACTCCAACAGAAAATATGCCAATGAGTGCCAGACGTTTGGCCATGGGTATGCGAAGGCTGAGCAGCGTCGGTAGCGGTAGCATGAGAATGATGATGTCGCTTATCAGATTGGAGGCGGAGGAGAACACCCAGAGCTTGATAGGATCGAAGCATTTGACCTGTATTTGCTTGGTTTTTGGATCGCGATCGAACTGTGCCAAGTAGTTGACTGTTGACCAAGCGTCTGAGGGATTTTCGCATTGAAAGGTGGACGCCATGCTCGCAGCAAATGTGTACATGCACACAAACGCGATCGTAGCGTACACGAGCCGACGGAATGTCTTGTTGGCGGCGATGGCGCGGTAGAAGAAGAGGATGCTGAGTTTTACGAAGCCTAAGCCAATGGTGTAGGTCAAGCGGTATACCCACCATGAGATAAGGTTCCCGCGCACATGTTCCACAACCTCTGGATGCTCCTCCTACGCTTTTGTTAGACAGTGGCGCCAGGAGGGCGTTTGGATTCACTCACTGGTTTGAACAGATAGCTTGGACGGGAGTGTCGGCTCGTCTCGTCTTGATAGAAGTTTACGACAAAGTTGCCCCATGTAACCACCTGAACCTTGTCAGCTTTGTAGAAGACGGTACAATAATTCAACTTACAAGAGCGACAAACATGAGATGATCGCTCGCACTGACTGATCCCATGAGAAAGTATCGGCAATAGTATCTATTCAATTGATCAGTCTTTACTCACGCCGCTTTAGCGACAGTCAGTCTTACCGTAACCCTACGATGATTGTTGACAGCGTTGTCAGTATCGCCCCAACAATCACCACCACATATCCCGGTCGAAAGTACATATTGTATGACTGCGCGTAAGATACAAGAATGAAGGTCGGTCGTATCTACGGCCGATTGAACAGTTCAAGATATGCAGCTATGCGCCCAGACAACAACGGAAGAAAACGAATGTATGAACAAACATGAACATGAACAGAATGAGTCGGGCCTGAGCGCTCGGTTATGAGGGCGGATACAAAGTTGAGGATTCCCCGGATTCTGCACGAGCGGGAGTGAGTGTTCCATAGCGCGTGTCAAGCTCCTGACGCGTGTAGACAAGCAATCTTTGTCCCAATGGTGGCGATCATGCAGGTTAGGCGACCGCATGGCTCGACGCGAAGTGAACCATAGTACGACCTCACAGTTCGTGATTGGTCTAATGGATCGAGAAGGTTCACAGCTAGCGGAAGATGCTAGGTTTAGAAACCGTTGTATAACATCGGGCAGCCATATGATCGGCCCGTAGCCTTGACGAATCCACAATGTCATGGAATGAAGGAACAAAAAAGGGCTTCCTTACGGTCTCGGCGCAGGTGGTAGGATCTGGATGTGGATACTAATTCCAAACTGGGTGGCGAAACTAATGCACGCTAAGTCCAAAACAGGTACTAACTGTGAAGGGGATGGAAGGCGCTGCTGCGTGGGTAGATCCGAGTAGCAGAAGGCTTGCATGAGGTGATGTGCTCGGCATCAGTACATCCATCTGGCCCACTTTTAGCCGGGCTGACATTGTGACTGAGTGTCAGAGGACCCTGAGGCTGAAACGCGAGTTGCACGCGTCGCTCAACACCGGCGACCTGAGGCGAATGCTGAACGACGATGTCGCATTCGGTGTTCTGTCACACAGGCCAAGAATTGAGGTACTCACAACAATGTGCTGATCAGGGGAGACCCGGTAGAAGTGTCCATGTTGAACCGCCCCAGGGGATTGTCGATCAGGCAAAGACTCCTAAAAAAACCGACTGATTGAACAGAATCGAAATACAAGAGATTGTTAATGATGGAGATTGTGACCTTTACCAACAACTCCAGTGAGGATAGCGGGTAATGATGAGGCAAGGAGAGCTGTCGCATCGCCTGGCACGACAGGAGAGGCATACGAGAATACAGATAACCACGTAAGTTGCCTACCTCAGTGTAGGGATGAGGTTTAGCATGCAGGTACACCATTGTGATGCATGTTGGTAGCTGATCGCTGTGATATTACCCTGGTGGTCGCCAGCACTGTCGCAGCAACCGCGTTTGATGATCTGCGCAGTGACGTCAGCAGATCGCTGCACGCAAGATACACCCGAGAGAGGTTGCTTACACCAATGCGCGCGTTGTTGAGCTTGAAGGCCAAGTGAATACGTCGTCGGTAAAGACGAAAGGGGGTGTAGGGTAGGCCAAGACATCAGACACATAGTGAGCGAGAATGACTCACTGTCGCGCTCTCTCATTGGATGATTAGTGATCATTAAGTGGAGACCAACTTCACTCGGAACCACACTTTCAGCTACACTAATGCAGTTGTGAAGCCTCAGGCTCAAATCTAGCGAAAAGGGCGCAAGGAGTGCTTGTGAGGACATGGACGGATAGACTCAGCAAGCTAGTATTCTTTGGCACACGATGCTGTTGCTGCTGTGGGAAATGGTTATCAGGGTTGCTCACATCGACTCATTGTGAGTTGACTGATGCGTTAGGAGAGCACAAGTCAGGTATGTATACAATCTTGCTCAAGGTGAGCAAGAGTGATTGTCCTAGAGACATGCGGAAGATCAGTACAAAACGTAGAGAATGTAAAGTAGAGTTCGTAGATTTGTAGAACAGACAATGCAATTCATCGTAACAAGATTAACTGTGAGTATCTATCACCAAGTCCCGATGCCCTCTGAGATTATACCCTATTTTGCCGATCTGAGCATCACCCTGAACAGGTGTGCCATGAAACGACTCATTGTCCGACATCGTCTGAAAAGAGGCCGCCCTGAGTGTTAAGAAAAGAACAGCGAGTCCATCACATGCTGACAGACCGATACAAACAGGACTACTTCTGAGAACGGAGAAGAGCACGAAGCGTTTCGACCTCTCCTTCCAGCCTGGCGTTGCGGACCTTGAGATCATCCCGTTCGGCTTTGACGTCCTTGAGTTCGGATTCGAGAGTACTCATTTGATCGACGCGCTTTTGGCGGTAGCGACGAGCAGCGAGCGTGTTGGCCTTCCGCTTCTCAACCCGGGAAGAGGGTTCTGGAGCCAGAGGGCTGTTCTTTGTGGATGACAATTTGGATGAAGAGGATTGCTCAGTGGGAGACGAACCATGGTCCTTGTTGCTTGTGGAGGAAGAACCAGACAGAGAGTGATCTGGATAGGTTAGACACTGCTGAATCGCCAGGGAGTGTGGTTCTTACCCCTCATCATGGGTGCAGATGTATTCATATTGTTGATTTTGCCCATGCCAGACGGCATAGTGAACGTGTTCATGTTGTCTCCCGCTGTTGAAAGTAGAGCCGGCTCGCCAGGAAGCAATTGCGTGCCATCGCCAAGATAATGTGAGTCAGAAACAGGAAAGAGATCCCAGTCCGGAGTGGTTTGGAAAGAAGGGTCCAGTGCAAGTAGGCCGCATGACAAAGCGGCTGAAGAAGAAGAAGCAGTAGTAGCGGTAGGAAGAAGTGAAGTGGTATCGAGAAGAGCACCGCTGCTGTCGGCGGTGGAATAAGAAGTTGCAAAATCCCAATTAATTGACTGACTTCCAGGGAGGCTTGGCGATGACACGGAGTTGCTGTGGTTGCCAGAAAATGCGGAAGAGTTGGTTTGGAGCGTATTGCATGGTGACGGTTGATTGCTGCATCCTGGGATGGTAAAGGGCGGGTCCTGATACCCGCTGGTGAAATCGAAGAATTCGTCAAATGAAATTGGAGACTATCTGAGGGCGCCCAACACGGGGTGATGAGCGCGAGGTTTGGTGGTGAGAGGGAGGACAGCCGCGGGGTGGCTTCTCTTTATACGAAGGGAGGGCGGTGGGTTCCCATGGTTTAGGGCTGATGGCATGCGCTAGCGGCCTACCCCGGTCGCAGTTTCCTGCAGTGCCTGCAACTTTGAACGTTGGTCGGCTGCGCCCTCCAGCATCGGCAAGCACAGCCCACACCGACGACATGGCCACGATACCCTCCTCACGACTCCTCCGGCCCAATCTAGCATTGGCGCAACAGGACACGATCCTTTCTTTCCTCGTCCCATCGGTCCAGTGCGCGCGCTTCTCCACATCACCCGCCCGATGGAAGAGAGACAACAACAAGAACAGAGGAAACTCTGCAGTCCGGGCTACGGGTCTGCGTCCTAGACAGACACTGTCGGTTAGGGAGAAAGATTTTTCAAAGCAGCAATTGCCGAAGCCGGTCGAGATTGAGCACGAAGTGACGGGCACACCAGACCATGGACTTTGGGATTTCTTCAAGGACCAGAAGCTCTTGCAGACACCAGTAGACGAGCAGAGGCATGGTAGGCTGCAATTGGACAAATGGAGGGACTGTGGTGGCTGACAGAGACGCAGGACGATCGTGGACTGTGGGCGAGTTGCGCAGTCGGGACTGGGACTCGCTACACCAGCTGTGGTGGGTATGCGTCAAGGAGCGGAACCGTCTCGCGACCGAGAAGCTCGAGCGCAAGCGTCTAGAGGCGGGTTACGGCGACTACGAAAACCAGGAGCGGGACAAGACTGTGCAGGAGACGATGAAGGCAATCTTAGACACACTCGCCGAGCGACACCAGGCATACCAGGAAGCATATGTACTGGCACAGCATGATCCGGACATTGACCTTTCAAGAACGGACGGCCCACAGTTCACACAGCCAACATATGTACGTTCGATTTCCTAATGGGGATGACTGTATGCTGACCCAATCCACAGGATCCGCTAGAAGTAGATGACGCCCCGTACAATGCTGCGACCGAGGCACCTATTGAAGAGCCCTCGAAAGACAAGATACTCCCAGAATCCGAAGTACAGCCGAAAGAAAAGGCGACTCATGCATAATGAGGTTCATGAGTGCATGTGGCATGCGAGTCTGGGTAGCGTGTAGGCGGTATATACACTTGTTCGATATTCTGCAGATCTGTAGTCTGGAAGAGTTGTAACTTTACACATCGTATATCATGTCGCGTTTGGAACGGCGAACAGGGAGAGCATGGGGCACGGTAAGGCTGCTATTTCGAGCAAGGTGGCCGAGCTTTTGTAGCATATCGCGTGTATCATAGCCAGTCATGAAATCAGTGAATTGCACTAATTCAGTACATGTCAAACGTAGTGAGTTATGAAAGTAATGCCAGCATAAACAGGTCGACCAGATTGGCGAGGCGCTTCCCAAAGAGCTACAACCCCACATCCATCACACCGCCCTAAGACCGCTCAACCACGCGCCTTCTTAGCGGACGACCTCCACCGCAATCCTCAACTTTCTTATTCTGCAACCGACATCTGACAGCCATGGACGAGATCGCACCCGAATACGACGTCGTGGTCCTGGGAACAGGTGGGTTGCAGTTACCCCACCTACGTAACGTGCGGAAGCTAACCATCCCCCAGGTCTCACTGAATGTGTACTTTCAGGGTAACACAAGGACTCGAGAACGGTTCTTGAGCAAAAGCTGACATGCTTGCAGTGTCCTTAGTGTCAAGGGCAAGAAGGTGCTCCACATCGACCGCAATGACCACTACGGCGGGTATGTTATCTTGACAGGTACACTTGGGGCGACAGCTGACAGGGTGCAGTGAGGCGGCATCGCTGAACATCGAAGCAGTAAGCTCGCAACATCTCCAACTGACATACACACACTGACCCGATGGCTAGCTGTTCAAGAAGTACGGCCAGACAGAGGGCGAGCCATGGAAGAAGTACGGCCGCGTCAACGACTGGAACATCGACCTTGTCCCCAAGCTCCTCATGGCCAACGGTGAACTCACCAACATCCTCGTTTCAACCGACGTTACCAAATACCTCGAGTTCAAGCAGATCGCCGGCAGCTATGTGCAACAAGGCAACGGCGCCAAGGCAACCGTCGCAAAGGTTCCTTCAGATGCTGGCGAGGCACTGCGATCGCCTCTCATGGGTCTCTTTGAGAAGCGTCGAGTGAGGAACTTCCTTGAGTGGATTGGCGCATACAAGGAGGATGATCCAGCAACACACAAGGGTAGGCACTCTCCGATAGACATGGTCAAGGAATGGTAGCTGACACTGGATACAGGCATCGACATCCAGAACTCTACCATGAAGGATGTATACGACAAGTTTGGTATCGAGGCTACCACACGCGATTTCATTGGTCACGCCATGGCTCTGTACCCCACCGACGACTACATCACGCAGAAGGGACAGGCGAACGAGGCCATTGAGCGCATCAGGCTCTACGGTAACTCTGTAGCGCGGTATGGAAAGTCTCCATACATCTACCCGCTCTACGGTCTCGGAGAGCTGCCCCAGGGCTTCGCTCGTCTCTCCGCTATCTACGGTGGTACCTACATGCTAAACACCGATGTCGACGAGTTCCTTTACGACGGTGGCAAGGTTGTGGGTATCAAGGCCACCATGAAGGAGAAGGATGATGCCGGCGAGGGCATGAAGTTCGAGACCAAGGCAGGAAAGATTCTTGCCGACCCCTCGTACTTCCCCGGCAAGGCGCGCGTTACTGGACATCTGCTGAAGGCCATCTGCATTCTCAACCACCCGATCCCCAACACAGACAATGCCGACTCTCTGCAATTGATCATTCCTCAGTCCCAAGTTGGACGCAAGCACGGTATGTATACATCTGTGTCATAATAGGATTCTGCTGACAAGTGTGACTAGACATTTACATCGCTGTCGTCTCGTCTGCACACAACGTCTGCCCCAAGGGCTACTACATCGCTATCGTCTCCACGATCGCTGAGGGCGATAGCAACCACCACCTCGAGCTCCAGCCCGGTCTCGACCGTCTCGGAAAGATTGAGGAGAAGTTCATGGGCCCGGCTATCCCACTCTACGAGCCAATTGAGAGCGGTGCCAATGACAACGTCTTTGTATCGAAGAGCTACGACGCCACTAGCCATTTCGAGACAACAACTGGTACGTATTCGAGCTCCGGAACAGTGAACACAACGCTAACATTTGGCAGACGACATCAAAGATATCTACCAGCGGGCTGAGGGCCACGAGCTGGTTGTCGAGGGCCTGAGAGAGGGCGCGAACTTCAACGTTGAAGAATAGATAGACTTCCGACTTGACGGATGAACAAGCTGCAACGGTCTTTTAGGTACATCGTTTGGTAATCGCTCAAGACTTGGCTTCTATAACAATGACATGCATTCCCAACAAATGCGAACGCGTTCTGTGATGCTGCGGAGCTCGAGCTCGGTATTTCCTATTTGGGCGATGGGATTGGTACCTCACAATTTGACCACCACGCGTTTTTGACAAGCCTGCCATCCAGCCGAGATGGGCAGTAGCTGATAAGTGAGACCGAGCATCTGCATAGTGTAACTAGGCGTGCTGTTGCACTTCTCCTTATGACGATTCAAACTCTTGGCAGGGATACCGTCATGGCCCTGCAAACCATTTGAGTACTGCAACGCGTCCACAAAACGTGTCCTCGAGGCGCATTGCTCTTCGCACATTCTTTTACAATGGCGCAATTCGGTCGCTATAGGTTCCTGCTGATAGCGGTGGTGTTCCATTTGCTGTACATATGGAGTTGTTTCTCCACCTACTTTACGAGTCCTATTGTTCATGGCATGCGCGAGCATCGTGCAGAGACGCAAGAAGCTCCCGCTAAACGTTTGGTACTCTTTGTTGGTGAGTCGCGTCAGATGAGCCCGATAGCAAGTGCTAACAAAGCAACAAGGCGACGGCCTCCGTGCAGACAAGGCATTCCAATCGTTCCCCAACCCTGACCCAAATCCTCCGACCCCTCTCGCCGACAATACAACCACCCCGCGCCCTCTCGCTCCCTTCCTTCGCTCTCGCATCCTGGAACATGGCACCTTTGGTGTTTCCCATACACGGGTACCTACCGAATCCCGCCCTGGACATGTCGCGCTCATCGCAGGCTTATATGAGGATGTCTCAGCAGTCACAACGGGATGGAAGCTGAACCCAGTCAACTTCGACAGCGTCTTCAACCGCAGTCGGCATACATGGAGTTGGGGCAGTCCCGATATTCTTCCCATGTTTGAGACTGGTGCAGTGCCTGGAAGAGTCGACGCATACTGCTATGGCGCGGAAGAGGAGGATTCCTCCAAAGATGCCTGGGTGTTGGATGAATGGGTATTTGAGCGCGTCAAGAAGCTGTTCGCTGACGCCAAGACGAACGCGACACTGGATGCTGAGCTGAGGCAAGAGAAGAGCGTCTTCTTCCTTCACTTGCTTGGGTTGGATACTACGGGTCATGCGCATCGACCTTACTCGTGGCAGTATCTGCATAACATCCAGCTCGTGGATCGCGGGGTCCAGGAGATTACGCAGCTGATCGAAGAGTTCTACAACGACGACAAGACGTCTTTTGTATTCACAGCGGACCATGGCATGAGCGACTGGGGAAGTCACGGAGATGGACACCCAGACAATACACGTACGCCCTTGATCGCATGGGGTGCTGGTGTTGCGCCTCCTGTGAAGAACACGTCAGGCGTTGCTAGAGGTCACACCGAGTTCTCTTCAGATTGGAATCTGGACGAGATTGAGCGACATGACGTCGACCAGGCTGACGTCGCGGCATTGATGGCTTATCTCGTGGGACTTGACTTCCCAACCAACTCAGTCGGAGTCTTGCCGCTTTCCTACCTTGACAAAGATCCCAATGCCAAGGCAGAAGCTCTTCTTGTTAATGCCAAGGAGATATTGGAAATGTATCATGTCAAAGAAGAGATGAAGAAGGAGACACAGCTGCGGTACAGGCCTTTCTCTGGTTTGGGTGACGAGGCACATTCTGTCGAGCATCGCATTGCCGATATACAGTCATTGATCAACAAAGGCAGCCCAGACGAGGCTATTCGCAAGACTTACGAGCTCATTGACCTTGGTCTCGAAGGACTGCGGTATTTGCAGACGTACGATTGGCTTTTCCTCCGGACGTTGGTGACTGCTGGCTATATTGGTTGGATCGCTTTCGCCATCACCACCGTTGTCGACCTACATGTGCTCACCGAACATGTGCCGGCACAAAGAACGGTGGCTAGTATGGTGGTATTCTCTTCTGTGCTTGTTGCACTCTATGGGGTTTTCTTCAAGCAAGAATCACCGGTCATCTACTATGCATATGCGTTCTTCCCGGTCCTATTCTGGGAGGAAGTCTTTGCCCAGAGGCTATCGCTTGTCAGGGGTGGCAAGATTCTGTTTAGCCATCTCAACTCCGGCGCTGATGTCGCAAAACTAGTGTTGGCGACTATTGGCTTCTTCGGATTACTCCAGGCTTTGGTAAGTTGATCCGGATTAAAGGGAGGCGAATGTACTAATCGAATGATAGGTTCAAAGCTACTTTGTTAGGGAGATTTACACGGTATGCTACCTGCTTGCGACACTCTGGCCAGCAGTATATGGGCAGGGTTTCATGAAGAAGAACATGGCGACTGTCGCCACTTGGGCTTTGTCTTGCATAGCCATGAGCGCTTTCACACTACTGCCAGCCAACAAGGCAGAAGACATTCGTCTCATGTGAGTGCACTCGGTATCGACATTGACCCAAAGCTAATGACACGTAGCCTGCTTGGAGGTGTATTGATGTTTGCCATTGGCATACTCTACCTTGTCTTCGAGAGGACGATACTTGAAGATGGCAAATCTCAATCTGAGCTTGCCAAACACGAGTTGAACCACACATCTCGTATCATTCTTGGCATCCAGCTCGGCCTTGTAGCGCTTTCCATGATTGTCACGAAGAGCAGCGTCGGCTACTTACAAGCGCGCCAGGGAATACCATTTGGTGTTCTGACAGTAACACGAGCAACACTGTTCGCCTCGCTTGTCGTGCCACAACTCCACGGTCTCTATCCCAACGCCCACTACGTCCACCGCCTTGTAGTCATCTTCCTCCAGTTCGCACCAACCTTTATCATCCTCTCCATCTCGTACGAAGGTCTCTTTTACTTTGCGTTTTGCATGTGCCTCTTCAGCTGGATGCGCCTGGAGCACCAGGTATATTTGCACAATACGGCTGATGCTTCGACTACGGCCATCACATGGGATCCGGCCAAGCCTACCAAGGACGCTGCGTCGGATCGACTCAGCTCACTTCAGAGGGGGGAGTACAGATCTCTGACTCTAGCCGACGCGCGCATAGCTCTGTTCTTCATCTTCTTTATTCAGTCTGCTTTCTTCAGCGCGTCAAATATCGCCTCGGTATCGTCCTTCTCGCTCGACGCCGTGTACCGTCTAATCCCCATCTTCGACCCTTTCTCCCAGGGCGCGCTTCTGATCATCAAGCTCATGGCGCCCTTTGCCGCCCTCTCGACCAACTTTGGTCTCCTCAATCGCGGCCTAGGCGTGGCGCCGTCAGCACTGTTCATGGTGGTGATGGCGGTCAGTGATGTCATGACACTGAGCTTCTTCTACATGGTCAAGGACGAGGGGAGTTGGCTGGAAATTGGGACAACGATCAGCCACTTTGTCATTGCAAGTTTGTTGGGCGTGTTTGTCAGCGGACTGGAAATTTACAGTGAATGGACTATACGGGGCGTGGAGTTTGGCAGCAGCAAGAAGGCGCAGGGTAACGGAACCATCGAGGGAAAAAGTAGTGAGAAAGCAGCGTAGTGTTTGTGGAGTGGTAAGTATGCACCTAGATTTGGTTTCATATGCGCGTTTGTAATGGTTCTCCTGTGTTGGGATGGTAATAGGGGTGAGAGGAAAAGTATGGTTCACTACGGCTACCGTAGATTTGCTAGTATCCGTGCAGTCGCCAATTCCGTGCAGGCGAACGTTGAGGGTCCCTAGGTTTAGCCATGCTTTTTCCTTGAGATGGGCTGGGTTGCTGGGCAACAGTGCGCGGTGCACGTTACAGGGTGTGTTGAATGGGTTGAATGGGTCGCTCTGAGTCGCGATGGTGGTCCTGGAAGGGACGGCACTCCCGCGTGGGTCAGGCGGTGTCGCTTCAAGAAGCATCACCGTGCTTGCTTCCTTATCGGCTCCTGCATGGCGTGAGAGCAGACGGCAGGCTTAAGCGGACGAGTGATGTTGGCCGTGAGGCTGGGGGGAGGCGGCTGGGAAGGCGCGGCTGCACAAACTAGCGGGGCTCTTGGACGTGGCATGGACGCGGACGCGGACGCGGACGCTGCAGCTCATGCACTGCCAGCTATAATGGCCGTACCCAACAGCTTATAGCAATACCACCACTGCACCAGCATAACAACAACCGTTCGGCGCATTATTACACCCGCTAAGCTTGCTGCCGCATTGTTTACGATTATTCCTCGGGGGAGCAAGATATATAGTGAGTCGTGTGCAACACGCGCTGTCTGGCGTGTAACGTGGTCATCGATTGTCGTGTTATCGTCTCTTGGAACCAGGGGCCCCAACCACCGCCGCCAACAGCTCCGCGTCGTTCAACCTCGCACTTTTTCTGCGAATCGAAAGCCTAATTCCAAGACGCCCAACCTTTCTCTTATTCACAAGTCGGGGCGCAATCTCGCTTCGTCTGCTCTAGACAGCTTTATAACCACGACGACCTTCACGCTTCTCTGCAGACTCTTTCTTTTCGCATAATGTTCTTCAAACGGTAAGTCGGCACCACAGCCACTGCATCCTGAGACTTGCACTAACTTTGCATAGCAGGTCCAGGGCCAATTCTTACGTAGACAACAGTGAGAACCCGCGCTCGCAATCATTCGACGATTACACCACCGATAAGCGCCCTGAGTCGAGCCGGAAGGAGTCCCACCAGAGCCAGCCCTTCTCGCCCGCCGAAGAGCCTGACATGTATCCCCGCCAACAGCAACCCCAGGAGCCGACGTACGCGCAGAGTGCTCCTCCTTCCCACAACAACATGCCCATCCGCTCCCAGCAAGTTCCCCCTACCGGCGGCAGCGGCCCAATGGGCCTCGGCATGCCCGACCTCATTACCGCTGCCTTCAACCAGGCCGTCCAGCCCTACACAGAGAAGATTGAGCAGCTCGAGAGCCAGCTTGCCGATCTGCAGAACTGGGTCGACCAGCTCGAGCAGCAGCGCGCCGAGGTACACAACTGGATCGACAAGCGCGGACTGCGACCAGGTAAGACTGCATTCCCTACTGTATGCATCTCTTGACACTTCATACTGACTTCCTGCAAGATGTCCCGGCCTCCATCGCCAAGATCATGGACACCACCACTGCCGACGCTGCGCCCACACTCAACGCCCAGCTCGACCGCAAGATCACCATCGTCAACTTCGACCTGCACCGCCTGCAAGACGATCTCAATGACTCCATTTCATCCTCACATTTCGCCTCGGCTATGCTGAAGTTCCTGCCCGACATCCAGCGCTTGACCCTCCTACCGTCCGGCCCGCGCTACGCCTTCGACCTCATCCTGAAGCTCGGCGGAAACCTCAACTCACACGGCGGTATCGACAGCGCCGACGCTGGCGACATTGCCGCACGCCGCGACTTCTACAGCAGACTCGACGAGACCATGGTCGACGTCGTGCAGCGCCGCTTCGGCGAGGGCGAGGGCTGGGACGTAAAGCGCGAGATCAAGCGCATTGAGAAGACCGCCAGCTACCTCAAGACATACGGCGTCGAACCATACTTCCCCTCAACGCTGGAGATGATGAAGCGCGAGATGGAGTTCCAACCCAACGGTGTACCTAACGGGCAAGGAACCCCTCCGCGGTACCACTAAATCTCCAGAAAGTGTGAGCTGGAGGTGTGCTGACAATGGTCTTCAGTCTGCGTGCGCTTGACACATCTGATCATCCTGTAATAGCGAAGTTGAGAACGACGTAGCAAGTTGTGAAAGCAGACAACCGGCGCATCTTAGAGTTGCGCACAGGCGAGACTGGTCCGTCACGGCTTCCAAGACCCACCAACTCACCGTCTGAGAGACCTGCTCCACCACAGCCGACAAGACCTGCGCCTTCGGGATCTGTTCCAGTCACTGTTGAGAATCCCATGGTTGATCTTTCGTCTATTGACGATGGTCCGACTGGTCCTGAGCATGCACCCGAAGCTTGAATTGCGATGTCATCCGGCTCGACTCAGCAAACTTCATCCCACTCGCTCATCGCTTGTATATTCTACATTGGTCTCACACTACGGCACTCGTTCTTCAGCACAACAGCTAGTCCATTCGTACACTAGCAGGCCCACACCATTCTTGTTTTCATCTCCCCTGCGCTTTCGCCAGGGATATAGGGGTGCGACGAACGAACGCCCATGACGATCAACTGTACTTTAATACTTTTTTTTTTTTACAGGGAAACGAATTTCTTTGCTATTGCATGAGGGAAAGGAACGGGAAGGGGAATTGGGGTGTGTTTGTTCTCTTGCATCATACCCGAGCATTTTGATAACGAAAGGCGGCGTTTTTGTTTATTTGGATAGCTACAAGTAATCTGCGGTGGACGTGTAGTTGCCGCTTTCCAGGACAGCTTGGAATAGCAATTGATCATATGATTCATATTTTTGTTCTTAGAATATGATTGTGCTCATGCTTGTCTTCCTGGTGGGCTTTGGGTAATGACGCACAGTCCTATAAAGCCAACCAGACTACCATGTCGCATGTGCTGTCCTAGTCTCTTACCAAATACCGTTCTACACTCCTCAGGCATGTATCTTCCTGCAATGACATCTTCGCATGATGTTATTGGATTCTCTGTGAGCTGCAAGTTCCTCTAATACTTCATATCACTTCTATAAGGGTGAAAGAATGTGGTCCAGCAATTCCCCTTTTACTGCACGGTCTCTGCACGCAGGCAGGACTCCTCGCTTCCAGTCCCACTCCTCCCTATATAAACGCCCCTCCTTGTTCTTCCTAGAACCTCATCGTTATACTTACTAGATCTGCGCGCGCAACCAAAAGACTCAACACCCCCTTTATCAGGCGCGAACAAGTTCGTAATTGACCCTTTCACTATTTAACGGCCATATTCTCGTACCTCGTTGTCGCGTATAAGCAACCAAGAATAAAATGAATAACCCAAAAGCTTCAAGTTCGAAGCGTAAGCGGGACGTGATCGACGTTGACAAAGCTACTGCGCCTGTCGACACCACGGCGGATATTCGCAATCAAGCGCTGAGTCATAAGAAAGCTAAGAAGGCTAAGAAGACCGCTGCTGTAGGCCATGAACTAGCCAATGCTGTCTCTGACAGTGAAGATATCGATGAAGATGGCTCTACGCCACAACAAACCCTTCCGTCTCTCACTACTCCAGACGCAACTTGGTTGATTCGAGCAGATGATCCAACTAAGAATCAGATGTTGAATGTCATAACTGATTCTCAAGTGCGAGCTGCGTATCTTGAGGAAGTCGGCAACCGCACGCTATACATTACAAGTGACCCGTTTCCGGCGAACTCCAATGCCATTGTTTCAGCAGCCACATCCGAGGTCCGCGCCGGGCTCAAGGCTCGATTGGTGAACGGACTTACTTGGGAGGCGTGTAAGTCTGCATACAATAGCAATGGCGGGAAAGCGACTAGCTTTGCAGGTGTAGAAAAACAGGTCAAGCTGCATGGGTGGAAGTGGTTTGATGAGCAGAATGTTGTGATCCCCTGGACACTTAGAGGTCCTTCAGATAGAAAGCGTCTTAGGAATTTGGGCTTGGGGCAAAATCATTTCCCGACTCTGGTTGCGCAGGTATTGAGCTCGAAACCACCTGTCCATCATCAGCCAGTTCCAAAGACCAAAGGGCCGAAGCCGATAAACCCCAAAAGTGTCCCCAAAAACAGTTCTGAGCGGGAAGAGACGACGAGTGAGCAGCATTTGGGGAAGGGGACCACGCTCACATCCGATAGAGAGACTCTGGAGCAAACTGCAGGCAACCTCGCCATGGATGAGCAACAACCACCTGATGATGATAGCAAGCAGGATTACGTTAAAGACAAAACGGACTTAGCCCCGTAAGTTCATCCCACCCAATCAATCATGAAATGTCGTAATCCTTCTAGTCTTCTTATTCGCGACCGCATCCGCACCACACACAACCTTTTTGGGTCGAATGTAGTTGAGGTCAAGCTTGATGGTGCTTCGCACTGGGCAACGTTACGTGCTTTGGAGAAGTATTGTGGTGCTTACAGTGAGCGATCATCTTCCAACGAAGACCAAGCTATAGACTTTGGCCGCAAGAGAATTTCGCCCATGATCGCGCGTGCTTTTTTTCAAGCAATTTCGCCCTGTCCTCGGAGCGAATTGCCAACCCACGATGTCATCCCAGATCCAGCAATGTCTTTACACCACGAAGATGTCGCCTTAGTCATATTGCCTGACGATCCCAAGCCAAGGGAGATTGAATGGAACTTCGATGCTTGCGCCGAGATGTACAGACTGGCTGGAATGCTCAAGTCGCCAGTTGTCAAAGACATGGTAACAGATAGGATATTGAACATCTATCTCGAGTACTGCAAGCAACTGGAGGAAGGCGACGACAAGCAGAACCTAGACTTCCCCGTCAAATTCGCCAACTCGTTGACAATGAACGAAGACCTGCCCATCCTCCGTTTGTTAGTCGACATAGCTCTCGATCACAGCCGCCGAGGACACGACCTACCGGATGGGCTTGCAACTCACGTCACGCATTTGTTAGTAGGTCGTTCGTCCGGCTGGGGAGGTAAGATGTACATGCTTCACAATCAAAACCTCACCGCGTTGTGTAACGAGTACCATGGTCATGATCGACTTTGTCACAAAGCTTTCAACGCACGCTATACAACGGAACGGCTCATCCATGACATCTTTAAGCGGATTCGACGAGACACCTGTCTTGAAGCCGCCGAGGAATTCGATATGGAAAAAAAGCAAGATGAGGACGATAATTCCCCAGAGATCGCGCTGGACATATACAAGATGCTGCTCTGGTCTCGTGAGAATGAGGAGCAAGTCGCGCTTTTCATGCTCGAGTACGAACGGCTTGCTGCGAGACTGAATGATACGTGGGCTCTGGATGAGCAGGCTGACCCGGAAGATGAGAAGCGGGCGGAGTGGCTTTCTGAGAAGATAACCGCGCTGCGGGTGGAGCACAATGAGCGGTGGCCAGACTATGGAGAGGAAGAAGCAGGAGGGGATCCGGCGAGCTATGCTAGGCAGTTGTTCGATAGGAATTAGAAGTGTTCTGAGGACTAAAGAGAGCCTAAATTTCAATTGGTGATGATGCTTCGGTAGTCAAAATTGATAATGTTTCTAGGTTTTGGACTTCATCCAGTTTTCCAGCGGAATAACTAGACAAATGATCATCTGCTACCTCTGGTTCCATTAGCTATTTCAGTCAAAGTAGAGGTATTAGATACATTCCTTAGATTCAGCAGAGTCTGTGTGCGCCACGATCACGTCCAAAATGTGTATGTAGTAAATTTTAGCAGCTGTTGCGCTTTGCGTAGGTGTCGATCCTGTGGATGACGTAAGGAGCCCCAGGGTGACGTTCCCTAACCCTTTGCAGCAGACTCCACTTTCCTCCAGATACGCTCCCAACCTCCACCTTTCCCAACCCACATCAGACGACAACTGCCATCATCATTAATTCGCGCGTTAGAAATAAGAACAAAATGGAAAGGTGCGCCGTCAAGCCAATAAGACGGCCCGCTGTGTCCGATCAGGATCGCGCGCTTCGAAGCGAGCTGACCGGTCGTCGGGCTGCGTGCACCAATCAGACGGCTGTGCGCAATTGCGATACGACGCTGCGCGCTGCGGTGCTACTCACTCAGGCGTCCTTGATATGAGTTTGATGAATAGACACCCTCCTTAGAGTGTATTTGCGCGTACTGCCTTCAGGATATCCTTTTTTTTCAGTGTACGCATCGATAGCTGCTATCTCTCATTGCCACAGCCGCGCTGGTGCGTTCCGACGGTAATACGCGTATGATGGAGCATCGCCACTCCCAAAACATAGATTTTGAAACTCAATTCGCGGATCAGGAAGGTATATCTGTCCAACTACAGCTTAATAGCCTGTACTGAACGTAGGCGATAGATGCTCCAGTATCAGAAGACGTCACGGCCTTTCTGCAGGAAGACAAACCCTATATAACACGACACTTGGACGACCCAATCTTGGAAAACGGAAATGACACCTTGAAGAAGCCCGATTACAACCGAAAGCCGATGCCGGCCCCAATCTTTGACAATAGCCCCTTTGACGGCTGGTCTTCACACCCGTCTTCGCACTTCTCTCAAAATGCTGTGCGGCCTCCAAGTCGATGCCCAAGTCTCATGAGCAGTGCTACTTTGAGCAGTCGCAACTCATCAACCAGGTCCACTAGGTCATTTCAGTCCATAGGAAGACATTTCAGCAGACGCAGCAAGAAAGAAACAGATGACACTTCCGCCATGGCCAACAGCGAACACTCTTCTATACAAAGCACCCGCTTCACTGCACAAGTTGTAGAATTATGTCCGTGGAAGGGATGCGAGCGCCACCTAAGGCAAGTTATGACTGTACGAAATGCATGTAAGACATACACTGACTTCGCATCTCCACATCTGTAGAGGATTCACGAAAGCCGGTGATAGAGAGCGCCATTTGCTTGTTCATTGCGAAACGACACTAGTCTGTGGCTTTTGCAAATTATCGCCCTCTCATCGGGCAGTATTTGGAGAAGGCCTTGATCGGGTGTCTGAATTTCTGAAACACTTGGTGTGGTGCCATTACGACGATTTCTCGTGCCCACCAACAAAGTACTCCGGTATGGATCCTGCGTATTCCGATCTAGCAGAATGTCCTATCTGTAAAACAAGTTTTACAGCCGGATCAATGTACGAACACCTGCCGGATTGTGTTGGCCGCGAAGTGACAAGGATGGCGGATTCAAGCGTTTGGAAATACCGAGCGTCAGATGATGTACAGTGCGATACATCCGTCAATATCACGACACGACGAGGGACGTTGGTATCCAAATACAATGAAGGGAGACCGTCAGTCCATGACACGCAAAACGAATTCGATGAACAATCAGAGCTCACGTATCTGGGGTGCGGAGACATTGCGGAACTGACAGCATCGTCAAGTCGCCTCTCTCTTGTCTCATCTAGGACAACTACATCATCTGAAGAAGAGACAGACTGCTCTGAATACATATCATCTAGAGAGAACTCTCCGGCTGTTTCACAGATTTCCAGCCAGGTAGTGTCTGCGAAGCGGCGACTCGTGGATGCTATCATGGAAGAGTTCCAGAAAGTCTTCAGCGCGACCCTCCGAAACCATGCCACTAATGAAGCCAACCCAAGTTCTAGTGGCAATACAACAGGACATCCTACAGGTGTACCCGCATATTCAGACACTTCATTCATATCCAGGAAGCGCAGCTTGAGTGGAGATGGCTCAACTCCTCCAGATGATGGCGACGATTCAAATAAGAGACGTAGGCCAGACTCTGTATCTAAAGGCAAGCAACCTATTTCGGAACTCCGATTCGCATGCCCTTATTACAAACGCAACCCAGGTAGACATCAAACCTTCACATCTTGCAGGGATCCAGGCTTCACGACAGTAGCGAGGTTAAAGTGAGTCACTTTGGGGCTTGCTGTTACACATCAAAGGCTAACGTCGCCAGGGAGCATCTATACCGGCGACACTTACTACCACCACAATGCCACCGTTGCTGTACGACGTTCACCAATGATATTGCACTTCGAGAACATCAACGCGATCCGAACGGTTGCGAGCTGCGTGAGCAGATACCTCTGGAAGGATTCGATAAAGAACAAGAGAAAAGAATGAAAAGCAAGAAAGGCAGCCAGATGCACCACAGCGAAGTAGAGAAGTGGAAAGCTGTATACCGTATTTTGTTCCCAGATGACCATGATGCAGACATGCCAAGTCCTTGTAAGTTACATTGTTCATCGAGGCTGGAATGCACAGATGCTGATATATGAAGACATCGAATACCAACGCAATACTGCGAGCGCAGGCGAGCCATCAAGCAGCACCCGCTTCCAAGAGTTCTCGCGTCTCGAGCTTCCACGTCTCGTTCGCCGGACACTAGAGAGTATAGTAGAACATGAAGCCCAGCCACTGGAGGACAGGCTAAAGGAACGACTAGTGGACATTGTCAGGCAATGTCAGATGCAGCTCGAGACGATGTTTCAAACAGCCGCTGGGCCAAGCAATACAAGGGCAGGAGCCACTTTGAGTCCGAGAGCTATACTGTCGGAGCAAGTCATTGAGCGCCACATCGATACGCATCTACCTACCACGCTCGGCGGCTCTGTGTCAACAAATTCACAGCCGACATCAGAAGTCGACCCATCTCAACTCCAAATCTACGAACCATCTTGCCCAGGCGGAGTGGTTTTTGAAATGGCCGATCTTATATCTGATTCTTCAGATTCGGGCTACGATTCTACCAGCCTAGCTGCTTTGTCCACAACTGGTGTCCAGAATGAGTTGGCTCAGGAATACCTCAATCCAAACCAGGATCTTGACCTCAGCGATTACCTAAACTTTCCTGAAACTACAACAGGTACTGCGGTACAGTTGACGCAGACAGATGCGAACGATAACCATCCCATGTGGTCCCTCGTCGATAAATTCCCATATACCAACTATGAGAACTCAGAAGAGCTGGACCAGGTGAATGACTTAGGTCGTGTCTGGCAGTAGTAGTCACTTTTTAGCTTATTTTCGACACCATATGTTTCGATTGGGTTTGACAGGACTCCCCTCAGTTTAATGCATCTGATAGGCTATCCTTCAAATAGCTGAGCCTACCTCTGCATGCCACTATTTACATCTTGCCGTAAGGCTATACAAGCACATATCGACTTCAGGTAACGATCTCGTTGGGGGATTGTCATGGTACGCATGACCTTAGCATATCACGCACACAAATGTGACAGAACTTGAATACTTTTCAACTTATGCATTGTCGGGAATTAAGATACCAGTGGACCTCCGATAACTGTTACATCAAGTCAACAAATTGCAGCAAAACTGTTACGTCGGGGCCTTGATATAGTAACTTCTCTCATCTCAATTCATACATATAAGAAGCAGAATGGTATCAAACTCCACTTGAGTCCAATCCTCCCCTGAAAGGAAAACCCCAATATTCCGGCTTAAAAAATATAAAAGTCCACAAAAGCTTGTCCCTAATGTACATTGTGTAACGGTGGCCGAAAGCGTTACCCCGTATTATGATCCCCCGACGCGCCATCACCCGCAAACCCACCATTTCCAAAGCCGCCATCGCCGAAATAAAGCATGTCATGTGGTAAGTACTCCAAGTCCCAAGGCATCATATCAGCGCCTAGAAGGGACATATCGACATCTTGTGTGTCGATGACCATATCGCCGAAAGTGTTGTCTGAAGGTGTATTGAAAGTTCCGAAAGTGGGCGAAAATTCTGTTTGAGGGGTAGGATGTAGTTGGTTGTGTTGCTGTGAAGATGAACGTGTGTACGACGTTGGATTTTGTAGTGGCGTTCTGATGGCTGACGGTGAGCCACCAGAGAACGGAGAGTGTAGGTTTAAGAGGAGGTCCGCATCTGACACCAAGACCGGGTCTGGGGTAGGGATGTGGTTGAAAGATGGGTTTGGCGGGGGCGGTGGCATGGACGCTGAGCTGAACTGCGAGAAAGCGGAAGGTGACGGTAGAGATTGGTGACGTGGCTCGAATTTAATGGGAGGATCCGATATCAACGAAGCGATGGAGGGCTGAGTACTGGCTGGAGGTACTTTTGTAGGTGGTGGCTTTGTGCTCCGACCTTCACCATTCTCGGATGTGTACATAACTGCGACATTTGTTGAAGGCGAGTTCATAGTACCAGTAAGCGACCATCCGATGGCTGTCGAGGGTTAGTAGGTGGTCATGTTTGTGTGCATAGGGAACATACCTTGGCTGGGGTGTACCATTGGCGAGCCGGGCATATTTGGCGTCCTGGCACCCTTGCGTATTGCAGCCGCCATCTTTGCTACATCAGCATCTGAATTTTGTGCTGTCAGATAGGTCCCCCAGCTAAGCTTCCTTCTCCAGCCAGGACTGGTGAACGATGGCTCAGGTCGAGGGGCTTCTAATGCACTTTCCATCTCTTCGGTTGTGTACAGCAGAGGATCGCCAACGCCTTTCGCCTTTTGATCCAAAACAGTCATAATGTATTTGACTCCAGCCCAGTATGTTTCTAAGGCCTTGAGGGCGCGATAACAACGTTGATAATTTTGGTTGGCAGCAGACGCAAGCAATGTATGCTTAGCGGCTGTTTGCTTTTGCTCCAGGTCTTTGACAGAGCTGTTGGTAGAATTCAGACGGTCGAGGGAATGTTGAGTAGAGGTCTTTTGTCCGTTTTCCCCATTTCGACCGGGACTTGCAGGACAAGACTGAGGCTGGGACGATGCTGAGTGAAGTGCCGTTTCTTTAAGGAAGGCACACGCGGCTATGTATATCGGTTGACTAAAGCTTGGTTAGTGTGTGGTACCATCAGTAAAGACGTAACCTGATCATACCTGGTGAAGGGATTGCCAATTCCAGTCTTTACATCAATGAGCTCGGTAAAGGCTAGTATATCAGCGACAGTCTTGGCAGAAGACATGGAAAGTTCTCTGCTGTTAGTAGACAAAGATTGTGGAGTTCCTTCGAACGTCCGGAGCAGCGTTGGCTGATGCAGAAGAACGATTAGGGTATGGAACCAGCAATGCAGTAGAAGAAAATTCGTTCCCTGATTGAGCTTGACATATTGCTGGAAGTTGACTGCGTTGAAGTGAAGCTTAGGCGACAGGTTTTGGTAGATGCCTGTCAAGCGATCTTCCCATGCTCCGAGTTGCTTCTGCAGGTCAGCTGTGATGTCATCAGCGCTTCTTATCCGGTTCAGGAGATCAGTCACACGACCGTAGAGGTGAATGATACGGATCAGTGCCGGATATGGCAAAGGCCATCCAGAAGAGTCGACCTCATCCAGGGAAGGGAAAGAGATTTCGATATCGCGATCTCGGAGGGTGACCGGCCGTCCCGTTCCAGAAGATATGACACGATCAAGGAAAAATATTGACCAAAAAGTATCCAGCCTCTCGCGCTCAGCGGCTCTTTGCTCTTGCTCCTCCGCACTACTCCCGTGGCTATCTTGAATAGTTGGTTGCTCCGCGTGCCGCCCACCATCTGGGTAACTTTTAATGGAATTTGGCGTTGGTCCCTTGCGACCTTCGTACTTCAGACCTCCCACAGACTGCATGCCTAGATCCTGTGCCATGCGAATGGCTATACCGAGATACATCCAAAGTCCACTGTCGCGGCTCGCACCGAATTCATCGTATGCAAGAAGTAACGCAGCTTGTACCACTGCCACACTAGGACATGGAAAAGCATCTGGAATAGCTGATTTTGCTCGCTGGGCAAAGGCTTGGCCGTGTTCCGAAGGCGGGACTTTTGGAGTTTCGGTACCATCATCCTTCTGTTGGTCGCTCTTGCCTGTCAGCATAGGATGTGTCGAGAATCGGGCCGCTAACGCACAGACAGCGTCGACGAGGATGGCATCCACCTGCTTCTCTTCCAAGTCTCGCAAAAAGCGCTCTCTTTGTAGGAAGGGGAAAGAGCAGCCAAGGTGTAGGAAGAATAGTTTACAGAGATGGGTGATGAGCGGACTTGGTGACATTGACGAGGCATCGTATACGGGTATCTCAGCTGGCGTGCGGGCTTCTGGCGCTGGTGGTGAGCCAACTGATGGCTGTGCGGGCGAGGACTCGATTGCGTGTTCTGGACCAGTCAGCTACATGAGACGGGAATACAGCAGAGCAGCAAGAGAGCGTCTGCGCTGCAAGGGCGCAGGTGCTCCTCGATAACCGCATCACGAGCTTGAAGTGCGTCGCGCGCGGGATATACTTACGATCTGATGTAGTCTGAGCACTACCATGTTGCTTGCCTCGCACTTTGACGACCATCTGTCGCAGTCCAGGCACTATGGCTGTAGGTCCGAAATACCTGAAGTATGGCATTCGGTTGCGCGTGCTCAGGCTCAAGCCTCCACTGCTGCCAGTTGATTCTACCTTGGGCGAGGCCTGGAGGCTTGATTCCGAGGTTTGCGACGTGGTATGCGGCAGATGCGGTCGCGTGAGCTGAGGGTCGATGGGCGGCTCTTGCTTCCTGGAAGGCGTGCTGGTCGACACGGTACTCTCTCTTCTCGCAGCCTTTTTGCCATCCTTTGGGGTTTCGCCTGCGCCATTGTCGTCGCCGTAGCCGGCGCATTCATGCTTGTTCTGGATGCAAGTTCCGCACACAGGCCGTTCACCTACTCTGCTGTCAGCAAACCACAGTCAAGGCAGTCAAAGTCCCATACCCGAACATCGCGTCTTCTTCTTCCTGCATGTCAGGCACGCAGAATTAATGCGACGCCGCTTCGCATAGGGACCATCATGGTTCGTCACAAAACGAATGGGCTTGGGCTGAGACACGGCAGCGTTCGCAGAGGCCGTCTGAGGGGCTCCTTGATTCATTAAAAGCAGAGTGTGTTCTCAGAAGCAAGCGGAAATGGCCGCATCAAAGGCGTGTCTCGATGATGCAGGGAAAGCAGTTTTGAGTGGGGTAACAACAGCTGCCAGATGCGCGTCAAGGGTCGATCATGAGCCAGACCCGACAGTGGAGAACATGCAAAGTAACGAGAAGCTGTGGAGAAGCCAGCGCATATTCAGAGAAGCCGGTTCGAGGAGATCGGCAAGCGCTACGACGTGACTTTGATACCCGACGGAAGTGAGTTGACGGGGAGTGGTCTGGGTTGCGGAGCGGAGAACCCCAGATTTGGGTCGTCGGTCGACGCTACAGCGACCGTGTCCGAGCGCGTTTGTGGAAAAAGTCGCCCCGGTGGGTCCCACTCGGCGTGGGAACAGCGTGCAAGCCATCTGCACAGTCGCTCCGCACCACCATGGAGTCAATCCGCCCAGCACTCGCCAGCATACGCCTGTCAGCGCCCCAGCGAGCCTACAGGCCGCTCTGCCAATGTCTACACACATCAGCCACACGAGGCGCCACGCCGCTGCCTCATCCATCCGGTACGACAAACCAGTGCAGCCATCATGGCCAGTAATTAACCTCTGACAGTTCCCGGGCCACCGCCTGAGACGCCTCAACCACAGCCATCAGATGCATCCGAACGAGTTGCGAGGAAGAGGAGGCAGGCGGATATGATGAAGCAGGCGCGCGAGATGCGCGACGTCTACGCCCCCACCAACAACAAGCCCAAGAACATGCTGGCCAAGCGCTTCTGGAAGGACGTCTCAGTCACCGAGGGCGAGGGCGGCCTTCAAGTCTTCCTCGACCATCGACCTGTCCGCATGCCCAACAAGCAGATCCTCACCGTCCCCACGTCCAAGCCCCAGCTGGCGACCGCCATTGCTCTCGAGTGGGATCTCCTCATGAGTGCGCAGCAGGCCCTCAAGAACGATTACATCCCCATGACCTCGCTCGCCGCCCGTGCAATCGATATTGAGGCCGCCGATAGGGAAGGAAGGGAAAACATTAGGACAGACATCCTGAGCTATCTGATGCGTGTGCTCGACACGGACACACTGCTCTGCTGGGCGCCAGCAAAGGTCCTCAACGAGACGCTTCAGAACGGGAAGACACTGCGAGAGGTCCAGGAGGAAGTGGCTACAGACATCATCGCCTACCTCCGGACACATGTGTGGCCGGGTGTAGAGATTAAGCCCACACTCGACCCCGAGACCATCATTCCCACTGAGCAACCCGAGATGACAAAGCAAGTCATTCGCGGCTGGTGTGCACGTCTTCCAGCATACGAGCTTGCTGGTCTTGAACGCGCAGTCTTGGCATCCAAGAGTTTGCTAGTCAGCGTGCGACTGATCCATGAATGGGGCGAAGCATTTGCGCAATCGCGAAAGGTCAGTGACGCGCCACGCTTCGGCATCAAGGAAGCCAGCGATGCGTCGAGCTTGGAAGTTACGTGGCAAACACAGCAATGGGGCGAGGTAGAGGACACACACGATGTCCAGAAGGAGGATTTGCGGAGGCAGCTGGGAAGTGCCATCATCCTTGTGGGTGGAGACTCGGCGTGAGCATGTTGCCATGCCATGTATAAAATGTACGTTATGTGAACATGACCCAGATGATGTATCAACCTTGGGTGTGTCGTCTGTAGCCATGAGAATCAGTCCAATACTTGTATATGCTAGTCTAGTCGGCCATGACATATGCCCGAGCAGTTCTCTAGGCGGGTGGGCGATCTTGGGAACAGTAGGGCCAGTCTAGCGGAGCAATAGTCGTGATTCGCTGGAGGAGCGGCCTGGATTGCGCGCCCCTGACGAATGCGCCCAAAAGCTGCTCAAAGCCCCGCCGCGACTGTGATGAAATCCTACAAAGGCGCGACTTGCGCACACGAGATACCTGGGCTATTCTGACTTGGTGCTGACAGCGATCCAACCGAACTCCTCCTCTACCTACCCAGCTTCTTCCGGCCCGCATATTCTTGGCTCGCTGGCCAATCACGCAACCATGGAAGGGTAGGTGCGCCCGCTCCAAGCTTATGCTGCCGTCATGGCGGGGGACATGTGGAGGACGAGGCAGCCCGTTGTGAGATGCCCTAGAGTCACGTCTAACCACTCGTTGTAGGCACAAGCGGTCCAAGTCGGCCAGCGTCAAGAATCTCCTTTCGCGCGTCACATCCAAGACCGACGTGCCTACCACAGACGGCAACAACGGCACCGGCAACGGCAACAGCAGTGACACTAGCCCGCCCAGTACTGCCATTTCCTCCAACTCGCAGCCCTCGCAATCCGTAACATCGCCCTCGGGACACAGTCGCAGTCTGTCCAAGAAGCAAAATCCACACCTCTCGACCACCATGTCCAACGCAGGCGCGGGGCAAGAGAGCCTGAGTCCCTCGGCCTCGAGCTTCCAGCAGTCGCCAAGCTCGCCCACCAAGTCGACTTCGATAGAGCAGTCCGTGAAGCTGTTCAGGGTATTCGAGTCGCTTAGGAATGGAGACACAGCAGCCATCTCGAGAGCCATAAGGGACCAGGCCGGGTCAACAGAGGGCGAAGACAGCAGATCATCGCTGCAGCTACCCAGCGCACGCACAGAAGGCACATCGATCCTGCACCTGGCCATACAATGTGCCGAGGTGCCCGTCATTGAGTTTGTGCTATCAAACGCAACGGCAACACCAGACTCGCCCATCGACATCAATGGCCGCGACCGCGATGGCAATACCCCACTCCACCTCGCAGCCACCCTGGGCAGAAACCCAGTCGTCCGAATGCTGCTCGATCAGCCTGGCATCAACGATTCAGTCACCAACTACAACGGCCAGACACCGCTGGATCTCGCTCGCACACCAGACATCTTCCAGCAGCTGCAGCTCTCGCGATCCATATTCATCGACACCCACGTAAAGAAGATACAACACATGGTGACCACGGGAGACATGGACTCGTTGGAGAAGATACTGCAAGATGCTAGGATAAAGAGCACCCTAGACGTCAACGGTGGAGAGCTGGCGACTGACCCGGTCGTGGTAGATGCAGGCGGTACACTCCTGCACGAGGCTGCTAAGAAGAAGGATGTCAAGCTGGCGCAACTGCTATTGCTTAATGGAGCTGATCCCTTCCGCCGAGACCGAAAAGGCAAGCTTCCTCAAGACTACACCAAAGACGACCGTACGCGCGCTATTTTGAAGCGATCGCCTGCTGCCGCAGCAGCTCAGAGGGGCATCCAAGAAAAGACAATCCTCGCGGGTGGTCCTCCAGGACAAACTGCAACCGAAAGTGGCATGGGCGCGAAAGAGTCGCGGGAGATGAAGGGCTACCTTAAGAAGTGGACAAACTACAGAACTGGATACAAGTTGCGATGGTTCGTGCTCGAGGACGGCGTGCTCAGCTACTACAAGCACCAGGACGATACTGGATCTGCATGCCGAGGTGCCATCAACATGAGGATTGCGAAATTGTACATGGACCCTCAAGATAAGCAGCGGTTTGAAATTCAGGGAAAGTCGTCAGTCAAGTACCATCTCAAGGCGAATCACGAGGTTGAGGCCAAGCGATGGTACTGGGCTCTGAACAACGCGATTCAATGGGCCAAGGACGAAGCACGAGAGGAAGAGAAACGGGCCACTCAGGATCAGGAGATGCTGAAGCAAGCCAAGATTGAGCAAATCAAGGGCGAGGGCGACACGTCTAGTGTCGGCAGCTCCAAGTTGGCAGCAAGCTCGCGAAACATGGCTGCTTCATCCACTCTCGGAGTTCCAATGCCTAGCCTCGACAACACATCCTCGCGAACTGCGGTCAGCGTGACTGAAGATCCCGGGAGTATTTACGAGCCTAGCATGAACGGTCACGGTCTGGACAGAATGACCAGCCACATGGGTACCGCTACTGTAGCCGGCGACGATGAAGACGAGGACGATTACGGCGACGATACAAGCAGCCATGAAATGAAGCCCCAAAGTAAAGACGCATTCAATATCACAGCACAATCGGCCAAGTTGCAGCTTGATCTGTTGACATCCGTTTCAGGGGCGTTACAGGCGGAGATGAGTCGTTCACCCGACCTCAAAATTTCTGATCCTATGATGCTCCAGGCATTCACATCTTACGAGTCTGCTATCGGAAACCTGAAAGGGCTGATTGGCGATCTGCTTCGGATATCAAGGGATCGTGACGCTTATTGGCAATACCGCTTGGATCGCGAGGCCAACGTCAGACGCATGTGGGAAGAAAGCATGGCCAAGGTTGCAAAGGAGCAGGAAGAGCTCGAGAACAGGATAGGCGAGTCTGAGGAGAAACGGCGAAAGCAGAAGAAGGCTCTACGGGAAGCGTTGGAGGACTACGAGACAACTGAACCCAAACCAGATGCCAAAGATGAAGAAGACGATTTCGCTGACGCACCAGAAGACGCTCAGCAACAAAAAGAGCTGGGGTCGGGTGTAGGACTTCCAGCTAAGAATCAGAAAGTTAGGAGAAAGGCTACGTTCGCCGACATCGCTGCCGACATATCAGACTCTGAATCAGAAGATGACGAGGAGTTCTTCGACGCTGTTGGTGCTGGAGAGGTTGAGGTTGTAGAAATGCCTGCGGCTGCTCCCAAGGAGACTGCACAAGTCGACGTACCAGCCTCCTCAGATGATCCGTTCGAGAAGAAGCACATGGAGATCGCCACAGCTTGGGCAGGCTACGAAGATGGCCCGCGGAAGAAGCTTGCCATGGACGCAGACGACAGGCCTAAAATCTCGCTTTGGGTATGTTTGATGTCGCAGTACATCCACCAGACGCTAACAGCTCCCAGGGCATTCTCAAGTCCATGATCGGCAAGGACATGACTAAGATGACATTGCCAGTGTCATTCAACGAGCCCACTTCACTGCTTCAACGTGTTGCGGAAGATATGGAATACACTGATCTCCTAGACACCGCTGCTGAACGCGACGACTCTACCGAGCGAATACTCTATGTTGGTGCCTTTGCTGCATCAGAGTATGCTTCGACCATTGGACGTGTTGCAAAGCCTTTTAATCCTCTTCTCGCTGAGACATATGAGTATGCCAGGCCAGACAAGGGCTACCGTTTCTTCATTGAGCAGGTCAGCCATCACCCACCTATCGGTGCTGCTTATGCGGAATCCAAAAAGTGGGATTACTATGTAAGTGCCAACATTTGCCCTCACATCACACTTTCTAATGCAGCCTAGGGTGAATCAGCAGTGAAGTCCAAATTTTATGGCAAATCTTTCGACATCAACCCACTCGGAACTTGGTTCCTTCGTCTTCGGCCAACTGTCAATGGTGGAAAAGAAGAGCTGTACACCTGGAAGAAGGTTACATCCTCTGTCATTGGCATCATAACTGGTAACCCTGTTGTCGACAACTACGGTACCATGGAGATTACAAACCATACGACGGGAGAGAAATGTCTTATCGAGTTCAAGCCACGTGGTTGGAAGGCTTCGTCAGCCTACCAAGTCGTTGGAAAAGTCTTTGATGCGCAGAATCGAGTCCGCTGGAGCATTGGCGGTCGATGGAACGACAAGATCTACGCCCGCTTCACCCCAGGCTTCGAGGATGTCGATGTTGAGAAGAGCGGAAAGAGTTCCAAACACGACGACAACAAAGCTTTCCTTGTCTGGCAGGCTCACGAGCGCCCAACAGGTATACCTTTCAACCTTACTCCTTTCGTCGTGACCCTCAACGACATTCCCGACAAGCTTCGCCCTGTTGTTGCCCCAACAGACACGCGTCTCCGCCCCGATCAACGCGCCATGGAAGATGGAGAGTACGATTTTGCGGCTACAGAGAAGAACAGGGTGGAAGAAAAGCAGCGAGCAACCCGCAGACAGCGAGAAGCTGAAGGCAAAGAATTCGTACCCAGGTGGTTCAGCAAGGGCAGGTGTGAAACGACTGGTGAGGAGTACTGGGTCTTCAACCATGAGTACTGGCAAGTGAGGGACCGTGTTGCTAAAGGAGAGATCACATGGGCAGAAGCAGGCACGGAAGACATTTTCTAGAAGTTTTGTTGAAGATCTCAAAGGCCCGCTAGTAGGATAGTCGCGGGCGCTTAATGTACATGATTCTAAATTCTCTTCAAGAAAGCTTGACTCGGCAGGAAATTCGTCATCTGCCTAGCTCACCTGTACTCTCTCTCTCTCTCTACAAACCCTTCATACATCCAACTCAACATAAAGCCTGAGTTCCTTCTCTTGCATGACCCTATACAGCTTCGCCTTCTCCTCGCTCCTAAAAACATCCCTCGCATCTGTAAAGGCAAACATGATGTACTCTTTACACCATGGCAGGTTCCTCAACCCAGCGTAAAACGTGTCCTTGACCCGTTGTTCCGCTTCCTCGACCCTCATCTCCCATTTACTCTTCTTACCATCTCGGCGTGGTTTCTTGTTCGCATGCCACTGCTGCTGTCGTGCCTGCTCGCTATGCAAACACTGTAATTCAAAGTTGACGTAAGTTTTCCAGAGTGCAGGACAGCGAGACCCTGTCACCGAGTCTGTAGCGCGTCTGTACAACGCACGGATAGAATGGCTAGTCGAGCCCGCCCTCTCGTCTTTCAACGCCTCGTAGTGTATGGCGAATGCCCAGCCTGCTAAACTCTGTTCGTCCGGCTGAGAATAGAATCCTTCCCAAAATCTTCTAACGCGATCGTCAATTGCAAAACGCGTCTCGTTTGCAGCGTACACGGAGAGCAAGATTGTGTTTGCTGGGAAGTCGTCGAGAACCCAATCGAGGTTGCCGCGTATTAAGGAAGGTTTGACGATGGGGGCTTGGGTGGCGTGGTATGCGAGGAATTGTGCGAGAGATTGAGCGCGCAGTTCTTCAAAGGGAGACTTGTCGAGGCGATGGGATGAGAACCATTGTCTTAGGCGGGAGTAAGGGTAGAGTTGGGGGTTGACGTCGCGGACCGTGTCGCTAAGGAGAACGTGAAGGCAGGTACATATTACTGCTGTTGGGTAGTCGTGGTTTAGTAGTGCATGTTCTTCGATTTGACTGATTTTCTCATATGCAGGTTGGGCCCAAGGACTCGAGTTTCTGTGCTCTGCATTGGGAAATTTGCCTTCTGGCGAGACGAGCCGCCAAAAAGCTTCTTCGTGGTCTCCCCGTCGGAACGCTTCCCATACCCAGTTGCTGAAGAGCTCTAGATTCCATGGGGCTGAAAGCAGATCGTCTCCCTTTTGCATGGACAGCGCCATGCTGAACACTTGATCTGCCTTGGAGGAATTGCCCAGGCGCGATTCAACTAACCCATAAGCGTTGTACAAACGCAAACTTGACGGCCGCGCTTTGAGTAACCGCTTTGCTGTCTTGAATGCTTCCGATGGAAAGTGTTTAGATTCGAAAGCAAGGAGATATTCCCCTACAATTTCTTCGCTTGAAGAATTCGAGGAGAGGAGCTTAAGCAGACATCTGATAAAGTCTGCATCAAGTTTGATTCCGTCAAGCGAGAAGTGCTGCTCGAATAAGAGCTCAGTGGTCATCTGGAAGCTCTTTGCTGAATAGTTAGAGTATCGTTTGACGGCTTTAGTGAAATCATGAGATTCATCAGTGTCTAGACTAGCAGAGTGCCAATGGCGCTGTAAGAATGGATCAGTCCACCAGGCTCGTTGTTGTGGGATACGATGTGCTAGCGGTGGTAGCATGCAGAAGCACAGGAAAGCCTCGATGATCAGTGTCGCTGGTGTCTCAGGCGTAACAATGGCTAAGTAGGGTTCGATATCCGAGAAGAAGATTGTATGGAAGGCATCATCTTCTGCTACATCATCTGATGCCCGACCAGGGTGTCGTAACACCGACGTAGCCTCGCATTCGCGCTTTCGGAAGCTGTCAAAGTTAGCATCTGACGCTTCTCCTTCCTGCAAAGACGAAGGCCCTGGAGGTGGCGCGTCGTCTGTACTGCTATGCTGCCAACCCTTTGCTCCCGTCTCGCCAATACGAGGCACTTCGCTTTCCCAGAACTCTTCAAAGGCTTTAATGTCGGCGCCCGATTGTGGATGCATCAGGTGATGCTCGAATAAGGCCTGCCAGACCGCAAGACCAAGCTCCTGGTATCCTGCATCGTGAACCATGGCTGTCAGACGCAGCAATAGATGCAGGCTCTGTTCTGACGAGATGTCGGCCTTGTTCGCCCGAAGAGACTCTACGCAATTGAAGAAGATAGCGCGACAGTCTTCATATTTGAAGCTTGTGAATCGTGACTGCACAAAGTCGAGGTACATCATCCACAAATCCACACTTTGCGGATGTTTCGCAAGTACGTCCTTCCATTTGCCGGCCAGTTTCGCACCATCCCAAGCTCTTTCTGCCTCTTTCAAGAGGCCCTGATATAACCTCAGCTGGCTATTCTTATCTGGGCCAATCTTCTTCAAAGCCTCCTCGTAGGTAGAGATGCGTACGTCTGCAAGGTGTGCTTTGTCAGATGCGGTCAACTCAGCAGATGGCCGCTCAAGTTTGAGCATGGCCTCCTGGTGTCTGATCAGTGCCAACCAGCCCTGAACGTCTGTGGGGTGTTCTTTCGTCTGCCGTGCAAGCTGGGAGTTTTTTCGAGTGATCTCGGTGTCAATCACAAGCTCGGGATCGGACTCGTACTGCGTGTCTGGGTCTACGGGCTCGCTTGATTTGGGCCCATCGATGCGTCGGTAATCTGCCTCCATTTCCACTTGGTCATCCTCGTCTTCGCTTTCATCGCGTCTTCTCTTGGCGCGTGAAGACAATAAGACAAAGTCCTGGTCGAGACTTGTATCGCCTTCTCCCGTCTTGACCAGTCGTAGAGCGCGTCCACGCGACTTGTTTGCACGCTTGTCTGTCAGTAGTCGCTCTTGCCATCTACGTGTTGCTGGCGTTACAATGATCTTCTTGTCTGTAGACTCGGCTCTGTCGATCTTCTGATTTGCAGAAAGCCCTAGTATGAAGCCATGACCAAATCGACGGTAAGGCGGGATATCATAACGATTCATTGTTCCATAACGCAAGACGTCGGGGTCACCTCGTCGGTCGCTGAAGTAGGGCCTGTCTTTGTTTGACTTTTGCTCACGGGTACTTCTGTCTGGCGAAGGAGATCTTGTCCTGCCCGAAGCTCTCTCTTTAGATGATTTTCCTACTTTCTCATGCTGTTGAGGTTCCTTGGGCGGCTCTGGCTCTACCTTGGGCTTTGGCCGGAAGCTCGCGAACTTGGGAACGTTGGACGACATGACGAAAGACACGGCCACAGCGACCTCACTATCGTAAATGAGGATTCAAGCTAGTGTCATGTAGCTGTTGCTTCCTAGCAGAGCGATAGATTTGATGCGCTTGGTCATGAGCCGGGAAGGCAACTACGACTGACGGCGCTTCGTGTAACCTCTAGATAGGAATTCACGGATCTATATGTTCAGGGTGAATGCGCAGGGCGACAGATGGGATGGAAGATGATTGGAGACGGGAGGCGCAAGGCGCGTCGCACGTGTCTCGGGGGTCCGGCAGCATGTCTGGCTCGAGCGGCCCGCCGTAAAACCTCATTAGCGTGAAATCTTGGCTTCCCGAAATTTTGTATGCGCATCACTGGCTTCAAGCTTCCTAACCGTCCGCCACGACAAAATCTACGCTGTACCGCTGCGTCTGATGGCTCATCGCATTACCAAAAACACACCCCAGAGCCCGTTAGGATAGCGAAATAACTCGAAAATGGCGACGGCGCTACAGAAACAGCTCGCATCCATTGCGGCTTCGAGCACCCATCAGCTCGACCTGCGCGCGCAAAAGTCGGCGCACGGCAAGTCGCTGCTGTTTGATTCCAAGATCGCCGCATCGCAGTCCTTCGAAACCGTCTACCTCATCTGCTACGATGGCTACAAGGACCTTTGCGCGTTGGATCCCAGGTTTCTGCGCTTTTCGAAGAATCTGTTCAGCGAACAGAGCAAGTCGGAAGATCGCACGCAGATGAGCAAGGATGAAAACGCAAAGTTGGACACAGTACTCGAGGCATTCATCACGCTGGTCGGACCAAGGCTACTGTTGAAGCCGGCGGAGAAGGCCCTTGAGTGGCTGGTGAGGAGATTCCGGTGAGTTGATGCACCTGGAAGCCTCTGATGGCTTTCCACACGATTGAGGTTGACAAGAAGCCAGTATCCACGAGTACAACACCGAAACCCTCGTCTTTACCTACCTGCCCTACCATAACACACCGCAGTTTCTTGCACTACTCTCCATCCTACCCGCACAACCACCGCATGCCATCCGCTTCCTCTTTCCCTACATCCAGGCGCCGACCAAAATACCCCAGCGTACCATCGCATACACTGCCATCAATACCCCGCACTTCTTCAACGCCTACCAATCATATGTAACCAAGGTGGTCGAGGCGGGCCACCAGGCCTCGCATATGCTGTCCTTTTGGTCAGGAACCACAGTCGAGGCTATATACGGCATAGTGAGCAATGCAAGCTCTGGCAGAAAGGACCTCCAGGATCAGGGAACCGAGAAACTCGTCTTGGAATTGCTCCCTGTCCTCAACAGCTGCATGCGGGCAAAGCATGGGGCTGACACGGTCCTGGCCTGTTACGCTATCGTCATCATGATGGTCAACCAGGCCAAGGTCGGAGACAAGGTCTTGGATGGACTGATGGATGCTGTCATTGCAGCCCATGACGAAACATCCCTTCAGTCATGCCTCGCATGCCTAGCTATCATCGCCATAGAGCGCTCCAAGGCGCAAATCCCCGCCAAAGTATCAAAGAAACTGCTCAAGGTTCCGCAGCTCGTGCAGAAACTGACGGCGCTGTCACATCAATGTCAGGTCGAACGACTTGTCCTGGGTTGCGCTCTCGGTGCGCTCAGTGATAGCTCCGACGAGAACCGTGAAATGTTCAGCGAGCTGATCGCATCTGGCTTGCTCACCACGTCGCGTGTTCAGATGGTGCTATCAGCACTGGTTCAACTCCTTCGTGATAGTGCGCCGGGTTCCCAAGAGCACGGAGAGGTTCTTCAGCTTGCTACGAAGATGACCGAATCGAAGGAGCTACAAATCACAATGCAGGAAGTGGCGAAGCAGAACAATGTCGATCTGGAATCGTTGGGAATTACTGTTGGCCAAACATTCGATATCGCAGAGATTCTCGAAGACGATTCAGACGAGGAGATGCTCGATGCCGATGAGGATGCAACCGAGAAGCCCCTCATACAGGTACCCGCGATCGCCAGCAAGAGCTTCTTCGATGCCGGTTCAGAAAGCGATTTTATACAAGCCGCCGACGTTTTCGAGCAAGCTGTGGCCACAAAACAGACCCGGCACTTCCTCGTTTTAGACGCGTTGCAGCAAGATTCCGCATTCAAGCAACCAATCTACCTTTCGTTCCTTGCTCGCGTGTGGAGTAGCATCCGACCAGTCGCAGTCCGCGTTGCCGCACTTCGTGCAGCTGCATCATCATTCGAGAAGATTGAAGCTGCACATGTCCTGCAGAACATCTTGCCTTACCTTATTCACGCACTCACTGATTCATCCCCACTTATCCGACGTTCAGCAGCCGCATGTGTCGGATCTCTGGCACGAAAGGCTTCCGCCAAGTCGAAGGCGCAAACGTGGGGAAAGACCGACCTCTATGGGAAGGAATCAAAGACTCTTGCAGAACTCAAGCCTGAGGATGTCCTGGTTTTCGTTTCGTCGATGCTGCAACCGATCTTGGAAGAATGCGTCATGGACTCAAAGTTCGTCATACCTGCGCTTCGCGATGTTCTGGAAGGCACACAGTTGAAGAACCACGCAAAAAACACAATCAAGATGCAAACCAGGACGTTAGTCCTGGGATTCCTCTCAAGCCATGCCAGTCTTACGCCAGTGTTGAGGGTGCGACTTAGCCTTCTACCAGTGGCGAACATACGCGGCAAAGTTTCCGACACGGTTCGCAGTAACACCATGATTCCCTTGCTCACCGCATGGTCTAGTCTTTCAACTGCAATCGTGACCGCTAGCTGCAACAGCGAAGGCCTTTCGCTTGATGAGGTGGAGCGGGCTCACATTACCTCCACAATGCCCAGAGAGGCGAAGAGCGCTCAGCTGCTTCAAGACATAATCTCTGGAACTCTCAACAAGGACCGCGAAACCCTGGCTGTTGCCGCTTTCCAGCGCATCCATACCTCATGGTCATCCTTCAGATCTGAAGCCCGACACGCATTGGCCCAGTGCATGCTCGGCCTCTCTACTAGTGAAAGCGACACGTCTTTCGACAAGCTATGCAGAGAGCAGTCTATTGAGATACTGCGCAGTGTCGACCTTGATTCCGCTATTCTCGTTTCCTTCTTGGAAAGCATTCCATCTCCTACAGCTATGCCTGGAGGAGCACCTGCTACGAAGAGAAGACGAACAAGCCGAAGTGAGATGGCCCGCGTGGAGCTTTCGTCTCAAGATGACGTTCAGCGACTTCTCCGAAAGCTCACATTGGTTCTTGAGCTAGTTGAGGGATCCAATCCAGGACAACACCCCACGCTGTTCAAGCACCTCTTCTGTATCTTCGCGGAGCTACAGCCACTCAAGCAACAATCTGGATCCGAGCTAGTGTACCTGCAGAGCATCATTCTGGGCTCACTCAGCCCTATCGTAAACACATTCAAGGAACAGACGGACACCACAGACTACCAATCAGCGGTACGAGCAGATCTACTCATTGACTGCATTCGACACTCCGGCAGTCCTCAGGTTCAGAACAGTGCTCTACTGCTCATTTCCAACCTCGCATCATGGGTACCTGATCTCATCCTTCATAACCTTATGCCCATCTTCACCTTCATCGGATCTACTCTACTTCGCCAACATGACGACTATTCCGCCCAAGTCGTCGATAAGACCATTTCCCGTGTTGTACCCCAACTGGCAGCTTCTCTCCGCTCAAAACACAGGGACTTTATCGCTGGAGTGTCCGATCTGTTGCTTAGTTTCACTGCTGCCTTTGAACACATTCCCCTGCACAGGAGGATGAAGCTGTTCACAGAGCTTGCTCGCACACTAGGCCCTGGAGACTCGCTTCCGGCTATTGTGGCGCTACTTGCCGATCGCTACCACAGCAAAGAGCAGCGAAGGTTCTGTGCCGATTTGCTGCTTCATTTCGAACCTGTACACACCCTTGTTACTTTCAAGGGTTACCTCGACCTACTCACTGATGCAGTGGGGCCGAAGCCTCAGGTCTCGGAGACGCTGTTCAGCCTTAAGGAGAAGACAAAAGACAACAAGTTTGATCTATCAATTCAGAGCATGCTGTCTTGCTTGACAGATCTTGCACTCGATGACAAGGTGAAGGCACATGTCACCCGGGCGTACAGAAAGAAGGATGACCCTGAACGGCCACGAAGGATCTTCGCAAACATTGTCGAAACTACTATTCAGTTGTCAAAGAAGCTGGCAACGAACCCCAAGACATACGCAGGTTGCAGCCGTGTCCTTGCCAGCTGCTTGGATCTCCTACCAACAACTGATCTCGTCAAATCTACACAACTACTCCTCTCAAGCGCGGACTCTCATGTGCAAATTGCCGCCGTCAAGTCAGTCGAGCTACGCGCTGGCACCGCTAAGCAGCATGACCGCAAGTCTGTAGAGGCCCTGATCGCTTTCTTACCTAGTGCCCAGGATCTTCTAGAGCAATCGCCGGAGATAGACGCTAAGATGGTAGCTGTTAGCTGCATTGACCGCATCATCGAGCGATTCGGAAAGAAGGACGTGTCTGCTGTTGCATCAGTTGCCCAAATCGTCTCCGGACCACAATCGCTATCCAGCAGCGATGACCGCCTCCGCATCCTATCTCTCCTCTGCCTTACGTCTGTTGTTGACGTTCTCGAGGATGAAGCCATCTCGCTACTTCCTACCGTCTTGCCAACAGCGTTCGAATACCTGTCGCATGCGATCGAAGAAGAGAAGACTGGTCTACACAATGCTGTGTTCACCATCCTCTCAAATATCGTAGAACGATTGGGATACATGTTCTCGCGCGACTATCTAGAGACAGCTCTTCGGCTGTGCCACCGCTCTGCTGCTGCCGATTTGGAACAGGCTTGCGACGAAAGCCGTAGCAGTTTCTTCCAGAGCGTATCTGAGCATCTGGGTGCCCAGGAAGTCTTCGCTGCTCTGAAGTCGACATGGCCAGATGCCGCATCTCAAGGATTTGATGCCTCGCTCGAGCAGCTTGAGCTTTTACGGGCGACTGTCAACACCCAAACCAAAGCTAAGCTTGTTAAAGCGAGCCCGCCACTCTTCAGCCTACTTCTGCAGACTTTCCGCCTACGTGAGGCTGTTCAATCTGCCACCGTGGAGGTTGACGATGAAGAGATTGAACAACTAGAAGGCACTCTTACGGATTCTGTCATTGCTATGGTATTGAAGCTCAGTGATGCCACCTTCCGTCCTTTCTTCGTACAGCTCGTGGACCAAGAGGGCCCCGTTTCTTCCAAGCCCGAACGAGCTATCACCTTCTACAAGTTCCTCGCCGCTTTCTTCGACAAATTCAAGGTATGTAACGATCTATATTATGATGATGAACTATCGCTAACATGTGTTCAGTCTCTTGTAACAAGCTATTCGAGCTACATCATCGAGCATGCTGCGAAGATGCTTACTGGACTTGCTAAGGACGACTCAGAGGTAGCCACCCGCAGCGCTGTCCTCGCAGCCCTCCAGAAGACATTCCAGCATGACCAAGACGGTTTCTGGCAGGCGCCATCCCACTTCGGAACGATAATGCCACCTTTGTTGTCTCTGCTCAACCTCCCGTCCGCCTCTACTTCTACTCCAGAGAACAACACCAACAACGTCATTCCCACCATCACCGAACTCGCTGTTGCATCTGCATCATCTATGGAGAATCACCGTGAGATGAACAGTATATTGCTGAAGAACATGAGAAGCGAGGACAGGAACACAAGACTCGCAACAGTTCTGTGTGAGCAAAGCTTGACGAGGAGGCTGGGTGAAGAATGGTTGGGCTTGCTACCTGAGATGCTACCGTTCATTAGTGAGCTCATGGAAGATGACGATGAGATTGTAGAGAGAGAGTGTCAGAGGTGGAAGAATGGCATGGAGGAGATTCTGGGAGAAAGCTTAGAGGGTATGCTGCAGTAGCGCATGAATTACCATAGTTGATGTAAATAAGGAGTTTGATAACCACGTCTAAATAGATGCAGCTATCTGTGCGTCATTACACATCCAGCATATTCCTCCTTGCGTGCTGTCTCGATATGCGACCTGTATAGCAATGAATGCCGCTATTCGCGATTATGACGTCTGTCGGTAGCGCGCACTGACCATTCCCCTGGGCTTCCAACTTGCCAACCACCTGCATTATCCTTCGCCTCTTTCCCACCCTCGAACCATGGCATCGTTATCATAGCAACCTGACACATGCTTCATCACGAGCCGTGCTTACACAACAGTCGGTAATGTCTCGCAATCACGGATTGTTCTCCGAGGCGACCTTCCAGACCGGGATGAAGAAGACACAATGACAGCAAACGCGAGCATGATCACGTTCAGTATTCCGGCCCTGGAAGCAGATTTCCCTCGAATGTCTTGTTCCTCGCACAAGACTGGTGCTTTTTGGTTCTACTCTATTTGTCTGAAAGCCGATCGCGAGGACGTAAACACTAGGTCTCCCCGGAATAGACGGACAAACCTCAAAAAATGTTGAGTATGGAGTTCGCAATGTTCGTTTGCGACAGTACATATTTGAGCGAACTCTTGTGAAAACAGAAAACTTAGTATGGTATCAACTTCTTTTCATAAGCACTTTGACCTTCCTGATGTCTTTTCATAGCAACGTTTGCCAGTGCGTCGCTAATAACGTCGGATGCAGGATATTCCATATCCATTTCTCGAAGGCTCGACAATATCGCGCTCTTTAGCTATTTCGCGCCATAATCTCTGTTGCCTCATCTTCATTTCTTATACTTTCCTCGATATCCATATCGCTTGCGCACTTACCACTTGCCACTTGTATGGACTTTCACTTGAATTACTGGCATCAAGACTCACCCTTGCAGCATCAAACATGAGGTCAGTGCGGCTCACGTGTATCATCCACTGGTGCCTGACCACTGCCACTGTTGCGTATAAGCCCTCACACCATTCTCTTCCATTTTGGTCTCCAAAGTACGACACTCACGCTTCCTCGCAATCTGCTTCCATAACCTATGATATCGAGTACACAAGCCAGCCTCATATCACTACGTGCCAGATTTTCCGTCCGGTTGAGCCTTGATCCAGATATGGCCGAGTCTTTTAACAAGAAACGCAAAGCTCAAGTGTCGGAGCTGACCCTCGAAGATGATCATAGAGCTACGCAGCACAGCAGGGTGCCTTCAAGTCGAACAAGCGAAAGCCATAATCCCCTCGCGGACCGAATGTATACCCGGAGGAAAATCACGAAACGCCAGAAGGTCGCGCAGGCCAAGAGTGATGTAAGTCTAGGACGTGAATCAGATGCACTGACTTTCACAAACGAGCCCACGAACACTTCAGCTGCGGAAGAAGGGGACATAGTAACGGAGGATACGCCTGTGCGAGATCTGATAGCATTGCCGAAGGGAGCGCGAGCTAGAAGGACCAAGGCGAAAAAGAGGGTTGTTGAAGAGGCAAAAGATGAAGACGACGATGCAAAAGTCCAGGAGCGACTACGTGCTAGATTGACCAGTAAGAGATATATGTGTTCTTTCTGTGGACGATTATGACTAACTCTCTTAGTCTTCGATCCAGAACCCCATCCTGCCTTTGAGCCATGGCATTGCGATTTTGCAGCACCTACGCCACCGTACGACGATCAACAGGCATGTCCAATTGATTGGTCAAAAGTAGCCATTCTACATGACGACCCTCTGCACTGCCAAGAAGCCTACGAGTTGCGTCGTCCATGGGACAAGGAGCCACTAGCATGGGACAAGGTTGCTCAAAAGATGTGTCTTCCTACTTCTAAGGACGGCACAACTCGGAACATCAGTCCAGAGGGAGGACGAAAACGGTTCATGGCGGCAAACAAAGCAGTCTTTGAGCTGACAGGCGTTTACTTCCCCAAGAGTTCGCTTGGACTTGAAGGTCATGGCATACCCCTGCACAGAGACTTGAAGCCGATTCTGGAGAAACTTGCTGAAACGCATGTCGTTGTCGAGAAGAAAATAATGGCCCCTTTCGAGGGTGATGCGCCAACCGGGACGGATCCATTCGTTGACCGGAAAGATAAGCTTAGCATCACAGACATTCTTCGATAAGAGTCGCGCTGTCATTTGTTGCAGGAAAACTCGTTACCTATCTGATCGACTCGAACATAGATGTTTTGCATCCAGGAGTGATACATGGCAATACTACTATACACTAGTTCGAAATACGTCATTGATTGAATGATTGAAGGTCTCGATATCAGACATTGCCTGAGGGTTTCTGGTGCTATCATGCGTCCACTGCATGATTGGGCCGATCCTTGTCGCTCAATCTATGGATGCACTTTACGCCACTCACCAGACATTCCAACAACCATTCCAGCGGATTCTTTCGAGACGATGGCCTAAAGAGAAATGCTTGGAATACGGCACTTGTACGCCCCACATTGCTGCACATATTCATCCTTTCTTGAATAAACATCTCGCATCAATGGCCCTGCTCCTCTCCACTTGTCCCAGGGAGATACATACAGCGTTATCGAAACACCATGATGTACTTTTCTCTAACAACTCTTGTACTAGCAAGCGCGGCATGCGCTCAGAATGTCAGTCGCGGCGCAGCGATGATGCGCTTCGCATGTTCGCAACTCACGGTCGAACGTTTGGATCCTTTGGTCAACCCTGGCGTTATCGGAAGCCCGCATACACACCAGATCGTTGGAGGAAACAGCTTCCAGCCCGAAATGAAGCCTGGAGAATATGAAATGGTGGAAAAAAGCACTTGTACTACGTGCACATTCAGCGAAGATTTCAGGTATGTGACCAAAGCTATAAAGACTGTCATAGAGCATACATTCAGAACGCTATAATAGCTGACGAAGCGCAGCAATTATTGGACCGCAGCATTATATTTTCGCGCACAGAATGGCACGTACAAACGTGTTCAGCAGTTCCCGAACGGTGGGCTAAACCAGAGAGGTGGTATGACAGTATACTATATACCTCCATATGATGGTGTCAGCAGCGTGACTGCCTTCAAGCCTGTTAGTCCATACTTCGATTCTTTCTATCAACAAGATAACAATAGATCTTCACGAACCTAAGCTGTATCGCTGATATTAGAACAGGGCTTTCGCATGCTCGCCGGCAACCCGCTCCTTCGCAACACCACCGGTGAATCCCGAGGTATCTGTCATCGTTGCATCTACAAGAATGCGCAACCCTTCGGCGGTGCCCCGTGCACAGAAGAAGACACGACATTTCTTCCCACCCGCATGTGCGAAGGCGGTATCCGTACACAAGTCACGTTTCCTACATGCTGGGACGGCGTAAATCTTGATAGTCCTGACCACCAGAGCCATGTTGCATACGCGGAGATCCCCTACGAACCGTATGTTGCACCCTTTGCAACGTATCCATATACGCCCGAACAGCAGAGGGGGAAGTGCCCAGAGGGATTTCCGATTATGCTGCCACAGATCATGTATGAGGTCATGTTCGATACAACGCCATTCAACCAGAAGGAGCTATGGGGCAAGGAGGGAACACAGCCTTTTGTATTCAGTATGGGTGATGCGTAAATCTCCCCCGTTCCGCCGAAATACTTGAAAGCCTATATTGCTGCTAACTCTGGAAGATAGAACTGGCCACGGCAACCATGGTGATTATATGTTCGGCTGGAAGGGCGATGCATTGCAGAGGGCGCTCAATGCACGGTGCAGTAACGATTATTGTGATGAGCTGGAGAGGCAGAGCGACGAAGATGCAATGAAGTGTAGTATTCCACAGACGGTGGTAGAGGATGTCGATGGCTATGAGTGTAAGCATTCTCTTTTGCATGAGAGGTATCGTGCTAATATATTGGACAGGGCTTGAAAGTCTACCCGGTGGAGTGCAGATCAATGATGGCATGCAGATCTAGCAAAGGCGACCACCTCTTTTACGCGTAGAGGCACGCTAAAGCTCGGCAGTGTACAAGAATCAGAATGAAGACAAGGAAGAAAGAAACGATTCCATACTGCCTTGATTGATTGTCCTAGTCCATCTTTTCTAATCTCAATAAGTTGCCGCTACGGTCATCGCCCCCCCTTTGAATGTAGACGTAAGAAGAGAATCACGTTTGGACTCTGAATCTCTTCAGTCATGGACATTTTTTCAACCAGACCTCTCTGCAGTATCGACACATCTGATAGCAATGAAGAACGTACATGACTTGCTTAGGACGAACATAGGCTTTCAGCACTTCACGCTGTGCTGGATACATCATTGTACAAGAAGCTTCGATTAACTTTCATGATATTGTGACTACATGCAGACTCTCATCATCTACAAGACGACCTTGTTAGGTGCCTCCTGCTCCTCTGGCTCGTCAAAGATGTTGATGCTCCATCTGGGCTTGTTGGCTGTGTATGGTACGTTGTACCTTCTCCTGCCCTGGTGCTCATCCGAGAACTTGGTGATAGCCTTGATGTCTTCATCGTCGAGCTCGATCTCCTTGAAGTTCTCGGCAATCCGAGACGCAGTGACTGACTTGGGAATGACGGAGTGGCCACCGACTTGAGACCATGCAAGAATGACCTGTGCTGGTGTTGCGCTCTTCTTCTCCGCAATAGCCTTGATCTCGGGGCGGTGGATGAGCAGCGGGATGTCAAAGAAGTTGTTGCCGAAAGCGGAGTAGGCAGTGATGTGGATGTTCTTCTCCTTGGCGTAGGCGACGAGCTCCTTGCTAGGGAGGATAGGGTGACGCTCGATTTGGTTGACAGCAGGGACGAGGCCGGTCTTCTCAACAAGAGCTTTCAAGGTCTGGTATGTAAAGTTGGAGACACCGACGGAGCGGACTTTGCTCTTTGGCAGCTTGTTCATGGCCTTCCATGTCTCACTGTTAGGAACGGAGTTGTCGATGTTGACCTCATTAGGGTCGGAGGTCATGGGGAAGAGTTCAGAGTGAGGGCTCTTTCCCGGCCCGAAGTTGACCGGCCAATGGATGAGGTATAGGTCGAGGTACTCGAGCTCAAGCTCGGCGAGAGTGTCATCGAGAGCCTCCTCTACCTTCTCGGGATCGTGCTGAGTGTTCCACAGTTTTCCAGTGATGAAGATGTCCTCGCGCTTTAGACCCGGAACATCCTTGTAGGCACGCTTGATGCCCTGCGCAACTTCCTTTTGGTTCTCGTAACTATGATTGGCGGAATATCTCGTCAGCTAACGCTCTCGGCAGATGATAGTAGAGGATGGTCATAGCTTCCCAAGCTTCCGTCTCCACTGAGGGGCATCCCACTTGAGCTTCCAACAACAAACACGGAAGAATATCTTGTTTCTGGGCAGATGCGGAAAGGAAGTGACGGTGAGTGAAGAAAGGATGGTTCCTATGACAAGATTGTCGACTTACATCTTTGCGAGGTCCTACGTTCAACGAGTTAGCGATCGCATCCAAGAACAATCAATGGCTGCGTGGCTATGGAGTGGAGCCAACGGTTCCAGGGTCTCCAGGGTCTGTCACTTACCAGATGACGGTATCCGATCTTCAACGCCTCGTAGACACCATTGCCAACCTCGCCAGGAGCGGCTTGCCAGGTACCGTATCCCAACTGCCTACGGCAACATCAGCAAGCAATTGCCAGGGTACAGTCTGTGATAACATACGGGATCTTGTGACCAGAGTTAAGGGTGACGGTCTTTCCTGAAGACATTCTGAACGATACGTAAGGTTTGAAAGTGGGGAGTGAATAACGTGGAATGGGTGATCTGGCTACCAGAGGCAGGATCGCCCTTCTTAAGTATCGCATCTTAAGTGCTCTCGGCCATCGTGTCGGCCGGGAGCCATTATGTATGTCTTGCAGAAATTGCTTCAGGACGTGGGATGTCGGACGTATACAGCAAGGCACAGCACCGTGTTGGCTGGGCTGGCGGGATAATTGCGTGCTCTCGCGACGAAGACACACCCCGCTATCGTGGTTCGGGAGAGCTTTACCTTGCGTCTGCGCTTTGGTGGGGCGGGACGCTCGGTTGTAAAGCCACCGAGACGTCCATGGACTGGCGAGATGCTCCGCGTCTAAATAACTTGGATGTTGGGGCAGAAGTGATACCTGACCTTCAGGTCGCTTTCGAACGACTCGCGTTTCTTCGCCACTCGTCCCAACGTCAATATCTACTTCTGACTCCCTGGTAACCTTCTCTAGAAACTCTTCGGTCCAGAGTGCAAATACAACAACGGTTTCTCCTTCTGAGCTAGGAGGTTTATGTATGAGACACAATTGCTCCGAAGCCTCCATCTTTCCGATTACCTCCATGATGGTTTGGTCCAGGGGAAGACGAAAGTGTTCTCTTGATAACTTGTCGTTGAAGAGAAGATAATTCGAGAGCACCAGCACTAGTAAGCAAGTGCTGTAACTGTATCGAGCATTCTGCAACTGGGTAGTCCGCAATCGCCAGTTGTGATTTCTGATGTTAGAATGTATGGCTAGCCGATCGGAAACGACCAAGTTGTCGCGCTTATCTATGGCTTTCATGATGTACCTATCCCAGAATATTGGGTTCGTATTGCCAGCGATGATCGTTCGCTCCACAAAGAATTCCCGGAAGAGCACCCAAAGCCTCCTGGCCTGCTCTCGAGCTGGCGAAGGTGGCGCTTTTCCCCCAGGGACTTTATTGTTCCTCCTTGAAACTTGTGTGATCTGTTGTATGTGTTCTATGCTAATGATCAGATCATCCTCGATCGCAAAGCAGTCGCGTGTGTCTGTGGCTTCCGAACGGCTACCGTGCAGAGGGATAGCCAGGTACACAGAACGAGCACAGAGTCGTTCGTGATAGATTCAAGTCCGCCAGAACCACGTGTCCTGCACAAGGTGTTCAAGAGTGGCTAAAATACACTCAATTGTCGATAGTTCCGCCGTACGTAGATCGTCAAGATTGGATGTCAAACCTGCGAGCATCCATTGATTTGATACAGGTATACACAAGGGTGCTAGAGCACATTGGCTTTCTGCATACACTCTATTCATGCATTGTAGGTGGTTCTCGACATCTGAGCGATCTGTTTGATCAACGCACAATTGATCGAGCCAGAAATAATGTATACATTGATGCGCAGCGAAGCGTAACGTACGGTATATATGACGTGATTCAACTCTGGGGCTACCTGGAAAGGCGTGGCATCCGGTCGAAGAACAACATATTGTGTGGTTTTATCAGGCGTCGATCCAGAATGTTGCCAAGTATAGGAAATAGTCAGGTATGGTCCAGGAATTGGAATGAGGGGTGAAAGGCGAAGATAGACAATGTCTGGTTGCCGTTGATGGTCCGGAAAAATTCTCGGCTGCCAACGAGAGGAAGCGAAGCGATAGAGATTGGTCGGGCTGCCTGCGGTACAAAGCTGTCTTGGAAAGCCATGTTGCAGAATGAGAATGGAAAGGTAATACGGTATGCGGGGATAAGTGTAGGCAACTAAGTAGCCTCGCTTCGAGTAAGATATGATTACAAAGAAGCACGTTGTGGTTTGGCAGACCCTAGAAGTATACCCTGGTGTTTCCTTACTACATCTTCGATGGGTAGGTGATGAGAGGTAGATGGGGAAAGAGAGCCGGTGATAAGCTTGGCCGGCGACTAGGGCGGCACCCCGCAGCGTGTCTTGAGCTCGACTGGACGGCCATCCCACCTTTCTCCACTCGACGCGCCCTATGAAGCGATAAGGAGATTTATTTCCTTGATAGTGCTCGTCTGTAGTATATCAATCGCGCATTCAACCAGCGCGCGAATCTAGTTTTGATCAATTGCAACTTACACAACCTACTCATTCACAGCTAGGCTCTATCGCGTCCCATCCCATCCCATCCCAACATGGCACCCTCCGCTGTCCAGGCCGAACCAGCGCCCGTCACGCAAACCAAGCAGGTCGTTCCACGATCCAAAGACGACGCGACCAAGGAATTGACGCCGCTGCAAGCCATATCCCAGGGTGTTTGCCTCCCTGGAATCCCACTCTTCTCCTCGTATGACAAGCATCGCGCGTGGATACTATCACACATGGCCGGTCAGTGCAATGCGCACGCGATTTGAAACACTTCATCTGACGTACCCTAGGCGCTTTCCGCGTCTTCGCACGGAACGGCCTGACCGAAGGCATGAGCGGTAAGCCATTCCCCTGTACCGACTGCATGTGAGACATAGACTGACTTCGTACACACACCCTCTAGGACACATTAGCGTGAGAGATCCCGAGAACCCACATACTTTCTGGACCAATCCGCTCGGAAAGCATTTTGGTCTCCTCAAGGCATCGGACATGGTCCTGGTCGATTACGACGGCAACGTAGTAGGAGGCAATCAAAGCAGGCCCGCAAACGCAGCAGGCTTCCTTATACATTCGGCGATACACAAGGCGAGACCCGACGTCAACGCGGCGTGCCACTGTCATGGAAAGGCAGGCAAAGCGTGGAGTGCCTTTGCAAAGCCATTGGAAATGCTGAACCAGGACGTATGCTACTTCTACGGCGATGCACAAGCCGTATATGAAGACTTTGGTGGCGTCGTCTTCAGCGAGGAAGAGGGCAAGAAGCTGGCCTCGGCTTTGGGGGCAAAGGGCAAGGGCATGGTCCTGAGAAATCATGGCTTGCTGGTATGTACCATGCGGCCTCCTTTCCGCATCCAGCTGAAGCTGACACCACACAGACCGTAGGAGGTACTGTTGACGAAGCCGCGTTCCTCTATACCCTCATGGAACGCTCTTGCGATGTCCAACTCAAGGTTGAGGCGGCAGCAGCCAATGGTGTCCCCAAGGTATACGTTGACGACGATGCAGCTGCATACACATTCAAGATGGCGAGCGACGCTGAAAGCTTGTACTGGGAGTTTCAGCCGGATCTGGAGTACGAGTACCAAATGAGCAACGGTGCTTTCGCGCATCCTGACTGCGACGAGGTAGTATGGCCGGGTTACTGATCGCCAAGGTTTGGTACCGCCGTGATCTGCATCAGTACGAGGAGTTGGTGTTTTCTGACTTATACCACCAATGCGACAACGAGTCCTCAAAGAATGCACTATCGTTCGCTCTGTAAGACACCAATGTGAATAACGCCGAACAGCTGAGTGGATACCTTGGGCACAACTCAGCCAACATGGACAAAACGTTCATTTTGCGGAATTCCGAGATCCGTTCTCCGGAAAGCTCGCCCTTCTTCTGATATCCTGTCGCGGTCTTCTTAAACTCTCTGTTCTGATTCCTATTTCTACTTCACTAAGTGGTCCCAACTGCCAGCTGATCGCCAGTGTTCAAGGTTGTTGGTCCGCTCTGTCCCTCCCTCGTGGTTCTATGTCGAAGCGCGTACGCAGAGCCAATTGGGCATCAAGGTCGGAGACACCGGATTCCGTTCTTCCACATAATTTGCTCTTCTTCCTCTGTAGGCAGCATCATACCGTCATACATCAAATGAATGCCCTGGGCTGCGCGTCCCGTCTCACCTCTAGTACGTACTGTGTCCAGACGATTCCGTCTCTTGGCTTCTGTGGTGGAGTGAATTCTTGGCCACCCTACGCGCTACAAATACCAAGAATGCCGCAGAGGTGACTGATGACAGATCCGAGAGCGGTTGTCGGCCTGCATCGGTTTCAGCGACTGTTTTCGGTTTGACGGCGGAGATTTCTACCAACTGAGCAGTGCCTCGCTCTAGCGAGTGGTGTTTCCCTGATTAATCATACACTCTTTTGCTCAGTAGCGGCGGCACACGTCTGAGAAGCTGCATGGCAGGATCGATCTGCGGGCAAGCTAACGGTGGAGGATATTGCACAGCGTGATTCGATGGGTCTAGGTCCGCAACCGTTTAGGCCATTCCGCTCCGCCTTGCGGAAACATCTACATCCTCTCCAGATGATAGTGAGTTGTATTTTGTCTTCAGTTTACGAGGCTACCTAGTCGTCGCATCACACTTATGCCACGCGTCAAGAATTGTTAAGCAGTGATAAGGTTACGCTTTGACGTTCCCGCAACGGACCGACTGTATCATCCTCGCTGCGTGTCATCATCTTAAGCAACTCAGCCTCTCCCGGCATCCTTAAACGCTGTGCTTATTACAGTACACAATAGTCACGATATCTCCACGCCAAGTCTCCGCACCGCTGAACCCCCAGTGTTAATGCATTGCCATGAGCCACGCGACTGTTCCCCGCCAAGATCGCCGGAATAACTGGAGAAGGCAACGGAGCGATCTCGCCCCTGCGCTATGGCTCTCGGCAACCAAGCGTTTCTTGTGAAAGCAGGGTTCATGCTTAGCATCTAGGCTTGTTACGAGGGTAGGCCGGAATGTTTTGTTTCCATCATACAAGCTCGTGCCGCCTCCCAAGGAAACCAAGTGCATTTGCTAATGGTACCTGCTGCGCAGTCGGAGGGGGCTGCGCAACCGTAGTAAAGAAATAGGGCTTGGCGATGGTAGACCTTCCATGGCGCACAGGAAAGACGTGAATAACGTGCGCTTGGCGGCTTCGTAGGAAACGGCAGAGCTCTGTGCCTAGAGAGCTAGGATAGTTCCGTGAATTGTGAAGGCGAAGGCTCATTTTATGGCTTCTCTACTTTATATATAAGATGTCCTCAAGCAACAAGAAAGTTCGATATCACAGCATTCCAATCAGTCATCCAATCGACTCTTTGCACCCTCATATCACACAAACATCTGCACTGTCACCATGCTACTCCAACCTATCTTTCTTGCCGCCGCCACACTGGCGCCCGCAGCGCTTAGCTGCCCTCAACACACCAACGCCAAACGCCATGTACACCTCACCACAAGACAGCAACAAGTCACTCCGGGCAATGTAACGGATAACGATTGGGCCTACGAAGCATCCTTCAACTGGGGAAGGATCCACCCCGACTACCATCTCTGCCAAACCGGAACCCAACAGTCTCCCATCGCCCTCTCGCTCGGTAACGGACTAGCCTTAAACCATGTGCCCAAGTTCAAGTACAACGGCAGCATCGCCGGTAACTTCTACAACTGGGGCTATGGACCCGCATTCACTGTCGCGCACGAGGAGGCCGTAGTAGAGGGAGAGATTGATTGGACAACGCACCCAAGCTTCACCTACGACAACGAGACCGTCTACCTTAAGGGCTGGCACATTCACGCCCCAGCTGATCATTCCGTTGGTGGTGATCGCAGCAAAGCCGAGCTCCATCTTGTCCACGTCGACGCCACTGGCCACGAAAAGGCCGTCATGGCCATTCGTCTCGATCCCGGTAACTACAACTCGACCTTCTTCGAGCAACTACCTTCCATGATCGGCTACGCAGAAATGGGTGTTGAGCAGCCGTGTACTATGGACTTTGGACCTCTGCTTGACAGCGTTCTCTACTTCAATGAGTTCTGGACCTACCAGGGTAGCTTGACCAGCCCGCCTTGCACTGAGGGTATCCGCTGGTTCGTCGCCAGACAGATTCTCTTCACTGGTGTCGACCAGATGAGGGCTATTCTTGGTGCCAGCACCTACTCTGCGAGGGCGGAGCAAGAGGTCTGGCAACACAGGATCAACGAGTAGACAGTCTGTGGCTTTTGTTCTTCACGCATGGTTGGAAGCGACGGTCCGGTGGTTGATGAAATAGCATTGTTCTTGTATAGAGATTTCCGAGAAAGCGAGGCGTTGGTGGTAGGAAAGTAAACGGTCGACATCTTTTCCCGGTTCTTTTTAGAATTCTTCTTGTGCATACATACCTTTGATCTCTGAATGAATTGAACAGCATATCTTCCTAGCCAATTTCTACCATGCGCAATGTCCAGCGTCGACCCTCAAATCCTAGAAGGTTCTCATTAGTTGCAGGGTTCTTTCTCAATCAGAGTATCAGAATCAACTCACAGACCCAGTAACATAACTGCTCCCTTCGCTCAACAAAAACAGCACGGGCGCCCGAAACTCCTCGGGCACGCTAATCCTCCCTAACATATTCTGCTTAGCCCACTCCTTTGTCAGCCCCCTCTTCCGCGCCTCCGCGCTGAGGGGCGTATCGATATGTCCGGGACTAATAGTGTTAACACGAATTGGCGGGTAAATTTTCCGAGGCTCTTGGCTTGGGTTCGGATTCGTCTCTGTGACTGTGCCTAAAAAGGTACGTGTACAGAATCAGTGCACGTCTCACATGCAGTTCGTCTAGGGATAATTCTTACTGCCTGGGAAGGTATTCTGCGGATGCCCCCACTCCGCCGCGAGCGAACGAGCGAGTTGGTGCACAGCCGCTTTTGAGGCGTTGTATGCGGCGGTATTAATTCCGTGGTTAGAAATATGACCGGATATTGAGGCAAAGAGGACGATGCTTCCTGGTAGATTAGTGGAATGGAGTTCATTTGCTACGACACGGGCGATGAGGAAGGTTCCGGAAATATTGATGTCGAGGATCTTCCGAAATGTCGAAATGGGGTAGTCACATGCATCGCTCTCCCCAGAGATCGCTGCACAGGAGACAAGGCCACGGATCGGATGGCGGATTGTGGTACGGATGGTGGTGAAGGCTGACGTGATGCTGGCTTCATCCTGGACATCAAGGATTTGGAAAGTTGCGGAAGTGTTGCTGGCTCTAGCATATTCCTGAAGCGAGCCTAGGGAAGGTTATAACAGGCTTGACGGTTTTGTTGTAGCTAGCGTACTCCAGGCTTCAGGATTGGGGGTTGAAACATCGACGAAGACGACATCTCCGCCACTCTCCAGGATTGCTTTACCAACGACGGTGCCTACTGCACCGGCACCCCCCGAAACTGAAATTAGTGTTAGATCTAGGAGTTTTCCTGGTCAGTGAGCCAAACTTATGATAGTCCGTTCATCTAGCTTGAAAAGATCCTTCGTTGCAACGTGACTGGGTGCAGGATGCGTCATGATGGGAAGTAAAAATGACAACTTAAAAGAGTCGCGAATATAACGGTCTCGCAAAGCGATTCAGACGCACACAATGGTTGCTGGTTGAAAGCGGGGTTATGACGTAAGATGTGGTACATAATTGGTTTATCACCCTCATTCAGTTCGCTATCTTTTGCATCTTGGTCAGTATTACAGGGACATCATATTGGGCTCCGATACCAAGTGCTGTCTTTGGACTTGGAATCATGAATCATATTGGTTTCGCTATGTCGACTGCCTACATGCTAGGCTAGTCGTGGTGGACGGGGTATGTATTTCCCTTAGCATGTTCATCCAGGGTTTCGATGACCAAAGGATTCCACAATGGGATGTTTGATTGTGCTGACATGGTACCTTAAGCAGCAGGATGTGAGAATCTACGATCGACGTCACAGGTTTGTTCAGTCATCGGCGCTGAACCTAGATCCTTTCTCATGAACGACGATCAATATGAGTTGTGGTACGCACTGTAGGGACTCTGGTATCATATGGGTATACATCTCGCTCAAAGTTACAGATGATAGAACTTTGCTAGCTCTTGTAGTGTATTGCTCTGTCGGACAATGGGGAAATTGCGGGCGTCAACGTGCACACAATCCTCGACGCAGTACTCCGAAGCTCGAGTACGTAAATGGTGCTTGTACCAAAGAAGTATTCTCGTTCGTGGGAACGCCGATGCATTCATCAGTCTACTTTTGAGGCATGTGGAACGAATTTTGCCATGTTGCGGGGGTCCATTTCGTCCAAGCCTCGCGCCGAGGCTGAGCCAGTAGCTTCTGCATAGGGGCATCCTGCTCCGATGATGAACAAAGAGGAGTCATTGGCTCGATCTTAGCGTCAACGACATCCGCCAGCTTACTATCCTTCGGCCGTGCCTGCGCAAGATCTTGACTTTCAAGCTCGTATATCCACTCGAGATGTGTCCCCATGGTTGTCTCAGCGCGATTCGAGAGCGTGTTCTGTGCTGTGACATCTCTCAGACCACCGAAAGGATGGTGTATGGTTCGAAGCAAGTCGAGAGCTGCGATATGGAGATTCGATGAGCCGCGCTGGAAGATGAAGAGGCTATGGTTCGATGAAGAAGATGGAGTAGCAGTATTCCCGCTTCCAGCTAGAGTAGATTCGTAGTGTCGAAGCATACTCATATGCTCAGTAAGGATGTCGTGAAACCTTCCAGCAAGTGCATCCTTGATCGCACAGTATCCAAGAACGCCGATACATTTGCTCAGCAGAATCATGCCGTTGGCAAATGGCTCATTGTGCAGTGCATTTTGCGAGACTTTGTGAGCGATCATGATACCCGCTGTATAAGAGGTATAACTAAGATGTATTGTTAGCACCTTTCCAGCTCATAGTCAATGTTTGACGTACATGCACAGCCAGCATACTTGTACTACTTTGCCTTCCTGTAGCATCAGATCCATAACGGAAGCGTTCGTTTCCGCGGCCAGGTAACCTTCTTCGATGGCTCGTCGTGCTTCCGATGAGAGAGTCACGCTCCCGACCACATCCAGCGGAATATATGCTATGATTAGCCGCCTTGATAGCAGCATCATGGCTGACAGATAGAACAGATGGACATAGTACATGACGGGACGGAGTGTGGCCATGAATTCAGTGTTTTCGCCCCCTAACAAGGAACCAATTGACATCCATTCGGGAAGACGCGCATGAAATCTCGACAATCGTACACGGTACTCAAGTATGGTACCTTCAAGCACAGGAGCTTTTGTTGGCAGGCGACGAAGCATGCTTGCCTTGATGATGGACACTTTGACGCATTCATGACGGATCATGTCTTCTGGCGGTACGTCCAATTCGTCTGAAGGTGAGGTGATATCTTGAATCACCGAATCTGAATCATGGTCAAGTGATGCGCTTAGCCAGCTGATGCAAGGGTCAATATCGTAACAGATTGTACCTGATTTGAGATCAGTACTCACCATTGCAGGTGAACAAGAGTCCTATATGTGCGGCGAATATCTTCGTAGTAACTAGGAGACCAGCCCGGCGGGCAAGTTTCAAGACTAATTTTCTGATTACGGGGTAGACTTAGTCCAAGTTCTGGAAAAGGGTAAGTCGTGACATTTCCGATGGAAATGTTCAGGTGTAGAATCATACCAATATAAGCTAGAGCGACTGTGGCTTTGACCACGATATTGTACATTCCAAGTAACGAACATATTTTCATTGCTCGAAGCGGACTGAACGATATGGCAGAGTCTAGTCCATGCTTTGCGACTGCATAGAAGTAGTCGGCAAGTTCAGGTGGCGGCGCCGTTTCGGGATCAGCGAGTTGGGAATGAACGACGCCGATGGCTGCCATGCCCGCAAGCTCTGCGGCGTATGTGCGCAGTTGTGTATTAATCCCGTTGGTGAGCACGTCTCCGAGTGGTATGTGGCCAACACCTGAAGCCTTCATTGCTGCAATGCTTGTCTGAACGTCATCCTTGTTCATGATGTAGAAAAGCGCACCCACACAACCGAAAAACATATCGAGCGAGCCGTCGATCTTGTCGACGGATGCATCTTGCTGGTTCGGAGCAAGTAGAGTAATGGCCGTCATGTTAAACTGCTTTTTTTGAGCAACGGAGAAGTTGGGATGGTCCATGACTTCTGGCATAGAGAGCATTGCCGAAGAGGAATAATCGTTTATTACCGGTGATGCATAGCCCTTGCGGGCATCGATTTCAGGAGCTGCCGCAGACATGGAAGAACTAGGACGATTCATTTCGAAGGTTCTGAAGATAACGCCAAGATCTTCACCCTGAGCAGCTCGCATGTGTCGCAACAATGCCGTAGCTTTGGACGGAGAGGCTGTCTGTAGATACCATATGACTTCATATAACGAGCTCCTGTCGGTCTCTAGTTCTTCGATCTTTCTCTTCTGCGCCTGCGCGAGCAATGTGCCAGTAGGTGGATCATATCCACGTGCCGTCTCTCGCTCCACGCAGGAACGACAGGCTGGTCTCTCACCGTTACACTGTTTGAGATTAGCTTCCGGTCTAGAGAAACCTTGTCAACCTTAGTAGCAAATTGGGAGGAAGACCTTGGTTCTCCGCGCGCAGCATGTGGTGCAAGCTGCCGCCACTCTCGAAGGGGTCCTGTTAACAGATCCCGCTCTACTGTTGCCAGGCGCGACGGCAGGCACATCCTGTGGACGTGGCGCTAAGTGCCGATAGGAGGACATTACGACGCTTCGAACAGACGACTAGCGCGAAGGCTTGGGCAGCGATCTACTCGGACACAATGACTAAGCGCGAATAGGCCAGTCATGGTAATATCGATGGGTAAGGCAACGCAAGGCTCGTGAGGGTGCGTGACAAGTGAGGCACACACAACTCAGAGCTGTGGCTGCCAGGAGCTAGCGCGCCAGCCACATGACGTCAGTCATCTACTTTCTCAGCATCATCATTCGCGTGAACAACAGTTCTTGTGCGGAGCTGTTCGGATCACGACTGCATTGAGGGATGCGCTCAAAAGGCACGCTGCTCTACAGGGTGGTGCCTTTTGCTAGAAGAACGGCCGAAGTCGCGCCTAGGCTGGTGCGGGATTATGGTCGAGCGCTGCCGCACGCAACAAAACAACCCTCACGAAGGTCTATCCTATTCTGATATTCGTGCCTGAGTTTTGCGCCAATGGCTTTTTTTCACTAAGATCCACGCGCATCACAAGCAAGAAGCGATCTAAGATCGACTACGCGTGTAAGTACATTCGTTGTCAATGCGACATTTACCCAAGGTTTCACTATTTGCGACAGCTACTATGGCATGAAGGCTCGACTGCAAACATGGTCAAAGACGCAAAATCCTCACTAGAATCTATCTCATCGGGTTCCACCGGCCGTCTGAAGCTACATTGCAAAAAAGATACCAAGCCATATTGGCCTGTGATAGGAACAAAAGACGATATCCCAGGATGGCTCCAAGATAATGACTTCATCGTCAGCGGACATCCCATGCCAACTCATTCATACAAGAGGTCCTTTCGTCTCTGGCGTTGCCTTCATATGGAAACGATGAACATCTGGACTCATCTTCTGGGTAGTGCTGCATTTATTGGGGCTGGCATTACCTTGCACAGATCTGCTATTTCGAGTAGACTCAATCTCACCACTGGCGACAAGTTTGCCTTTGGCATCTCTTTAAGCGCGGCAGCTCTGTGCTTTGGGCTCAGTACGACGTTTCACACACTACGGAGTCATTCTTACAGCATTCACCATCGCTGGGGCCGTTTCGACATCTTCGGCATATGTCTCCTCGCTCTGGGTGGGGGGTCATCGGCCACTTATTATGCTGCTCGCTGTGATCCCGTGGCCCAGCGCGTATACTGGTGCCTCAATGGGGGCGCTGCTGTCGCCGCTGCTGTTGTACTGTTCGATACTGGTGGTGGTGGAAACAAGATGAGGACGCTTCGTGGTGGTACTTTTAGTGCACTTGCGATCACAGCCATGCTTCCAATTTTCCACGGCATTGGCAAACTTGGATGGAGTCGTGCATGTGAAGAAATCGGCGCTCAGTGGTTTCTTACTGAAGGATTGGTGTTATTGTTTGGAGTTTCTTGCTTCGTTGGAAGACTGCCAGAGCGACTCAGCCCCGGCTCATTCGATATATGGGGCCACTCTCACCAGATACATCATATCTGTGCTGTCCTAGGCCAGGCTTTTCACATAGTCGCTCTTGTAACAGGCTATCAATTCCGGAATGCGCACCCGACTTGTTGACTGAGAGCAGTTGGGCACGCGTCAGGGCAGCAAAGTGGTAACATGTAACGCTATTTCGTAAATGTAATGGTTGAGTTCACGATATGAACTATTTTCGACATGGAGGAACTAAAAGACTGTTGTCAGCGTGACTGACCCTTACCGTGTACATTTGCAAGCGTGCGACCACCGGCCGAACCGCAATCTCTTAACCCTACTCCATTTCTGCGTGGTGAGATTCCGTCATCTAACACGCAATGTGCCATCAAGCAGTGATAAGGTTCTGGGGTTCTCAAACTTGGGATGGCGTATGAAGTGTTGGGAGATGTTCTGGAGACCTCAGGGATGACGGACGAGGCTAAGCGACGCGTTCCTAGCGACTGTTGCATCACCAACGGCCGCCTGCTCAGCAGCTGTTAGCCTTCAACCAACCCTCAACCACCATGTCGGCCTCGACCGAGTCGAGCACAACTAATGTAGACTCTCACAATGAGGATGCGCCTCGGGTTGAAGCGTTGTTCCTCATCAAATTCGACAAGAAAGTTGGGTACGTCATGCGACACTGGACAGGTAGAGTACCATCGTGGAGCTAGGCGCTGACCAGCTACAGCTACACCATTGCTTGGAAACGCGCAACGACACCAGACATCACCTTAGACAACTCAGTTGAATACAAATCGCTGCCCTCGGGTTTACACTCGGTACAAAATGACCTCGTCTACTTTACGCATGATGGATATGCTGGACTCAGCGCGTTTGCGAAGGGCGGCGCCAGCGCGGAGGATCGCAATGCCACCTTCGTTTCTGTTGGAATATTAGTACAGAAAGAGGGTAAATTTGGCAGGCTGGGAAGGAGTTGGCTGCTTGCCGGTCGCTTGGAGAGATTGGCTGCGACCCTAGCGGACGACCCGGAAGCTGTAACGCCGTTGGAAGAATTCTGGCAGGAACAGGTCTCAAGACACGGCAAAGGGCATGTCTCCGACGAAGGCGAGTCCAAGGGTCACAGCAGAGCGCGCGCAATCTCGACCGTGAGCGCCGTCATGAAAGACGAGGAGAGCCTCCCAGACTACCACCCAGCTCTGTCTATACAGCGCTTCCTGGACACATTCGGGCCATTGGTCTTCCGGCTGCAACAGGCGGCTTTGCTGAGGAAACGCATTCTCTTTGTGGGTCTCCCGCCGGTCAGGACTGCTTGCGAGTTTGGTACGTCTTGGATATCATACATGGGCTTCCTTCAGCTAACGGGCCAGTCTATAACCTCTCTGTCCTCTCTAGCATATCGCCCCGCGACACCGAGCGGTTAGCGCCTGAAACCGAAAACCTCCTGCGTCTACCCTCCCTTTTCTCAATCGGCGTACACGACATTCCTCTTCTCCAACATCTTCGCAACCCCAAAGACGGCGGACACACACCTGGCCTTGAGCCTTCAGAGGGCTGGGTCGCGTGCACGACTGATGAGATCATCGTCACAAAGACACAACTGTACGACATCATTGTCGAACTGCCACCCACATATGACGCGCCGCCGCAAGAGCGACGCTGGCCACGGATACGGACCAGCGATGGCAGCTTGATCAAGGCCAGCCAGCGGGACGTTGCGCGCTACAAGCTACTACACAAAGAGCTCTTCAAACAGCGTAACAGGTCGGAAGCGTCACCCGAGCCATATACCGACGAAGAGAACGATGATGCGGCGCCCCTACTATCCCGAGATGAGGTCGATACCAAGCGCGCCGACGACGACTTCAGCGAAGCATACGATGACACGGCGGTAGAGCCAACAACATGGTCAAGGCTTGCATACATGGGCTACATGTGGTGGGCTTCGGCTGGCGAGAGAGATGCATATAGGACCGCGGAGCGAGAGACAGATCGTGAGTTGATTGGTGACCTCTCGGCGTACTCGCAGTCGTTGGAGACAGCAATCATCGCTTACTTTCACCGCCAATCTTCATTACTCATACGGTCGCTATCGCAGATCATCGAGGAGGATACCCAAGGCGAGAGGGAAGAGGATGATAATGATAGCGATGCAGTGGTTGTCGATAGAGACGACCTGTCGCGCATGGGACTAGACACTTGGTCAGAGGCTGACCGCGCTTTTGTACAAGAGTTTGGTAGTCTGTACTTTGGGCGCACTATTGGGGTCAAGGGTAGTGAGGTCGAGTGCTGCGGTCTAAGGGTCCCTATCTTCTAGCTGAGCTGGAAGCGCTTGGCTAGCCACATATCGGCTGGCTCCCGGTTGAGTGAACGGTGTTAACGGTGAGGACAAACTGGTGTGGTGTACGTCAATGGAAATCTACTTGTCGCGGGCAATCCGCTCTATTGCATTAGTGTGCGTTTCTCTATGGGTATGTGCCTGGAATACCCGCAGTCTGTCACACTCACAGGCTGAAAAGGAATTCCTACAAACAACAGGTTTGCGGTTGTAAACATTCACCACTTCTATGCGCACCTTGGTCATCATGCTTCGTGTCTTCGTGTCGAGCCTCGAACGCTTCGTAAACAATTAATCCGGCTGTGTTGATTTGTCGGCTTGTAATAGTTCAGGCAGCCCGAAATCGGACCCCGCAATTGAATGCACAGGGCGCGTGCAAGCGAATTTCTGCGCCCCGCATCGTCATATGCCAGTCCCAGTGGCCGGCTTAGAGGCTTAGTATCACCGACCAAAGTTTTCTTTTGTTGTGAATCATACGGTGAATCATACCTCTCGCTGTACTAATACCCTGCCTGCGCGCTCTTCTCCTACGTCTTTCCAATACTCAGAAAGTGTTGACTCGCCGTGAACACACGCAAGATATCCTTTTGACTCTTCATCTTTTTGGAGCGAAGGAACGATAGTCGATTGTCCAGAGTAGAGCCTCAAGCAACTCGCTGATCTAATCTCCAACAAGATGCCGATGCTCAAGGAGCCATGGAAGAAATACCAACCTTTCAAGCCGTTGAACCTGCCGGACAGGACATGGCCTAGCAAGACAATTGAAAGGCCACCACGATGGCTGTCAACCGACCTGAGAGATGGTAACCAGAGTTTAGTAGATCCTATGGTAAGTACGACCCTATTAATGTAGTCGCTTGAGTACGCGGAATTGACACGGACCTCAGGATGGCGCGCAAAAATGGGACTACTTCAACATGCTGGTTAAGCTCGGCTACAAGGAAATTGAAGTCTCATTCCCGTCCGCGTCGCAAACTGACTTCGACTTCACACAACGCCTGATCCAAACGCCCGGCATAGTACCAGACGATGTATGGATCCAGGTCCTTTCGCCATGCCGCAAAGAGCTCATCCGCCGCACCGTCGACTCCCTCAAGGGCGCGCGCAAGGCCATCCTCCACCTGTACCTTGCGACCAGTCCGTGTTTCCAGCAGATTGTCTTCAACATGAACGACGATGAGACAATTGCTCTCGCGGTCGAATGCACAAAGTACGCGCGATCAATAACCAAGGATGATCCCGAGCAAGCCGGTACAGAATGGGCATATGAGTTCTCACCAGAGACCTTTTCAGATTCGTCCCCAGAGTTCGTCATCAAGGTCTGCGAGGCTGTCAAGGCGGCATGGGAACCAAGTGTAGAAAACCCACTTATCTTCAACCTCCCAGCCACCGTAGAGATGTCGACGCCCAACGTCTACGCCGACCAGATCGAGTACTTCTGCAAGAACATCTCTGAGAGGGAGAAGATTTGCGTCTCTCTGCACCCACACAACGACCGAGGATGCGCGGTTGCAGCAGCAGAACTAGCACAAATGGCGGGCGCAGACCGAGTAGAAGGCACACTGTTTGGCAATGGAGAGCGCACCGGAAACGTCGATCTCGTTACGCTAGGCCTGAACCTGTACACCCAAGGCATACATCCACAGATTGATTTCTCGGATCTGAAGTCGATCATCGATATGGTTGAGAGCTGCAACAAGATTCCGATACATCCTCGCGCACCATACGGAGGTCAGCTTGTCGTGTGCGCCTTCAGTGGCTCACATCAGGATGCGATCAAGAAGGGCTTCCAGATGCGCAAGAAGAACGGCGCGACCAACGAGAGCCGGTGGCAGATCCCATACCTGCCCCTGGACCCGCAAGATATTGGCCGCACCTACGAAGCTATCATCCGCGTCAACTCGCAGAGTGGAAAGGGCGGAATTGCCTGGATTATTCAACGCCAGCTGGAACTCGACCTTCCCCGTGGTCTCCAAATTGCCTTCTCCAAGGTCGTGCAAAAGGAGACAGACATGCTCGGCCGCGAACTCCTGCCTACCGAGATCACGAACCTCTTCGAAGAGGCCTACCACCTCAAGCGCAATCCCCGCTTCTCTCTGGTCGACTACGAGATCAAGGCCGATCGTTCGGAGACACCTTTGCCTCCACAAGACGGCCGAACAGCCAGCAGCCGCAATCTGCGCCGAATCTTCAATGGTGTCATCGAAATTGACGGCCAGGAACACAAGATTCAGGGATCGGGTACTGGTGCGCTGTCGTCGCTGGCCGATGCACTGAGGAGTCTGGGTATCGACCTTGACGTTGTAGACTACAACGAACACACCATCGGTACAAGCAAAGACGCAAAGGCTGCAACTTACATTGGTTGCACAGCTGCACAAAGCAGTCAGAAGGTCTGGGGTGTCGGTATTCACCAGGATGTGGTTCAAGCTTCTCTCATCGCCATGCTGAGTGCTGCTTCCTCAGTAAGTCCTACTCACTCTTCTTGTAAAGCTCTTCATCTGACACAGCACAGTTCCTTTCATCAAGACCTACCACACCCATCCCCTTCCGCCCTAAGCGATCGAATACGCTCGAGATCCCCAGCCCAGAATCAAGTCCCAGCCGAAAAGAGGGTAGCACAATAGTGGATAAGCTTGAAGCAGCCGTTAATGGCGATCAAGCGGATGTGAAGAGCGCGGGCGTGTAAGCTCCATAAGTCTTCTTCATGTTTCACTGTTCAGGCCTCATCTTCATAAACGTCGCATATAGCATTTGGGTTCAAAAAGGCTGGGAGATTGGTGTTCAAAAAGTGCTACATAGGTTGAATGGAATAAGTGTACAGTCAGCCACCGTCATGTAATCTAAAGATTGATAGGAGGTGACAGAACATGAGCATACTACATATTCGTACAGGTAATCGGCTAAGAATTCTCGGCGATAGAGCTGTCGAGTCAAATACTCAATTCTAATCAACGGCAAGAAACATCCGACATCGGCCTGTCCTTCTGATACTACGCTTAGCACCGGCTCATGAATGTGTAGGAGTGGATACCTGTTGGTTCTACTCCGCAAAGATACCCCGATAAGGGACATATCGCGGACCGAACCACATCCACCACTCCGATCCGCATCACCATATCAATACACGTGTGAACCCCTGCACGATACACCGGATCTCTCTTCAACATACGCCTCTTATCGTCACTATGGCAGCCAACGACCGCACCGACATCCCTCCAGCCCCAGCCTATTTCCCCACCTCCGCCGATTCCCCCCTTCATCCCCCAACAGCTCTTTACACATCTCTTCGTAGTCTGTCCCCTGACAACGACTTGACTAAAACCCAAGATTTTGTCGTCCCACCCCGCAGCGGAAAAGCCTGGACCGTACCTGCCGGCGCCCTATTCCGCCTCTCGACCCCAGAAGGCCCGCAAGTAGGCGATCTGAACGTCTGGAACCGGCATGATCCCCGAGAAAAGTTCTGGGCCAGCAGGACAAGGCAGCTGCAGGGAAGCCATGTAGTGCAGGGTGATAGGCTGTGGAGTTGTTTGCCGTTTATGAGGCCACTTTGTGGGCTTGTGGAAGACGGATGTGAGATTAGGGATAGTGATGGGAAGGGGAATGGGAGTGGAAGGGAAGCGAGTAGGGATGAGAGGGGTGGAGTTACAAAGTGGGGTGGAAGGTGTAATGATCTCTTGGGGACGAGGTGTGATCCTTATGGTATGTTTTCTCAGCATAGTCGTAGTGGCGTTTCCGTCTGCACATTCTCCAGTTCTGTTTGCATAGGCCCGAATCGGTGACGGTGAGCTTGCTAACTATGTCTGCAGTTGGAAACGTGCTGACAGGCGCTTCCTACGACTACCACTGTCACTCCAACCTTGTCCGTTCTGTTCTTCCCTACGGTCTCACAGAATTTGACGTGCACGATGTGCTTAATGTTTTCCAAGTCACCGGACTAGATTCCCAGGGTCGTTACTTCATGGAAGCTAGCCCTGCAACGGAAGACAGTTTTCTTACATTCTTCGCCGAGCAGGACTTACTGTGCGCATTGAGCACATGTCCTGGTGGAGACCTGAGTCGCTGGGGCTGGACTCAGGCAGAGGAGGCTAGTGGAAGCAAGGAGAAGAAAGAGGGAGAAGACGACGAAGGCATGAAGAGTACATGCCGACCTATCAGGGTCGAGGTGTACGAAATCAAAGAGGCGGTAAAGGAGAAGGTGTTGAAAGGATGGAAGAAGCCTGAGAAGAGTGGATATCGAGGGATCCATGGAATGGGTATTCCTTCAGGCGAGGCTTAGTGCTTGTTATAGCCTCTACAGCTTGTTACTTCCATGAATCTTTCCACCATCAAGCACGATTGTGTCACCGTTGACGTGACCACCAGCCCTACTACTCAGATACACAACCGCAGCAGCGATGTCTTCTGGCTTTCCTGTCCTGCCATTCGGATTGCTCTTTCCCAGTGCGTCCTCACCACCTGCTTTCTCCATCAAGACGCCCGCCATTTTACTCATGAAGAAGCCGGGAGCAATTCCATTCACAAGAATATGCCTGGGCCCTAGCTCAACAGCGAGGTTACGTGCAAGATGGAGGACTGCGGCCTTTGAAGCGGCGTATGACCAAGCTCCTGTTTCGCCAAGGGAACCAGTACCGATTCCTGCTACGCTGCCTGTTACAATGACGCGCGAGGGGTCCTGCATTGTTGCAGATTTTGTGAGCAAGGGTGTGAATCTAAATCGTGTCAACTCTTTCATGTCTCTCATTCAAGTCTTCCCGATACATTGAGGTGAACAGGGAAGGGGACAGCTCACTTCTGAATGGTAAAGAAGACGCCCTTTACATTCAAATCCATGACTCTATCCCAACCATTCTTCTCGTCGGTCTCTTCAAACGTACTGCCCCACGTAGCTCCTGCATTTGCAAAGAGGATATCCACGTGATCAGTATGTTTGCTCACTTCTTTCACTAAACGATCAATCTCAGATACCTTAGAGCTATCTGCAGGGATGGAGTAGGCCTGGGCGCCAGGGGATTTGTTGGGAAGCGCATTGAGAGCTGCAACGGCAGCGTCGCAGGCGTCGGCTTTGCGCGAGGTGATGAATATCTTGGAGCAGCCGGCTTGGAGAAGACTGGAGAGGATTAGGAAGGTGACACTAGGCGGAAGAGAGTTTATACCCAGATGCTGCGTGCAGACCAAGGCCTCGCGACCCGCCGCTCACGACTGCGACTCTGCCTTTCAAGCTAAAGATGTTGGAGAAGTCGTGCAGTTGCACATCTTGTTGCGCAGATGCCATGGTTGTATCAATGGGGCTTTTGAGGACTTATGGTTATAGAGCGATGCATGCAACAAAAATGCTCATATATGGATATGTTTGTGAACTGAAGGGTTGATTAATCGTGGATTACTATTGCTCTTGTTGTGACCTCGGTGCTGACGTCGTTATCTGAAGTTGCATCGATGCTTAGGTTATGTACCGAGGCTGTACCTTGCGCTAAGTCCCGTATGAGGGGTAGTTGGTCGTGTGCACCTGCATGTCGTAGAAAGAACCGTTGAAGACGATCTGCTCGGATTGTGTCTCGAGTACCGTTGTGAATACGTGCGCGATGACCTGTAGCTAAACAGAGGGTGATGTGATGGCTTGTGGTCTTAGTCTTCTATGAGGTGGTTCAGAATCGACCCAACGCTACTACCACGAACAGCGCCACAGCAGAAAGTCTGTCTTGACTGTTGCTTGGAAGTTTAGTTAAGGTTGCCGCCTCTTGGTATGCAGCAGTCTATAAGCCTCACACAAGGCGAATAGCAGACACTGGTGTGGAACATGTCTCGTCTCCCAAAGCCACGACATCGCGCCTTGGTATCAAGCGAATTGAGTGCTACCCATTTGTTGAGACGCAGCACTCGAGCGAAGGTACAGAAGGGTCGCGCCTACCTCTACTGGTAGACGTCAACACCGGCATCGTGGTCCGAGGGCAGGATGGAAGGTGCGAAGAACTTGACGTTGTCCCAACATCATCCCCCACCACCAAGAGAATTGTGGACATTGCAGGAGCGACATGGTGAATCCTTCAAATGGCCGTCCTGTCGATGGATGCTGTTCTCGCTCTCTTCGCCGACCTGGAGCTTTTGCCGCGAAATGGACGCGTTGTCACGTCGCCACCTCTACCCCAACGCGACTCCGAATTGCGCACATCTCCATCTGCCCGCCAGCGACAAGCCTTCCTCTTTCTCCAAGCGCTTGAAAGATCTTCTGCATAAATCCCTACTCAGGACTGACATGTGCTGATCGTCGTAGTTGGAAACCGCCAGGCGAAAGATCGTCGGCGAAATTTTAGCCTACCTCCAACGGCGCCTTATCGGAGGGCCGATCTCATGTCAAACTCGGGTTGCAGAACTCAACTTCGGGTCCGCCAAGACGCATTCGGCCCATTCTCGCAGATGACCGGCTTCGCAGCACGCTACTCATCCTGTCATCCCAGTCGCCTTTCTCAAAATCCCATCGGCTGCCTTCCTTTGACGGAAGCTACCGACCCGTCAGGGGGCCGCGCAATCATAGATGATCAACGAGCGATCAGACTCGTAGATCTTTTACCACTGTCATTCGAGTCTTCCTCAACGGCAGAAACACACGACTATGCAGCCACAGAGGACAGCATTGAATCGATACTTGACGACACATGTCGCATGTAACATATGGTGTTGCCCGCTCCACGCGACATGTGCAACGACGCACAGGTTATAAAAAGATCAAAACTCCGAGTTGCAGGCCCAAATCGTGTATGCAGTAGAAGCATTTTGCGGGTCTCCCTGTTGGCGTGCACGGCCAGATCGACATACTCAACAGATGTTATAGACCACTGAGATTGGTGCTCGCTCGTGCGGATGCCATGACGTTGCCTGCCGTGCATCAGAAACATGGCAACTTTTTTTTTTGAGACGCCCGTCGAAAGCCTCGTAAGGCACCGATCCGGGCTTGCTATCCGGCAGCTGTCAGTTCCAGGTGGCGAGGGTCATGAACTCCGCGGTCTAGACGAGCGGTTCGGCAGTTGGAAGTAAATTTCCACCCGCCTTGACCTGGTTTCTGGTCACCTCGGCTTTGCAAAGCTTTTCACATCGCATTTGACTGGCCGGAACGCTGTATACGCCAAGCATAGAATAACCTGAAGGACGGTCTAGCGATACGCTGGCCTTGCCTGTGGGGCTTCCGCGACGGGCGCGGACACGCGCTGCAACGTGGGGAACCACGTTTTACAAGCAGCCGTGCCACACCTGTCGACGGGCGCCGCAAGGTCAGGGGTGCTTTCCGGCGACATGGGCAGAACAGCTTTCGGAACAGTATCCAGAACAAGGAAGTGTGTTGCCTCAACGCTTGTTGCACCTACCAAAGGAGGTGAGACGTTTCCTCAATCCTAGCACAAAACAATCTTGTTCTTAGTGACATCAGTGTGAGGATTACGTAGGTCGAATGCATCAACGAATCGGAGTACTTACGGCACTTGCTGTGGCTGTGGCTTGCCGTGCACGGTGAATCCACCACTCAACGTGCTGTGGCTCAGCAGGTCTGGCTACAGTGTCCGTGAACCCCACTAGACCTGTCGGAAGTGATCGCTAGTGAACCACCAAGACGGTGTTCCTATCCGCTCGATGGGCAAAAAAAAACACCGATTTGCGCATTGTTTGCCATCGTCCTTGGTAGTCCAGAGCATTTCAACCGAATAATCCTCGTGCTGCAGACTCGGAATCCCGTGTGCATCTGCCATCGCTACAGGCGTTAGCGAAGGGCCTTTCTTCAATGCCACATGCAGGTAGACCCCTGTATAAATCTCGCCGAAAAGGTATGCCTTGGACGTTTTGGGTGAAGCCATGTGGACCGTCTGGCATTTAGGCACGAACCGATCATCTTCTGGAACATAAGGCTTCATCAGAGCCGGACAAGCTGTCATGTAAGACTAACCATCCGGATCTACGTCCGAGTCTACTAACGGAGCTACCAGCCCGTGTAGGATTCGAGCTAGAACAATCGCTTGATCTCATTCCAGTCGAAGTAGCATCTTCAGCTATAGACCGTGTACGGAGCCATTGGGCAGTACTCACGAGACACAAAAAGATAGTGGTGCACGACTTCTATGGGCCCACTGGTTGACGGAAACCAAACGACATATCTGGGCATCTGTGGCACTGTCGACCCGCAATAAACTTTGCTCACTCCCGTATACTGGTATGTCGAATGCACGAGAAGCTTTCTTACCGTTGTTCTTGGACTAGCTTTGCTAAATTGCCCAACTTTTCCAGGGTAAAGAGACCTGTACAGGGTCCCCGAACTTCCTTTTCATTTCAGCGCACCGCCAAGTCGACACGTGCTTTGGACGAAGCACTTTCGCCAATCCTCAGCGCCGCTCATAACACTCATCCGATATCGAAACGTGGCGACTGGACAAGGACCTTTTCCCACTTTACCAGAAGGTGTGCTAGTGGGAATATCGCTGCAACTAGGTATGGAGCTGATCAGTGCAGCATCACGACTAGCAAACTCGCCCCATACGACAGCCCTGAATTACCCAGCGTTCCTCCTTCGGATCTTTGCCGAGATTTAATATCGTTCCGTATACCCTTGCCATCTGCCGAAGTGTCCCTCATTTCCTCACAACCGTGGATCTTCAATCATCACACACCACTTCGCAATCCAATCCAGTGAGCCTAGTCATTGGTCCTAACCCAAAGCTGTGGCATCTCGGCCACTCAGCCGAGCGGCTGGCTGAGAACACTCACTGAAGCGACACGGAACACCCGACTATCGCGCTTCCGGCTTGTATGCCCGAATAACTCAACCTACCCAACTTATCGCTCGCTTGCACGACTTCTCCACTCTGGGAGTGGTCCTATTAGTCATCTTATTCATTCACAAATTCTCGCCCTCCGCAACTCGCATCCCGCCAAGGCAGCATGATGCGTTGATGACTGGTTTCCATTGGTTGACCACGTCTACCTGGTACTACGAGCTGTTCACACCGTTGGCCCGTTCATAGTAGGGTTGTGCTCGGCTACTGCCGAAACCACTTACTCCTTCCCCACAACCACGATAACTCACCCGGAGTTTCTTTTTCCACGGGGGAAGTTTAACTTTCATACTCGGCCTTCTACAAGCGCTTTGATTACCTGTCAACATGCGCAAGACTCCACCAGGGTCGAGCGGGCAGTCACCACGGACCATGATACCTCCGCCTAGCCCATTCGCAATGGCACATCCGGCTGCTCGCACGACTACTCTGACTGCACCGACAGTCCCACAGCTCGGTTCCAGGTCACCGGGTTACTCCTCAAACTCGTACAGCCACTCGAATTCACCCAGCACTGCATCTGGAAGCCTCCCTGATCAGAATCATGATGGAGCTGGCTTAATGATATCCCCTACTCAGGTATCGTCAGCGAACCTGAATGCTCAGAAACGTGCGTATAGGCAACGGCGAAAAGACCCTTCATGCGATGCTTGTCGAGAACGCAAAGTGAAGGTAAGTAATCACAGTGGGGAGAGCCCATATGTTCATGAGAAGCAAGTTCTGTCCGGCGATTTCTCAGTGATGGCGACTGGGAACGACCAAGTGAGACTGCGGAAAAGGTGACCGGGTACTGGCAGCTCAGACGACTATCTTTTACCTTAGTTACTTCGAATGAGCGTGCATTCAAATGCATCCGAGGCTCGTCGAGACGAAACATGCTTATGAGCAAGTTCGGAGCAGAAGGTCGAGCGTCCAGGTGGCATGTAGCTGACGACCACAACAGTGCGATGCGACGGAGACATCGGCTTGCTCGGAATGTTCGAGCCGTAACCATAGGTGCCAGTTCACGAAGGAGACCAACCGCCGGATGTCGTCGATCAAGTACGTAGTCGTGGACGACCACAGTTAGGCAAAGGTCGCTGACTTGCATAGACAGGTCCAGGACCTCCAGAGTCAAATTGCCGAGTTAACACATATGAACTCTCAGCTCCGAACCAAGGTCTCGGAAAAGGACCCCTGGGATACCGAACGAACGGACACAAAGCGCAGGCTTTCTGAAGCACACGCTGGCACATTACCGGGACCACGCCAGGTATCCTTCTCAACCTTGAATAACTTCGAAGACGTTCGTAGCAACATCCGAACGCATTCCAAAGGTGTCTTTCATACGCCGCATCAGACTCTCAGCAGCGCTGCAGTTTCGAATTGGTGTCCATCTGAAATACCAGCACGCGCAGACTTCGCGTACCTCGCCCGTTCTTACCTCGAGACAACACACGAGTGGTATCCCGCAGTCCATTGGCCTACGTTCCAACGTGAAGTGGACGAGGTTTATATGTCAAAAACATTCGAAGGCTGCTCCCGTGAATGGGTTGGGCTGTTCTTTGCGGTACTAGCTTGTGGCTCTTTGCAGACCGGGGCTGAGCATATGGGCTCTCTTACCACGGCGTCCAAAGGACAGGCAATGTATGAGACTGCAACTGCTGTTCTCCAACCCTGGCCGCAGGAATCATCAGTCACCTTTGCTCAAGCAGCACTCCTGCTGAGTTTATACGCCACTGAAAGCAACATACATTCCGTAGGCTCTATGTGGCTCGCTTCTGCAGCAAGGATGACACAAGAACTAGAAATCTGCCCTGAGGTTGATTGCTGGCCCGTCGTTGATGGTGAGATCCGGCGTAGGCTCTGGTGGTCCATCTATGTTCGTGATAGGTACGAGGTTTTCCTTCCGCGTTCCTCTGCCGTCCAATGCTAACGCCGATCAAGGATCATCTCTCTTGAAACAAGCAAGCCTATGATCATCAACGAGAGCGATTGTGAGATCTCTCTACCGTCCACTCTAGAAGACCGCTATATTCAACCCAACAGTTCGTTCCGCTCAATGGCAAAACCGGCACACTTCAATGGCTTTGTGGCCAATATACACATCACACGCCTATACGCACCATTGCACCAGGTCTTAAGATCGAGCGTTGTCCTGCCTCAGACTCTACAAAGCTTCGACGAAGAGCTTCGATTGAAACTGCTGGTCCTTCCCGAGGCTTACCAACCAGACTCTAGTGCATTGTTTGACGTAATGGCGCTGCCTACAATCTTCTGCCTATTATCCGCTCGCTTCCATATGTACCGGCGCAACCTTACTCCTTTATCGGGCTCAACTGAGCGAGCTAATGCTTTGAAGCGTTGCGTCTCCGTATCTCAGGATACAGCAAAATACGTGTCAAGGGCTTTACATAATCCCCCCAAACAAGACTCGGGTAAAGGGTGGGAGGAGAGGGTGGCATCGATAGCGAGCAATACGGTGTGTTTGCACTTATGGCGATGCATCCTCGTGCTTTGCTTCCAGGGTGATTACAAAGCTGCACTGGTGTGCTTGCACCTTTCGAGGACTATCGGCAATGTGCGGAAGACCAACTTGGCATGTGGAAAGAACGTAGCGTTCTTTCTAGAGAGAATGTTTGATCGCGTACGCAGCGGTCAGGCAACCAGTCAACAACTCGAACAAGATGAGGAAATGATTGCGTATGTCAGTGCAGACGCTCAAGGCAGCCTTCAGCATTCATGGGTCTGGGTAGGCGACAATTTGACCTCTTCAAGCTCAACACAAGAGGTGGCCCCGACTGCCATCCGATCACCAGGCACGGACGAGCCCATGCGAGACGCGCTACCCTTACGAACACCATCTGGTTCACCGATGAACGGTGCTACAGAGGCAGACGGCTGGGCTCAGGCTGAACAGATGATCAGGCAATTGATGGACGAGCACCTCCACCGATCCACGCAGCCACCAGCCTATTATCCTCCGCCGCATAATCCCGTCAAGCGAGTGCAATTAGCAACCGATGTACTTTCGCCACCGAAACCCACACCCAATCCAAGCCCTACACCGTCAGGAACAAGTCGTATCAGTATTGCGAATATAATATAAAGCAAGAAAGGATTTTGTAGATCAATCTACAGGGCACAAACGGTTTGATCTGAACGCTTATGGAGGCAGGTGGGCCAATCACGACGGAGGAGATTTAGAACGTCGGCTTTAGGCATATCGCATGATATGACGACCGTATTCCCTCGTAGTACGGTAACTCAGTCGCCAAGCCCCAAGCGTAGTGCATCCGCTTTAGCCATCCAGACCCTCGGGTCGCCTTTCTTGCCAGCGCCTTATACATAAGCAACAACACTTCCGCAGCTAATCTTTCGGTTTTACTCGAGCAAGCTACGCACATGTCGATCTTCCGACCAGCGAGATTCTAATTATGCTGCCGTCGTCTTACGATTGCGCCCAAATCCTAGCGACTACTCATTAACAAGCCTCAGCGCTCCGCATTTCCATGGAGTTTACATACATTGGCGAACCAGCAATACTGAAAGGCGTAATACTTCTACCTCTGAGGGATCTACATGTATATGATCATGTAAGCAATTTTATGAGAATATTTTTGTTCACCGTAACATGACACTCTATGCCGTGAACAATACCATCACACAGCATATTCACACGACTCAGCACTAGTGACAAGAGTTACCTACGAGGATCTTGAGGATCTCATTTCGGCGCACCTAGGTTCGCGCCGCGGCTTACCCGCAGCCTTATCTGTCAGCTGCGGGTAAGAAGCATCCAATCAGCGTCCTACAGGAAACCTTGGTTGTTGCCAGCACCGAGGTTGTGTATATATTGGAATAACCAAGGCTGACGCTATGCGTATTTTACGAACGCCTTGCTGCAAAGACATATTCATTAAGTAGGCGTACACCGCAATGGCTTAGCTTGTGCTCTTAAACTCCGGTGTGCATCTTCTCGGCTCTCACAGCTGTGGAAAGTGACTGCGGGGCGAACATCAACACGCCCGGGCAGATTGTACCTGGCACTACCTACTACGTATACAGACCCCGCTGTTAGCTTCTAAGAGAGTGTTAGTCTACCTCCTAGCGTGAGGCGGTGTAAGAACTATTGGTCGCTAGGTAGACAAGCTTCACTGGTCAAATGCTTAGCGGAACGCGTGGTACCCCGCTATGACATGTGTCGCTCGAATGAGCACACTCGACGCGCAACCGTGCTCCTATCTACATGTCTCATACCCAGGTCAAACGGCTCATGCAGAGCAAACTGGTGAAGGGTTGGTTCAGGCGGTCTGGATGACGAGGGATCGGCATGTGCGTCGTGGAGCGTTGGCTGCAGGAGGGCCGCCCGACGTGTGTCGTATGCAAGTGGTGCTATGGTGGGGTAGCATGGTGAGCTGGAACGCGGGCGGCGTGTTTACGCTGCATGCTAGGCACAGCAGGACCTGGTGAGGGATATAAGCTGCTGTCTCCGCGGCGGAATTGATCTTTTCAAGCTTCCTGCTCGTCGCTTCCTTCATTCTTCTTTCCAAAGTCTCTGCTCGTACCACCAAAACTACCCCAAGAAACCGCCGATATGGTTCACATCAATCGGGTCGCGACTCACAAGGAGATCTCTGAGGAGAAGGCTGAATTTGAAGCTATTGATGCTACCACCTCCATCAACCTGACTCCGGATGATGAGGCAGACGACTACACTGCCACAGTGTACGGTAGCAAGTATGCTGCTGAAGACCTCCCGAGACATGAGATGCCCGTGAGTGTTTCAACACCTGTAAAGCCGTTTGCAAACTAATCATGAGCAGGACCGGGAGATGCCTCCTCATGTGTAAGTACGACGCTGCTTAGAGTACCACTTCTCGAACGCGATACAGCTTTAGCAACGCAAGAATACGCGACATGATAGCTGACTACATGCCAGCGCCTACCGTATGATCAAAGATGACCTCACGCTCGACGGCACCCCAACGCTAAACTTGGCTTCATTCGTAACAACCTACATGGTAAGATGTCACGACTGCCGCCTACGCCACAAGCGCTAATTCATGCATAGGAAGAAGAGGCTGAGAAACTTATGGTGTATGTTCATTGTAGCTGCACTCTGCGATCATCCGAATAACCTTGTCTTACAGCGATGCCTTTTCCAAGAACTTCATCGATTACGAAGAGTACCCCGTCAGCGCCGATATTCAGAACCGTGCGTATACAATACAGCTCGTAAGCTTTGGAGGTCTTCGCTGAACAACAAAAAGGATGTGTTTCGATGATCGCGAGACTTTTCAACGCACCTTGTGATCCAGAAGCGAACACGATCGGTACATCTACTATTGGATCTTCAGAGGCTATCATGGTCAGTGCATGGAGCGATTCGAATTTGGAGGCTGTTGAGCTGACACGATGTAGCTGGGAGTTTTGGCCCAAAAGAAGCTTTGGCAAAATAAGCGCAAGGCTGAGGGCAAGCCCTATGATAAGCCTAACATGATCATGAACTCGGCCGTACAAGTTTGCTGGGAGGTACGTATCCTGTGTTCTTGCGACGACGTATACATCATATACCCAACGTACTGACTATGTGCAGAAAGCATGCCGATACTTCGACGTCGAGGAGAGATATGTGTACTGCACGACTGAACGCTACGTGATGGACCCCAAGGAATGCGTGGACCTCGTTGATGAGAACACCATTGGAATTTGTACTTGACCTAACATACGTCTCACAATAATACACTAACCCCAATAGGCGCCATTCTAGGAACGACATACACCGGTGAATACGAAGATATAAAAGCCATCAACGACCTCCTTGTTGAACGCAACATTGATGTTGATATCCACGTCGATGCTGCATCTGGTGGTTTCGTTGCTCCCTTCGTTAACCCCGGTCTGCTCTGGGACTTCCGTCTTCCCAAAGTCACGTCCATCAACGTCTCCGGACACAAGTACGGACTCGTATACCCTGGTGTTGGTTGGGTTGTATGGCGCGACCCCAAGTACCTGCCCCAGGAACTCGTCTTCAACATCAACTACCTCGGTGCCGATCAGGCATCTTTTACCCTCAACTTCTCCCGCGGAGCTTCTCAGATCATCGGACAGTACTACCAGCTAATCCGGCTGGGTAAGCGCGGATACAGAAAGATTATGCTGAACTTGACACGCACTGCCGATTATCTAGCAGCGAACCTGGAAGCACTAGGCTTTATTATCATGAGCCAGAGGAGTGGCGCTGGTCTTCCTCTCGTTGCTTGCAGAATCGACGAAGACCTTGGAAAGCAGTACGACGAGTTCGCCATGTAAGTTTGCTTGAGACATTCTGCGGAGAAAGTGACTAATCATGTGCAGCGCTCATCAACTCCGTGAGCGCGGTTGGGTTGTCCCAGCCTACACCATGGCGCCTCACTCTGAGAAGATGAAGATGCTGCGTGTAGTCGTACGCGAAGACTTCACCAAGTCTCGTTGTGACGCACTGCTCGCTGACTTCAAGCTTGCGCTACAGACGCTGGACAAGCTTGATGCGAAGAAGATTGAGGAGCACAGGCAGCATGCATTCGCCATGCGTCGTCGCTCAACCATCGTCAGTCCCATCTATAAGAAGAAGACGACAGACCACTTCGACGACGACCACAGTCTGCAGGGCAAGACTGGCAAGACACATGCTGTCTGCTAAGTGTGGCTGGTGAGCTGAGTCGCAGATCTTTGTAGACAAGAGGATACGGATTTCAATATACATAGATACCACGAATGAAAATGTGTTCTTGACAGGAAGAATCTTCTGTTCAACACGTATTGAGCAGCGTTGAACTGGATGACATCACTTCAATCTCCTCCACAGGCTAAGCTGACAATCTGGATACACGCTCAGTTGGCGCCACAATAGCCCAGAGCTCTTATCAAGTATAGACGTTGCTCTCAAATATGTCAAGTAATCATGCTCGGGCGAAAATGCCATGTCATTACACGTTTGTTCTGATAGTCTGCATGATGGAGCGTAGTTGAACCTGAGTGTGGTTCGCTATCGTGTAACCAGGCTGGGCGACACGAAGGTGTCGTCTTGATAGCTGGCTTTCCAAAGCAGGGCTACTGTGAGACATAGCATCGCTGGAGCTGCCTTCATAGTGCAGCCACTATATTCGCTCTCCTTAGTGTTGTTCAGCATCGTTCATGGGCGCTCCAGGAATACTGGCATATTAGCACCACCATCGGGGCAGGGATGGATTGCATTGGACATTATGAATAATTCTTCCCGGCTTCGAATATGATTCGACAGATCCTTGCCCTGGCTCAAATCCAACTCGCCTATATCATTGTTGTAATCAGCCAGACTCTCCGTGTTAATGACATCTAGAGTAGATATGAGCTGATTGAAAACGCGACGCGTAGTGATAGAGGCTTGAAGTGCCCATCCCGGGGTACTGCTCTCCGCGTTACCGACCTTGTCCCACATCTGTTTGAGATGCGCAGTCCAGTCTTCATCACGTTCGTCACCTACGAAGACCACTATTCGGCTCTTATCAAGCTCACCACCGGCGGGTGACTGGACGACCGGTAAGTTTGGCAGCTCCAGGACAAAATTGATCTGAGCACCGGTGCGATACTTGAAACTGAGCAGATACCGGTCCCCATCCTCTGTCATATCGAACAAATATGTTCTAGCTCGGTTCGTTACATATCGTAGTACTGTGTCACTTGATGACCATGTAGCTTCCCTGGGGGTTGCGGTTGTGAAACACCAATCGTCCTGGTCTGGTCCGATGCGAACTTTGATACTCCTATAGTCTTTCACGTTCCGGTCTGTCACAGGCTGCTGGAGAAGGAATAACTCTTTCGATCCTTCGACCCAGAGCCGCTCAACGTAGGCATCTTTGACAAGGTCAACGTCCACAAGAAACGTGAATGTTTGCCCTCCAAGACCGATACGATAATAACGGCTGCCACCTCTCTAGGTGTAGAGTAAAATAGCCAACAAATGATGAGGCCGATTCGCATAGAAGCTCGGAAGAAGTCTAATCTGGTATGTTCTATGTCGTTCCTTCAGATGTACAACTGGCATGTTCATGCGCCATGCGCCGCTGGGTTTAATCAGGTCGCTAGTATTATATCAGTACTACGGAGGCTTTCTATATAATAGATGATCTAGAAGCGCATGTATAACTTCTAAGACAATAATGTATTATTACTACTATAGAGGCCTGTGAAGTGGACAAGATGTCTTGATTTTGATGCTCTTGCTTAGTAAACGCCAATTTAGCTTCTCAGCCAACGGAAAAAGGACAGAATCTCCAGTTCTGCCCTTTGTACGTATTTACACTTTTGTCAACCTTCTTTCGCTAATGCAACGTTCGACTGGAGATCTAGCCCTAAAAAAACCTGCAAGCGCCTCCTATATTGACATAAAGTTCTAAAAGCGCTGCCGCTTGTCACACAGTCCAAGGGCAGGAAGATTCTTTAGTCACAGTAGCCAGTGTGCCATCATCTGCGACGAGTTTCCACAGGTAAAGTGCCTTCAAACTTACTTTGAAGAAAGTTTTGTGTTAAGTACTTAAAGCAAACCTAAAGGAGCGGATCCCAGAAAATTTCCTATTGCGAAAAATGGATTACAGATTTTACGTGAGATCTTTCGTCAGGGCCATCACCCCTATTACTCGCCTCAACTTTCAGACGTGGTACTTATTGCAATCGACTTTGGGAACATCAGCACCATTAAGAGCGGATTTGCGCAGAAGGGAGATTGCCAAATTGGACTTGCGATTCTGGATACAAAGGAAATCAATCGGATGCCTCCAGATAAGCTTATATCCACCCACAATTTTGCTACAGGATCTCCTTCATACCTGAGCAAGGCGTCAAAAAAAAAATCATGTTTGGAGAGACAATCGCAATCAGCCCACCAAATATAGTCAACTATATTCACTCTTCTGTTCCCTCGGCTCGAAATGTAGTTTTCGTAGGCCATGGTTTTATCAACGACCTTCAGGCCTTACAGGCTCTCGATTTCGAGTATCAATGCTTCTCTCTAGCGTTTTGAATACCTTTTACATCGCTGATGAGGTGTTTCAGTATTGGGCTGGGCTCTTAACGATTTACTCCTTTCTTTAGGATGTTCCTTCAACAGGCTTCATTGTGCAGGGAATGATGCTAACTTTACACTAAGAGCTCTACTTCTTCTAGCTGCTTGCGGGTTTTCTAAGCAGCAAGGAGAGCAAGAAGAGGATCGCGACACGCTTGCTCACCTAAGGGAAATTTCAGCCTCTCCAATACCACATTGGGTTGACCCAGAGGTCCAAGCTCTGCAAAAAAGGGAAAGGAGGGTTGCAAAAAGTTGGAAGCACCAATCAAAGACGTGGAGCAAGGAAAAACAAGAAGAAATCCGTGCAGCTCGACAGCTTAAGAATAAGTGGAACATTACGGAACCTGGACAATCAAGCAACTATCCCTCCGTCTTGTCGCAAGAGGCGGTGCCACCGGCCTGGTTGCTCCAAGGCTTAGACGATTGGAACGCCATGGATGATAGCACATCGATATCTCCGTGTATAGAATTGAAATGACGTGCCAGACTTTCCACCAAGTAATTCTGATTTCGCCGCACATATCACGGAGTACCTGTACACCGCCTGCACTGGGAAAACCTCATATCGATGTCAAATATCCCTTTCGTCGCATCGGTGTTAAATAGGTATGACTTCAATGTTATTTTCCATCATGGATACCGCAATGTTGTCGAAGTTGAACATCGTTTCACCTTCAAAGTCGCACTTCTGTGCCGTGAGTCATTCCTCTGCCCTTACACCCGCGTACACCCCAGGCAAACGAGGACCTGCAGTACCCTCTTCCTCCTAGGAGGTGCCGGACCTGATAGCAGGTGTCGCGTAGCAAGAGAGCCGTTTGGCGGTTGTGCACGCTTTGGACCACTCAGCCAATCTGGCTTGTGATGATTTGATACTACATTTCAAGGTTTCAAAACATATAATCTCCAGTAGAGTGGTCTTGTTATGGATGCACCTGCGTCTCTAGCAACATAAACAAAACGGGTAGGGATGAGTGACTCTTGCCAATATCGCAGCAGCTCCACCTCACTCGCCATCGCCAAAGGATACAACAGACAATGTCTTGTAGTATCCATCAGATTTTATTTGGTCTATGTCGTTGTATGAAACAAAACTGAGTCATTAAGTTACCATAGTCAAGTGTAACCTAGTCGAGGTAACCATCAATCAGTTGAGAGGAAGAGCAAGCAGCTGGCAACGACATAGAGAGCTCGGATGGCTTCTGTCCTTGATGAGCTTTTGAGTAGATGGTGATCGATAGAGGAAGTAGCTGTAGTCAGAACTGACGAAAAAACAGGTGTCGGCTTATGGAAGGGTGCAACCAACTCAGCGTCGTTGCCAGAGAATCACTGCAAACACTTGTCGTTAGCGGAAGGTACGTGTGTTTGTATAAACGCAGCGCTATCTTATCCCTGCTTCTCTCAATATCTCTCATATTCCGGCCAAGAGGGGCCCGGTTCCAGGACCTTTCAGGCGCCGTTCAGGACTGTTCAAGCCAGCTCAGTCTTACTCAGCCACTGCTTTACGAAGGGCCCTGATTTAGGGACCTCGCATGATCATGTCCAGGGATTGAAATGTAAAAGAAGGATTCTTAGATGAAAAGGTGACTGAGTAAAGACGTGATATTATGTTTGTATTAAAAAGCTATGTACATTGTGCCACCACTTTCGGCGACATAAGCCGCGCTTTTCGTAGTGCATTGTCGTCGGTGGTGAGTCTGTATAGTGCAGCACGTATCAATGCAGACGTAATCGAGGCCATCTATTAATGCTTGTTGGCACGTGTATTTGATCTTCTGAAGTCTCAACATGTGTTGGCAGTTCTCTGGATCCTGTATTTGCGCATGGGTGACCTCGTCCTCATCCCGTAGCCATGTGTTTGACAGAATCGCATACGAAGGGACGTCGTCCCCATAGAAGGTTTGGAGTTCGAGTGTTCGGGCGTCGAGAAGTCACATTTTGTTCCATCTGCATAGGGTAGTTATAGAGGGGGTAGACAAAATAACTTGGGACGTGTCAGACAGCAGGCTGAAGTAGACGCCGTAGTCCTGCAGCCGTGGCGTACCTGCTACCCCGCTCGAACACATGAGCTATGCGGCATTGCAAAAGGGCAAAATGAAACTGTTTTCATGCCATACAAAACTAGTTCGATAGAATCAACCCTGGTAATTGTGGTAGCTTTTGGAAGAATATCCATGGTTCATAGTGGCGCTGTTAGCGCACCCTACGAACCTTGTGCGACTGGTGCGTGAATGTATGCTGAAAGAAAAATGCTTAGCGAATTAGAGAGATCTTACGTGTTCTAGCTGAGCTGAGAAGATGCCAACGTTGTAAATGAGAAGGAGGCGTGGGTGGTCGGAGGTCTTGCTAGCCTCGTCTGGCGCACGCGTCGAGTCCAACCACATTCAAGCGAAAGGGAACGTCGAAGGGACCAATTCATTCATTCTGAACTATGCGCAACACTGGAAAGCAGATTTCAAGTATTCTCTGCTTGGTTCGATGCAAAGAACCAGATAAAACCGTAGCAGGTACCTTATGATTCCTTTGGTGCAGGCTGAAACTCACAAACGAGTTTCTTTGTATTGCTGACAGCGGTTCGTACATAGCAAGTCTACGCGTATCACGCGACTGGGCGTCATGGAACCTCACTACATAGCTATCTGTTTATCGTGGTCAAAAACTCGGCCTGTATATAGACGTGTCATCACAGGTTGCACCGCACATTAGGAGGATACAGCGGAATGGTTGAAGATCATAGTACCGTAGTACGTTGCGATTAAAGCGAGCCATAGTGGCCATTAACATCGACCATATCTGATACTCAACATCTCCCATCAAGTCGTTCGAAGAATACACAACCAAGCTTAAGCCTTGGTCTCGGCGTTCTCAACCCTGACGGGGCTGTGCTCAAGACCAGCGGCCTTCTCGTTGTCAATCTCGCCACGCTCAGCACGACGAGTGCTGCTGTACTCAACCTTGGTCTTCCAGGCTGGGACACCAGTCATGAACATCTCCTCCACATCCTCAAGAGTCTTTCCAGCTGTCTCAGGGAAGAGGAAGAAAGTGTGGACAGCCATGGCGAAGCAGAAGACACCAAAGATGATGTAGACGCGCCATTGGATGTTGACGAAGGCGGGTGGAACGAAGTAGGAAAGGGCGAAGTTGAAGATCCTGGAGTGGAGTCAGCTTTTGCTACTATGCATACTTTGTGAGTGATTGGGTGCTTACCAGTTGGATGAGGTGGCGACGGCGACGGCCTTTCCCCGGATGCGGAGAGGGAAGATCTCAGGGGGGTAGACCCAAGAGGCAGGACCCCAGGTAGGCGCGTAAGAGGCAACGAAAAGGTATGTGCAAGCAATGACAGCCCTGGCAGGTGCGCCGCCAATCTCCCAAGATTGCTCGGCAATGTTACCGAGACCACCCGGAGGAGCGGGCTTGCCGTAGGAAGCCATAAGACCAGCGTTGGCGAACATCCAAGTCATCATGAGGATGGCACCGATGACGAACATGGGGCGGCGACCCCAACGGTCCATGAAGAGGAGAGCAGGAACGGTCATCAGGACGTTGATAACGTACTGGATGGAACTGGC